TTTGCGCGCGTGGTCCATCCGCCCCAGTGTTTTGCGCGCGTGGTCCATCCGCCCCAGTGTTTTGCGCGCGTGGTCCATCCGCCCCAGTGTTTTGCGAGTGAGGTCCATCCGCCCCAGTGTTTTGCGAGTGAGGTCCGTCCGCCCCAGCGTTTTGCGAGTGAGGTCCGTCCGCCCCAGTAAAGGGAGCACCGCGCTCAAGCTTTAGACTCTGCGATGAGCGACCCCGCGCTCTACCCCGCGCGCCGTCGCCCCTCCTTCCCGTCCTCGCCTAGTTCTTCTCTTCCCCCCCCGCCCCTGCGACCGCACTATTTTCCCTAGAGATTCCTTCCCCCGAGCTAGTATTACTAGCCTCCGGGGAACAAGGAGGCGTTCGTCCGCCCTCCTGTCCTTTTTTCACGCCGGCGGCCACGACCAAGTCGTCTGACTCTGAGCGCAGCTCCTCAAGGTAATGAATGCCCGGCGCCCCCCGACTATAACGTCCGTCCTCACAAAGGAAGATCCGCAGCATTCGTTCCCTAGCAGCCTCATCGGCGGGAAGAGCAACCCGCTTACCAAGAACGTCTCCAAATTCGCGGTGTAGTAGAAGATGCAGATCATTCCCCAAAAACCCGCGACACCACTATGCATTGCAAACGTGTCTGGGTCTGGAAACATGTAAACTTCTGATGCGCATTTTCGACCAGACAAAAATCTGTTATGCATGGACTGCAAAAGCTGCTCACTTCTTGTCCTCACTCAGAGAGGGAACTTGCCATGCGGATTAAGCATTGCGAAACAAGCTCAAAACCTGTGATGCTAGGACTTGCATGCCAGACATTCTCCGTCACGCATAAACAGCGCCACACTCTTCCAGACCCAGACATTTTTACATTTGATAACCACGGCTGTAACGCAATCTCAAAAAGAACGTGTTGATCATGATCTTCACCTTCAGCTGCGGCTTCATCCCTGCTGACGGTCTTACGGTTGATGACCTCCTGCATGATCTGATCCAAGCTGCCAGCATCAGGTGGAGGTACAACATTCTGCGGTGAACCAGCACACGCGCCCTGCTCACTTCGAGATCTTCGGGTGGAGCATGATGGCAGCTGGTGGTGCACCATCTGCAAGGAAAGAACATTTTTGCTGGCATCTGCACGGCGCGCCCTCGAGGACCACGTTCTTTCCCATGCCCTTCCTCGGGTCGTCCACCTACCAGGTGACAGAGCTTCGTCGGCAGGGCGCTCCTTGTTCGCAGTATCAGCTGTTGCCACAGCTGCACTTGTTGAACGAGGCTGTGTCTTTGCTTTCGAGAACGCCCATTTTTCAGCCTCATCATCATCGCCTTCGTCTCGCAATATTAAAGCGCCAGTTCTCGCGTCGATGACTATGTAACCGTGTGCCCCCGTACTAGGTGAAGACGTCTTACGTACTCTGAACGAATCCCGGTCGAGGCCGGTTCGTGTTTCTCCCAGACGAGAAAAGCTCCCGACCTCCACGACTTGGCCGCGTTGCTTCAGACCCCGTATCAAAACCCCATCGCGAAAATGGCCTGTATGCACTTCCAACTGCGGAAACGTTTCCTCCTTGTTGGAGTAGTCCTGCTGTGCTTGGTCAAGATGCACCGAGACGCCCTGACCAAGAGGCCCGAAAGACTGCGAAATGAAGTCCCCGGAGTGCATGCGGTAGAGGTCAGACGAAAAAACTACATCTCGTCCGTCTTTATCCAGCGTCATTGTCACTGTTACCTGCTCGGGACTTGAGCTCAATGACCGATGCTTCCCGGGGGCGAGGCAATGTTACTTCGTGGCGTCAACATCTTGCGCTGCGCGCTTCTTCAATGACGCCTCTGCGGCTCGTAGTAAGACGAATCATAGTTAGGTGGATGATGCTCATTTTTTTGCGAGCGAGTACTTTAACTTCTAAAGTTTCTCCTTGTTTTCTCACTGGGGCCGGCGCTTCCTTAGTTGTTCTGGATCGCAGCTTACTTAGAATGTATGGCCGCTGCGCTACGCTTCGGTCGTGGGAGACATGGTTGGCCTCTTCCCACGTGGCTCAATAGAACGGGGCAGGGAACGACGCATCGCTATGCACCACAGACAGCAGGCCTCCGCCGCGAGGATCAGGACTACCAGATGGCGCCGCGGATCCTGCTCTGAAACGCAAGCATGCGCCCCACTACAAAATCATCACGCTCTTTGTCTTTGAGTAGAAGTTCTTGACTTTCCTTTTATATCTAGTAAAAAAATACTGGTCAGGATCTGAAGGAACGACTACAAGGAGAAGGAGAGTGGTCGTTTTTCTTCTTCTTCAACAAAGCCGATGATGAAGATGATGATGTGGTGTCTTCTATTTGGCTATCCTAGCGCAAGTACTACAGATAGGCAAAAGTGTAGTTCCTCCGGCTAGAAAGGCAAAGGGTTACGATGCACTTTCATCATTTTCTTTCTCTGCCTCTATATCTATGAAGATCATGATCATGATGCAGATCTACTTATTGCTTGCGCTTTCGAAATCGAATTATCGCAACGTTATATCTTCATTTCAGTGCTTCTTCAACTTCATGTAGCGAGCTTTCTGGACAAAGACAGAGAGGATCATGTTTGATAGGACAGAGGGCCTTCGTTAGATTATCTCTGGTGTGAAATTTTTGTAGTGCGGACCCAGAACAATTTCCTTGTTCAGAAAAGATTCAGTGAAATAAACTAAAGACCCGGACTAATCAAACCAAACAAAAAAAACGTGCGGACCTCGTACGCGTACCGGCAGCACTAGCGCCAAAATCATGAAAGAGCTGAGCAGTCAATACGTGAACGAACTCCACCTATTGCGGTGCGACAGCGTGAGAAGTGGTCACTGGAGTGCTCGCTGCCCGCCAGCCCCTTTGGAAAGCTTTGCCTGCCCTCGGACGTCTCAGCTACTATTGAGGTTTTCCACCAGTTCTCTGAGCCGAGCCTCCGGCAACGGGTTTACGGGCTCCTTTGCCATGAATTTCAGACATTCCTTGTTCAGCTTTTGGGACCACTGTCGTGGAATGGAGGCTACCACTAGATTCACAGCGGCGCTGGGAATAGCGCCGCCAGGGTTGCTGTCGGTGATCACCCTCAAAAGCGTGGTGCCCGGCTTCGGGCCGGGCTCCAGAGTGTTGCCCGACATAAACACAGTCACGCGAACCTGTTTTCCCGTGGGAGGGTACGCGCAATCCCGACTGCTGGTGGAACGCTCATAAGCGAGGTAGGGATACCTGGTTGCGTAAGCGTATACCACATTTTTTACTGCGTGTTTGCCAGAACACCTCAACAGTGGTTCGTTCAATTCAGTTGTACACGACTTAGCATTGATTTATTCATCAAAGGGTAACGATTAACGTATGAAAAGAATAAACATATCAAACGGGCGGCGCGTCTACCTCTACATATTATATATAAATATACTGGAACGCCGGTGTGCATCTGGCCTCCCGAAACCGGATAATCTCACGATTGCTAAACCCAAACACCGGAGAGCGAATGACGACGCGTTCGATTCCTCGGTAGTAGTCACCTTCCAGCATTTCGTCCACCATAAAGTTGTCTTCCCAGGACATCCGCAGTTGGACGTTCTGAATGAGATGCATGACCACTTCGGGAGGTGCGTGTATGATACTCTCCGCGAGGAAAAAAAGCACCTTCTGGACAGGTTGTTGCGTGTTGGTGGACGACGGCGGCGCCATGGAAGTAGATGTAGACGACGAAGAGCCGCCGAGCTCGATGAACCGCTTCCACACTTTGCACTCTGCCTTGTCCAAAGCCAAGTTCCAGAGTCCTTGCCTTTCCTCTCTTCGAAATTTGTCCAAGAACTCCATAATGTAGCCGAGTTGCTACCGAAAGGAAAAACTCCCCCTCCCCATATTGACAAGGAACGTTTTCGAAAATTTGTGGTGCTGAAATGTGACCACGAACCGTCTCTGTGTTGCATGAAGGCGACTCCACAAGCTCCGCCGCACTCTACAGGCGGTTTGTCATGCTGTTGCACCTACAGCGTAGACGTCTGTCATGCAAAGCGCCTAGGCCAAAACCTGTCTACTCGTCGGGCTTAGTATGGTGCGCCTGCAGTCCTCGCCAGCAAGACAAATCTGATTTGTGTACGCAAATTGAGCATCAGAAACATTGTTTTGATATGGGGAGGGGGAATTTTTCCTTTTGATAGTTCCTCTTCCGCGTTCATGGGCGTCGCGAGCCGCTGGACCAATGGAGTTGCAATCATGTTTTCGAGGCTGCCGAAGCCCCCTCGGAAAGGGTGCAGTGGCAGCTTCGAAGGGAAGCCCTCCGCAGCTGTCGAACATCCAATACCGCCGCTCCCTGCGAATATGGTGAAGAAAACGATATTTTTACGGGTAAGAGTTCAAAAAATGGACGGCAAGGCTAGGCAAATCGTAACTAACCTACCAAGGGATACAAAATCTACAAAAATGCAATTTTCCCGGGCGAGACAGCTATCGGTCGGTTTGTTTTTTTGTTTAATAACTACCCGACTCCTCCAAAAAACTCGTAGATCCTCCAACCGCACTAAATAAATCTTGATCTACTTCCTATTGCGATTGCTGCAGAATTACCACAAACCGCCTGTAAATACTTCACATTTTTGTTGCGCATGCGCATCGATATGATCACAATTATACTGCTGCACAACGCTGCTGCTGCGGGCCACTGCAGCAGTTGCAGTTGTCCGGTTTCGGTCGGCAGTAAATCTTCAAGTAGAACTAAAACTATGTCTAAGTATAAGTAGCTGAAGCGGTCAACATCAGTATACAGAAAAATATCGTCTACCAGACGAGCCAACATATTTACCGCCATCCTTTTCCGAATCCGAATCCTCTTCGCGCACCGAATAAAAAGGCTCCGACTCCTCGTCTTCCTCACGACGCACGCGTTGCCATGTATCCACTGAAGATGAACCTGCCTGCGCGTACAGAGGACTATCTCGTCCTGCACTAGCATGTCGCCCTTGGAAAACCGACACTCCACCAGCACGGTGGCTTTTAGTTGCTACATACAACTGGTCCGCACCTCTATCGGGGCTACGACCTGGATCTGGTAGTGCAGACACCAATGCGGCCGAGTCGTAGGACTTTTTTGCGGTGCCGAAACAACACGGCATCCCACATCTGTAATTGAAAAGCTAAAGCAGTCGAGCAACACTAGTGATCTACCCCTGTATCTGTTCGCGTGCCCAGGCTACTTGCCCTGCTTTTGGTTGAAGATATCTTCGCAGGCAAAGAAGTAGTGGCGGTCTTGGTTGTGTCAATATCGACGCCGTTGTTCTCGAGAACGCGAACCCGTATCATGCCAAGGGGTTCCGACACGTCTATTTCATCTCTGGGATGTTGCGAGCGCAAAGTTCCCACCTGAGAAAGCGACTATACTGTCCAGGAGTGTTCTGAGAAATGAAACCGAGAAACAAACAATGCGACAAGCATTTTCAATTTCATCTTCATGCAGATGCGGAGGTAGAAAATAAACAGCAAAGCGCCACACGAGCAAGCCAATTAATTTAGATTTACGCGGATAGTCGGTCCTCCAATAATGGTGGATCTGGATACGGATAGTGGTCATGCTGTGTAATCACTCAAGGCTATCCTATCCCTCATGAGGCGTTGATATCGTTTTACTCGTGTACGAAGTGCTCTCCTCGTGCGGACCGAATGGACCAGTATCCATGCCCGCAGTTGCGTTCGCTGGCCGAACATCACGAGTTACCCTTGCTGCACATCTTGCAGTTGTAGAATAAATTTACAGTCTCCCATAAAACGGCCATTGTCTTCGTTCTTCTTCTTCGTCTTCACTTTCACTTTCACCGCACGAAAACGGTTTCAAATTCAATTGGAATTGGTTAAAATCGGCTATCTCGCTAGTACAGGGTAGTCTTCTAAAAAATTCTGGGCTAGATTCCGGTCGTCTGACGGAACATCAAGACGGCCGGAAGCTTCATCGGTTCGAAGACGACAGCACCAACCAGTGCTAGCTGCTAAGTAGCATTGCTCGTGCTGCCACCTCGGGATGTGGAGCGCATTCGCTTGGTGGTTGCTTGGAGGTCGAGCTTCAGCCGCGGCAGCGGTCTTGGAGGCCCGGCTCGCGTCGATGCCACCTTGGTGGCGTTTGTGCTACTGGTATGGAACGTCGAGGGCGGATCAGCTTGTGCTTCTGAAAAAGGCACAGGAACAGCAGTTGCCCTCCCTCCGCCCGAATATGACGTGCCTGCTGCCGCTACAGCCGCAGTTGTGTTTTGAGGTCCGTAGCTTCTCTTTTGCGGGCTAAATTTGTTTCTATCTGCTGTGCTTGTCGAGGACGCCAGCATTGCGTGTAGGACATCAAGAGACGGCAGTGCACGCCGCGGTGGTAGTAAAACTTGTTTTGTGTTCGACTCCTGAGAGCCCTCCGGGGCTTCATCACTTTCACGACAAGCAGACTGCTGCAGGTGGTCCTCATCTCCTCGCCCGAGTCGTGCTCCACCTCCTCGCGGCTTGATCTTCACGGTCGCGTCATCAAAAAGTTCGGCGTGCGCCGCTTTCTTGTTCCGTTCTGCGGCTGTTGCGCCCGAAGGAACTACGCCAGACAAGGCTGTCTCGTCGCCGAAACTACCGGAAATGGAGACGACCGCAGCCGCATCGTCGGAAAGCTCCTCAGAACGCACCAACTCGGGCGTTGGTTCGACCGAGTAAGGCGTGAAGCGAGTTTTTCCGGCTTTTGTACGTCGCTCGATCACAACGTCCAAATGCTTTGTCATCTTTTCCAAATCCAGAAATTGCTCCTGCTCGCACTGCTCTGGTGCCATCTTCTGCGCGCGAGGACCCTCTCTTTCCCATTCGCCAGACGTAGTTTTTCCGTTCTCTTTTTCCGCAGCGTTTTTCTTGTCGTCGATTCTTGACCTTGCAGACGAGTCGAATTGACTCTGTCCAGTTCCTAGGTCTGGTGGAGGTGCAGTCATCAATATTGGTTCCTCTGTAATTTTTGCCCCAATCTTCGTCGAGCTAGAGGAGGCGCTGAAAGCTCTTTTGAGTTCAACCGAGAGAAACCCCTGCTCCCGCACCACGTCACCTGCCACCTGCTGCGATGTGTCGTCTTTGTCATCTTCTGTGGTGTTTTCGCGTAGTGGAGGGCTGATGAATTGTTCACCAGTTCTTTTGCATTCCGAAGACACCGCGGCGGGCTGTCCTGTCGTGGTCGTGGTGCCTGTTGTATCTTCACTACAAGTACGGCCAAGGTCGAACGAAGGAAGCCTGTGCATTGTTGCGCGCCCCCCAGCTCTGCAATTACTCGCGCTCGGGTTGATTTGTCTCGATTCGGACGACATTGCGCCGCCGCCAGTGCTTGTACTACTTCGTGGCAACACGGTTCCGGGCACGACGGTTTGTGCTGATGTGGAGAGGTGCAGCAGATTTTTCACTGTCGCTGGGTTCGGCGTCGAAAATGGCTCCGCGGCTGCAGCTCCGCGCAACATTGAGGCGACGCTCAAATTATGTGCCATTCCCGTACCATTCGCAGCGACAGGGAGTGGATGCGCGTGCGCGGCGGGATGGTACTGGTGCAGCGGCGTCCCACCGGCGCTCGGTACTCGCGGAGACCGTATCCAGGGGGTAGACGCCTTCCGCTCCATCGTACTCATGGCGCAATGCTTTATCAAATCCTCCGACAAATTTTTCTGCCAGGCCGCATACTGGCGCAGGCCTCGTACCTCGTCCAACACCTGCTGTGCCTTGCTGGACAGGTCATCAGGCAGTATCCCTGGTGGAAGGGCCGGCAAATTCGCCAGAGACGACCTGGAGTAATTGATGTACTAGCTGTACTGACCGTGAGAATTTCGCATCATTCAGGGGAAGGTCCAAGCAAATGGTGATGTGAAAAGCGAAATTGCAAAACTACGATAACAGCCTCATCTGCCATCGATCATCTCAAGAACACATGGTTTTGATTGAGAAGCATATGCGTAGTGCCACACGAGGAAAAAAATGTACAGCTAGTCCATATGCAAAGGCATATCTAAAGGCATAGGCAAAGGCTTCTACAGTAGTACGGGTCGCTACTGGTTGCAACTTCGACTGCGTCCAGAAACTGTGACACAAAGGCTTTGGGGTCGGATGGACCCACGGACGAAGATGCAGCTGACGCCGAAGCCGTCGCAGTGGCCATCGCGGCTACCTCGACCTCCTTGAACTTGATGTAGTTGGGGGCGGCAGCAGTAGTAGTGGTAGAACTCGTTGTGCAACTGTGGCCTGCAAGAATCATTGTAGGCGCTGGACCCGAATTCGATCGCTCGGTTCGTGGCGAGGGCGGGCTCGTTAGAAAAAGAGCCGCCGACGATCCAGCAACATCGTCTTCCAGCAATGTCCGCTGATTTGGCGAGGAGAGAGGCGAAGGCTGCAGATGAGTCGGCATGCTAGAAGCGGGCTGCTCTTCTAACAGCAGCGTCTTTCCAACGTTGAGCTCAAGCGTTTTATTCAAGGTTGAGTTCGGGTTGGTGGCCTGCGTCGTCCTCGAAGTGTTCTGCTCTTCTTCCTTTTCATCGAGACCGGCGTCGGTCTCAGCAGGAGCGAGCCTCGCGACTTCAGCTCGGCGATTGGTGCTGGATCTCCGTATGTGACGAGCACGATTAGTCAGGATCTCCTCAGTAGAAATGCTGCCGGAAGTAGAAGATTCGCAAGGTTGTATTCGACGCAACATTTCTCCTGCCGCCTCTTCCTCGTTCGCTTGCGCCCTGCTGGTGCACCACCGTCCGCTTGCTGTACTGGACGTCGCTCCGCCGCCGGCTGCGGCTGCCCCTGGCTGTGGCTCCTGCTGATTATTATAGAGAGCAAGGGACTCAACCATCTGCTGCAGTTGGCTTTTCTCTTCGCGCAGCTTGAATACCTCAGCGCGCAGCAGGTTTACCTCCTCCCCGCTTCCACTGCCCCCCCCGGCGCGTCCATCCACCAAATTACCTACGCGGCTGGGTCGTCGCTGCACGATCTTTTTGCACCGACTCGCAAATCCAAGCGTGCTGACAGTCTCGGAGACTGCATGCTGTTCCCGCGCAACGGTGCACAAGATCTTCACGTGACTCGGATACCGGATCGCGTCCCAAAGTAATTTCGTCAGCTTGCTTTCCCGCCAAGGGATGTGCGCCTTTTTTGCTTGTGATAGACTGTTCACGACGTTGCCCAGCGCAGCGAGGCTTGCGTTGATGGATTTCGCTTCCGTCAGTTTTCGCTCGTGGTGCCGCTCGCCCAGCAGCCCCGCGCCTACGTTCGAACGCTCGGACCCAGCTAGGTCCACTAGAACCAAGCGTGACCATTTGGCAGGCGGCTCTTGCTTTCCCTTCCTGCTACGCATGTCGTGGTGGGTAGAAGTGTTGATGCCATTTTCCGTAGCGGCGTTTATTGCGTCTGTTGCAAGCGTGTTGTAGCCACTCGCGACGCTCCCGGTTTCCACCAGATGATCGTAGTTCTCCGGCTCAGTCGCAGCAAGATTGGCAGCATTGTCTTCGGCGCTCGTATCGTCACCAGCACGGTGCCCGCTGGCGCTCGCCAGCGAAGCCCGCGAGGACGGCGGCTGACTCGGACAGCTTGTTGCCGACCCCATGTTCTTGACACTGCCCCCGGACGGCGGCGGCGCTGCCGACACATTTTGCTGGGTGTATCCGCCTCCGTCCTCCCACTTCGCAGCAGCAGGTGCGGCTCGCGGACGTACGTGTAGAGTCAGCAAAACGTGGGAGCGGGAGGACATGTGCTTTGTCAACCCGAGCAGTGCCAGCTCATCTGCTTGCGCCAGTTGGGAGGAGTGCGTCTCTGGCTGCAGCAATTTCCCCGCATACTGTGCGAGAGGCGTGCCCGCACTAGTGCGCAGGTGCACCTCGCCCACGTAGCGGTTGCGCAGTGCCAGCTCCAGAATTTCGCTTGCATCTTCGTAGGAGTCGACCTCTACGAGGGTGCTGCCCTCCACCATCACACCCAGCTGGGGCACCTCTCGCAGCTGCAACTTCTTGCCGGCGCAAAAGAGGTCATAAACCTGGTCGAGGTAGACCTGCAGAAATTCTAGTCGAACTTCCAATGCAGCTGCCCCTCGTGCGCCGCATCCCCGCAGATCTGAATGCGGGTCAGCACGCCGCAACAGCTCACTCAAGCAGTACGGCATTACGCCCTCCGCCTGTCCGCTCTCTAGTCCCATTGTATGCGTCTTCCCACTCCCCGTCTGCCCGTAGCATAGTACCGCGCCTGTGTCGCCACTAGCTACCTGAAGCAGATACGCCAAGCCAAAGGTCGCGGATGGGAAGGAAGCGACGCATCACGAAATACTTCTCTCGAAAGAAAGCAATGTGTCACGAGCAATTTAGAACAAAAAAGAAAAACTTAAACTTTAACTTTTGGCTTTGACATGTACATGATACGTTGCATTATAACCGAGAACAAGAGATGGTACTGAGACAGAATATTTATACGTACCTGCGTGACAAGCTGCCCGACAAACTGCTGGGCTACTTGTTCGTTGGTGCTTCCGGCGTCGAACACGTAATCGAACGCGTAGTCCCGAAATTGCTGGCTTATCGGGGATTCCACACGTACGGCGCGCTCTTCGGCGAAAACGAAGGGAGTGCGGCTCGCGTCTGCGCATGGCTTCAATCTGACGCCGACCTGGACCGTCGTGGTCGTTGACGTGCTACTGGAGGCCCTGCCCGTGCCTGCCAAAACGGACGCCGTAGTCGAGGACGCGATACTGGCGCTGCTCCCCGCGCGCTCGCGACCACCCCGCAAGGTGCTCGTGGAAGTGCTGCTTCTCATGATGTTTGATGGAGGACAACCCTTTATTTTGCGTCACGACCACCCGGAACGATAGCACTCTACGACAGCTCTTCTTCGAACGAAAAAACAATTTTTGCTGCAGAAGAACGATTGTCTGATTATATTAAGTACTTCTACTTTAATTTTTTCGCTCCTCGTGAGCAATCATGGTCGTGTAGTGCATTCCGATAGTACTTCTCAGGGTAGGGAGTAGATGAAACAACTACAACGCCGGGAGAGATAAAACAAATAACAGCCAACGTAAAGCTTCAGTCACTTTCTCCACGACGCGAATGTCTGTACACATGGCACATCGCACTTGGGGCTATCTGGTGAACAAGAAACCCACATTAATTCACTGTTGTCGACTCGAGTTGCGACGTACTTGGTTGCGTTCGCGGGCTCCGCAGCCTCCTGATGCCAAAAATGTCACTCGTTTGAAGCGGCGAAGTCGATAGCGTGTTTCGAATACCAACTCGCAAGCAAATCGGCCTCGACCCACTCCTTGTTTGTGTCGCGATTCTCAAACATGTGCAGTGTGCTGTCGGCCTCCGCGAGAGACATGACGACGAACTTGAGCGGTTCTTCATCAAACTCCTCGTCAAGTACTGACGTGCTGCTCTCAACATCATAATTGTCAACATTCGGACTAGTAGAGGTAGTTGCACTTCTCGCTGTGCCACCAGTGTCTGGAGGTTCTTGCGTCGAAGCGGCTGCGGCTGCTGCGAGTCGACCACTAATAGTGCTGGCTATGGTCCTCGTGCTGGATCGCGTTCTCCTACTATTTGCCACCAACTGCACCGCAGCACGGATGGCATTTCTAACCTGCTCCACGTCTTTTTCCTCGACGGCCAGTATGGCGCGGATGTTCAAACGATTGGCCCACTTTTCGCAACGCATCAGCATGTGCAGTTCGGTGTGGAGAAGCCGTCGCTTGAAGCCCGCCCAGGTTGTCAATTTGAATCTCTCCTTGAAGAGCAAGCTCTGGTCGTCCGCAGCCCCATGCAAGTCCACCACATCGGCCAAGACCATAACCGGCACACTGCCCGGACCTAGATTGCGAGACAGATTGGTCACGGCAGTCGCATTGGCCTCGCGCGCAACCCCACCGAACCGGTTCTGCCAGCCGTGGGCAGCGCGACCGGCGTTCTTCAATGCGTATTGTCTTGAAACGTCCCACATTTGTACGTTTTCGCCTTTCCCCGTGCACCGGGACATCTTAAAAGAGAGCGGCGCCGCTATCCTATAGTTAAAACGTGGCTCCCACCCCAGGAGAGTCAAGATCGATGAGAACTTTGCGAACACAAATCTTCCAGATGAAGTTTTAAAGCCTGTTCTTGCGCATGAGCATGACAAGTTGGGGCTCTACTCAGTATGCTGGTTGTGTTTGGCTAGTGCAGCCGCATCAAAAATCGATCATCTTATCTTCAGTAGAGCATCTTCACAAGTTCTCACATAGCATTAGATAATGGCCGTTATTATGTTGGGGATGCGCATGACAAACATTCTACTTACTAGATATGTTTCTTTAGCTTTTTAATGCATATATTGCAGTGCAAAACTAAAATAGCAGTTTAAGTAGGTCACTGCACCACGTAGCTGGAGCGAACTGCGAGAGGGTAAGATGCTTAGCCTGTAAATTTGATACAACTCTGGGGTGAAAAGGACGTTTGTGCACTACATGATAGAAGCGGCCACAACGAGCTCGCGGTTGTCGAAAGTCCTGCTGTGGCCCTTCCCCAAGTTGGACGCTCCGGACATCTGCGCCCGCTCACCACCAGCATAGTCAATCCCCTTTCGTTCGAGGAACAGGGTTCCGCTCAGCTGCGCGTTGGTAAAGAGAATCGCAGACACTACGTGGTAAATGGCTACCCCGGCAAGCGCCCAAGGCCGCGGAAAAGCCAGGTCCGCACTTTTGGGCCTGACCAGCTCCAGAGCCCGACTCGTAACCGGAGGGGAGTGCGCGAACATGTCGCTCTCATATTCAGTGTATAGGTCCACCACTCTTTGCACAGTAGCATTTATTATCCGGGAGTGCGCCAGAGGTGGAAGCCGGGAGTGCGCTTGCATGGTTGAGAACGCAAGTGAGTAGTATTTGTCGTCCAGGTATGGCGGACATCGCACAAAAAAAACATTTCTGCTTCACTGTAGTATGAAGGTCGCGCCCGGAGGGCGATATTGGTAACCAAATGCGTGCGCGAAAATCTAACCAGCGCGAAAGCCTAACCAGCCGCGCGGCGAAAGCGCGGCCCTGCGGGCCGCGCTTTGGCGCTATTTATTTTTGATTACAGTCCCACTCCTTCGTCTTCAAGCCCCCCGCATGAGAAACTGGCCCCCTGGCCAGGAAGGTTTCTGGGTCATCGGTGGCTTCCGGATTTCTATTCAAAGCGTATCGCAGGAGCCTGCGATACGCATTGAATGCAAAGTCCGGCTATGTGGCAGCGGGGCATCCTTTTTAGCCCCTGCATGACAAACTGGCCCCCTGGCCCGGGAGGTATGTTGCCGGGGGGAGGGCTTGAACGGGGCATCCTTTCTAGCCCCCTGCATGACAAACTGGCCCCTCGTCCCGAAAGGTATGCGGAAGGCCGAAAACCCGCGAACCCTTCCGGGCCACCAAAATCGGCCATTTCAGACCCGGGGAAGATGCAGAATTTCTGCCCACAACCCAGAGCAAATGCGGACTTTGTGACATGCCTCCGCCCGCTTCTAGTGCGATTTTTTTTCCCCAATCGCGATGGTATGGCGCAAGCGCGCGCCCGCCGGACCGCCCTTGGTGGCCAGTTTCTAAGCCTGCCGGGGGTTCTCGATTTCTTTTAATTTTCGCGTTTTTTTCTGGTTTCTAAGTGGCCCGGGGGACCTGCACATTTTCACCGACCGCAGCTGACTGGCAGTTTTCAAGCCTGCGGAGGGATTGCGCTTTTGCGCAATTTTTCATCTTTTTATATTTTCCAAGTGGCCCGGGCGACCTGGACATTTTCACCGCCCCCACCTTGGTGGAAGTTTTGAAGCCTGCGGAGGGATTGCGCTTTTGCGCAATTTCTCATCTTTTCCCATTTTCCAAGTGGCCCGGGTGATCTGGACAAAATCCGACGATTGCCTCCACCCACGTTATGACGCATTTTTTTGCCATTTTTTTCAAACTTTTTCCAGTTACGAAGCGGCCCAAGGCTTCCGGACAGGTCGCGGGCCTGCTGCTCCAACGCAGCTGGCCAGCGGGCGGAGCAAAAAATAGTCCGTCTCTTTTTCAGATATCAAGTGGGCTAAACCGCAAAAATACTCTTTTTTCACCTTCTCCCGCTTGGTTTCTGCCGTTTTTGCGACATTTTTGACCTCCTGGCCATTTTCCCATCTGGTCCGCTTTTTTTCCCTTCTCCCGCTTCATTTCTGGCCATTTCCCTGACCTTCACGCCTCCCGGCGGTTGCCCTATATGGTAACGGCAACTGCCTTCGCGCTGCGTTTGCTAAGCAATATCGCAAGCGCGCAGAGCGCGCGCGCCGGCTTCGTGGGCCGGCGCGCGCTCTGCGCGCGCGCGCGCACGCATTTGGTTACCAGATCAGGGGTTTTGATGCAAGTTTTGCATGAGATCATATTCAACATCAACATTTAGTTTTAAATTAGGAACCTAGTAAAATACATCCTTTGTCGTCGTTTTGTATATTTAGCAACACAAACGCTCGCAGCCACTTTAGTGGAGTTTGGAGATTCTTTATTTAAGGCCAAGCATCGAGCTTGTGCTTGGCGTAGATCCTCGCGCCCAATCTAAGAGCTACTTTGAAGGGTTTGCGTATTTTTTCCCACGCGGCACACGCCGCGTGGATTGGTTCTTAGCAACTGCAACACAAACGCTCCGATGTTGTACTTGAGTAGTTCCCTTCTGTGCATCCAAGGCTTACAGTGAAGATGAAGCAGAAGATTTTTCGAAATACGATAGCGGATCACGCGACTCATGCTGATAGTAGGAATGGTAAAGAACGCCGTAGTCTTCGTACCTCTCTCCATTAGTGGCAATTGGACTGCGCTTCAACACTTCCCAGTATTTCCGCGCCAGGTTCCGCGCCATCACCTCGTCCACGACAACAAAAAATTGCTCTTCCCTTTTGATGGTTTTCTCCAGGAGAGCTTCCTGGTCGTGGTCGAACACTCCCGCCGGCACGCACACGGGTCGCAAGACTTGGGCTTGACCGTTCTGGTGGCCGTCACTCCCCCCCCCTCTTTTTTCGCCCCATCGTCTGCATGATCATCTGCCTGGGATACAACAGTCGCCGAGCGCAAAATACCGGAGATGGAACCAGTTGAACAGAACTCCCGGCCTTTGCTGGTTGCATTTTTCATATCCTCGTCACCACCATTCTCACCACCGCCCCGTCCTTCCAGTGAGCATGGACAATCCAATTGCCACTGAAGGACCTGCAGGGTGATCTTCGAGGATTTCGTCGCTGTCGCTGATGAACTACTGTTGAGATAATGATTGCGCGGAAGAAGGAGCTCTGCGTTAGCGACCCGGAGTTTCTCTGCGAGGGGATTTTTCTGTCTCACAAAATCGCAGATCTCGTTCTTGCATACGGACGAGGATGTTGTTGTCGCACCAATTACCGCCGACGTGGTCCCGCTTTTTACTGGCGTTCTGAGCCGAAAACTATGTTCGTACGCCCGTGGCTTGTAGTTCCCCTGATTCAGCCCTTCGTTGCTTGTTCTACTTGCCGTTGCTGTGGCTTCGTCTTCAGGGGAAAAGTAAGAGGACTGCTCCTCCTCGTCTTGATCGTGCTGCCCTTGGTCGATGTCCATATCTGTTTTAGTATTCGTCTCCTCACCTTGGACAGCACCATACTGGTCCACGCCCACCTCCACAGACTGTAGTACGAAACTTTGTGGACGGGCAGAAGTAGGAATCTTCGCAGCGTGGGATCCCTGCTTCTGCCGCCTGCTTGCAGCCTCTACAAGCAGTGAGCAGCTCTTTACTCTGGCGCCTAAAAAGGGGAGTAGTACGAAGATGCCGCTCATCTTTTGGACGAGAGTCGTGGTGCACAGCAGGACGAGAGCGATGCAGGAACAAGAGAACGAAGTCGCTCGGTGTTCGTGACGAGGGGCCATCTTTAACGGGCGTGCTCTTCGTCCACAACCCGCTTGAAGGCTCGCGAGGACCCGGACGGCCGGCATCATCATGTTCATGGATGCAGAAGCTGATTTTTTCCAGTTCTGGTTCTTTCGCCTTGAGTCAAAGAAAATGGCTACGGATAAATTAATCCTCGATATTAGCTCCATCTTCACCTCGATCAATTCACGTTTCGGCAGGGCAATACACCGTGGCCATCCACCTCGTCACTTCATGCACTGCTTCACTCGCGGGAATCGATGAACACGAACCGAAACAGTAAGTAAAGGGCTTAATAAAGCTCATTCCTCGACATCTTCACCGACCAAAATTCAGGCTCTCCTCGCTCCTGATGTGAATATCGATTCATTGGTCGATTAAATTTAAAAGGAACGGAACGCATAAGCATAAGGAAGACGAATCCGCGCTCGCTTGCCTCAAGCACGAGGACGAGCACCTCCTGCTCCTCTGTGGGCGCATTACAACCTGACCACTCACAGCACCCGCCTCGCTTCAACCCAGAAAGAGAGGAGGTTTCTTTTGAGCAACATAAGCTGTAGGTAAAATCTTTTCTTGCTGTGCGTCAGTCTTGAGGACGTGCATCTTCTCGCGTTGAGGCTGCTGCTGCCATGTTTGGCTGTGAATCTTGTTGATGAAAACAAAATGAAGATGGAGATGAATAAATTGTATCAATAAGGATCCTCCGGTGGCGCCCTGATGACGCGTTGCTCGATCGTCTCGAGGACAGAACACCACTCGATACTAGGAATTACTTCAGGTTCAGCTGTATTCTTGTTCTGCGATTCCGCGGAAAATCCTGAGCCGGCGCTTTTCCCGTCTATGGCAGCCTGTTTAACGACGGATTTTTCCTGCTCGATCATGTTCCGCAGCATCAGGTCAAGTAACGGCAGCTCGGGTTTTCCGTTCGCAAGATTCCGCTCCGTATCTGCCATCTGCAGCGTCCGCATCAGTCGCAAATCCTTCAGTGCAACCGACAGATCGGCCCCGATTGGCGGCGTACGAAACTCGCGCTTGACTAGCTTGCCAGCGTACACGTCGGTAATTGCGCCAGGCAGCACCCCACCCTGCGTGAAATCCAGTAAACGGTCCCGCTCGATGCCAGCCGCGTCCAACAGACACAGACATTCGCCGAGTAGCTCGCCCAGCCCATACACGAGAAAATTCGTACAGATTTTGTACTTGGCCGAGGCCTATCAACTGTAAAAATGTCTGGGTCTGGAAGATTCCGGGATTTGTGATGCATATTTTCCATGAGCCATGATGTCTGTGATGCATGCCGTAGCATCACAGATTTTTAGAGGGCTTTGTGATACCTCTACCGCATGAGAAATGCCCTCTCCGCGTAACACAAACTGGATTCCTGTTATTGGTTATGCAATACAGATTTCTTTGGAGGAATCCAAAGAGAGCATGACAAGTTGCAATCTTCCAGACCCAGACATTTTTGCAATCCATAAGGCCGTCGCGTCCAAATCCGACACTACTCGGCTGAGCCGCGAAAAGCAGGGCGCGACCTTCTCCCGGACGTACGCAGCCGCGTCTGGTTCTTCGGACGAGATCCAGGAACAGAGCAGCCGTTTTGCAGCGTGCTCGGGCCGCCCGGTCACTGAACAGTTCACAAATTGTGCGTCCTTTGCCTTGGCGGTCCGGGACGTGATGCGCGCCACTGTCTCCGGTGAGACGGTTGCACAGTTGATAAGCAGCATGCTCACCAGCCTTTTTCTTCCTTCTTGCTCTGCTACTGCTGCTGCACCTACTCCTGGCGAAGCGGATGTTGACGAACTGCTTTTATTTGCGTTGTGTGCGTGATCGGCAGCGAGAGCGACATCATCATCTCCTGGGCTTCTACTATAATCCGCAGAACATAAATTCTCTACTTGATGTTCGGCGACCTTATCTGACCCGTCGTTCTCTTGTTGACTTCCGGTATAATTACGCTCAGAAGCAATTGATGAAGACGCTGCTCGATTTAAGCTTATTGCGTAGTCCTCGTCCTGCTCCTGCTCCTGCTTCATTAAGGCATGCACCATCTTTGTTCGCCCATAATCATCCCAATTGTCGAGGGCACGGAACATCAACTCCTGCGTAGCTCCGTCTCCATGTAACATGAAGACAACAACCTGGCACGCTCCGATGAGCTCGTCAAGCGTTTCGTGCGCAAAAATCCGGACGCGTCGGGACACTCGAGGTTCGCGGGATTATCAGAAGAAAAAAGTGTTACAGTTTTGACACACTTGCTGTCCGCCATCAGCAACACGGATTTTTTCTGCATATATAGAGAAAACTTTAAATGCAGAGATCATGAGGGAACTCACGGATGAAACTAGGCTCCTTAGTCTATCCGGCATAAGAGACCTCGTTTGTCTTGCCTAATCTGCAATACCATGTGTAGCTGTAAACACTTTTTTCCTTGCATAGGGATGCCAATTGGTCCAATAACTGCTTCAACTCCTGCGTCTTCGCACCGGTGCGGTTGTACAGGTGGACCTCCCTGAATGTGCCGTGCTCGAAGTATCAAGTGTAAAAACGTCCCCACCCCAGAGTTGTGATGCAGATTTGCAATAACAGGAACATTTGTAATGCGCATCTCCATGAGAGGCGTTTCTAGTCGTGTTTTGGGATTTGTAATGCTGTAACCAGGATAAGCAGATGGATTTGTGATGCGCTTTTCCTTGCTAACCTGCACTACACTACGGACTGCAACTTGTGATGCGTGAGTCCCAAAACTTCTAGGTTTGTGTTGCAAAATCCCCAGGTTGACTCTGGGGTGGGGATGTTTTTACACAGGATACGAAGAGATTGCGGGCCATAGCAGAGCCCATCGCACCAAGACCCACAAACCCCAGGCTTGTCATCCTTCCAGTTTATCGAAAAGTAGATCAAACTAAAAAAATCCAAACGCGAGCAGGGCACAGTGATTATATCTGGATCTGATTCTGAAGTGGGGACTCACTTAATTGCAACGACCACGGTGATGGTTCTCGCGCTCGAAGAAGTTGTTGGGCGTTACTAAGATCCAGTCTCGGGGGGGGATGGGCGGCGCCAGCTTGACTGCTTTTCACAGAAGAAACCAAGGGAGGCGGAGCGGGTCACCTAACTCCTACGCCCTCACCCGGGTCGGGGGGGCTTTTCGATTCCAGATGTTGGAGCCCCCCCGAACCAAAAAGCCAAAGCGTTAAGGCGGCCCGCAAATAGCACACTGACAATTTTTTCGGAGCGGAGGGGCATGAAGATATTCCCTTGCTGGCTTGGTGCTGTCATACGTCACAAACCACCCCGGCCTCGGAGCTCCTGCTCGGCCGGGTTGCTCGATGAAAATGCGCATAAATCTTGTTGTATACAGATCTGGCCGTCACGGGTGCAAGGAACACTTAACGCAGTCGGCGCCGACGCTGAGCTGCTGGCGTCGTAAAGCCTGTGCGTCACGGACACTGTGGCGCTCTCACTTGATATGAGATGATCTTCGCAGCATTGCGATATAGTAAGTAAGTAAGTAATAAATGAAAATGCGCGTCGTCTTCCTTGTTCCGATCGAATAAATACAAATAGCTGCGTCGTTTCATCTGGGAGGTTCTTCATTCGGTATTTCATCTTCTGCATCTTCTGCTGACAACGAGGTCAGAGTTGCTTGTGATCTCGATGCTCCTGTCCGAGCTCGTTCAATCCCTGAAAGGTACTCTTTTGCATGGGAAGCTAGCAAGGTATGCACATCGGTTTGACTGATGGCGTAAAGGAGCGCCTCCGCCGCCCTGTTTGGCGTGACCGAGGACCCAATCGCCGACGCTAAGGCGGAGACTTCCTCCTCTGCGCGGCGGCCGAACGGGCCCTGGCCTTCGGCCTCGTCCGTGGATTGTTCTAGAGACCACCAGTGGGATTCGTCCTCGTCCAGTTCTTCGCTTGTTACGCCTACCCCGCGTGCAGCTGCGGGGGGAGCGCCCTCCTCGAACCTACACGTGGTAGAGAAATCACATTCAGATGTTGAAAGCATCTCCTCGTCGCGGAGATTCGATGTACATGTAGTTTGAAGATCCCCTCGCTGAAAAAATTGTTGCCGCAACTCTTGGAGGGGCTGGTCATACCGTGTTGCAACAGAGCCGACGAGGCACCGCGAAATTTGTTCCCCCAGTTGCGCGTCTGCATCGCTCTGGTGCTGCAGCCATTGATTGATGCTGACGCAATTCGGGGAGAGCGCTACTGTGGAGTGCCACCAACGGTGCGGCACAAATAGCAAGTCGCCTGGTTCTAGCGTAGCCATGTAAGCATTTGGAGTTTCAGCACCGCGGCAAGCGTTATTTGCCGCACTCACGTACTCCTCAAAGCAGTTTCCAGACCGGGGGTGAGCAAATACAGTACTTTCCTCGAAAGGCAGTCGCGTTTCGAACACGTTTTTACATGAAGATCTGAGCACAGAACATGTTCCACCCAGAGCCGTGCTGCTCCTCCTCTTCTTGCTCCCGACGGCGACAGGGGGCAAGAGGAGCCACTTCTTCTGACCACAAACCTGCAGCACAAAGTTCACACCGTAAATGTCCTGACGTATGAGAGGACACAGTGATCATACTTACTTAGTTGTCTGCGGTCTTTTCAAAAAAGCGCATTCAATATGCGCATAGTTATATCGAAAAGCAGGGACCGGCAAAACAGCTGCGCGACCTGTTCAACTTAGCTTGTTATCATTGACGTTGAAGTAGATATTACGTGTACAACAACCATATCGATATCATATTCATGCTGCACACTATCATCTAAGTAATACACGACTACAAAAAAAGATGAGCATGAACTAGGATGGCACTCTTCTCCTTTCATACGATGCAGACGCGTACTGCTGCCACGATCCCCGCACCACAGGACCGGCAACGATTCAGGAGCCGGAACCTTCGTGAGAGCGGCCGCTTCTCGCTGGGCAAAAATATGCTTGAATAAGCTCAACTGAAAATCTTGAAGGCGGTTTCTGAGCGTACTATCCCTCCGGGCGGTCGTCCTCGTCGCATCACCCTCCAAGCACGTCTCGAGGTGGACGTAGTCCATATATGAAAACGATACCACCGGAGCAGTATCAGGATCCCTCTCGCGGTTGTTCCCATTGGCAATCTTATCTGGATCACCTCCGTCCGATGCGCCGATCTCCTGGTCAGTTGCGACGCTCGCGCCGTCTACTTCATCGTGATAAGGCATACCCCGTTCTGGAAGTCCCAATTTTTCATCATCGCAACTGCAACATCGGCTGGAGTCTGAGACATGTCGTGTTCGATTATCGCATGTAGTTGTAGCCCCCGCCGCGTAGGTTGTAGAGCTGACAACAGTGGCACCATGTTGAGAATCCAACTTCATCATCAACTTTCGGCTTCTAGTAGAGTCATGCAACAAGCTGCTGCCCAAGTAGCTTTTCACCTTTACCTTCGAACGCTTATCGCACATATGCTCCCATGGCTGATATTGACGCCAGGAGAAACACATGTCGTGAGGTCGCACGCAATTATGCGCCTCATTCCGTCGTGGCCCCTCAGCATTTTTGCCTTCGCAGGCAAGAGCACCGCCAGCGCCCGGGTGCGGACACTTAGTTCCTCCTCGTCCGGGATCATCGGGAGCTAGCGCTAAACCTATAATTTGTTCCCGTGTGACCGGGGCGGAGACCGTCCTACGTGAGCGCGGCGTGTCGGCAAATTGTCCCGCATCCGTTTCCGTTGCGTGACGACGGCGGTCCATGTCGCACGCTTCGCTGGAACATCCTTCTCTCCTCTGGCGCTTTCGGCATGGTCCGCTATTGCTTTCATGTTGATGATCTTCTTCTTGTCGAGTGCTTTTTGGTTTTTCACACGTAGGCGCGCAACTGCTGCACCTTGTGACAGAATCAGAAATACAACCTCTTGGAGCATTATTATGTTGGTAGCCTGCTTCTTTATTTCTCAACATCTTATCATCGTTTCTTACAACGTTCGAACTCCACTTTCGACAGGAGGCTTCTGCGTCCGCAGGGAGCAACGCATGGAGAGCCCACGCAGCTGACTCTGGGTCGCGTCGATATCCACGAATCACAAAAGGAGTTGCAGCATCAGCGAGCCCCGAATCTTCCTGGCCACCCCCGGCTTCTTGCGTCCATTTCCGAGAGGGGACATCGATCACACTCATCATGGTCAACATACACAGGAGAAGCAGGGGATAGAATCGAAATGGCGCGATGTGGTCCAGCTACTTGCTGTCGCATTACATCTTTCTAGACACTGTGATCACTTGAAAAATCCGAAAGGGAACGGGAAGTCTAAGTTCGAGCATTTCACTTCGTCGACCCAGTACACTTTTCATTTCCGGCAGGAGTGCTCCTGGTGAAGTACGCAGGGAGGCACACGACCAACGCAAGCCTGAAGCTGAACGTAAATAATGATCTAAAAAACAGTTGTACCCAAATCACAAAAAGGACGCTGAAACAACCACAATGTGAAGGCTATTATAGATGTAGTTGTTCTGAGTGAGGTGTGAGGCATACAAAACTAACAAGTCGATATGTTTCACCCAAATAAGTATAATATCATGATCGGGGCGGCTTAACCCGGCAGCTTGAATTCCTCATCACAAAAAAAAAACCACAACCATGAGTAAAGCCAAGGATGAAGAGATCGACCTCTAGCTTCTCCTCTCCATGTATCTACCTATGCCATGATTGTTTTCGTTGAAGATACCGATCGCACGACAACGCAAGAACTGAGAGCTTTAGAATCTAAATGCAACTACGCGTGGGGGGTCTGGATTTATGATCATGTGCTCTGCTATCGTAGGATCGAATTGCCTGTTTTGGAGATCCTATAGTCTTTCTAGTAAGAGCTTCTGATCTCGGCCTTGCCCTCCATCCTGGCTCCCACTGACTATCCGGTCGCGGCGTTGTTACGCCACACATTGAAGAGGGAGCTTGCTCGGAGGCGTGATCGTCAAATTAAAAGTGGATCCTCGACCACATTGACAATTAGCAACTCTGGTGGTGGTGGTGGTATTAGGTGGTGATTGGCGTTGCCTCTTACCTCAACCCTCGATAGACTCTGGGATGGGATGGGAGTTAGGTGGTGATTGGCGTTGCCTCTTACTCAATTCCTCGATAGCCCACAATACAACTCTGCTTCGCTATTTTTCAAAACGCCCACAATACAACCTAAGTGTGAACATCTCGCTACAGCTTTCACGAAGTGTCACCCCGTGAACAACTCCGAAACGGGCGGCGTACTCCAAAACTTTCTTTGATGGCGGACAGACAAAGCAAGGTGGACAAGACAAGAGTGGTCAAAATCAAAATGAATCTGCGTAAAAATCATACAATAAACAAGGTAAGAAAGGGAAACGCTGGTGCTAGTGCGCGACATCAGACTCCTCGATATTAACTGAATATTTAGATTTACTCTTATTCTCCATTTCATTAGGTAGTCCATAATCTTCGTGTCGTTAGAGTTCTTGTTCTTCATAGTAGTTATCGTTTCTATAGTTCTTTCGTAGCTCTTGAATTGTACTTGTAGCTGAAAAAGGTAAAAGAAGAAAATGCACATCTACATAAGCGTCGTGTAAACGAAAACTACAGGCAGGAGAAACTGGAGAGAGCACCGCAGCACCCGAGAGGCTGTGCAGCAACGCTGCAGATGCAGTGCTAGCGCTTTGTAAAAAACGAGAAGTCGATTTCTACATCGTCGCGGCTCTCACCCGAGTGCGGGTGCTGCTCGACGCTCAAGCTATCATTGAAGATCATGTATTCAATATGACATAGTTATCGTAATAGAGATACGCAGCCATGTTGTAACTCGAACTCCCTGACATGGTAGCTGTATGCAAACACTCTCGTCTTCATCTTGTATACAAACTATGACATATCATAACAATGACCATACACATCTTTATTTAGCGCAGGAAGGGCCGCTTAGTGATAGAGTGTTCAGTATAACCTAAAGCAATCCTTCCTCTTCATTTACCAAAAATGCGTCAAAAAGAAATGCTGATGCTTGTGCTTCTCCTTTGTTTTTTTCTTCAGTAGGGACACTAGTCAACACAATCAGGCCATAAGGAGCTTGCGCCTCGAGGCGCTGCGCTGTCCTTTTAATATTTCTGCCTAACCGTGAGAGTCACTCGGCGTCGACTGCGACACCTAGAGTGATCCTATATTGCCCGTGTTTGCGAATACGATGTAATAGAAGTGCAAGTAGTTGGAGATATTTATAACCTGAACAGAAGCAACAGCAAGGATGAATACAAAGGGAAAAGTTTTAAGGTCAAACTACAGTTGATGTGAAAAGACATAATACATTGGGGGTAAAAATCAAGTAGAAAGATGACAAACAAGGGCGTTAGGTTGTAAAAATGAAAGCGAATAAAAAGAAGCTCAAGAAGTAAAAGTGAAGGATCGATATTATCGGCCGGTTCAGTGATAAGATGCACAATCAGAACAAATCTAACTGCAAATCGGAATGGTAGTAAAAGTAAATAATTGTACATTTACTGGTCCGGGAGGACGAAATTAGTCCCGGGGGGCTGTGAGCGATGTGACCCAGTCGACACGGACAACGGCATGAACGACGACGCAACAAGAAGTACAACCTGCTATACGAATGCGATACGAATGTGCACAAATTGTAATTGTTAGTGCGACGCCATGTCGTATGCATTATAGATCTGCTGTCCAGGTCGGGCCTTCTCGAGCAGCGTCACATGGTACCGACGCGGCGATTCGTCCAACTGGTACGGCAAATACTTTGGCTGCGGCTCGCTCTCTGACAATTGTTTGTGGTCTCGTGACACGCCCGCGAAGGCGTTCGGTCGCCAGTCGCCGCCGGACGGTTTGCTTTTGCCTTCCCTGTCCAATGCCGTTGTTATGAAATTGGAAAATTCTTCTTCTTATCTTTGCAGTATCTATTCCTCTACATATTCATTTCAAACAATAACAGCAAAACGTTGACGTTGGCAGGCTTCACCAGCTGCCGGCGGAGGTGCCTAGGCCTTTCTTTGCATCTACTTACTACTGTAGTCTCGCGTCATCATCATCATCATCATGCCCGGCATTTATTTTGTCTAAAAAAAACATCATGCCCCATCTACGGCCATCATGACTTGAGCCGCTGCAACCGATACAGATACTGGTGAAGTAAGAAGGTGAAGGGGATGTTCTCCCTTTGATACATATGGTCGCACTGCTATCGGCCGAGAGTTCGTGGCTCGCGTGCGACGACCAATCATCCATGTCCGAGTCGGAGCCGAAGGCCTGTTGTTGCTCGGCTGTTTGCAGCAGCGATGTGGTGCCACGACCCGAATGGTCCGAACGCGGTGTAGTAGAGGTTCGAGCCCTGCTGGGTTCATCTTCGCGGCTCTCTTGTGGAACTACGTGCGAAGCCAGCTGTTCGCTTTGGCTCAATTCGAAAGCCGCGCGATTTTCTGCGTTGTTCGGGCTGGTGGTGGGCGAGCTCAGCGAGGACCACAACATCGACGACCAGTCGCTAAAGCTTCCGGGCAGAAAGTCAAAGTATCGGTCCTGCTGCCTCTGCCAGTAATACTGCACGACAGTGATCACCGAGCTGGAGGGGGAAGGTTCCGCGAGCAGCTGGGTAGTACTAGCCGCAGTCGATGTCAAGGGAGCCTCGGCACCCGAAGGGTTCTTTTCCGCCCCGGTCGAATTTGTTACCCTTGTCCCGTCTTCCGCTCCACTTCGCGTGCGCAGCATGGCTTGCGGTTTACTTCCCTGGTGGAGTTGTGCAGCTTCCTGCTCTTGTGCGGCCCCCACCTCTGCTAGTGCCAGTCTTCCGGAATTCTCCTCCCAAGTGAAAAGTGGGCGATTCAGGGCGTCATACGGAAACCGGTAGTCGGCCTTTCCGAACAACAGCTGGAAGATCCAGGGGGGCAGCATTTCGCGCAGCCACGATTCCGCTTGCTCCAGCAAAGCGTGCTTACCGCCTTTATTTTTTCTGTCGTAGTTTGACAGCAGTGCATCACTTTTGCCTCCCGAGCCGGCGATACCACGGTCGTGGTCGCCTTCAGCGTCTTCGTCAGAAGCAGCGGCATGGTCCAGCACTTCATCCGCGTCCTCGTCCGGTCCAGCTGTCGCTGAAGATTGCATCTGCTCTGCCTTTGCTTCGTCCTCCCGATCTTGTTCCTCCATCGCAGCCCGCCAGTACTCGAAAAGGTCCGGCTCCTCCCGAAACGTGTCGTACGATTCAGTCTCGTCAAGCCATTCGCGCCACTCCGACAAGATGTCATCCTGAACGTGCAGACTCGCGGACAGGCCCTGGAGCTTTAGTGCGCGGGTTTGCGCGGCCAGCAATGGGTCCGCATTTGGATTCAGATCGGAAGCGAGAACCATCATCGTGTCGCCCGCACTTTGATGTTCTTCGCGGCTCTGCGGCGTCGCTGTGCTGCTGCGCTCGTCACCACGGGAACGGGTCGGCGCGCCGCCCGCGGGGTCGACAGCCCGGTCTGGGGCCGCCCCAAGTGTGGCGGTCTGGAGAAAGCTTGAACCCTGTTCAACATCACCAGATGAAGAAAAAACCGATGCTCCAGCGAAAGGGTTCAGATCGAAAATACTGCTAGACACGTTCATCGCAGTGGTCGTTCCTTTCATCATATTACGCGCATCTTGCTCCCGATGTTGAACATGATACGGCGCAACGTCTACTTCGAGCTTCAAGTAGTGCTTGTCGCGCAGGACGCGGCGCCGGTAGAGCCGGGTTAGCAAGAGCAGCTCATACTCCGGGTCATCATTCAGCAGCCCTGGGGGGAGCACTTGCGACGCAACGTCCACCGTCAGGTGAGACCTGCGCGTTTCAGTGTTGGCAGGTGCGAACGACGAGGAGGAAGTAGATGACATCGATCCGCGCACCTGCGTTTTGTGGTCCGCCGTTTTACGATTCTTGGGCCGCTGCCGATCCGGATCTGGGGTGGTACTAAAGATGGAAGCAAACTGCAATGGCCCCTGACTGGAGTCGAAGATCTGCTTGCGATTTTTTCGGCGCCGGTGCCGCACGTCGCCGCGTCGCTGAAAGAGCTTTGCCGCAGTTGGTCTCACGGCCTCGTAGTCCTCGTCCGACCAGGGCCCCGACGCCGAGGCTCCAGCATCTGACGAGTCAGAGGAGACCACTTGATGCCTCGCAGATGAGTAGCGCATCATCTCGTCGGTGGTCACAGGTCGCGCATCAGCTGTACTGCTGGTGGTTCCTCGGGGCGGGGGCCTCGTCATGGTTCTGCCAGCTGCCGCCGCGGACGAATCAGAGTTGTTGTCAACGATCACGACGTCGTCGTGCTCCTTCCGGACGACTTCCATCATTGCATTTGCACCCCCATAATGTCGCTCCTCTGTCATAGGTGGAGCTGCTCCTGCTACAAGCTGTGACTTGTTGACAAACGCGACGTCGGCTTTGCCATCATCCTGCATCTTCCTCGCTGTACCAGCATCGCGGCGGGCTTTGTCGACGCCCTGAGGCCGGGTTGTCGCGGCTCCTGGTCGTGCTGCTCCTGCCTCGTGCGCAATATGCTTCTGCGCTGCGACTTCGTGTGGTGCCGCACTGAGCGTCGTATCAGACAGGTCCGAGGCTGCAACATTTCTCGTTCTTCTGGAAGATCCACTGTGACTGTCCCAGCTAGATGATGAGTTCACTGCTGCAGCCGGTGCCAAGCCTGCTGCTGCTGGTGCGCTCAACAAGTAGTTCGTTGTGTCGTTTAGTATCGGTGTCATCAACGTGCCGTCCCCTCGGACGGCAGGATCCGGCGCCAAACCCATTGCGGGGAATGCAAACAGGAAGAAACTCACACCGTAGGTAACCGCAACTCGTGGAAGGATCGAGGAATGTGACAACAATTTGATTTCAGGTCGCGTGGCCACAAGTTGCGGTCCTGCTTCCTCGCGCCCACGGTACTTTGCGCAGGAAGGGCGAGGACTCGCAGCTGACAACATAGTGATATTGGAAGCTGCAATTCTCATGTCCATGAAGATCGATGAACAAAGACAAACAGGTCACTGGCACTTCTGCTCAATAAAGTTACAACTCACTCTTCGCCCATTCCGGAGCCGGACCGAATCATCTATCAAACACTATAAGACTTCAATTGCTCTGATACAAATTAAAGATGAAATTACAACTAGGTATATGGGTGTAGTCCGTTTGGCTGTGGAATACAAAAATGAACGTCTCGAAAAATGTATAAAGTAAATAGGCACAAAAATCAGAAATAGGAGAATGGTGGTCGATGATAAAAGAGAAAACTGAAAAAGAAATTCAAATTTTGGGTCAGCAGTCAAAATAAAAAAATAAAAAACTATGATCGATTATAAAAGGTAAAGAAAGTAAAAATGAAAAATGTAAATGAAAAAGAAAATAAAGAGTATAGGTGAAGGCTTTCGCTTTAGTCGTTTTTTTTGAAGGGGTCAGCAATAACGATGAAAAAAAGGATGCAACAAAAAATAATCTGAAGGGCTTAAATCACGGGGACGGACCTGTCGTCGGGGTAACAGGGCAATGTTAGTCAACATGCAAAATGATCACTTGCATACGCGTCCGCATGTCACCAATTTGGACTTCCTTCATAATAACTGTTTCGCTCAATCGTTCAATCGATATTATCACCTCCACACAGAACGAATACGAAACCGATTTGCAAATTATGCATCGCGACGCAACCGACAACACATCAGCCCTACCCTCTCTATTTTGCCAACCGATTGCGATTTCAACTCAATTGTACATTTTCGCCGATTTTCAACAGTCCGAAATACGCTCGCACTCTACTGTTTAACGACAATATACTGCAGATTATCGAGGTTTATTCGAACGAAACTTGCTTCTCTTGTCAGGAGGAGGCCTCTTTGCAGTTTGTACCGAAAATCTAGTGTATGCGACTTGTTGATGACATACCGAACATTTTTCCTGTAATTTGCTAAAGACACGACCGACGACGAGTGCTACGCTATGAAGAAGGTAGACCCACTGGATGAAGATGGGTTACAATCGCCTTGTGATTACCTTCGCTGCGTAGCAGCGGTTTCGAGTGACATATTATGACGCCGTTCCTCTTCACCGGGGTAGAGATCGAGAAAGGAATCCAGATGCCAAACATTGATAAATTTAGTCATCCTATGGATGATCCTCTGTGGCTTCGCCTTCGCGGCCAGATGAACATCACGAGGCGATAATTAGGGACAACAAGTAAGGCTTGCAAACTAACGCTAACCTGGGCGGTGGTGGTGGAGCATATGAACAAATAAATTGTGGAATCAATACAGAGGATCCAGGCCGCGCAACTCATTCTCATTGTTGCGCACAACATTACAAAAGCTGCTTTTCTCTACAAACATAAATACAGTATCGAGTGGTCATTCAGGATTGACCTTCTGCATTTCGTGTCTCAACAAAAAAAAAAACGCTGCCCGAATTTCAATGACTGCAGCGCTTTTGACAAATTGCAAAATGACAAATACATGTAAAGGTGTAGCACTACTTCGACGTTACAAAAAATCACGGTTGGTTGGGTCTCTCATGAACATTAGTGGAAACGACCAAGAAACTACAGCGTTGCTTTTTTATACATGTTGATTTTTCATCGGTGTATATGAATTTACTGAGGTAGATACAATCATACTTTTCGTCGATCTGCTCGCGCAAAAAACTACGCCTACGTAGTTTCCACAACATTTGCAAGGAGTGCTAGCTGCGCTACCATCCCCTCCAAGGACCGCTTGGAGCTCGACGACGCAGAGACGTTGTTGATCGTGTCTTTCTGCTCCACCTCCTCCATGTCTTCGGGATCGACGTGCTGTCTGCGATTTCCATGCGTCACAGCCGTGCGATTTTCAGGCACCGACGTGATTGTGTGTAGGTTTTCGCAGCCTTTCTGTTCTTCTGCTGGTACACATACGTGAACAAAAGTCTGGTCCTGTAGAGGGGATGGCTCCTGCACGCATTTCGTTACTTTTTGCCTTCGTTTATTGCACTTCTTGCATGCAAACGCGGACTGGCAAACCCAGTCGCACACGCTCTTCGGCAACAAATTAATAAAAACAAATACATAGTGCGCTCGCTTCTTGGGATGACCGAATTGTCACTGTTTGCCAAACGTACCATCTAAGTTCCAGGGTTGACCTAGCTGCTGACTACTCGGTAATTTCAGCTGAGCGTGCTAGTCAGTGATCACATGATGTGTGTCGATCCTCGACAGAGGTACCGCTCAAATCTCGAAACCCTCCGGGCGCACCATTACCAGGACGCACGCCTACAACCTCTATGTCTATTCATGCTTATCGACATCTTCGTTTCGACAGTGACAGAGACTATTCATGCTGCTGCCGTCCGACAGTGACAGAGGATGCCCTAATGCCAATTATTTTGTTCTTTTTCTGCATGAAACACAAACAAAATAGTTGAAACAGGAACAGCAACAGCTATAGCTCAAATAAACAAACGTAGTAAAAAGTACCTGCATCGGTGAATCGTCTTCCAACTCGTCCGGATCCACCAATTGAGCCGGAAGATGTTCGTCTATTTCTATGCTACCGGGAGCGCCAAAACTGTTGCGCGACTCGACAAACTCAGACTCCGCGTGTCTGGTAGAAGTCTCGTCGGCAGCTTGTAGTACTCGTGGCGTGAACAAGTTTGTTGGTCGAAAATTCACCTCGTCTGTTCGTGTCGGTATCGTCTTTTCCGCATCAAGAACATCATGCCTAGTGGCCGAATCATTGTCCGCGGTGTTGGAGGAGCTCAGAATGTCCAGCAACATTTCGAACGGGGCATCGTGAACAACGACTGCTTTTTTTTCTGAAGCGGGAGATAAACTGCCACCCCCAGCGCTGTGTAGTGCACGATCCACTCCAGAAGTCGAACAAGTCGTGAAAGGTTCAGATTCTGCGACCACGACCCTCCGTGGCACTGGGGCCTGCGCTCCTTGCCGCAACATCTCATTGAGTTGCGATATGCTCTTATCATTTAGAAAAGTCATGCCCCCCAAACCAGAACACGAAATGCAATTTTGATTTTCTTGGAATCAATGCGCTTTACCCTATGTGCCAAAGTCAGTAAAGCCATAAAAACGCAGATCCGGGATTAGAAAAGAGCGCAACAGTTTGCAACGGTGATGCAGCGAACTCCGAAGAGTAAACTGAAGAAACTTTTTGTGTCTAAGCATAAGCTGCAACTTGCACAAATAAATTTCTGATAACTTTCTGGACTTTTGCGTAGTACCACTCTCTCGCTGCTTTCAGCTGGATAGGAAGGAGTCGGTCATGTACAACCCCTCCTTATCCGCACAAGGTCGGCTATGCAGCTACGGAATCTCATTTTACCTCGCTGTTACTTTTCTGAAAAGTATTAAGTCGGTTCCAGTGGGTGCAGTTTTCTGTAGAATAACTCTGTTGGAGCTCGGCAACCTCTTCAAGAGGACAAACATCACCCAGGTCGTTTGGTCGCAAACGGCGAGGAGGATCACACGGAGCGTCGTGGTCGTGCTGCTGCGGTTCATTTCTACGGAGGTGCCGGTGTTGCCACTGCGATTCGCCAGACGTGGGCGGAGAAACATGGCTGTAAACACAGCCCTTGCTGCCATCATGCTTTTGCTTGGCGTCCTTGTTGTGTGCCGCGGGTTCGCGTTCCTCACCAAGATCTGCCTTTGGACGATTACGCTCCTTCGCATCCGCTGGGGCTCTGGTAAAAACAAAAAGCCCAATAGCACTGTCGTTACCTCTGCACGGTCGAAATGATGTCTCTGTTCCTCGTTGGACGGCGACGGGGGGTCGGAATTCGGTGTGCAGCACTTGAGGACGTCGACGGGGCACTACAACCACCTGCAACACAAACATATCAAATCAGTATGCCTGTACTCGTGCATGCACTTATGCACATTCCATAGGGAAATCGATCTGACGTTAAACCTTTTATACTAATTTGAAAAAAATGAAATATCTAAATCATGCTGTCTGAATCTGATTTCAGAAGAGTACCCTATCCGCTTCCTGCTCGTTCATCGTATCACACGTAGGCTCTTCGTTTCCTGGCGCGCTTCCTGGAACAGAAAGCAGGAGTGCCGATGAACAGGCGGATTTTCGCAGCCCAGGAGAATAGATGACGGCATTTTTCCTTGAGGGCGAGGGGGATCTGTTCCAGTATCCAGTTCCAGGGGCGTGGTAGGGTCCCTCTCGCATAGCGAGCGTGTGCGTCGTTTTCAAGGAAATGTGTGGCGACGAGAGCATCATCTGCAGTCGAGGAGTGAGACGCCCCGTTGAATTCACGGTGCCCGTTCTTGCGCGCTCCACTTCTGAGTGCAAGTGCCGCGGCTTGAGGTGTAATAAAGTATGGACAACATTGTCCTCGACTTTTTGTTTAGTTTCTCGATCGCGCATCTGCTCCTCTGCCTGTCCCTGGCCGTCATCGTTAGTCCTCCTGAACACGGGACCTATCGTATGTAAAAACGTCCCCACCCCATAGTTGTAATGCAAATCTGCATGCTGAAAATGTTTCTCATTCGGAGCCCTATGAGAAGCATTCTCTAGTCGTGTTTTGCAATTTGTCATGCTCCGATCAGCATTATCTACTAGATCTGTGATGCTGCTGAGCTAGCTCAAACAGCACTACACTACGAGTCCAAATTTGTCATGCAAAACAGCCAAAACTTGTGAATTTGTCTAGCCGAGTCCCCATCTTGACTATGGTGTGGGGACGTTTTTATTCACGATAGGACCGCACAACTCGTCATGTTCTTGTTCTAAAGCCTCCGTGGAGAAGTGTGCCTGACTTGCTTCCTCCACGTGTCGTGTGGTTCCCACGACTTGCTGGTCCTCGTCAAGAAGGTGCGGAAACGTCGCATGAAGATAGACCTCCGCTTCTGCTCGGTTCTGAGCCTCGTCCGCGAGCCAGCTGGCAGAATCGCAGTTGGCAAATCGGGACCTGTTTGGAGGACTCACCGAAAACGGGTTTTCGCTCCACTTCGACGCGGGCGAAGAAGCCAACGAAATGGAAATCTGCGACTTGCAATTATTCCACTCGTGTAGCATATTTTTATTTTTTGAAACTGCCATAATGTTGGCACTAGTACTCGAAATAACCTGATGTTGTACAACATCATCTGTGCGAAGCACGTTCCCGCTTCTCTTCTCTCTGGCTGCTGCTTCCTCCAGAGGGGACGAAGGACCTTGTTGCTTCTCGTTCTCCTGTAGCGCGTCTTCATGATCTTGTTCCACAACTTGTCCATCAGAATAGGTTCGCACGCGCACTTGTTCTGACGCCTCTTGACGAGCTCCAGCTCCTCCATGCCCCGCAGATCCGCTCTTCTTGGCAGCAGCTACATCACCGCCGAAAGAAGTTCTTGTAGGTAGACGACCACAAGAACTCGCACTGCTTGTTCTACAAGTCGCCGTTGTTCTTGAAGCAGTGCTGTATTCTCGAAACAGTGTCTCCACCCCTTCCTGTATTCGCGAAACCATTGCACTTTCCTGCCGCTCCTCCGCTCCCACCACCGCCTCTCCTTCTTCCGGAACTGGAAGCAGAGGAAAACTGCACAACGGCGAACTGCTGTCGTCGACTTCATCGTCGATGTGAATGCGTGCTCCAAAAGTGCAAGAAGATCGTACCGGACGAGCATGGAGCGAGTCATCGCGATTATATCTGGTGCGCTTTTTACCACGGCACGAATCTTCCCTATCTCCGCTCGTTCTCCCAGCTCTTTTCGCTGAATCTTCTTGAGACAGGTGTGCTTCTCCTGGAGGGTGAAAAGTCGCCGGAGACGACGACGAAAAGTCGTCTTGAGACTCGTCTTCTGAAAGATCGTGGCTGCTTCGATGTGGCGTTTTTCCATTATATGTAGTAGCAGTGGTAGAGTCGGTGAAGGCGCGGCTGCTCCTGCTCCCAGATGCTTTTACAAAATCGTGGTTGTATTTGTCCGACTCTCCAATTATAGACGCTTTAGTAGAGTAGGCTCCTTTTCCTTTCCCTTTCGTATTTGTTGTACTGGTGTGCTTATTATACTCCTGACACCACCTCAGCAGCTCCTCCCGGAGTCTCGCGTTTTCACGTTCCAGTGCTGCGGTATGCACGCTGTCGCAGGTATTGGCGTCCGCATTTAGCGCAGCGGTATGCACCAGGCCGTCGCAGGTACTATTGGCTTCTCCTGCAAGACGTGGAGCGTGGTCAGCGTCACGATGCTCGTCCAGGCCATGCCTATCGCATGCGGGAGATGAACTATTGATCAAAATCGCAGCTATGCTTTCTTCAATCTCCCCTCTTCTGCCTCCGGCGACGATGCCCTCTGGGACCATTTCCTCTGTACGACGAGAGGGGTGAGAAGGATCATTGGGCCAACCAGTGTCACAGCTCGCAGCTCGACAGTGATTGTAAACAGGGTGGTCGTGGTCCCGGAAATCTTCACTGTTTTCGCTGCTTTCTGTGAAAGGCGCGGCATCAGCCTCGCACGGCGGGATCTTTTTGCGCACGAACACTTTTTGTTCCTTTCCCGAGGAGCTCGACGCTGTAGTCGACGGCGTGGCGTCCGCGCTCTGATTGCGTTCAAGGGGGCGATCTTCTTCATCTGCATCGTCTTCAGCCCGACTTACCCGGTTTGAAGTAGAGGCACTAGCGAAATTTTTCGCAGTGGTGTCATTCTCTCCGTTCTCCACTACCTGCAGTTGGTGTTGGACATGTTGCTGCTGGTCATGCCTGCCAAATCTACTTTCGATCTCGGCAATTTGCTGCTTCAATACTTCGCGCTGCGCCTGGAGCAGCCGCATCGCCGCAGAAACTTCTTTCGCTGGGGCGGCGCCAAGCCCGTCACTACTTGCAGGAGAAAAATTACTCGTGGCAGTAACCGACGTCGCTGCAACGGAAGGCGCCGCTCCTCGGGGTGTTGCAAACAAATTTCCCTGAAAGCTCGAGGGTGAAGTCGATCCGGGAGTCGAAGCCAGCATGGTGGCAGGGGCAGGCGCAGGCTTGGAGGAACCCTTCGCAAATGAACGACCATTGTCGTCGATCCGACCCAGAAGATCGGTGATGGCACACAGACAACCCTTCCTGTCCAAGACCAGAACTCGCTTATTCTTATGATCAATAACGCGCTGCAACTCTTCGTCAGCTTCGTTCTCGACTCTGTTACTGTGCTGCAGATCATGTTCCCCGGAAACTGGGGCCTGCTCGCCCATCTTCAGGTGATCCTCAACCTCATGCCGAAGCCTCCTGTTGAAAATCAAAATATCAAGAGTCAGCAGACCAGTACAATTTCTTGTTACAGAATCAAGCAGGTGGCGCAAGTTGATGAGAGTGGAAAGAACATACAAAGCGCAGCAAGCTTGTTGAGCGAAAAAACTTAAATTATCAGGCGAGCCAGGATGTGCAACTGGCAACGTGCACGTGTTGTGCGCTGTCCACTAGGTTGAAAAACATAAAAGCAGCAAGGAAATTTTCTCTTTGTACAGCGTCATCAAGGTCAACCTCAACACATCGTATATGTTGCAGCTACTTTCGATAGATACTTTTGCTCTACCTTCCATCTCCTCTGCTTCTGCTGGTGCTCGCGCGTGGCCTGGAGCACTCAGCAGCTAGACTGCCGTCTTGGACGAACGTTCCCGAGGTAGCTGCACCTACCGGCGCAGTCTGAAGCTGAAGACCTTCTGCGTCCTCCGAGGGAACAAGACCAAGCAGTCTTGGCTTTCCATCAGCTGTCTTTGATGCAACGTGCCTGGCATCACCTCCCCCGCCGACTGGAACTTCTCCACGAAGGTTGTTCTGCTTCATCATCCACTCGAGTCCTCGTCCGGGAGTCGCACCTCCATCCTGGTGGCTGCGTGATCCATGTTGATCGTAGTAGAGCAGAGGTGTCTGTTGTCCCGGGGGATTGTAGGGCAAGTCCTGGCGAGATGTTGACTCGCTGCAGTAGACGATCGCGTGGTGGGGGGACTCCACCTCCAAGGCAGATGTACTGGGACTAGCTCCCCTGGCAGCTTGTTGTACAAATTCAAATAGTAGCGACTGCTGCAACGCAGGGGAGCTGGAACGGCCCGCCGCCGCGCTAGTGCGCCAAGTATGATCCTGAATAGACGCACAGCTGTGCGGCGTCAATGGGTTGTCGCGTCCTGCTGCGGAAAAGCGGCCGTCGGATGGATGCGCCGCGGCGACCCCGCCTAGCGTTAGCGGCGACGGTGCCGCGGAAGACATCGGAGTCGCAGCCGCAATCCCCCCGACGCGGTACTGCTCGCGTTGCCGGGACCGCTTGGACTTGCTCAAGTTTGGCCTGAAGGTGCACTCCTTTTTGTCAACAAGTCGTGACTCCCGTACCTCCTTCGCGCGCTCCATCTTGGCGCGCTTCTTCGCGGCCCATTCGTTGACTTGTTGCGAGTTTCGCGCCGCGAAATCGTGAATGTGGGCATTTTTGGTCGTCATGCAGCTGCTCTGTAGAAGTACTTCTCCGACCCCTCGCCCCTCGACGGGCGTCAATATTAATCCATCTGCTCCTGTACTAACAGCAGCCGAGGTTCGCGATCCCAAGCCTCGTCCGGTCGTACCGGGTTGGAGGTTCAAGCGCCTTCCTGGGCTTTGATTTTGTGTTGCCATTGGATCAGGAACTGCTTTTCGCAGTCCTTTTCTCCGAACATATCTCGTTGCAGGTGATGTCGTTGTCGTGACAACAGACGAAATTGTTCTTCTTGTGGACAACGACAACGACGACGATGAGGATGACGACGAGACCATTCTCTTCAACGACGAGCGAATTAGAAATCGAAATGTACCAATCCGTTGCACCACTCCATCTATGATATATACAACTACAACACCGGTTTCATCTACATCAAGATCAACAAGACCAATGAAATTGAAAGGCAACTCATAATGCAAACTGAAAATTCATCAAAAACCCGCAGAGCCTCATGCTGCTCGTCTTCGAATCATTTCATTACGATATAGGAAATTCTGCTCTATATCAAGGCATTTCTTCATCATCATCTTCGCGTCCCACCCAACCCAAAGTGCCCACCCCCAACCGATACCGGAACCGATCAGTACTCACACTGATACTACTGATTTTGATTTGTAAAACCAAGTTGAAATTCAAATATCTGCGTTGACATAATATCAATAGTGATCAGGAAGCAGCCACATCATACCCCTTGAAAGCAACACTCAAGTCCAAATGAGCCCACGACTACAACGAACCGCTCGAGATGAGGATGACACCCGCGCCCGCCCGAAGAACGATCCGACCTTCAACATCATCAACATTCTGTTCACAAGCGCCAACATGTTTTTTATCATTTTATTGTCGATTACGATCTGAATTTCCGCAGTATTTTCAGATCTAGTGAAGCTGCGCTGTTCCTGATCTTCTATAAACATACACGCAAATTGCGACACCAACACAAGCCTGAGAGGACAGGGCGCTGTCCTCCGGACCAAGCAGAGGCTGCCGGCAGCAGTTGAGCAATTTTATCGATGGTTTCTTTGTTTGAGCATTGAAGGAGTGAGATACCATTGAACATTTGACGCCATTCCCATACAATTGAATACAAAATCTAAACTACGCAGGAGCTGGGATGGTCTTCTTCGAGTACCAAAGAAGTTGAAGACGCAACAACGTGATTTGCGTTCATTTTCGGTGGATTCCAACTCCGTGCCACGTCACTTTTTTTTGCGTCCGCCGAAACGCAAACGGGACCCTTGCAGCGGACGAAGTCGTGTATTATGTCCAGCGAGGATGAAGGACGCGGCTCCTGCTGCCGCTGCGGTTTTCTGAGCCGCTACATCAATTTTCCTCCCTTCTTCCCCTTGTTGCAAGCGTCGGCGCGCTTGTTCACGCCCCATCCCCCTCGTACGAGGATCAGTCGGCAAGGCGCGACGACCTGTATAAATCTCCGGCGGGACGGCCTTAACCACTATGCGCGTCTTCTGTCCTGTGGCGAACGGAACGCCTATGTAGCCTCGCGCTGCAAAACATGTTGGAGTTCCTTGTCCAGAAGCCTTTTCGCTGACGGGAGAATCGCTCGCGGACGAATCGAGTGCCCTTTTCCGTTATCGTCTTCGATGGAGCAGTTCGCGCCCAACAAATACCTCAGGTTATGAATCTGCATCTTGTCTCACCAGGAATGAAACATACTAGGACGCCGAAAATGACAACGCAAGCACTAGTGCTAGCGCACCAAATTTCTCATAAGAGCTTCAGTACATCGTAGACTACGATACTCTACTCCTGATTCTTGTGATTCAATTCTGATGTCCGCCTCAGATATTATGACGAGTATTCTTAGTACAGAATGCTGTAAGTATTACACACAAAACGGAACGGAAACAGAAAACGTACCCGCAGACGAAGCGCACCTTGTCGCCGTACCTGTTCGTGACAAGGTCGTAAGCCTCATCGTCGACTATCCTCCACTTGCCGCAGACGTCGCATTGCACCTCACTGATTGAACATGCGCCTCGAACAGACTCGCTGGAGCTACTCTGCGGGGTGGGATAGAAGAGCTTCGGCTGCTGCGTGTAAAAGCTAAGCTGCGCCGGGTGTAGTTGAGATCCACCTGCGCGCGGATGCTGGTGCAGCTGCTGCAGCGTAAGCTGACCAGGCCCCAAATCGCTTGCAACTTTCGATGGTTTCGAGGAGGCGGCAATACTCCTTCCGTCACCGTCGCCGAGGCCTCCACGTGAAATACGAACAGGACCAGCTCCAACAGTGGGAGTTCCAGTAGTACTAGGTTGGAACACCACCTGCTCTTGCTGGGCTGTACTCGCAGCAGCTTCCCGTGCTCTTCTTACCACGGCTCTTGTTACATATCTTTTTTCTGTAGCTACTACTTTCGCGTTGGAGGTCCGGTGCGCAAGAGAGGCAGCAAAACTGCGACTTTTGCTTTTGCCTTTAGGTGCGACGGCTCCCCCTTCCTGTATTGTTTCGACGCCATTTCTGGGAAGGACAGGCGCTCTTGGTGCGGGCGCAAAGAACGAGGGTGGCGCTCGAAGAGAGCCAGCCCCAGGCCCAGCCGGTAGTCGCATATAATCCTGCGTCTGGACAGGGATCAGTTGGCGCTGCTGCTGGAGATTGCTCGAGCTTCGCGTCGATGCCGATGTCGAATCAGCCGGCACAAGAGCGGGCACCTTCGTGTTGTTTGTGCCGTGTGGTATGAGCATGCTGTTGGCTTTATTGCTGGCTTCATTGCGTCGAACTGGCTTCTGATTCTTTTTGGCCGCTCTGGAACTCGATTTCGTTGTGGCAGCGACCGCCGCAGGTCGGTATAGAAAGTTCGGGGGCGGGCTCGAGTCCGGCTTCTGGGCCGCATGATGATCCAGGTCAGAAGATTCTCCCGCCGGGATCGCTACAGGGGATTCTCCACTATTTTTTTTGCTGGTGCCCTCGACGTCTTCGTCCTCATCCGCAACAGAAAAATCGTCATCTTCAGATTGCAAAGACGCGGCTTGTGCTATCTGTGGCTGTTCTTCCTCCTCTTTTTTACTCTTGCTGTCCCTCATCTGATTTTCTACTGTCGCCAAGATCAGGGCAGGTCCTGAACCTCGGTGCGCGAGCAACGCGCCAGTTTGAGCAGGTGTGCGCTTTGCGTCCGATGGTGGCTCGACCCTAGACCGTTGACGATGCGGGTCAAGAAGGAGGGAAGAAGATCCAACACCGGGAGGCGTCTGCTCGTGCAGATGTTGCACATCAAGCTGCAATTTCTGAAACGGACTGTTCTTTGCGAATGCGTTCCCGCCGAGTGGCCGCCGGCGCTTCGCGCTTTGCTGTGGCTGGAGGCCGTTCATCTGCATGTCTGCGTTGCCAAGTAGAAGAGTCCTCTTGTTCTTCTTTGAGTGGCTTTCGGGAAACTGCTTTGCTCCCCCGATGAGATCTGCGCCGTACCGCTGCGCCATGTCTGCGTAATAAAGGGGATCCATCTCGCGATAGTACTGCTTCGCAGCCTGTCGCAACGGTCGTCTTGCCCGGGTTGGCGCGTTCTGTTTCGACGTGGTGGCACTGGTCGCCGCAAACCGGGGTGCGCCCGTGTTGTCATTTTCATTTCCGCCACGAGAAGGAGCCAACACACTGCTAGTACTAGCCGTTGCTGTGGCAGCACCTCCGATATTCAGATTGATATTGGTTGCGGGTAAAGCTGCGTCCGGCGGGTCCGCGACGCCGTGACCGCTTGCTCCTGCATTCTTGGATGCCATCGGCGGTTGTACGAGATTCTGATTGCCACAACGTCCTCCCTGCTGTTGCTCAGTCGCTTTATTTTCATTTGGATGTACTGCAAGAGAGCCTTTATTCTCCCTCGCGGTTGACCCACTAGCATCCTCACGACGGTATAATCCCAAGGGTGGGGGCGGTAGCACGGCGCCACGAGGCGAATTCACACCAATGTACTTCCAGTCAAAATCGTTATCCTCACTATCAATCTTTTCATCTTTACCAAGGCCGTTATTGTCTGGCTGCTCCGTGCGCTTGTAGGCAGCTTGTGTAGCAGAGTTTTTATTCCTTTTATTTTGGCCCTCATCGTCACCGTCAAGATTCAAGTTTGCCGGTGAAGGCCGTCTATCGCTGCGTAGCAATCGCTCGTCCGAATTTCTGCGAATATAGCTCTTCGGCGCAGAAATCCGACCGCGGCGCGAGGAGGCCCCGCCGCTCTTCTGCAGCGGAGATGCCGCCGGGGTTCGCCGCATTTTCTTCACAACAACTCTGTTAACGAGGAAGATGTGCTCCTCGATGACGAAGAGGATGCATTGAAATGATAAGAATTATGAGTAAGCCTAAGCCTAAAATTGAAGTACTTACTATCAGGCAGAGATGACTTCTAAAACCAGTATAACATAACCATCATCATCTAACCTGCACGAGATCTTCTTCTACGTGGCAAGCCGCAAGCAGGAGAGTAATGTATGACTACAATCAAATTATCACTTCATCGCCTTCGCCGGCTTGACGGCGGGGTTCCTCACAAGCACTCGGCCGGCCGCGCGGCCTCCTCTGTCTCTAACTCTATACGCGATCCGATTCCACCACCCACTCAGATTCAACCTCTGTGCGATTCCGATTCGGTCTTGTTCGTTTTTTCTTTTTGCTGGTTCAAAGTCAAAGCGTTTGCCTTTATGTGTATCTCACAGATGGAAACTCGCTAAAAGAGTGAATCCCGACGATGAGGCACCACAGATGTAGTTGAGCCTCCGCTTTGAAGCTGTTGTCCCCATTACTAGCCGTAGCCAAGCAGCTATCATGATTGTCATAGACATTGCTTTCAATTATATGAGTTGTGGATTTTTTTCACTTTCACTTTCTATGAAATTATTTTCAACTTTTTGATGTACATCACGGCGAAGGAACGCGCGTAGCTGTAATCGACTAGAAAAATCGTCGCTGTTGTGGATACTGCCAGCGGGCAGCCATGACCCGTCGAAGTGGTGTATGAGAATCAGAATGGCCCACTCCCCCGACCCATCATTCACATCACCAGTAGACACAGTCTATTGGATTCAATAGTACAGCTGCTGCTGCAAACAAGTTTGATATGTTTCTAAGTCCTGCGGCTCCGTTTTGCAGTGATGTTCCCTGACCAGTCGGAACACCGCTGCACCAGCCGAGACGTGAAAATTAATACTTCTACTGCATCTGCTAGCAGAGACAAGCAGCTTCTTGATGGCACACAAATGAGGGGGAGGTGGCGCTGTCTTGCTTCGTATGGTGAACGGCATAGACACGATCTCGCATGGCCGCGGCGGTGCCATACGTTACTGCCTCCCCGAGAGAATCTCGTGCAAGAGCATACAGACAGGCAGCGCCGCTCTTTCTTGTCCTACTCCTGCTTGCTTCGCTTTTTGCTTTTCTCGCTCCACTGCTTTCGCCTATATCGTCATGCCGAGGAGATGCGTCCCCAGGGCGGCGTGCTGGAGCTTCTCCTTGTACTTTCTCCTTGCTCTCACACATGTAATACAGGTCGCGGACTGGATCTGCATCAGTTTGATACTGTCTTTGATTCGTTGCATCTTCGGGATTCCAAGAAAGGGCTCCGACCTCGTCTTTATGCGACTGTGTAGACATGGACTGTGCGTGATGGATCGGAACGCTCGAACTCTTTCGCCGAAGCATATCACGTAGCAAAGCACACCAATAGCTCAAATCGTAAAAAATCAGAAGCAAGTATGATCTTCTCCAGCTAAGTTCAGAATTTGCGCTGTTGTTTTCCGTTGTCACTACTTCATGCCGCTCGATAATGCTTCCCGACCCAGAAAACTGGCCCGCCTTTTCGTCAAAGTGGCCCATCAAACGGTAACGGATATCATAAATTTTACGTATCTTGACATGCAAAATGTAAATGATACTTTTCGTCACATTCAAAATGCGCCGCAACGGCGTTGCGGCAACGCGAGTCCTTGCTTCTAGATGGACTACGGATATTGGTAAAACTATGGAAGTGGATGGACTTCCCGGTAGCATAAAGCACCAATTCCACAAAGCTGAGTTCTGCTCTACGCCGCTGAGGTAGCTCGTCTACGTCGAGCCCGGGGTCCTGAAGAAGCACGCTCCCCGCGGGCGCGGCGGGAGCACGACTGATATTATGCCCATTTTCAGAAAATCCTTCGGCAAATTGATGAACGGCTACTGGTTCCGTAGCCGCCCGCTCTGAAACTAGAGTGGTCGTGGTCCTTGTTTTTCTTTTTGACACGCCGACTTGAACCTGATTCGCTGTAGCGTTTGAGTTCATCTCGTTCATCGTGCTGCCCCGCCCAGCATCGTTGTTCTCCGTGTCCGTACTCTCCTTCAAGTTGTAGTGCGACCAATAGTTTTGTCGCCGCCCCCGAATGCCGTAGTACTTGAGAAAACCTGCGGGTTGGTCTTCTTGAAGCCAAGCACCGCGGTCGTAAGCAGCAATGGCCCAACACTGATCTTCGTACCTCCCCGCACAGGAACCGCCGTAGCAGTCATGATGTGAAAACAAGTATTCACTCATGCCCACATAGTCGGTCCGCAACAGCAGCTGTAATTTGGGCCGGGGAAGCCACGCCCGATGCAGGTCCGGCAAATCGATCTCCGTATCTTGATCTTTTTTGTCCTGAAGTGACCGACGAGAAGCATCAGCTCCACTTTGCTCTTGCTGCAAATTGAAATTTGCAAAGGCCCCGGACGAGAAAGATGAAGCTGCGGAGGTGCCTCTACTGCTGACGGAGGCGGTACCCTTGCTGCTGCTCTTCCTCTTGAAAGTGCTACTGTACAACAGGCGCTGCTGCTCGGCTTCCTTCCTGTCCAAATGTCTGTCAACGTCTACCGCGATCTTCCAAATCGAGGGCGACCAGCCTAACTGGCTGGCGCACGAGAAGGGGCGTGATTTCCTACTTGCACGAATCGAGGAAGGACTGTCGTCATCTTCTCGCGCCCTAATTGATGTCATTGCCGCACGCTGTGACGCAATCGCATTCTGGCGATGGATCTCGTCTCGCAGCGTGCGGTTTTGACGCAGCACCGCCGTGCGCCGGAGCTCCGCCTGCAATCGAAAAGCCGCGCTCTTCCACAGGTTAAACTGCAGTTGCAGTGGGTTGAAATTGTGCCAGGGAAGAAAGAAAATGGCATTCCCGGAAAATTTACCATGATCCCCATCCATCTTTTGCGGTAGATGTTGACTACAAACACAGAGTTCAGAGTCGAGAGTCCTCCACGAAACGATTTGTAATATATGCATGCTTTGCCTTTGCGTGACAAATTGGATCTTCATGGGGTTGGTTAATTTTCAGGGAATAAATGTCATCGGAACCGTACACACCAAACACCGAGCGCTCGTAGGCGTGCCACAGAGTCCGGGGCGAAAACTGGTAGTACTTTGGGCAGTAATGGATGCTTCGCCGAGAGCTGATTGAGATATTGCGACCGCCGTGGTCGACACCCTCCCTCCGGTCCGTCGTCGTACAAACATGCTGCACCGCAGCCGAATCATCCCTGCTGCTGTTCGAGGACGAATTGGTACCATTGCAGTAGTGGTTTTGGCTTTTTGACAATTTTTCAAACATATCCGACACAACGTTTTTCCGCAAACAAACCCCCGCAGGCAGCGTTTGTTCGCACAAGTAGAGGTCGACATAGGCCGTGTTCATGGCATGAATCATGCTGGCATCCATGATTTGCGCGCCGTTTGCGTTGGTCTTGACGGCAAACGCAGGCTCCTGTTTCTGCACCTCACTGTAGATCGTAGCATCGATGTGGTACATCATTTCGATCCAGAAAGGGTGGCGCGGTTCGCTGTAGATCACGGCAGTCGTGTCGTCCATAATAATGCTCTTTCCTCTTGTCCCAGTCGTAGGCATAGGAACAGCTGCGGTCGTCGTACTCGGCAGGACCGCGCGAGTGGAGGTGGAGCTTGAGGGCGATGTAGCAGTACTAGTAGTTGTACTAGATCTAGAAGGAGATGAAGTAGCTGCGCTTAAACGCATAAAAAGCTCCGTGGGGTCGTGCAGCAGCTCAATATCTGCGTCAAGAAAAATACCGCCGTAGAAGTACAGTATCAAGTACTTGGCCAAGTCTCGAAACTTCACGGTGTCGCTGATCCGGAAATCGCTAAACATGTGCTCCACGAGCCATTGCGGACGGGCTGGTAAGAAGCGCTGCGTCAGATTGGTATACTGTGTGAAAACATCGTCCCGCCCACGCCCACCTTGGATTATTTCTCAAGAAGAAGCTGCCTACTTTTTTACTTTCTGTCTGAGCTTGTGCAGGTAAAATTCGTATCTGCACGCACAACGATCGTGACGTGCCTCCCCAGACAACAAAGCGTTTTTTGATGTCGCTTTGGAAACAAGTTAGCAGCTCTAGTAACCACGATTAGCAAACGGCTGTTCCAGAATATTCAAGAGGTAAAAATTACCAAGATGAGTTATTTGAATTGAATGAATAAGAAAATTTGCAAACAGAGGGCGCAGCGTGGCGCCGACAACAATGATCAGCAGATATGTTGGACGGGATCAATTCGCCGAGAAGTAGTCAGCGAGCGGACGCGTCTCCGACATACATTTGCTTGTGCGCCGGATCTCCAGCTGAGTTTTTTACTGGGCGCGAGCGCCGAGTAGGGGAGGTCGCTTCTTTCGCTTTCACACAAGAATGCGGCTCGGCGAGAAAAGCCGCAAGCCAATGGCCCAAACAGAATTAATTCGGGCCTGAATTAAATCCGCCACCACAGGCCTCACCCCGGGCCCGGGGCCCACGGGGAGGGAAAAATAAAAAAATCTCACTGGGCGGGAAAAAAATTCGTTTTTCCCGCCCGGAAAAAAACGAATTAAACGAATTAATCGAAAAAAAACGCGCCCAAAAAATTTGACAGGGAAATCACACATGAAATCCTGACCCAGCCCGCGGGGCCGGACCCGGAAATTAATTATTTTTAATTCCCCCTCCTGGGAGATTTTTTTTTCGATTTAATTCGAATTGATTCCGCCCCTGCTGGGCCAAAATTAAATCCGACTCAAGGGCCAGGTTTGAATCAGGCCAAATTTTACTCGGTGCGTGGGGCCCTGTTTTTCCGGGGATGGTTTTCGTCTGGAGAAAACGCGAGTCTCCGTCGCGTCAGCATGCAGCTCCAGCAGCCATCACATCATCTGCGAGGGAGCTTGTGCAGGCCGGGCAAAACACCAACAGAAGCAAAGGACCACAACCCCAAACAATGATGTCAACCGCTGAGCATATCAAGTCGCGCCTCCAGGTTCTGCAGCTGCAAAAAAAAAATAATTCATTTAAATGGATTAACTCATCTTGGTATTTGGACCACATAAGAATATCAATGCGGTTGCGGCCGTGCTTCTATACCTAATAATTACTTACTTTGTTGCGGGCCCAGGCGAATTTATATCTGTCATCCACATCCTTGTCGGGCGCACCTCTCACGAAATTTCCATTTGTTGCACAGCAGGACAAGCATCTTGAATATGGGAAAGGGACGTTTGTACAAGTGATAATTGGCGCGCTCAACGTAATAACGGCGAAACCGTTCGGCTGCCAAAGAAAAGGTCGTGGTCCCGGGAGTTGTTTTGCTTCCCGACCTCGCAGCGGGATCAGCGCTTATCGAAATGAAAAGCGCCCCATCTCGAAAGTGAGCGTGTAAGTGGCGTAGTACAAGTAAGTTCCTGCATTCAACTAAGCCTTCTTCTAGTCTTGTAATTTATCACGTTAGCAATCACAGCACACGAAGGCGGCACCTGAGGCGCCTTCCCGTCCTCGTTTTTTCAGTGCTGAACGATTGGAATGCAACCCGGCGCTTTTGAGTTTGATGCTAAGTCTGTTGAGCGACCAAACGGAATTTTTACCGATCTTTGTGTTCAAGCACAAAAATGCTGGTTTATTGAGTTCTTATTGGAAATCGGCGGCTATTTCCGAGATGCGGCTGCTGGGGCGGGTGCCTTGATAGCGTCCACCGCGGGTTTTTCGTCTTTTCGCGATTGGTGGATTAAGAGCTGTCCCTCGATATCTTCTGGTAGGAAAACGTCAGCCCAGAACGCAGGACTCCTCGACCAGCGCACCAGCTCGCTGATGCCCACATCGTCCCACAAAAAGTATACGATAGTGGACAACTCCCCCTGCCCCTTCGTCGAACATCAGCATAATCTGCTTATTGAAGCATAGAAAATGGAGCTTGTCGTGTGTGAGGAACTTCTCATGCCGGGACTGACACTCCATGTAAGTGGAAGTAGTACCTACTCTAACTCTTTGCGCTTTATTCGGTGCGGCCTAGGAGTACGAGTAGGAGCTGCTTGCATTTTACATCTCACAAAACTGAAAGGAAGAGGGAGCTGTCTGTCTTTCTCTTCATAGAGTATTCATACCTTTGCGAATGCGATCGAGTACCTGAAGCGGCAAGAGGCAAATCAGTGAACAACTTTGATGTATCGAGATCGACAATCAATACAGCGAGCAAAGGGGGCGTCAAAAAAAAATAGCAATAGCTCAATACTCGGAAAGGTGGTTCTTTACGCTCTTGTGGTAATCATGTAGATAGCTTGGAAGAGTCTTTTCTGGATCTGCAGTGCCAAGAAGCCCACAAAGCACACCGCGCTCGGTCGTGTGCTCCGTCGAAGTTGCCCCCCCTGCAGGCAACCGCACGTGCGAACGCCGCTCGCTTGATATTTCTTTTTCATGATGAATGGCAACGTTTGCATCTGACGATCCGGGAGTCTTTAATGAAGCCATGCGATTTCGTAGCGTTTGCATAGGCCTTTCGTGCAGAAGTCCTGGAACGTCAAAGTTTTTTCCCGGTCGGAGCAATTTGCGGCTTCCCAAGCCCTCGCTCCAGATCTGGTGCACCCGTTTCACGAATTTGCGGTCTGGAGGCGGGTCGGTGCGGATGTCGCCTTCAGCTACAGAACGAACACGGCCCATCGGTAGAAAGTCGCATCGGCTGCGACTTGTTTCCACTTTGTACTCATCGCTTGCGAAGGTGCCTGTTGCTTCGAAGGAATGCAGAAGCCCAAAGAACAGCAGAAAACTCCAACAATGCAACATGTTGCTCGTGCTTCACCAACAAGCATACGTAATCGAAATTTGTTCCGTACAAATAAACAAAGTGGAATTTAACTGCCCGACTGTAATCACGAATATGCAGCACTAAGTAAATACTACTAGCTCATGATCTTCTTGACCGTGCAGCACCACACGCAAAACCGGTACAACTGGGGGCGTCGGAAGAAAGGAAAACGCGAACTACCGACAGGACGACTACGTACAAGCATTCTCTCTTTCAGAAACATGGCCGGTCGCGTTTGATTTTCATTTGTATTGTTTTCTTTTTCGAATAAGGAGCGGACGCAGAAATGTCGTGGAGGACTTTGCAATTTCATTTCAATAATGGTGCGCATTGTTTGCAGTAAGGAAGAATGTCCACTACTTACAGCAGCTGGTGCAACATTTGGCTCTACTTATGTATCGTGAGGCTTTTTGTTCTCTTTCCCCCCTGTGCCTGTACTCGCTGCTTCGCTACGCGGCGCACTTTTTTTCTTGGAGGCAAGAAAGTCGTCCGCGTGCAACTTGGAGGCAACGGCGACGAAGTGTTCCGCAACTGCGGGCACATGCTGCGCAGCTTGGTGCAACTGCGTTTTCCACGTTTGGTGCACACGGTTTGCGTGTCGACGGTGGTAATCTACCTCCTTTTCGTAGTTACGTAGAACCTGGTCCTTGTGTGACTCCTGTAACTCGAACACCTGTTCGGCTCGTTGATGAGCTTCGCGAAGCTCCTCCCGCAGCGACTTAATTTTTGTCCGAAGGTCTTCGTGGTCTTCGCTAGTCTTGTCTTGGAGGTCTTCCCCCTCGTCGACTCCTCCTTTAAGGTTTTTCTTCAGAGCGCCGGCTTGTGGTTCTTGCGATACCTGTGAACTGCATGCCTTTATTGCCTCCTTCTGCATCTCTTCCTCACACGCGCCTGGCACAACAACCGCAGAGGACGTCTTGATGATTTTCCCGTCGCTATCATTCGGGTCGGCGGTCGAGCTTTGTGAGGCCTGCGTCTCGCGGTGCAGCCATCGGGTGATTGCAGAAAGTCGCCCGGTGGATGTAGGGTCGCTCGTGTCGACTTTTTGCACCAGAGGCGTAAGCAGAGGCTGCAGCCGCTGTACGAGTTCAATTGTACCGTTCGCATTTTTCGAGGAGCTGGCGGCAGCTGTCATGTGCTTCTGCAGCCGTGGCACCACAGGATGCTTTGTCTGCGACTGGGTCTTCCTCGTCTTGATGAGCATCGTGTTCTGATTTTTGGCACGGTCGTTCACATAGTCGTCCTTGCGATGTCCATCAAACGCATCTTGCCGTCCTCCACCTGTCGTGCTCATTCGGCGCATGAGAGGCCCGCGGCTGGGTTTGTGCGGGCTCGGTTCTCCACGACCGGGCGTGAGAGTGGTCCCCAATTGTGCCTTCGTGCCTCCATCTTCTCGTCCCCGACCAGAGACGGCGAAGCTCGCTGACGAGTTGTAGGAATCATTCAAATTACTCATGTAATCTGTGACGTGATCCAATACATGGCGCATGTCTGCAACGGCTTCCACAACAGCGTCCTCACCCGCCGTTTCAGGAACGCGCAGAAGTGTCGCCAAATCTGTAGGTATGCGTGACGACGATGAACTGCAACTCCCGCGAGCCCCAGCTAAGGTAGCCTCGGTTGACGGTGATCGCCCGCTGGAGGCACTCCCCGACGTTTTCATTTCACCAGGCACTATAATAGAAGGAGGAATTTCCAACGTCGCAGTCGGCGTTTGCGACACAAGGCGGCCTCTAGACTGAAAGCTGTTGCTTGTAGTGATCCTGCCTCGTCCAGCGGGGTCCCCCGTTTGCAAACTCGTTGTATTTGACCCGAATTTTCTCAACTGCACTTCCAGCTGAGCTTTCTCGCGCTCCAGCCGAACCAGAGCAGCCGATCTGTGTGCTCCGCTCACTGCGGAGTGGTCCGTGAGAGCAGCCTCGATGTCGTCGGCACTAGAGTTCGAAACGGCACCTGCTGCCGCGTCTCCTGCCCATAAAACGCCGGACAGAGGCTCGTCCGTTTCGCGCTGGTCAGGGTGAGGATCGCCCCGCACCAGCAAACCGGACGAGCTGCTCGCCGAAGAGGACATTAGCCGTTCTCTCTGGTGTGCCGCCTCTGCATTTTTTGGTTCCGGAAGCGCAGTCGGCGATGTCCTGGTGGTGTTCTTTTCCACTACATCCTCATGATCCATTACGACTGAGGTAGAAGACGAGGACTCAGGGTCTAAAACTCGTGCTTGCTCGAGGACATGATCTGGTAGCAACGGTCGACGTGTGCTGCCCATTTGTTCTTGGAAACGACCGCTGGCGCTTGCAAATGTCGTGTTGCGACTGCTCGTGCCACGACCTTGTCGGTTGCTCGTCCGACGTCTCTCGTGCTGCTGCCGCAAAAGGTGCCGCTGTTGCTCCTCGATCATATGCCGTTGTTCTTCCAAAGCATAGCGCAGATCCTCGCGGTGTTTTGCTTCGACTTCCCGCAGTGCCGTCTCCATCTCGTAGCGCGTGCGTGTTATCTCCGACTCTAGCTGGTGCCTTAACAGGTCGCTGTCTTGTTGTCTCGATCTGGTCGTGCTCTCCAAGTTGCGGAGCTGTTCTTGTTCCGAGCGATTCTGTTCTTCATTTCGGTGGTACTCGCGTCCGGTCTGCTCCAATTGCGAAACAGCAGCTTCGGATCGCTCTAGTAGCCAGCTTCGTTTCTCTTCTTCATGCTTGCGGTTCGACTCTTCGATCTGTTTAAGTATTTTCTTCATTTCTACATTGAAACAAATTGCAACAGTGGTAGAAAATGCAACATGAGCTGTCGGCTGCGCTGCTGGCATCTTGCAGGTGCAGGGGCGTTCGAGTAACAATAAACTGTCTCTGTCTAAATACATGTGCTGCTAATGAGTGGAGCCTTGGAATCGGCCCTCTACTTCTGCAAAGCGTAAGCGCCGCTCCTACGCAAACGAAAGTCCGACGCCCGTGGTTATCGCCATAACGATATCAAAAAAGTAGGAATAGTAGGACGACTGAGCTTATCGTAATACGGACTAGGAAAACTTTAATTATGCCAGCATGAGACCGTAACGGAAACGCAAAAAGAATGAAGCCCAAAACTTTACGAACATTATATATAATTTCATCAGACCTCCTTCTTCCAGCGCGCCTCCGTCTCCGCGTGCAAGCTAGCATGCACCCGTGCCTGTTTCTCCAGGTCCTCGGAATGTGTTTTTTGCTGCTCTTTCTGTTGGGCTTGCACTTCTTGAATGGCGTTTTTAAGCTGGGCTATCTCTTGGTCGCGCTCGCGGTCGTCCGTAACTGACCCCCCTCCCCCGTCGCTGCCGGTTACGAAAGGAGCTTTCGGTGCTGGTGCGCGCAAAACACCCGCGCTTCGTATGCCCTCGCGCAGCGCCACATGGTTACTCTGGCGCCAGAGTCCGTGAAGCAACTTTGGGTCCATGGCCGCCTTCGCAAGGCACTGATTCGTTTTTTTCATTTGTTCCAGCTCCTCCAGCAGGTGACGTTCTCGTACCCCGTAGTGCGACTTTTGTTCCTGGAGCTCCTCTTGAAACAGGTACGCCCGCTCCGCCATCTGTTCACGCAGACGCCAACTGCGCTCTTCGTTGCGTGTCGGAACAGCCGAAGGCGCGCTACGGTCACGGACCCGTGGTCTTGCCCTTCCGTGGCTGCTCTCGTCGAACCCGGAGAACTCTGTCAGGTGCCGGCGATTTTCTGCTATCAAACGCGCACAGTCACGCTCAAACCTCTCGCGCTTTTCACGCACCCGCGAGAGTCGCTCCCCCACCAGGTCCTTGCGTGTGCGCAAAAGCGGCGACGACACAGACTCAAAACTTCGTGCGGGCATATTCGGCAGCGACCCTGCGCCCCCTGATGGCGGTCCATCCTCAACATGCCGACGCACTGCAGAACTATCCGACATTCTTGTGGGCGAAACAAAGGCCGGGCCAGCCGAATTCGACCGTAGAAACTTTCGCGTTCGCGAATGAATGCGGCTGCCAGAGGCGCCCAGCATAGGAGATGAAGACCAACTACGAGCCGGCGATCGCGGCTGGTGGAAACTCGAGTTTGGGGAGGGCGATCGATACCGCTTCGAAAACGGAGATTGCGATGGGCTCGGCCTGCGGTTTGTCCTCTGGGACGGTGGATGATCTTCCAATACTCGACTTCGGCTCCGAGACAAGGCTCCCGTGGGAGATGCCGGCGAAGTCATCTGCACCCGACCGCCGGCGGGTGACCACGGCTTGGGATGCTGGGGACGGGAGTACTGCGAGGTAGCGTTCTTCGCAACTGTAACGTCTTCGACCTTGTTTGCCTCAATGGAACGATTGTGCAGTCGCTCACTCAAAGTCAACTTTCCCGCTCGGCCTGACCGGGAGGCCGCTTGTCCACTTTCATGCCCCTGTTGAGCTGGGCCCAGACCCACCTGTGAATCCCTGTAGCTGATGGGGATCTCGGAGAGTTGGCTCGCAGACGCGTCGGTTACGTGCAGCCTCGCAGACACACTATTTTCAACGGAGCTGCGCGGCTCATAAGCATCGCGCTCTTGTGGATGCTCCTGATTGCCAAAATTAGGACTATTTTTACTCTCTCCCCGAGCAGCCTGAAGCAGGCTCTGATAATGCTCCTCGCTATCATTCAACATTCGGACGCTTGCTGAAATTGCGTTTGCCCTTGATGTTGCATCCCAAGCAGTGGTAGAAGTAGACCCTGATGCACTACCAACTTCTCGCTGTACCGCCTTGTGCGACGCAGTACTATGAGTTCCCGCGTTCCCTGGTTGTGGAGAAGTAGCTGCGGCAGGGTCAAATGGGTTTGCCGTGCTCCCGACTTCACTGAAGAACCGTTGTTTCGCCCGTAAAATCTCCTCAGACTTTTGCCGAGCCAAAATCTTAAGCTCCTCGATTTCATGCTCAAGTTGTCGTGGCGCCGGCTCCATTTTTTCATTTAGATATCGGGGTCGAATTGGATATAGAGACAAAACCCAAAACGCATTTCTATCTTTGTACTTTGGTTTATTAATTATCGGTACGCCCCATATAAGGGAAAGTCGCACGTCGATATTTTGAAGCTAAACCTAAAGGTGAAAAATATTTTTAAATCATGCATCTCACCTCGGCCTGATGAGTAGATTTTTTGATTTGGCCAAGCCCTCTATTTGCATGTACTGTTTGGTTTGGGCGCATGGGCTTGGCATTCCACAGCCTTTTGTATCCAAGTGCTCGGCCGTATTTTTCTACTTGAGCTAAAAAAACATACATAGATGTGAAAAGAAAAGGATCCCGCCATTCACAGTGAGTGGCGGAACGACCTGCGCCATTTTTTCATGGACGACCACGACTGTAGAAATTCACTCGCTGTCATCTATCGACACACGCACATCAACTACCACCGAGCGAAAACAACCGAGCGGTCGCTCCTGCCACGACGAATAAACTTTGGCAAAGCAAGTTAAATTCACTTCCGAGGCTGCACAATGAAGATCAACGCACGAGAGTTCTCGAAACACGATCACACAATTGATCTTACCTAGCGAAAAAGAGATTGAAAACACGAACGTTGCTGTTCCCAATGAAAAAGATGAAGCGCTGACTGCACTTCTTCATCACTGCCAACGGCTAGACAAGGGGATCGGGCCAGCATTGTGTGGAAATAGAATTAGAATTAGAATTAGAAGCGCCTGACGAGCTGTCCAGGAGTAGTGGTAAGTCCCCAAAAAGCTCCAAATTCCACCCCGCTTTCTCGAAAACCAAAATCGTCGGGAGACGAAGAAGTACGTCTGACCCAAGCCTACGCCTAGCAGCACTGACGACGTTGTATTGTATGTAAAAAAGACAAGTGAGAAAAAAAGGAGAGATGAAAAAAGAAACACGATAAGCAAATCCTCTCCCTTCGCTTTTTCAGCAGTTGCACTTTGATTTCGCCTTTCATGACTTGCTACATCTGGACGTGCGCTTTCTATACTATGCTGGTATGCTGGAGATTTATCACAAAAGACGCGAGGCCTAGGAGGGCGTCCTGTCGTTTCCCCGTCGTGTCTCGCCCAGCAATAGATCATGTTGCTAGTTTCGCTATGTATAGATACTACTGTCTTACTCGGATGCGGTCTTGGTCTTCACTCTTCACCACATTTTTATGAATGTATTAAATTATGACTAGAAACTCAGTTACTCGTACGTGCTTACTACAGTCAGCGTGCCTTAGGAGCTGCGTTGATGCGTTGTGGTAGTGATCAACATCATCGAATAAAACCGGCACGTCCCGGTCCCGGAGGGAGCAAATGTAATAAAAGCAAGCCCTGATCGGTTAGTTTTCAATACTACACTACGACTACTGATTAATCATTCTGTGAACTCAAAATGCTTACTAAACTATCGGAGAGCATTTTCTAGCACCACACGCACGCCCCAGGCCTTCTTTGTAACATCTCGTGCAAAGGCTACAACCTTTGACGACAAGTCGAGTGCCGTTAATGCACTTTTCGTTGTGGAATGGTCGCCGAACGCCCTTGCGTGAACCTCCATGAGCATGCGCAACTGCAAAGAACCCTCCCCCGGTCTGGCGGGAAAAGCTAAGCTATTCTTTTCCGACCACTCCTGGAAGGAACAGAAAAGTGGGTCTCTTCTGTTATGCGAAAAATCATTCTGCTGCCCTGGCTGGATACTGCGTCCTGCAGACGTTGCATTGTTGAGAAGTGACCCTTTCAAAAAGGTTGGCGCTTGTTGACTTAACACCTCCATCTCTTTGTCCGGCAAAGCCCAGCTCGTCCAATCGTCGTACCTACCGCATCCGCTCTCATCCGTCCGTACAAACACCTGAACGGTGTCTCGCAGCGCTTTGCGCCAGCATTCCGTCACGACAGGCGTGGTATCATTCTTCAAGTAGCTGTGGTCAGCATCAGGTGCATGAACAAGAACATCAGCAGCAGGTGCACAACCCCGTGTCGACGGCGAGCTAGTCTCGGTTGGCAGGGTACCATCCGCTGGCCGGTGAGGAGCCGTCTGGAAAGGTTCCGCGGAACCAGGACGCTCGTCTTGGTCAACCAACAGAAGCGCCATAAAAGTGGAGAGATCCACTAAGGCAAGGGTAGCGTATCGATCCGCTTCCACGCGGCTCGTTGGCACTCCACCCCAAATCGCGTCCTGTGCGTCGAGGTGCAGTACGTTGGGCAGCCGCATCAGAGTCGTATGGAAGCGTCAGGTTTGAAATCGTCAAAGTTGAAATAATTTGTAATGCATAAAATGCATGCCCCGAGGTGCGTGCGTTGCAGAGCAGGCAAGTGAGGCCGATTGTAAGCCTGTTTGGGGTTACAGCTCGAGCTGCTAAAGTAGCATGAGAAAATCACTCTTCTTTGCCTAGACAGCACGACAAACTGGATTTAGGGACCGCCGAAATTTGTCATGCGCCACTTGGAAAATGGGTTCCAACTGGCATCCATTTTATGCATGACAAATTATTTCAACTTTGTCGATTTCAACTCTGACACATCCATAAGTCGGATTCGACACGTGTTCTTGCCAGCGCAGGTTATTGATCGTATTACAATGAAAAATGCCCCCACCCCCGAACTTGAAAGCATTTGTATTGCAAACCTTTCCAAATGAAAAATTCGCCCTCTTGCATGTATCAGCATCACAGATTTCCGATCGCGAATAGCAAAAATTTGTATTGCAAAAGATCCCAGCAAGAGCGGTGCTTGTCATGAAAGCGATGCGAAACACGACTAGAATCTGCATCAGAAAGATTCATACTCCTTTCATGCATGACAAAAAGTTTTCATTTGGAAACTTCGCATCACAAATTTTTGCAACTTTGGGGTGGAAAGCACTTTTCACTGTAATAGATCGCGGGATAGATTTCTCTGCAGCAGTGGTGAACATCCACCTCCACTTCAGCACCGCCACTGCACATGCCCATATGGTCCTTTTCCGGGCGAAAAAAAACGAAGAAACTTCGCAAACTGTAGCCTTCGTTGTCCTGTGCGCACTCCCAAATTTCCCGTCCAAGCTCTTCTTTGAACGCCAGGGAGGCAAACAGAACCTGCTTTGCACCCTCAACAATGCTGCTTGCATCACACAGATTCAGGTAACACAACAACGGCGCCGATGATGCTTCGTCTGCTCTCGTTGTTTTTGCTAACGAGAGCTCTCGTCGTCCCAGGAGAGGTCTACTAGTACTTCTCTCGAAAAGTGAAAGGGGAGACCACCTAGTTCCAACACGAAGAAGATCTTGTCCTTCCAGACCAGGAACAGTGTCGTCCATGTCGTCCCTCTTGGGAACATGTGTTGTTCGCGCTGGTACCGCGAGCGACCGTGACGATCCCACAAGGCGGGTCCGCACTTCCTCACGAATATATCAAGTGTAAAAATGTCTGGGTCTGGAAGAATGCAACTTGTCATGCTGATTTTGGATTATAAAAAAATCTGTTAATTGCATGAGCAGCAAAGAGAGTCCAAGTTTTGCTACACGCAAAGAGCATTTGTCATGCGGTATAGGCATCAGGAAGCCCTCACAAAATCTGTGATGCTAGGGCATGCATCACAGACATCAGGAGTCATGCAAAATGTGCATGACAAACCTGGCAATCTTCCAGACCCAGACATTTTTACATTTGATAGAATAACGGCAGGATCGACGTCCACGTCCGCGCGAGTGCAGAATATCAAATGCAAAAATGTCTGGGTCTGGAAGATTCTGAGATTTGTCCTGCATGTTTTACATGACCCAGGATGTCTGTAATGCACGGCCGCGCGTCACAGATTTTGAGAGGGCTTCCTGATGCCTACTCCGCATGACAAACGCCCTCCCCGCGTAGCACAAACTAGACTCCTCTTGCTGGTCATGCAATACAGATTTTTCTAGAGTTCAAAGTTAGCGTCACAAGTTCCAATCTTCAAGACCCAGACATTTTTACATTTGATACAGAAGGCAAAGAAACGAAACAGGGCAGCAAGGAACCCCGTGTCCGGGAGGAACCGGTCGGCTGCGCGACGCCAAAATTCCCCCGTCACAGGAATTGCAAAGTTTATCCCGACCGTGTTATACCACCACGACATCGCCAGACCCGGGTCCGGTCGCTTCACTCGACTCGGAGAGACGAGCATCTCTACTTCGCTTCTTGAAGTAGCCTCCGCTGCGACATCTTGTTCACTCTCGACGTCGACGTCAAAAGGGCTGCCAGAAGGCGGCCGACTCGTTGTGGACGTTGTCGTAGAAGCGGAAACAGTGCCGCGCCGCCCCCAGTGCCTTGAAGTGCGCGCGTTCTGTATTTCCCAGTACACCATCCAGGTATGGTAGGGCGTGACGGCTTTCGCAGTCCCTAGAGGTGCGTCTGGATCAGAACAGTGACTTGCTGGGCGGCACTGGAAATAGCGTTTGTTCCCATAAGGGGCTAACACCGTAGTAGTGGTTGTGCTGTTGTCTATTGTGTCGCTCACGTTCGTCTTTTTGTTCACCGACTGCATCATTTTTCGCCGCCATTCCGCCGACTTCACCTTGCGCATGTGCATGCGGTACACCAATAATCCCATCGAAGCCAACCGCGCCGGAAAGTACCGCTCCGGCTCCCGTACGGCCAGTGTGGGAAAGAAAAGCGACGCTCCCACGTAGTTGCAGGCTCCGCCAACAGCGTATTGCACCCAGGCAGAGTAGAAGCTGTTGAACTCCGGGGACGCGCGCACTCGCCAGAAGCAGTCCGGCTCGTCAACGCGGCAGTTATACATGTCGAACGGATCGGTAGTAGCGAGGCGCTTCATCACCATCTCGCCCGCGAATGCGTTCCGCCTGCAGGAACGGAAACGGTCCGCGAAAACCATTTCGGCCACGTTGACCATCATCATCAAAGGCGCGGCGCGAAGTTTACGTTCCCAGTGTTGTGACAGCTTTACGCCTGCTGACACATCATCTGTAGCACTCGAGGGATTCATGATTGAAAAAAATTGCTCAGCGTCTGCGCAGGAACTGCTTTTGACACTACCTGAAACGAGAGCTCCACAGTCCGTCGTGTCGTCTAGTTCTGCTAGCTCGTGTTTTGTTGCATGTCGTGTCCACAAATCAGCGTCCACAGGTAAATGATCTGCGAGGGAGGCAATTCCTGGCGTCGCAGTCGAACTCAGACCAGAGTATTTTTTGCCTAACGCAGGGGCGGGGACAGGCCCTCGTACAACCGCCACGAGGCGATCAGCCGAGGAGGAGACAAGGCCCCAAAACGCCTCACGGAGATTCGTCGTGAAGCTTGTTGTGTCTTCACCCGGTTCATGAGATGCTGTTGCTGATGCACGGTAATTATGTCGCTCCGTGTTCTTCGTCGTGGTGTTACCAGGAGACAGTGCGGAAACAGCTGCGATCGTTGGATCACTAGGCGTACTAGAGCCACTACTTCTGTCAAGAACTACATCAGCTGACATCCCGTTGCCAGGGCGCTTCTCGGGAGATGTTGACGAGGACACTTCTGCGTTGATTTCTGGTGCCGCAGGAGCGGCAGAATACACCGCAGTAGAGTTCTTGGCCTGCCGCTGCTTTATCCAGGCTTTCCGTAGGTGCGAGAAGCCGTCCATCGCAGAAGGCACGGTCATCCACTTCAAGACCATGACTACAAAAGTCAGCGAGTTCACCACCGCGTTCTTCTCAAGCATGTTCCAGGAGAACAAAGGCGGCACCTGAAAGCCAGCCATTGTCTCTTCTAGTACAGGCAGAAAGCAGCCAGAAAACCAGTCCCAGTCAGAGTCGAGTGAAGCGACCAACTTCTCATGCAAATGCGACTCCAGCAGAAACCGCAGCCCAAATTCCTGAACACTCGTCTGCTGCGGAAAAAGGTCCGCCTCGTCATTCTGCATCGCGACGAAAGATTCCGCCAGGGAGGTGGAGGATGAAGATCCGTCTCCTTTCGCTGCACGGTTGCGGTGTTTTGATGTTGGAAACCGCAAAATTGGTGCGATCCAGGGCTGCGCGGTAGCAAGTCTCGGGATCATCTCTTCCACAAGATCTAGCAGCTCCTCCTTCAAACTGTCTTCAGAACCTGATTCATCGTCCGCCTGGGGCGTTGCTCTCCCTCCGACCCTTGCTTTTTCTTCTTGCCCTATCTGCTCCAGGAGCGTCGTGCACTCCCGCTTCCTAAATTCGTTTTCCAAGAGAGGGTCATCAAGGTGCGTGTCGGAAAAACTGTGTCGTTGCACACCACGCAATGTGCCATAGTCCGTACGGTTCGCGACCGATAACAGTGCGTTCCCGAGGGTGATGCGCCACGCAGCGCTTCGGGGCACGGCGGCCTCGCTTTCGCTATAGATCAGCGGCCTCGTAGTGCCGAAAACTTGAGCCAAGAAGTCCAGCGCAACCTGAGCATCCGACCTCGCATCGATTCCGCTCATCGTCCACAAGTCTGTGAGCATGAGACCCGCATACCGCTTTGCCTGCAATTTCGTCTTGATCACTGTCCCCCAAATTTCGTCGTTTTCAAGGTAAACCTGATTTGGAACCTGCCGAATCAAAGTCGGCTTCGACACGAAGTCTACCCAAAGCTCAGGTCTAAAACTATCTGGGAAAAAACTTGCAGCGCAGGCTTCCCGCACCGGGATCCGGAAGAAGACGAAAAAGGACCGCAAAGACCTGTGGCCGTCGTGCTCTGGGTTGTTCCTCTTTACCCGGGCGCATTGCCAAATGACCTCGCTCAGTGCGGTCTCGAAAGAGGAAGAGTACTCGAGTGGTCTTGCGCCCTGCTTCAATTCTTTGACAAGACAAACATTCACGTAACAGAGCTGCTCTGGTTCCTTTGCTTCTTCTCGCCGTCGCCACATTTGGCCGGTCTTGTAAAAGCGTGTCGCGCGAACCTCGAAGGTTATCAACCTATCGTACCCGAGGTGGACCACCCAACGCAATAGGACACCGTAGAAGTGGAACAACCGCGGCGACGGGCCAAAACGCGACATCTTGTTCAGAGAGGCAACGTGTCGGAGCGAATGTGTACTTGCACCACCTCCGAGGTTCTCCTTTTCTCGACAAGCCACCTACGACGCCTGACGAAGAGTCCTCCAGAGCCGATTATTTCTTACTGGTGTAGGTACGAGTTGTATCTCTCTATCTTTTCTGCGAGCGCTCAAAAAAAAAACCGAGGCAGGCACACTCGGAGACCCAAAGCGCAAAAAACGGCAAGAGTGTGGCGCGTAACCAGGCTCTTCTTGGTTTCGCTTTTGCTTTTGGTCAACACCAACAGAAAATTTTGCATGACAACGAGCGACACGACCTAGTACAAGGAGATCGGATGATGTAACAAATATCTTGTACTTGAGTTGGCGCAGCTCCGTCTCGCTCTCGCAGCCGTCACGGGAACAAAAGAATTGCAGCCTACAAGGAGTTGAACTTGAACATCCAATGAACCACCAAGAGGTAGACGCAGACCTGCGACTGTGAAAGCAAAAACAAATAAACATCGACTCGCGTCGCTCTCTCCGACCGGAACGGCAAGATTCCCATCTTTCTAGATGATAAAGAAGAATGAATGCTTTAAATTTGAAGAGCTTCATACATGTCATCGAACCTGTGAAATCGAACAGAAATCGTACAGAAGTGTCAACAACGTCCGTGAACGGATCCGTCCGCCAGGGCCCATCGGAATATCGAGTTGTGGTGCCGCTGTCTTTCCTCGGCGTTCAGGTTCAGCTGGGGAATAAATGCTTTTACAACAAGCAACAAGTCAGTGTTCAGCTGGGGAAATACTCGACGTGGTCGAACTTATCGCTGCCGACACGCATCCACCACACGTAATCACTGTCAACGTAGATGGTAGAATTAGCGTACCGATGGCCAAACGCGTTATAGGGTGGGGTTCCGGGTGTGCGGCTGTGTAACAGGGAGAGCCCGATTCCCGGAAAATTTGCCAAATTGAAGTCGTGCCCCGAGGCGTAGTATTGGGTTTTCGCGGCGTATGCGTACATATCCTGCAGGAAGCCCTGCAAGGAATGATCTCCGTCGAGAAACACCACATCTAGGTCTTCCAAGTTGTGGGTGGCTCTCATGCTATTGCGGCGATGAACGAATAGCCCTACGCTGTCACGGCCGACGCGCTGGTTCTCCTCGACGATGAAAGGCCCCGGGATCTGTGTCCGGTACCGTTGGCGGGCACGCCTCAGCAGAATTTGCGGAGTGACTACCGGTTCCGCTGGCTTGACCACTTCTGATGGCGCGGCTTCTCGGCTCGCGATGCTGCTTGTCGATGCTGTTCTTGCAGTGCTCGTAGATGAGATTGCAGATGTAGATGAAGTGCTAGTGCTTCTGCTGTCTTCAAGTAGAACATCATCCTCTACAACGTGCTCTTGTTCTTGCTTGTGATTTTCACGTTGAGCAGCGGCTACGAGTTCTTTTTCAGGATGATCTCCTCGCGATCGTTCATCTTCAGGATGATCCTCGGCTTCAGGGTCGTTGGTCATGGTGGCGAAGTGCGTGAGATTCCTTATCACCGATTCGTAGACCGTGTCGGCCGATTCGGAAACGTCCGTCACTTCGGCCATCAGTCGAAACTCGTCCATTTCCTGCAGCCAGGGGTCCACCAGATGGTACTGAATCAGGATCCAGCCCGGTAGTTGGCATCGCGCGAGAACGTCCATTGTCGTTTTCCCTTGGAAGATGCCGATCTCCGCGACGCGCAGCAAGTACGCATCTTGCATCAGCTTCTTGCGCAGAAACAAAAAGACCTCCTGTCGCAGTTTCTCCATCAGTGCGAAATTCACAGACTCGGCAAGATGTATCGCGACCGGCGTAATCTCGTCCTCTACTCTACTCCGCTCGTCAATGCTGCTCTGCTCCGCCTTGGAAGGAGGTAGAGAATCACCAACATCTTCGTCTTCGTTAGTACCGCCTCTTCCTGTTCGACTGCGTGCGTCCGGATCATTTTTTCCGTCGTCGTCGTCGTCCGGTTCACGTGCGGCGCCCTTGTTCTCTTGTTTAGACAAGAAGGTTTGCAACTGGTTGAGGCGGTGCGCCACGTTGCGCGCTTCCTGGCCAAATTGCTCGAGAATTGGCCTCGCCGAGTACCAGTGCTCAATCGGAACATACTCCAGCGGGGCCCCGCCTTGCTGGTTCTCCCGCCCCTGGTCCTGCTGCTTCGCAAAAAACCGGAGTCCAGCTAACACGGCGTCCATCGCGGTGTCTAGGCTGAATTCTCCATCTTCGTTTGTACTGATCTGAAAATCTCCCTCGAAGATGCCACCTTGGTCGGCGGAGCGCGTGCGCTCACTCAGCAATGTGAAGTCTTTCGGTGTGGGGTACAAAATCCACTGTCGGGTCTTCTCGAGGAGACGACCGAACAGGATCCGCTTTTCTGTGACCGCCTTCTGGAGCAGGGTGCAAAGGACCTCAGAGGCCTTTGTTACGCGTCGGTCCGCCGCGCCCCGTGTGCGCTCGCGCGGAAGATCAAACATGTTGAAGCCGGACCGCAGGTTTTTGCCGGTCGGCAGTAGAAGATCATGCCCCGATCTTCTCGCATGATCCGGCGGCTGCGCAAAACGAACGCTGCCGTAAGCCGCCAAATCAGTTTTAATTACGGACACAGCTGGCGGTGCCGCTGCACTTGTTTTATCCGCTTCGGCTTCGCTTGCTGCCGATGCCGCGGGCGACAGGTAACCGAACGTTTCCTCTGCGTAGTGTCGTAATTCCAGAGTTTCAATCAGCGTGTCCCAGTGCGAAAGGAAGTTGGCCGTCCATGCATGCCACACGTCGGCGACTGTGTAGATTCCGGTGCGGGGGAATCCCGACATTTCCACCAGTAATCGGTCTTCCCCACTGGCCTCCAGAGCGGCTAGCGTTTGCACACGGCTCCCAATCACGCTGCCACGAACAGCCTCCTCCTCGTCCCGTCGCAGGTCCATCAGAACGTGCCGAACCTCTTGAAACGTCTCGCCGCCCGCAAGCACCTCGCGATAATCGGCGGCTAGGGGAGCTGAGTGGTGCTGTTGTAATTTCAATTCTACGTCGCTTTTTAGCCTGGACGTGACATCAGAAACGAACGCTCCTGTGGCCTCCCCGTTGCGCCGAGCTTCCTCGCTAGTAACTGTGCGATCTCGGACCGGATTCGTACCAGCTCCAGCGCCGCCCGCGGCTATACTTCTCGTCCTCGAGAATGCAGAGCGCGGCCACCGTTCGCGAGGCAGCAAACTCAAAGAGGGCGGAGGGCGCCTGCCTTGTGGAGATTTTCTAGTGCCCGTACGTTGTACATTATCATTTCCAAAGTTACTGCGTTCCGCATCTTCGCTCAGGTCCTCTGAGGACGGCGAAGCAAATTCGGAGTCTGCTTCGTCGTCGTGCCCTAAAAGCTTTTTCCTAAAGCCCGGTCCGTTGCGGTCGTCGCTGTGTTCCTCCGCATACCCGAAATTATGCACCACTTCGCGAACAACGTCATTCTCTTCGTCAACCAGAAGCGTGCCTGTCCCCCCGTAGACGGCGTCACGTGGTGCTATGGAGCTCTCAACAAGCGTTACATTGATCCCTGTTGCATGCCTTGTGTATGTGCAAGAATACTAGCAAAACTGCAAGGGAAAGCTTGCCGCGGGTCTTGCATTTAAGTATTTACAGATTATTTGACATTGGCAAAAATTTCGGTGCTATGTGGTGCGTGGAGAACAAACTTGTCGTGCGAAGTAGCTTGATCGACGTGTCGTGAAGGGTTAACGTCAGTGAAGACTCTGACTCTGCACGACATCAAATCATGTAACAGCGATCGATGTCGCGTTTGAGAGTTCCATAGGTGCCGACACTTCGCCTCGGGCTTCCTCCAACTGCTTCTCGATGTCGCGGTCTTCGCGCCACTCCTCCCACGCTTTCAAGTGCTCACTCACCCAGAACAGTGGCGCCTGGCGCTCGATTGACTCGTGCATCGCGTAGGTGCAATTTCTTGGCAGAAAAACCGGCTGCGGCAGCACGTGGGTGATGTTCTGCGTAGACGACAAAATTCGGTGCTCCCACAGATAATGCCAGGGATCCCGCTGCAGAATGTCGCGCATGCTCCCTTCAAAGCTCTCCTCTTCCTCTTTCTCCTCGTTGTTGCTTTGTTCCACCCCGTTGTGGTCCCCTCCACCTCCTTGGTTGCTTTCTGAACTTGCCTGTTGCGCAGGCTCCACTTCAGCATCTCTTGCTGCTCTACTAAAACTGGGTCCACCGTCTTCCCGCAGGTGGTGTTCGTCTGGACTTGTCATTTGCGTGGAAGAACTGGAGGTGGCTCCAGCGTCTGCAGCGGCTCTTTCTGGTGCAACTTCTACCTGCGCCACTCGAAGTACGGAAGCTGGCTTCATCCACCCTTTGGGTTCGAGGAGCACTCCCATGTTTCCCAGAAACGTGTCGTCCCCACGAGATTCCGTCCATAGGCGCGTCCAGAGCTGCTCGGCACTGCACCGACTTCGCCCAGCACCGAAGGCTGGGTGGAACTTCGGCTCGCAACGGTCGTGCAGTGCCTGAAGATCCGTAAAAATGATACGATGCATGCGCTCGCAAAGGCTTTTCAACGCCAGGGCTTCCTGCATAACGCAATGCGGAAAACTTCTGCCATCCCGAACCCACTTCGGAGATAGCTCCAGGTCTGCGCTCCAAAACTTTTGGTGCGTGCGTAACCAGAAACGATAAGACGAAAGCACTTCCTCACACTGTGGGATTACGAAGTCGTAATCATGGTTCCTCGGCTTTCCACCGCCCTGCTTAGCGGAATTTCCGCCGTCGCCCTGCTCGATATTCCCATCGGAACCGGAAGATGGAACCGTGGGCCGCGATGCCACCACGGCAGGAAAGAAGAACTGCTGCAGTATAGCACCAGCAAAGCCCGCAACTAGCTGCAGTACCAAATATCCGGCCGTTGGCCTCGATGGTGAATCCGCTCCGCGCATCCTCATCTGCGTATCTGTGTGGGAAATATCAAGCACTTCTGCGACAACTAAAGAATTCCAGGCTTCACTTTTTTAAGTGCGAGCCAGCACGCTTCTGCAAGATGACACGAGATTAGCAGCCTCCGCGGGCCATCGGCATGCTCCTATCTTTACGATTACGTTGTTGGTATTGCTAGTATTTACAAACAGCATTGCCAGAAGATTTGAGCGGTTGTCTTTGATGTGTATGTGAATGCAACCAGCACCACCACGACACAACACGAATGAAACTGAGACCAGATAAATCAAGAAAACGATTCACCAACACGAACAAACAAGACAACAGAAAAAAAAAAAGTCGTTTGCATGGATCTATTTTCTTCAGATATTGTTTTTTTTTATACATCGAAAAAATAAGAAGCGTCAAGTACCACGAGCACGAGGCACGGAAAAAATTAGGAGGAAGCTCGATCCCTAGTACGATTTACACTATGAGCAGAATGTCGGTGTGAAAGGAGCAACGTGGTACTGTGAAAATGCTGGTAGCACAGAGGAGACTCCTACTCTTCGAACACTCAACATGCACAAGCTTCTTGCGAAGCTGCATTGCGAAGCGCCACAGGCTAAGCGCCGGAGGATATGCAAAAACTTCCTGCGCAAGAGGATATGCGCCATCTGCATTGCGAAGTGGAAGTAGTTTCATCGTGGCAAGGTATTAACTCTTCACTGTGTCTGGAAGCGTCCCAAACTTCGATACAAACATCACCTCCTCTCCTCCGGTGCTCGGATTGCGAATATACGCGGATCTGGCGTGCTTCAGAAGCCAAGCTGTTATTTGCATTTTGATTTTCGTTTTTGATAATAATTTCCTCGGCAATGAACAATGAATATCCGAGAGCACCATGCGCAAAGCCGAAAGCGGTCCTCAACACACAGGCGTCGTGAATGCTCGACTCTTTTGAACATTCAGCGGTCAACAATTTGTTAGTGCTACAACTAACAACACTTTTTTGCTGCTTACCAGCCGACTTCACTCCGGTGGGGAGAACGGGCTGAAGGAGGAATTCCAGGTCTTTCTGGTACCAGATTGGTGAGAGCGCGAAGAGGCGCTCCAACCGGGCCCGACTCTCGTCGGGCAACAGTTCGAGTTCTGCACGAATCACTTTGTCTCGAATCACGAAAAAAGGTGGCTTGATGTGGTCGCGCGTCAGCTGCATCTCGAGAAAGTCGACTGGAAGCTGCTCTGTCCACTTAGTCAGAAAATCGACAAGCGGTACTGAGGTGGCCTGCGCTGTGTCGAAAATCTGACGTGCCAGGATACGCAGCACCTTCGCAGTGTCGCGCATATCCAAGGAAAGACGCCACCACAGTCACACTTTTGCAAGTTTCGCATCTTCAGAAAAAAATTGTCTGGCGTGATAAAGTTTTCTTCTTGTATATTTGCAAACTGAAAAGTTTAACAGAAATCGCGTAAAATTAGTCTTGACTTTGGGGCATTTTTGCGCATGAGGACAAAGTTTTTTTCTTTGCAAAAAAAAAAAGTGCAAAAATGAATGTGATTCGTGCTTTTTTCTGGCATAGCGCAGGAACGATTTGCAGTCCCCAGTCATTTCGTCCTCCTGTACGCAGACGGCACGCAGCATGGTGGCCACCATCGGCTCGGTCACCAGAAACTCCAGCTCGAATTCGTACTGAAATCCGTACACACACTTGTCTAGGTGGAACGTTTTCTTCTCCTGGTCCATGTACTCCTCCGAGCTCTGCATCCACAGTAGCGTTTCCAGTAGCTTTATGCAAGAAAAAAACTGTGTAAGTGTAACTCTGTAATGCAGAACATGCAATAGGGTTACGCCTGTCATGCCAGACAGCCATGAAGTCCTCCTTTCGTGTGTGTTTTCCCTTACAAGCCACGCATGACAGGTTTTCTCTGTCATGTGGAGCAAATTTGTGATGCTGTCAGCCAAAGAAAGGTACACTAACACAGTTTTTTTCTTGGATAAGCTTATCGTGTGCGGCGGTGTCCAGGAACTGGTACCCCTTCCCGGCGGTCCGCACGATCTGGGTGCTGGCCCGCAGCACCTCCTGCAAGGTCTCGTCGTTCATGCTTAGCCGGTACCGCAACTCCTCCCCGGTGCAGTACTTTTTCAGGTTGGATTCGTAGCCGGGCATCCAGAAGCAGGGGTATTCCTTCTCAAGGAGTCGCCAGACTTCGGAACGATCCGGGGTTTTGGGTCGGAGCAGCACGATGTCCTCAAAACCCGTGAAAATTTCCAGTCGCTTCTTCCTTTGTTCAACATCCACTACGCTACTAGTCGAGGATGCAATCGGCGGGACACCAACTGCCGAAGACGATGACAGTGTCGCTCCGCCTCTTGTTCCCGAGGGGGGGCCGGGCAGGTTTCCGTCGGGAGCCCCTGTACCTTGTTCTTCCAAGGCAAGGCTGCCAGGATCGGGCGCAGATGCCTTCAGTCTTTTCGGAGCGGGACCGGTGGCGATGGACGAGCTTTCCCGATTGTCGGCACCTGTGCCAAGAACGAGCGGAAAAACAATGGAGAGCAAGCTTGTTCGGTACTGTAGTAGCTAAGTACCAAGGCGAGCCAGACAAAACATAAAGAAGAAATCGAATCAACAGGGATACAAGTGCACCTGCTTCGCAATGCCCGAAAGTAAAAGAAAGCAGCTGCAGCTACAGGCAGCTGCAGAGAGAATAAAAAGAAGTCTGTTTGTTTGTCCATCCGAGATTAAGTAAAATTAAATGCCATTCTAAACCTTCTAAATTCAAACATCATTCGTATCTAATTTATTACAGTTTTCCTCTGGAGCTGTACCTGACGAAGCGGCTGACTGTGTCGGTCTACTCTCCCCGACTTTGATCAGTAGCTGCGAGTTCGAATTTTTGAGTTGGTACAAGGAAAACTGCTTTTCGGCTGTCACCAGTGTGGCGGCATCGTCCCGCATTCCCACCAAAACCACCTCCTGTCGGAGCTTCGGAATGCAGTCCGGAGCTCCGTTCAACAGCAGTGCGGCTTCCTCGTCTTCTGGTGCCGCAGCGGAGCTCCGCCCCCGGCTGCCTTCTGCTCCTGCATCGGCATCTGCCATGTCGACATCGCCCAGAGAAGATGCGCTGTTGCAGGGCGTGGTCTCTTTCTTGCTTATGTTTCTTTGCGACGTCGACGAACACGCTGGTGCGCTCTGGTGCGACAGCAGCTTGTCTAAAATTTCCGTACTTACTTCAAGCATAAAGTGATCCGCAGAAAGTGGCCGGAAGTCGTTCGCGTAACCAAAGGACACCTCGGACACCTTCTCGAGGTAGGTGCACGAACTTATCTCCGCACTCGTCATTGTATTTCCATTCAATATCGGCACTTGTGGAGTAAAAGCTGACTAGCTTGTTACAAGGAAAGACGCTCCCGAATGGGCGGCGGAATGTGAAAAATTCACTAGTCGTGTTGGAAGTGTACCACCCTCGGTCGATATGAAGAGATAGAAGAACCAAAAGCTACGTGCTGTGTGAGTTTGTGTGTCATAGCCATCCCTAATGCATCATATGATCAAAATACCATTATTTATACGTCACAGCAAACAAGTACTACTTCACTAGTATCTATCTTCAGCAGGCTCAATATCAGTTTTCGATTTAACATTGAGGGTCTCAAATTCAGATTATGATTCAAATTCAATGTATCTACAACACACCACGTATTAAGGTCCAAACTTCACTGAGTGTTCAGCACCTCGGTTATTCACCTTCAACAGGCTGACACCGTCCGATAAATATCTCCGGATATTACGCGGCAACAAGGCAAGAAATCCAAGCAGGATATTCGCGTACCTACCCTGATAGTAGGAGTAAAATGGCACTGGCTGTGCTAGAAGATCTTCTACTTCTACTAGACAGACGAACTGGCTAACAACAAACTGGCTAAAGACAAACGGGCTGAGATGCAGATCTTCACTGATATTGGGAAGATCACGATTGTACTAGAGCTAGTAGCCGTCAAACAATCATGTTTGATGAGCAATTTCGTCAACTGCCCCCATTTTTTTTTCCAAAACTATTGACGTTTGCAGCAGAAGACTGGCCAGTAATACACCAAAATTGTTCACACGGTGACTTCTACCTCGTCACTCCTCTTCCTTTGTCTGCTTTTCGAAACACAAGAAGATATCATCTGCGTCGGCTTCACGTTGCATTCACGACACGCCCAAGCAACGCATGTGCAAGCATATCTTCGCGCCAATATCAAAATCTGGCAGTACCATGATGATCGCAAAATGAAGTCGAAACCTGGAGCAGAATTTGTCGGCTGAGGCATCGCATAAACTTTACGCTTTGAAGTCAAATTGAAGTCGTGTGGTCGCACAAATTGAAGTCCTCCGACTTGCGCGGAGGTCCAATTCAGTTTGGCAATAATATTATGGCCAACGAGCACGCGTAACTGTATCCGAACTTACGGACCGGAAAAAAGTTGTTCTTGTTCATCTTCTAAGTATCTGAATAGACGCAGACGCTATGGTGCGTTATGATTCATCTATACGCATCTATTTCTGCCTAGTAAGTATTAACATGATTACCAAAGACTGTACGTTTTCGCCGATCGAGCTGAGCCCGAAGTATTCCTCGCACAGGCACGCATGAACGTCACCAGGCAATATTTCTTGCGCCGATGTTCAATCATCCCGCCTGTTGCATTAGCTGGCGTGGGTGTCGTGATGCAGATGCTTCTATTGCAGCGAAGAGTAATCAGCCTGCTTCTGCACACTGGTACTGTAAAACTTGTTAGTCACAGCATCTTCGAAAACTAACACAAAATCTAGAATCAAGAATTACACTACAGCGTTCTTGCAGCAGCTGGTGTAGATTGATAGTGCATTGAACTCTTTCCGAAAAGTAAAGACTTGACTGCAGCGCACCACGCATGGGGTATTGACAAGCACGACGAAGGACGTGGTATTCTAGGTCGCCTATTCGTGAATTTCCAGCCCACTCTCTGCTGCTGCAAGAAGCGAGCCATCCTTTGTTTCGAAGGACGTGGATCGCGGGGGAAGCGGTTCGTCCGTCCACAGCTCCGCGTGACCGTCTTCTGCGCAGGCACGCCACGAACGCTTTTCTTGCATACAACGCATGACCGCGTCGTACCAGAAACCCCTTTTCCCAGGTCGGAGGTCGACAAGCGGAAAGTAGTACACACGAAACCGGCTCTCGGTCGTGTCAAAGATTGGCAGCCCGAAGTTGCCGCATCCGTGCATGCCCCAGCCTGCTACCATGTAGCCGGCCCTGTGGTCGCTGTTCTTCACATTACAGTGCACGTGGCCCATGATGTGGCGCACACGCGGAGTAGCAGTTGCGTCGATGGGTCGACCACGTGTGGCGCTCCAACTCGGTGTGCCGTGCTCGGATTCTGCCATGTTTTTCGGCTCCTGGTGGCTTTGGTCACCGTCGGCGCGCAGGCCGAGGTCAGCGTAGTGAAATTGCTGGCATTCGGGCACGGTGTCTACCATCCGCTTGGCAACGTCAGAAACGGCCATGGAGAGCGAGTGCTCCCGGTTGCAGCCGGAATTGCATATGTTCCAGTGGCCCAGCACAAAAAGCGTGTGCACTGTCTTTTCCGCCAGGGCAAAGCTGCATGCCTCCACGAACCGATCGCGGAGCGACTCCCACGAATACAGAGCCGAGTACCCGACAAACAGCACGTTGCCCATCTGCGTGTAGAAAAAGGTGTTGTCTGCGTGTGTGGGGTTGCAGCCAAGATACAGTGGATGACCTGCGGTTGGATCAATCGAAAGGTTGTACGGGAGGATCGCATCGCTCCTGCTAGAATTGGTCCAGTTGTCGTGCAGCCTCGAGGAAACTTGCTCAAATCGCGGGCGTTCGCTCGCAGAACGTCTGCTGGTACGACCGCGCAGCTGGTCTGGGACACTGGCCACAACGTCCTGTCCGTAGTACTGAACGAACCCGTTGCCACACTGGTCGAACGTGGTACCGACGGTAGGGCTCCCCAAAACCCAGTAGTCGTGATTTCCGGGTACCGTCAGAAACACCTTGCTTCGCGTGGCGTCGTCCAGTTGCGAGAAAAACCACTCTGTGGCATCGCCCGTGCGGTCGTAAAAATTGTCTCCCAGAATCCCCCAATAGCTCACGTCCGGCATACTTCCCACAAAGGTCCGCAGCAGCGTCGGCGTCCTCTGCGACAGACGAAATTCCGGTTCGTAAATGCAATCAATTAGAGTGGTGATGGAATCCGCAACGAAGCAGGGGTCCGCGATAAACACGCCCGTGATCCCCGCCCCCTGCGCCGGCAACGGCGGCAGGTCGACGCCAAGAAACGATGCGCGGCCCTCGTCGCTGATCGACGCAGCTTTCGTCTTTTCTTCTCCATGACGAGGAAGACCAGCGCGGGTAACTCGTCCACCAGACTTCGTTTCTCCTTGATTTTTCATGAGAACGCGCACGGCATCCGTGCGGCTGCGGTCGACAATCTCAGAATGCAGATAATTCTGCGTCCACGCCCATTTGAATCTCGATGCGTAAGACTGGCCTACGATTGTTGTTCCTGGTTCAACCTCGGTTTTCAGAGATGATGAACCAGCGTAGTACACATCTTCATTCGTTGCGCTTCTTGCAGTGGCTCCTTCCCCAGCTTTTGACAGAAGTTCGATCCGCAAATCCGATGCATTCTTGGTGATTACGGAAACGCGTAACTTGTTGTAACCCCGCGATGCCATGGCTTTCGTCACGCGCACATTCCACAAACCGTCCTGCTTGACCTGCTTGTCGTGCACCCCGTCGCTATCGATCCTTCGCCGTTCGGCGGACACAGTAGTTTTAGTTGCTGAAACGTCATCACTTCCATCCTCTTCTGCCGTGAGCTCCTGCTTTTGCGAAGTTCTCCACCAAGGGCTTCCCCCTCCCGTGTCCGTGTCTAGAAAGACTGACTGCAACCAGGAGAGAATAGAGCTGCTAGACGCGACCAGAGTGTCGTGCCACCACGATGCCAGACCCGGCCCTATTCCGCCTCCTGAAGAGTTTACTAGAATGCGTCGGCGAGATTCGATCGAACGGGAATGCACTCGCTCCGTCTGGCTTACAGAACCAACTACATCGCGCTCTTGCTGAGACTTTCGCACGGGGTTGTCCAATAACACCCGGCGGCTGCGCTCGGCGTGAGCTTCTGCAGTGCAGTGCGTGGCAGCGCACGTGCGCGGATCCAACAAGCCGCAAGCTCCAAAATGCGTGCAATTGCCCGTCCACTCGACGTACCGGCAAACGCCACAAATCCTTTCCTCAAATTTTGCCTGTAGCACACTGTTGTCGTGGTTGTGCAGGGACACGCGCAGGTCTTCCGAGGTGCCGGTGGGATCCGGGGCCGTGCTGGACGAAGAACCCCCTTGGGCCCCCAAGGCCCGCGAAAGACTCAGCACCGACGTTCCCAAAGATATCCGCACACAAGCATCGCTATACCGCCTTCGACAAAACATCGCAGAAAAAAGGGGAAAACGAAAAAGCATCATGATCATTTTCGGAATCGGATTTTTAAGCAATGAGTATCAAACCAGGTCCGGCCTTTTTTCCATGTGCGTGCGGCTCGTCTCGGCACCGCGTGGACGCTCCACAGAATGGTGATTCGCTTACTTATTTCGTTTTTTCCATCTCGCGGAGCTTTTTCTGGTGTTTCACTGTATATCAATATCTACGTAGATGCGCAGTTAAGCATGATTTCATCTTTCGCCGGAAATTGCAACTGGCAACTACTATAAATTTGTACTTTTTTATGGGTGATACTGAGTGCAACATGATGTTGAGGCCCTGGGGATTCGGTCATTGAAAGCCAGATACGCCACTGAGTAGCGCGCGGGTGCGTGTCGGGGAACTGCTACTGGATCGTAGAGGAGCTGGAGCTGCAAGTGTACACTACAACTCGCTCACATTTGATAAAATGCAATATTGCACGTGGAACACTCTTGGCCACGGATGTATAGAATGCCAAAGGGAGGTGGGACTTTATTTCGTATTTCTCTAAACCTTGAGTAGTTGAGACATGTCGCATTGTCAACCCAATGGGAACATGTTGGCATGCCGTGGAACACTGCTCTTGGCCACAAGTTCAAAAAACGGCAACGCGTGTGCCGCTGGCATCGGGAATTTTAAGTGTTCGTGTGCTACTCTCGACATTCCGCTGACACTGACAACCACAGAAAACGGAACAAATCCTAAAACATCTCAAATGCGTATTTTGGACACGATAGGCAATTGGTATTAAACATGAACGCAACAACCTTGGTGCGTCGTGCCTGCATCAATCGATCCTTCACGAACCCGCTGGTGTAAAGCAGCAGGATCAGGATGAAAAAGCTACTAGAAACCACTAATTCTTGCAACAACATTTACTGCTACGGTTAATACGGTATCTCTATCTTCATCATGAACTATGACTCGTTTTCGATCGACCACTCACAAATAGAGGCACAGGAGGGGAGCATAAAGCTCCTCGCAGTATATCAATGCTTCGCTCCCTTTCGCTACAACAATAGCACAAAAGATCAAAAACCTAAAGATACAAGTAATACGCGCGAACGCGAAGCAAATAAAGAAGAAGAGAAAATAAAACTGGATGAGCGCGAATAAACTAAAACCACTCCCTAGCTGGAAATTGGAAAGGGTCCATCCGGCGCACGAGCTTGCTCACACTTTCGATGCTGCCCCTGGCGCAAAGACAGCCCAACCATAAATGCATGCCGTACTTCTGATTATGAAGACCACTAGAAGAACAAAAACAAATTCTTACTGTAGTAACGACTTACAGTTACATTTAAGATTCCAATGGCTCAGCGCCAAACCACATCTGTAATTACGTTGGTCTACCTCTGTATCAAAGAAACCCGTGAAGAAGGGCGAGAAAAAGCGGGGGGCCAGTAAGCCCCGCGTCTCTATGACTCGCAGAGTGAGAAACACAGCTTATCCTGATGTTGAGAAGACGACAACTATAAGCGCAGCGTGTTGAGAGTTGAGTATTTACTGCCATTTGATTTTGTTTTTGACTGCATCATACATATAAATTATACGAACGAAGAAACCCTTAAACTCGATACTCAAATTGTTCTCAGTGCTTTTTATTTGCGCTAGCTTGCGCAGGGCAAACGTTAGACTTAGACCTCAAGGCCAAGGAATCACATATATAGCACTTTGAGTTTTTCTGTGCCTTTCATTTCAAGTTCAAGAAAGATAGTGAAGTATCAAGACAAATAATTATATTATACACAAACTGAAGCTGAATTTTAGCATGAAATACAGGGTTTTTTTGAGGAAATTATAATATACGCATTTCAATCCAGTAGTGCAAAACGGATGGTGCCGTTTTGTACTTTTCAGCAGGAAACGTCATGACGCTTATAAATATATAAGTGCAGCGAGCTGTTTTCTGGTACCCACGTATTGCTTGACGTTTGTGGATGTCTAGGCTGCAACAACTTCGACTAGATACGAGGTCAATACGGTGGCCTCCTCCCATGTGCCACGATCGCCAGAGGCAGAGCTACGCCTAGCTATCCCAGGCTCACGAATTGTGGACATGAGACTTCTCTAGCGCACTTCTCATTCAAAAAGTCTTGTTAGTACTAGTCATTTTATCAAATTGAAATTTGTAGCCGGTACCTTTGTTGTATCTGTTGAGAACTCCATCAAGCACGACGCCAAGTTTTGCGGACAGCTGCTGCGTGCTCATACTGCAAATTACAGAATCGTGATTTTTTGCAAAATCTCGCTGTTGGTTGATGAAGGTTTCAAATTTGTCCAGCACGGGGTGCGTTTTGGACAAAATTTTTCTGTGCAACAATAAAACAGCCATCACATTGCTGCAAGCGCCGCAACATCACGAATTTGTGTTGTGTTGCACAAACTCAAACAGAAGGCCTAAAGAGGACAATCGCAATAAATCTGCATGACTGTGATGCGTTTTTGCGCACGGCAGAGTTTTTGCATTGCAAGCATAGGCGTGTTGAAAGTCGACGAATGTGATCGCGATGGTGTTTTCTTGTTGAATATTTTCGGTCTGGGTGGTAATAGGCTGTCTCTCCTTCATCGGTCTGGAACCACTTCCAGTCTGGGGGTAGCTTCGCTTCTGACGCAAACTCGGCAATCCACCTGTGATTCAGATAGAAGTCTACTTTGTCGTATTAATCGTAAAGAGAACATCAGCATACACTTAGAAAAGAAGACGGGCCACCGTCCTAGTTGCTCATCTAGTAGCGGAAATAACGCAAAGAAAAACGACAACGAGATAGAATAAAGGCACGCAGGACTACATAATAGATACAGCAGGTGCTTTTCGGTTGCGATATCAATGCCGATTATCCTGGCTGCCGAGAGCACTGCTGCCTCGCGGCGACGCACCTCGGCTGGGTCTTCCAGTCGCCTCCTCACTTCTGGCGCCATTTTTCCAAACCGTAACCGTGGATGCGCAAGAGCAAGCTCCGGCCCCGGTCTCGGTTAAGTACGTAATAGAGATCAACAGAACTCAGATAACAGCTCCGAGAAAAGAGGTAAGTAAGTAACGCCACCTAACGCAGCACTGCACTCGTCTCGTCGACCATCAAGCCAAAAATTGCAATTTAATGATATTTTCTTTTTTTACAATGCAGCTTGCGATGTCAAATTTCCTAACGCACTGGCGATGCAAGAAACCGTGCCAGTGCAGCCGAAACTTCTACCCATCCCGGCAGCTAGTAGTCCTCATCCTCAATGCTCTCAGTCACACTCCTTTCCTCTCGCAGTCCCTCGCTCTCGGACGAGAACGAGTGCCGAGCTCGTGTTAATATTTTCATGAAAAATATGAATCAATGGCTTAGCATCGCTTCTCCACCCATTTTCTAGTCTGCAACCTGGCTCAATATTCCCTTGTGGCCTGCTTGCCCGCTACCTAGTTCCGGCTTCATGCGCATTCTCTATTCATTTCACTCAATCAGAACCTAGCTAAAAAAGACTCTGGCTCGATAAACCGGCTGAGCAAGGACAAAATTTGTGTATACCTCAGGTAGGACGAAGCGGAGATTCAAAACTCCCGCCTGACCTTACAAAAATCTTGCGAGAATGCGTAAACAAATTGCGCACGAGCCTGCACGACTTTTTTGCAAAACAAGTACTTACTTAGTACGGCCGGGCTTTTTCAGACAAGCCGCGCAGCAAGAGCAAGAAGCTGTCCAGCTTACCGCCACGCCAAGACTCACTTACACTTCTTTTTTTTTGGTTCCAAACTGAAATACATCGTCGACAATCTGCACGGTTCCAAACTGACGGAATCAAATGTCAAAGAAATCATCAAAGAGAGCGCATCAAAGAATCATTAGTATCAGAGCACTTGACGCGCTCGCGCAAAAGAGACATATTTGACTTATTTTTGACTCGTGCTTCACAGAGCAGTAAATCAAAATCGCATGCAAAAAGTGCCAGAATGGTTTCATCCTGATGCTCTGCATGCTTGCTCCAAAATTCGAAAAGTTTCATGATTTGCATTTCTCAGGAGTGTATCATGAACATATGTAGCATCTGAATGTTTGAGTTTGCAAGCCTTTCTCTTCGGCGAGAGCCAAGCGATCTTCCTCTCTTGTAACTTCTGCAAGTGTCAGTTTGTCTTTGTTCCTATTGCGAAGTCCGCATTACTTAGATCGGACGCGTCCCCGGCTTCCAGGCCCCGTTCGCCCCGACGTAGGCAGTAGATCCGGGCTGGCCCGTATGGTACGAAAAAAAGTGTCTCGCTGTTACTGTGGTTGTGGTGCCCGTGAGGTGTTGATAGTCATGATTTAGATTTTGGTTTTGCAGGATCTGCATACAAGTACACATTTGTGCTGATCACAAGGAAATTCAAATTTTCGCTTTCCGATAAAAACTTTCTAGTAAGGCCGGAGATGAACATACCGATACGTAACTTAAAGTGCCCCCTTTTGCAGTTCATTGTGAGACTATCATTCAAAGCTTCCCCTTCATGAATTGCTGTAGTGCATCCTCCGCATCACAGTTTCACAGCGACGCAGTTTTTTCCAGCGTAGCCCTTCCAGTCCTCATAGTAGGTGACCACGTCCTTGAACTCGTTGCCCGGGTAGCCCCGCTCCAGAACCTATGAACTGCAACCAGCAGGTCTGGGGCTGAGTGTGATTCTGGAAAAACGCACAGCTTGCGCTCGTCGCAAACTCTGTATCTGTAACTGTATGAAATAGCATGACAGCTAGTAGATCTAAATAATAGTCCCACTCCAGATCCAGCCCGGACCTGAGTCAAAATTCCCCGGCGTAGATCCCTGTAGCAAACGATATCCCACTTGTTCTGCACAAAGCACCCGGGGGGCGGAGCCTTGAAACTGAAGGGCCCCACCTCAATGTTGTGCTGCTGCAGCTCCAGCGGGGAGAACCCCCAGCACATCTTGTAGTCATCCTCGTCTCCACTGGTGCTGATTCCAAAAATGTACTTCTCCTCCTTTCCGTCCACCGTGGCCTCCGCCTGCTGCGGGTTCACGAATCCCTGGAACTCCGCGACCTCCATGTCGTCGTCCCCACAGGTGGACGTGCCTTTGATCAGCAGAAGCCGGTTGGAGTTGGCGAATCCGGTCCCATACACATTCACTGTGCAAAACCGCCCGATCGTACAATCTGCGGAGAAGTCCACGAAGGGCCCCTTCATCTCGAATATGCCGACCTCAGGGTAGTTTCAGGATTGATATCAGGACTTAACTATGTATACGCACAGCTTTACCACGAGTGAAGACTAAGCGACCGACAACATGCGGGTTTTTTTATGCCTTGAAATTTCGACTTTTTGTTAGCCCTCATATTGCACTTGTTCACAAGCAGTACGAAGTTGGTTTGTTTGATACATCGCGCTATACTCCAAATTGAAATTGTAGTTCGTACAGGGAGATTGTGATTGAAATGTCTGTGCATTTCTCCTTGAAAGGAGGATGCGAATGCGCCACCGACGCGCACCAACATATACGAAGTATTTCCTTGTTGTTCGAAATAGCGTGACCCCGCAGCACTGGCTGTGAGGTGGCTGGTCTATTCTAGTCTTCATCTGCTGAAATCTTAATTGCGGCTGTGGGACATACAAAAGGGCACGCACACATAAACTGAAACACAAAACAACGCTGCATCGAGTACATTGAAAATTGTGCCGAGAGAAGTTGATACCTGTGTAATATAGCTGGTCACACCGGTTTGGGGACTGTGCGACCAGCACAGCTTGTAATGGTCCCCGATACATGTATTAGACGGGTCGTCGATTATATGGAGCAGAAAAGTCGCCTCGATGCCATATTTGCGCGTAATTTGTTGCCGTTATCAAGGACAGCATGAAAGCCCCTGCCGCACCGCTTCGATTGCGCAAACCTGCACAACTGTTAGCAACCACCCGGCCTCGCGGCCCGATTTCTGCCATTAGTTCTTTTCGGTTTTTCTTTTTTTAGGCCCCGGTTGCTCTGCGTCCCAGAGTCTGCAAAACCATGACTGACAAGTGGCGGGGACCGTAACCCTTCTTGTCGTGGTCGGCCGTTGCTAGTGCTTACCCCTACGAACAACACAGCTAGAACACAGCGGCCTCGTTTGGCGCAGCGCACGATAACCGCGGAGGAGTCAGCTTTTTAACAGTTGAAGGGGTCCACTTACGTTAAAGAGGCGGGGCGGCCAGCTCCTGCCGCCTATCCCTACGCGGATGGATAGACCTACAAAAAATAGAGGGAAGCCAGTCCCAGACCCAGTCCCTGTCCCACTGCGCATGAAACCCGGTCAATAAATATGGCATCGATATCAATACACTTCTGTGTCGGATATACTCTGCAGGCCACATACGATCCTCCTACGGTGACGATACCCACGTATAGACAGGCAAAGCCACTTACACACAGGATCTTTTCCTTGTTCTTGACTCTCGCCTTGAATCATGACGTACACTTCTCACCGCGAATCCAAGTAGCATTGACAAGGCGAAAAAATCTCAATCATGTTCATACATAGCTATCCATCCGCATCCCATCGTGTAGTTGACAGCATGACAATTATTCCTGCTCGTCTTGCGAGGCTCCTGCTACAACGCATTCATCTCGACAACAGGAGAACCCGGCCAAAAACCTGGCCCTGGTCCGGTGCTTCTTACTTTTAATAGCCAGATCCTCGTGATAACCCCTTTGCCTTTCATAGCATGCGGTACTGGTTATCGTAATCGTCGTCAGACACCAGTCGCGGATTGGTCAGCCCCACCATGGCGCCAGGCGTAGCGGCGGCGTTCCCGCAAGGTTGGCTGGAAGTGATGATGTACACCTGGTTGGTGTTCGCGAGACCGAAGCCCTCCAGCAGGATGGTGCAGGCCTGTCCAAGCGTGCACGCTACGGTGGGGCCCCGCACCTCGTACCACGAGTTGGTGAACGCATTGGGAACGCGGGCAGGATTTTCCGTGAACAGCGTTCCCTTGTGATTCGTCAAACTCGTCTCGTACAGGTACCAGCCCTGGTAGGGACCAGATAACACCTTGTACGTGTTGCCGTCGTTCGCGTCCTGCTGAGCAGTGATGGCTTCGTTCGTTTCCAGTGTGCACAGTACTTGGTAGATGCCCAGAATCTGGGCCACGTTGTACGTGCCGTCGAAACACTTGAAAAGCCTCTGCTTCGGTCCGTAAACGGTGAAGAAACCGATCGTGACCTTGTAGTCCTGATACGTGGTAAGAGAGCTGGGATTGTGTGCCCAACACACCTTGCCGTTGATGCCTGGGCGCCCGGCAAAAGGCGACCCGGTCAAGTACGTGTCCGCGGCATTAGCGGCCCCGGACAGCGCGGTGGCCTTCGGATTGGTCTGCCCGGTCAGGTAGTGCAACGTCGGAGTGGTGTCACCGCAGTTGCTGCCTCGATCGATGATCAGCAGCGCATTCGTGGAAGCTAAGTCGGTGCCGGTCAAAGGAATGTCGCACGGCATCGAAAGGTAGCAAAACTTCGGCACCTGCACGGGCCCCACCATCTTGAAGGGCCCGATCTCAAACTTGAACCCCTGCAGGTAGAGCGGATCCGTACTGACCGGCGGGTCGAACGCGAAGCAGAGCCGATACATCCCTGGCGTTCCGAGCAGCGGCGTCTGAGTATCAAAGTGAAAAATCCCCCCTCCCCGTATCAAAACGGAAATCTGTGATGCGGCATTTGTGTACACAAATCCAACCTGTCTAGCAGTAGAGAACTGCAGGCAGATGCAGTGCCTGAGTAGGGGCGTTTTGCTGTAGGCGCCTAGCAAGGCAGGCACATCCTCTGTAGGCGATACAGCATTACAAAGCGCCTGCGAAACGCGGCCGATTCTCTGGCTTTGCCCTCTTGCAATACAGGGACGATTTGTGGTCACAAATCAGCATCACAAATTTTCAGTAGTGCCCCTTTTTGGTATGGGGAGGGGGTATTTTTCCTCACAATACTGAAAACTGAACTTGTTGAAGTTGCCGTCTTGATCGGTTTGTACGGGGTTCGGGAAGTTTGTGAATACCGCCAGCTGCGCATTGGTTGCGCCGCACTCCGTACCGTACTCAATGATGGCCGCCTCCTGGGTAGCCGCGAGCCCCACACCTGTGATAGCGACCTGGCAAACTTCACCCAGGGTGCACGTTACCAGTGTCTCATAGTTGGCACCGACCAGCGTGAACATGCCTACTTGGACATTGTACTCTTCCACGTTTTCTGCATTGCGAACCTGTCTGGGTCTGGAAGAGTTCCAACGAGTGACGCACACTCCGGATCACACAAACTGTCTTTGCGTTGCATCAACGACACTCACCGGAACAGGCAGCGAAAAAACTGCGCATTTGCGTTGCATCAACGACACTCACCGGAACAGGCAGCAAAAAAACTGCGCAAAGCCTGTCGATATTACTTTTGCGTGCATTCCAGATCCAGACCATCTACGTTGACCGCACGACGCATGACAAACAAGCGCACTCTTGTTCCAGGCCCAGACATATTTGCACTTGATACCTTTGCGAGGGTCCGATTCGTGGTGTTCACCGTAGCAGCGTGACTCCAACACACGCGGTAAAACTGTCCCGCGATGCCGGTGGTTATTGGGCCGACCTTGTACGTGTTGTAGCTGCCGTCTTGCTGCACGAAAGTCGGAAGCGTGACACCCTCAAAATCCACTGGCGTTGCACCGGCATCGCCGCACGCAACATCCTGGTTGGATGCATCCTGATTTAATGAGATCAGAAGATTCTCGCATATTCATCGCCCTGATGCAGCGTCGTGACATAGAATTTTCTACCCTGGGTTTTCATTCCCGCCACATGGCGCAGCCGCGCGACAAACGTAAAAAGCAACTCCCAGAGCCGAGTTTTTACTTTTACAATAATCAAATTACAAGAGCTACATGTTGAGTACCCGGTAATTGATGATCAAGATGGAGTTTGTCGAGGCCAAGCCGTTGCCGTAGAGGGTGATCGTGCAGTCCATGGAGAGCTCACACGCGGACGCGACCGGATTGTTGGGCCCGCTCATGACAAAGTCGCCGATCGTAACTTTGTAGTACTGCCGAAAATTTTGCGGTATGGCCCCAAGATTACCGTTGATGAGGCCGCACGACCAACACAGCTTGAAAGTTCCAGGCGGGCCCGTCTTTGGGGTGCCGGTGTCGTAAGTCGCGCCGGTGCTTCCCGCCGTCGTTTTCTTGATTTCGTCCATATTCGAATAGGAAGGCATTGCGGGCACCACGTCTCCGCAAGTCGAGCTACTCTGGATGATCAGAATCACATTGTCGTCCGTGAGATCGACCCCGGTCAATGAGATCTGACACGACAGACCCAAGGTGCAGGGCGTCGTCTGCGGGAAGGGGCCCTTCATCCGCAAAAACCCCACCTCGAAGCGAAACTCTAGCAAATTCGCGCCGTCATTCGTCGGCTCATGTGACCAACAGATGGGATAGTGAGTCGCGGGCGAGCCCGACCGAACAGTGCCAAAACTGTACCGGGCGGGACTCGTGCCCTGCGTCTGCCGCGGATTCGTCCACTCATTTGCGATGACGGCCTGGAGTGGGGCCTGCGTGGTAGAGAAACCGCAGCTCTGGTTCACCGCAAGCATCTGAAAGAAATTGAAAAGGGCTGGTGCTCGGCACACTGAAACTCACAAATCATCAAAAGGAAAATACCAGCACAAAATTTTCTCTTAGTGCGCGCAGGGCCACGCACTTGCAGAAAGAACTATTTTGGTTTTGTCCCGGTACTATCATCCATGCAAGCGCCATGATCCGGCAACGGTCATACAAGTCAATGCGTAGGAGTTGGGCAAGTGCAAGTGCGCGCGAGTCGCCGCAGTTCCTTCCTGTGAAGAATAACTAACTGTAAATACAAACTTCACTCGCTTACCAGTGCATAATTGCTGTCTTGTAAGCCAACAGAATCGGTCGAAAACTGTATCTGGCAGTTCTCACCCATTGTGCAGAAGAACGCACCATAGGAGTGCACAACCGGCCCTCGGATTTCCATACGGCCCAATCGCATCCGGAAGAAGGTAGTGTTCGTCTCATTAACCGCAGAATAACAAAGCTGGTAGCTGGAGAGTGACGTTTGATTATATATGGAGCCTGTTGCTGCTTGTGCTTGTTTCCATTCTGGTATTAAAGTTGTACTTTTATACTTCTATCCCGGCCCCCCTACCGTTACATTAGTCAAAGCATCATAGCATGATGGTGCCTGGTCCCGTTGTCGTTGTGTTGTCATCAAAGAAATATTCAAATTGAAATCAAAATGAAAATTCAAATCACGACTGTAGTTTTGTATACTCTGCCTTGACTGTTCCGAAGGATGGCATACCCAGCCTGTAAACTTCGGTGCTTCCGTCGACGTAGTTTTGAATTCCATAGCCCGGATTCCTCCACGGAAGTGCACTTCCAATGCCACCGGTAATATCAATGCCAGCACTTTCCTGGCTACACGTCTCACTCGGCCCGATGACTGCGATATTTGACTCCGGCGGGATCAGGTGCCTAGAAGTGCATTTTTGTGAGTATGCTAGTGATTGACTGAAAAATGATTGCAAGCGGGTCGTACCGGCGAGGCCTTACTGCTAGCTCCTGCTAGTATGCTGCTAGACTCCAAGACCAAGATGAGAGCATGACTAGATACCATTTCGAGGACAACAAAACTCGGTGCAGAGCTCGACCCCGTAAGCAATAAGACTTAGAAACTTCGCGTATCTTCATCTCATTCGCATCGGGTTATGTTTTATCTGGGTCTTCTCGACAGGATGAGTTTGCGTTTGCGTGAATAATCTGCATGACGAGTGGGACTAGAATCAATTATGTACAGCACGCAGCATTTGCATACCCTCTAAGGTCAATCTGGCACATGAAAGTCATGTAGCAAATGTTGTTCTCGCGCTGCGGCCCAATGATGATGAGAAGTCCCAGAAGAATGTTGTAGTGCTGCAAACAGTTGGCCACGGAACACGTTGGCGGCGTCTCCGGGGGAAAGCCGCCCCAACACAGCTTGTAATTCTCGCCCGGCTCGTCGCTCGAATGTGCCTGCGTGGGGACCCCAAATTCGAAGTACGTGAAGGTGTCATTCACCCAGTTTGCGGGTAGGGGGTTGATGGCCTGGTCGCCAAGAAGCGCCTTCGCACTCAACGTGTCGCCGCAGGGGTTCGCCGAGTCCGAGCGGTGAAGCAAAATCCCATTACTGGGAAGGAGCCCCGCACCGTCCACGTCGATCCGGCAGGGTAGAGAAAGCGTACAGCGGTAGGGCGGGTTCTGGTTCGGGCCGTTTACAAAAAAGCTTCCGAGTGGGAGAATGTAGTTGCTGTACGCGTTGATACCCCCCATCTGCTCCGGGTCCGCGGCGTAGCAAATCGTGTAGTTGACCCCCGTGGGCCCGCTGAGAAACCCGCGAAACACGCCGACGCGCTGACTCAGACGCCAGTCCGCGTACACATTCTGGACCAACACCGCGGAGTCCTCCTGGATGCGCGGATTAAAACCGTTTCCCCAGTTGACCAGCGTGGGCACCGCCGCGCCGCAGGTGGTGTCTGGACTCACGGTGATAATGTATGCCCGAGGCTGCGGGTCCTGGGTCGTCGGGGCTGCCGTGTCGGTCGTGGGCTTCGCCAGCTTCATGTTCACATCCTGCTGGAAGCCGGTGACGTAGATGTAGCACTCGACGCCGAGCGTGCAAATGAAGTGTTCGGCGTCCGGGTTGGGTCCGCTCATCGTCAGCGTGCCGACGGTTTTGTCGTAGTCCTGGAAGGTCGCACCGCCGTTGGTGCTGTAGCAAACCTTGTACTCGTCCACCTCCCCAACGGACAGCGTGCCCATGTTCACCTCCTGCTCTTCCAGCGTATAGATGACGATTCCCGCGCCGGTGTAGGTGTAGGAGTAGGACCCCGTGCCCGCGGTGGCGTTGGTGCCGTAGTTGGGCATGGTGGCGCCCCAGCTGGGCACCGTGACGCCCGGCACGATGTTGGAGGTGGCAGAAATCGGGTTCCCCAGAATGTCGTTCCCCCCGTAGGGCCCCGCGTACGTCACGTTCGGGCTTCCGCACTCGTCGGCGTAGTTGACCACGAGGTACTTGTCGTCGCTCGAGTACGAGTGCGAAGAGACCGCATTGCGCGTGTAGGTGCGGATCTTGCAGTCACCCGTGATCGCACAACGCTGGTTGAAGAACCCACTGATCAGGAAGAAGAAAACCTGTCCGGTATCGGCGTCCGTCGTGCGCGGATTGGGTCGAAACTGGCTTTTCAGGCAGCACACGTTCTCTTCCGGAAAATTGCTCCCGATACTCTGTTTCACCCATACCCAGCTCACGCAATGCGGCCAGTACTGCCCGCACAGCGCGCAGCACTCCCACTGGTTCGTCACCGAGCCGTGGCAACCGGTGGTAAAGGAGGAAGAATCCACCTGCATATTCAGTGTGGCCCAGTTTTCGTCGCTGGTCTTCGATAAGGCGGTTACGCCATCGGCGAAGTGCCGAAAATTGTCGTCGTAGTTCACCCCTACTTCTTCCTTGCAGTGCAGGTCATACACGTGATACTGTGCGGCAACGAAAACTGGAGAATAGAACCAGGACGAAGTGCTGTGCCTCCTCGAGGAAAGCGTAGTTGGCGATGGTGAAGAGGACTCGCTGACGTAATCGAGTTTCCTCCTACAGCCTGATTGTTCGCCGGTCGACGACCGGAGATGAGCTTCTATTTCCAGCCCTGATGTTCGTGGCTCTTCACTAACACTGCAGGGACCATCGCGATGCGAGTTTTGTCCGATCCTCTCTACCCAAAGAAGTCCTGCTCGCACGTCGGGGTCGGGATCTGGTCCTCGCTCCGGGGGAAAATACCAAAAAATATCACTCACGAAAATCAGAAAAACTGTCGCCAGGCCAAACAGGATGTGTATCCGACTAACCGGCGTCTGTCGGCGCCGACGCTTGCTCCTGCGAGCAGCTTGCTGCCGTACTAAAGCTCTTGACCAAAAGCTGTTGAGTCGCCGCTTCATTACTGCACAGAAATTGATGTTGTTGGCCCAAGCCGGAGTAGTCTTTTTGGTTTCTACTCTCGCCCTGTCGCTGCTCGGGTTCCGTCTCAAGCTCCGTCCAGTACCAGTTCGAGATCGAATGTCACTTTCAATTCCGCTCGCTTCCTGCTTTGATCTCCCTCGGGCTTCCTGGTTTCGTCGGTCGGCTCCATGCGCAGATGACACAAATGCCAAGGGAACGGGGATGCTCGCTCCGTTCGCCCCGGCCCTGCGGCGTAGCTGCATCCCATCATGCTCTTGTTCCACCACAACGAGGCGTCTCCCAAAAACAGACCTGAAGTTGGTGCCCCGCGGAGACTTCGTGAACGCTAATGCCGTGTTCTTCGTTCCACTTGTGACGGACAAAAAATGCTCCGCATCTGACATCGCTCGACCCCCAACGGAAGAAGCAACATCGTTCGCGACACCAGGCCGTGGCCGCTCTCTGGAAGGCCTACTCGTTCCGAGGCCGGAAGGTCCTGCAGGAGCAGCTCCCGTGACCACAGACCACATGCGAAAGTGCGGTGTCTGACCGGGAGCAAAGAATGCTCTCCGGTCGCCCAGCGCTTCATTCCAGTCTACTTAGTACATGCTGCGAAAAGTAGCCTTCCTGTCCTTTTTCCGTCGACCGCCACCGCTGCGGACTACATTACAACTGCCACATTTGAACGCACGTGACCTCACTAGTACATGACCTCACTCCATATGAACCCTGACGCAGAACAACCGAAAGCACAGCTACGACACGACTCCATGATGATGTCCACGCCCACTTCTAATCCACCGCCTTCCTAAAAACAACACAGCCTAGCCGCACGAAACGCGCCATGCCTGAGTTGTGTATTTACTGCACGCGGCTCACTTCTAGTGCGTGGTGGAGGTAGCATCACTGATGATTATACAATCAGCTTAGTGTGACATACCGCAGGTGTTTCGTCTCTCTCCGTCTCCTCTCAAAAGTCTCTCTGTATAAATAGAGCCCGGCGACAAAGTCGTGCTCGCTTAAGCTAAAAATAAAAATTGAAATTGTCTTAGTCTTACGAACATATATTTTCATTTCTCGCAAGAAAACAAAAAAGCCGGCTGCGAGAGCCATAGAGACGAGCTGCGAGAGCGAGCTGCGTCGAAAGCCATGTAACTGCTTCTGAAAAGTCAAGCTCAAATCCGTCGGAAAGTCGGACCCTCATCCGAATAAAGGACACAGACACTATAAATGTACTTCTATATTTTGCAATACATTTTTATCTTTTTTAGTTTTACCCATCGTAAATGCGCGTATCGGTCGTTTCGATTTCGACTCCCAAATCGAGTCGATCTATGCGTGGAAAACATGCGGCCAAGGGATGAGACACTACCGGAAGAGAAGCTATATTTACAACTGGTGACGTTAAAACTAAGCTTTGCTTCTTCTTCTAAACTCCTCATCATTATATACTTATCACTGCCACACCCTGCCAAAGCGTCGCTGTTCCTTGACCAGACGGCAAACGAGGCCTTCGAAATTGTAGAGACGAGCGGCGCCCTTTTCACACTGTTTCTGGTCACACGTCGCCGGTGGAGAACGAGGCAGTTCTTGAAATATAGCTGTCACGGGAACATCGGCAAAAATCCGTGTGATGATGCCTAGCGCCGATGTGCTTCCGAACAGCAATGCGCGATCACGCACCGCAGCTTCTGGTTCTGGCTCTGCGTGAAGAGGCTTACAGTCTGGATATGGATGACTCAGACTCTGGTCAGTCTCGCAGTAAAAATTGTGTTCTCCATCAACGCAGCCCTCTTCTTTAATTTTCAAAAAAAACCAATTGGCTATGTGTGGACGCAGAGAGTGCGACGGAAATCGCAGTCCGACTTCCTCGCCGTACTGACTTTCAAAAAAGCGCAAGATGTCCCCAAACGTCCTAACATTCTCCAGGAGAACCACAGGCATTTTTCTCCGTCCCTCTTGCGTGCCATCCGACGGCGAGATAGTCGAAACGCAGCGGCAAGACACGCGAGCAAACGAAGATATTGGTCTAGATGGCGGATCTATCAGATCCGCAAGATCTGTTTCTGTTTCACTTTTTTGCATGCGAAAAACCCACTCCCGCAAAGCTTCTCGCTCAATTTCTTCGCGTAACGTGTCTCCGAAAGGCTGGTATATTTTTTGCCAGCGCACACTTCCGCCAGATTGCACTTCTGACCATTTGTCTTCCAAGCAGTATTCCAGTGCAGAGTCTATCCGCCTCTGAATCCACCTGCGAGTCTGTGTCCCGGGGGATGTTATATGTAGTTTCGAGAGCTCTTCCACCGTCCCGATGAGATACTTGTCCTTTCGAGGCCATCCCCCTGTTTGAAGATAATCGCCTCTGTCCGTGCTTCCACACACCAAGCCGAACCTTGGGACTACATCAGCGGGCTCTGTTACGCCTCCCCTAGCGCGGCGCTTTCTTCGCGGACGGCTACAGCGGAGCCCCAGTTCCGCTCGTTCTTCTGCGCAGGAAAAGTACTCTTCTCTTTTGTGGAGCACGAGATAGCGTCCTTCTTCGACCATAATCTCAAAGTGAAAGCGGACGCCGCCACCAGCATTTACATCACCCGGGAAGGTAGCGCGCCAGTATCCGCAAAAGTGGCGCATCTCCGAAGCCACAAGCGGCGAGGCACAGAGCAACGATAGCCACCGTTCAAAAAGGGCGTCGCGTGTCCTTGGCAGATACTCTTCTATGTTCGTTGATGTGCTTGGCGTGGTCTTTTTTGCGCCGAGTGAGAGACAGCAAGGGATACTGGTGCTGTTCTCTTCGGCGTTGGTGCTGTTCCCTTCGGCGTTACTGAAGACGTGCCCGAACCCCTCAAAGAATGCGGGACACTGCAAAAGGTTCCGCGGCTCGCCATTCGGGATCTTTACCAGAAGAGCCGGTCCGCTAGCGCTAGAGTGACCCGTTGCAAATGCGTCATGATCCGCACCGGAGGTCATCAGGCCTAGGTCACGCAGCACTGCTCGTACCATTCTGTCCTCCATCTCTGCTTCTGAAACTTTTATTTTCTCTTCCTCTTGTTCACCGTAGTGACAAGAATGATCACAGCTCCGACCACTTTCACACCTGAGCAGTAGATCCTCCAGCCGCATGCCCACTGTAATGATGCGCAAATCGTCGTCCGCAGTCGACGCAAAACAGGTTGCGTGTAACTCAGGGGGTGAGAGGCGCTGTTTCCGAAAGTGTTTCATCCCGATCGCCGTGACTACTGCTGGCGCAACAGCAGCATCGGCGTATACTGTATCAAATAGAAGCACTACAAACTGGGCTGGCCTGCTTTGGCAAGTCGCATCAGCTGCTGCAACGGCGGCACCGTGATCTGTGACATCCAAATCGAGTTCCGTCGTTGAGAAATCTTGGCTATTTTTATCGGCGTTGTTGCCGTCTGCAACCTCGTGTCGTTCATAATCACCTCCCAATCCGAGTACTTTCGATGTGTTCCTTCGCACGAACTCGTAAAGAGGCCGGCTAAATTGCTGGGTGTGGAAGGGCCAATACCCGCCATGTGTCCCGACCTCCTTGCCCATGCGTTGCAGGCGTTCATGCCACTCCAGATCTTCGAAATACGACGGCACCGCTATCTCATGTACGCCACAATATACAGAGTACAGCACCACACTCGCTGGTGTCGTCTCGATGGCCTTCATGTCAATATGCCAGTCCGGGCGCGGCACATCGATGTCGTGTTGGTGCACCTCTACAAACGCCATTCTAAACACCGCACGGTCGCGCTCGCGCAACCCCTAGGCGTACATAGACATATGTAACCCTATCTGCTTGTCAACACGTTCAGACTTCTTCACTCTAAGCTTTAGCCTGTCCCTTATCGGCTTCTATTCTGATTCTTCTACGACTACGTCCCTGGAGTCTCAATATATTTTGTAAGGTAACTGGTGCCCTGCTTGGATCGATGCGGCTGAAGAAGTGGCGTCGTTTTGCGTTCCTTTCTCATTCTGGGCATCTTGCTGTGCCACTTTTGCTATTTGTCGCCCAAGATTTCGGCAGAGAGCGGTGGATCGCGAGAGCCTCTCAAAGCGAAAAAGTTGAACTAGAACTTGATTGTTGTGGTCATTTGCATTCGTCCGTTTTTGTACTTTGGATCCTGTCAAGTGGTCGAGAACGAAAATGCCTGTGAAAACCAAAGAGAACAGCGGTATGGGTCAAACATCAGCGGTACTCGCGAGGGACCACGACCACGCGACGTCAATCTCAACATCCGACTGAACAATATTCTTAGATGTAGTTGTACATAAATCATGACACTGCGCGAGTAGATTGCAGTTTGAAATCCGATTTATTCGCGAACAAGGAGCAAGGCGTCGAATTCCTGGCGGAAATGAAACAAAGAGCCCCTGCTGTGTCGGCACAAAGTCACATCTTCTATTGCCCGATCATACCACCATCGCTACGTCTCTTTTCGGCGAAAGGGTGAGCGTTTTAAAATACATGAAATGAGTGGCGCACATCAGTAGTACGGACGGCCACAACGCGATGAACATATGTGTGGATATTGTAGCAAATGGCAGAATCGCACCTCAAATCTGAAATCTGACTCTCCGTCTCCGGCACGGAGGACACATCAAATGATAGTACAGAGATTTCACGTTCCATCTGTTACTTACATACTGTACTAAGGAAGCGAAGCCGAAGGTCCTCGTCAGTTCGTACGATACATACGAAAGAATGAAAAAGATTTTATCTTAGTTTGAATTTGTTGATTCATGTGAATTTCATTGCGGGTTTCGGCGACCCGAGCGTGGAGCTACTCCGAGACAGGCTCCGCCGAAAGTTTTCCATGAAGGGGCCCTGCCCGGCTTGCGAAACTACCGGCTTGGCCTGCGGCAATCTCGTCTCGGGCTCATCGGAAGTCCGAACTACACCCGAGTTCACCTGTGGTTTCTTGGCTTTCCCGACGGACAGCTCATAACTCACTGCATGGATCTGCCCGGACGAAAGGAACGGCTCTATCACTGCGTTGCATTGTCGCTGCATTTCCACACGTCCCAACCCTGCAAAATCTTCGCTCACTATTCGGACACCGATCTTGGGAGCTTCGCAAGTGCCTGAAGAAGAAGTAAGAGACAGAAAGTGTAAGTCTCGCTTTGCCTCTTGCTGTCAATAGTAAGTGCTCAATCTACACACCACACAAGAGGAGAAACCAACATCATGTCTGCCAGCTTCTTTTAGGTGAGCGAGTAACTAACTAACTGTCAGGTGAGCAAATAAGAAGAAATCACAGCAGGGGCCACAAAATCAAAATCCTTCTGAAGGTTTTTGCAAAGTCGCCTCTTTTCTCCACGCTTGCTCAGTGCCCTTCGGAGAGAACCGTACTTCCTAGGTGTAGCGGATCTTCTGAAGGGAGATAGTACATACTGAAACTTTCGAACGGACCTGGCTTACCTGCAGCATAATCTTTAATGTCAATCTAAACATCTTCAAGCTCTACGTCTCAAAACGTACCTCCGAGGTCATGCACTTCAATGACGGTAGCTTTGTTGTATCGCTGTCGCAACCTCTTCTCAATCTGTTTGCAAATGTCGTCCTCTGCCCAACTGTCGTCGAAGGGGGAGCCTCGACGGGCCCGTCCACGCTGCTTTCTACGTAGGAAAACGTAGTATCCGCCAATAATCAGTGCCGCTGCTCCGACCGTCACGAGTACAAGGTTGGACCCACTGTTTCCCTGCTGCGCAGTCGCACGACTCGTCATACTTCTGGATGATGGAGGATAGCCTCTATAAAAACTAGCTATGTTGAGAAAGTGCAGCAGCTACCAAGATCAATCTAAGCGCTATCTTAGCTGAATCTGAAAAAAAATCAATCGCTGCTCGTATCTTAGTCTTCAAAATCGCGCCTGTGCAAAAATCTTTGATTCACATTATGATATCAATCTGCAGGTGCAAGTATCAGAAAATTACATAAGTAAATCTATAACAAGGCTAGGGTGGCGGGGTCCTGCGGATCTATGATCATGAAGATATGAATATGGTCAGTCCGAGAGGCTGTCAAGAAGCTGCCAGCGACAGGAAATCGTCTTGCAATTATCTGCATCCGATGAACGAATTACACAATCTTCAAGATGATGTGGATGTTGTACGAAGGATTAGTACAAAAGCTTTTACTCACGAACGCATCCTGAAGCACTACACCGATTAATCATGCTGATGCTACTAAAATATCAACCACCGACTTCCGTTGTGGATCAAGCTTACCGCGAATCTTTATATCACGAGCCAGTGCGCACAGCACCTTGATATGTTTATATCCTGATGGATCTACTTCACTTTCTGAAAGTCAAAAGTGGAAAGCAAGTTTCTTTATATGCTCACTAGCATGCCGTCCTGAGATAGGGAGCTCTAGCACAGGACAAGTTCCTGCTGCGCAATAGCTGAAAAACCCCCACAAGTAAGAACAGACGAATTAGTGCCTGCGAGGGAATAGATGGCGCAGTGGTTTCTCTTCTTTTTCAAATTTCCAGTGTCAATCAATATACAAGAATGATATTTACACTAAGCTGCATATCGCACTTACGGAAAAGTTGCATCAAAGCGGAAAGATCTTTCCTACGATCGTCGTTTCGTGCTTCGTATTCGCGAAAAGATGATGCTCAGCATACCATCCCTGAGTTTGTGGTTTGCCACGGTAACTCCCAGTTCTCTCGCAGCTTTTCGTCATCATGCCTTCCATCTGCGCGAGGTCGTTATTCTTGGTAAGCCTCTGCATTCGCTCCAGCAAAGCTTTCTTGCGGAGAGCGAAACGAGACTGACTGCAACGGATTTTTATGGTGAGCACAAAGCAACAGCCATACGCTGGATGAAAAAAAGGACGTGCTTGCTCGAGTAAGTCTAGTGCTTTTTCAGGCTCACAATTGGCGTCGCACACGTACAGCACGCAGCTCTTTCTCCGCAGCAGATTTGCCCCTTCGCAATCATGGCTGCTCACCTGCTGAACTCGAGCAGCGACGGAAGACGAAGAGGACCTCTTGCTTCCTATGTGAGCTTCAAAATCGCCTTTTTGCTCCAATTCATCTTCGGCATCAAAGCTACTCGTCTCATCGTCATTATCATCTTTGCGGCACCTGTGAGTAACATTTTCTGGCTCCCCCAGACTCGTGCCGCGTTCGAAGAGAGCAGTCAATTCCTCGCCACGTGCCACCTGACTCGGGCTTCCCGAAAAGTCATTCACGTCGCCGGCCGGCGGCGACCCTGACATCTGCGTGGCAACGTCGTCTGCCGTAGACATCGTGGAACATAGTGACCGAGAAGAACTCATAAGGCCCGAACTGCAGTATGTGCCTGACATTAGCAACTTCGCTCGGTCGAAGAGGTTTTCCGCCTTGTCTTTGATGTGCAAAATTTTTTCGCCTGACTGTGCCAAGACGCTCGGGTCTAGTGCCGCCGGATCGACTGCGAGAACCACCAGTTTCTTGTGTGGGCTGTTGACGAATACTTTTCCCAAAACGTGGCTCCATCCTCCGGGTGCTGCTCCGACATCGAGAGCCACGAGGTGTTCCTCTTGTTCCATATCTTTCTGCAGTAGTATGAGCGTGTCAGGCTGTACTTAATCGGAACAGGTGTTACTTATTCAGACATATGAATTTAGCTGAAGAAAATCACTTTCACTAATCATCACCTGGATCAGGAGCGCGTCCTGATCGTTTACTGGCGTAACCAAACGTGGAATACTGTATCTGTACTGGAGTCGATTTAGTAAAACCTGACGCTCTCATAACTACTACTCCGGAATCTTGGTCCTGATGTTCTTGTAGTTCATGTTCGCAATTATTGCACCTACGCCCAGCATTGCCCACCTCACTGCCAGATCGAAGAGCCGGGCTTTCAAGCAAGCCTGCGCCTGCAGACATATCCAAGGACAAGCCGACTTCTCGCATCACGTCTTGGAGGTCAGGAGGCGCATCGTTCCATGATTTGTGAGACATAGGAGCTTCTCCCGACCTTGCAGTCCCGCTGTGATAGAGCAGACTGTCGACCGAGGTTGGGACAAGACGCCGCCAAATCGACTCCTGCAGCTTCCAGGCTGCGGTACACGGTGCAGTCCCGTTTTCGCGCTCGGACAGGTTAAACCATGGCTGGTTCCATCCAAACCAGAATAATCCGTCGGCATAGACACACACATCCACTAGCGCAGTGCCGCCACTTCGACGACTATAATCCTCGCACAACGACCGTTCGAAAGACCGCGGAAACGCCACCAAGCCATTGCCCGTTGCACCAGGGCTCGCCGCACCAGCATCAAGCCCCTTCGTCGAATGTCTCTGTCTCTCGTTCTGCTCTTGCTGAGCTAGCAAATATCGCTGAGCTGTCCGGAGCGACACGGCCGCTTTCGGCATTGGCGCGGCACCTCCATAACAGCTGTCGCTGTCAGCATCTTCTAACCGATTCAAAAAATACACCCGCCGCACTACCGAACGCAAATAGCAGGGGAACATATGCTCTACCAGTCGCTGCCGCATTACCCGTGGTATCTGCTTCGCGGCTGCATGCATCAACACATTATGCAGAGGTCCCAACACTTGGCACCAAAACCAATTCGAAACCGGCACGTGAATCAACCGATCCTGGTTGAGCTGCGCTGCAACGCTCGCTCTTTCCCCTCGCTGATGCATCTCATCGAAGTTGTTCAGAAACTCAAGAAGGCGCGAAGTGCAGTCTCCCAGACACTGAAGGATGGCCCCGGTTTCGCACACAGACGAGCCGGCTCCTTCTTCTCCGTCCAGTTGCTGCAGCGCCGCTTGCACATTCGGTGGGTGGAACATGGCGCTGGCACTTCCTTTGCCGTCCCGGAACATTCCATCGTTCCACTTTTCCAGTACCTCCACGCCCACAGAATGTACCTCAAGGTCGAGCGCGGGCCGCATCGGACGCTGGCTTTTAGTTTTACTTTTAGAGCCAGCTTGTATAATGTCGTGCTGGTTGTGCTTGTCGCTCTTCCCTTCAGCGTTGTAGCCTTGTTGCAGTGGCTCTGCAGCTGTCCGGAGTTGCTTCTCCTTGACCCTCCCGCTTTGCTCGCTTTTTTCTACTACTTGTTGTTCGTCGATCAGCAGGTTCATCTGAGTCGCAGAACAAGCTAAGGCTGAGCCGACACCCTCCCCGCCCGTCTTCAAGCAATGCTTTGCGGTTGTACCATCAACATGCAACACGTCCCCGCGCTGGATAGCCGAAAAAAAACACTGCAGTCTCTTTACGCTCCCACGCACCTCAGTAGTTCGCAAATCATCCTCGCCATCCTTACAACTTATTGCGTCGAAAAGTATAGAAAGATGGACCAGCTTGATCGGCGTGCGCTGTTCGACGTCGTTGTCTTCGGTCTGTGCCAGCCCCTCGATGAAGACGCGGTTCTGCGCAGTCATGGCCCGCTTGGACAACACCCGAACGTGCACTACTGCCATTTTGATCTCCTTGGGAACCAGATCTCGCCGGCTGCCGTGCTGTGGTCCCGATAACTACTACAACATTGAGATCATGCTACTTATACTTGTTGAGTATTCTTGGATGGTCGATGCCACAATAGGATAAACTAAAGAATCTTTAACCTGTTTGTATCAAAGATTCAGGGAGAAGGAGGAAGTCATTTTTTTGAGTAGTGCCAACAATCGCCGTCTGAGCGGAAGTAATGAGCTCACGTTGTTTTTTTGTTTTGCCTAGTAGCAGTGCCTTTGCTTTTTGGATCAGCCCGGGCAGGCCTGATACCAGGTTGCGGCGGACGCTTTGCCTTTCGGGCTGCACTTTCTTTTTGCTTATCGAAAAGTCGCAACTTTTCGTTTTCGCCTGCTCAACGCATTAGAAATTATGGCCAGGCAGCTTCTGACCCAGAACCTCCCAGGGGATGTTGCCCAAAATAATGCCCACGACATGCAGACCCGCCGTTTTCTTCCCGAAGGCGCTTTTTCCGCGTCTCGGTCTGACCAGAATCTAAGGCCGTTGGTGCCTCACAGGGGCATCGCTTCTAACGCGTCCCCTGTGTCGTTTTCATAAAAAAGTGGCCCTTGTTTAACAACAAGCCCAAGGCTGCTTGGAACTTGTTGAATCGTGCTATCAAAAACGCAGACGGCGCTTTCCTTCGGCTCCCTAAAAACTGCCGGCTTTTTGCTTTCGAGATGCCAGAAAAGCCGCCCGAGAAGCACGCGCGTGACGTCAAGCGCTGCGGTATGTTTCCTTCTTCTACTTGCCTCAAAATTTCCTTTCCGCAACTGAAACATTTGAACATTTTGTAAGGTATCTGACCTAGTTGCGTCTGTAGCAACTGCTGATCTTTGTCTTCCCGATCGCGATCCTTATTTTGTAAGCTTCATCTTGGAATCATAGATATAGCATCCATAGCATAGCATTAGGTTTGGCGTCTCGAAGCTTTAAGAGTGCAGCCGACTCTTTCATGAACTTAAGATGGCCCACGCATATTTCATTCTGATCTCTATCTCTTCAACACTTTCGCGGCACAGAAATTGAATCTCCACCGACATCAACCCTATGAACTTTCATTTCACGATACTCAGGAGATTCGACGATCCACCACTGCAGTTATGCTCTGCGAAAAAGATCGATACGGAGGATCCTGCGTGCTCCACGCAGAGGAGGCCTCAACATACCCAAAAATTGTAGCATGCCGGGTTCAAGATGAAGAAAAGAAATCCAACAAAAAGGTGTGGCCACAGAAACCTCCTTTCTCCGACGAGATTCTGATTCAGAGTCAGATCGCGATCGGCAAAGCGTATCGCAACGAGTCGAGGACAACAAAAAAGAAATTTAATGAATATTTTTTTTCTTACAGCAGATGTAGCAGTACTATCCATCAAAAAAACACTTTTTGTTTTTGCGGTGCAAGTTCGGTTGAGGTTGCAAAGATTCAATACGGGGAGGTGTCCAGGAGACACGCGACAAACTGCGGGCAGGAAGCAGAGGATCCCTTATGAGCATGTTCAGTAGCGATCGTGCGCTGGGACGTTCGTCCTCGAGGTACGAAATCTGGCACTACTCAAGGCAGACATGCCCAATTAGAGTCAGCTCACATGAGAAGTCCGGGTATTTCTCTGTTCTGTTGCAGCGCCGGATCTTGGCAGGCTTCTTCCACGACCACTCGGCGTGCTAGGAAGTAGATTAAGCGCCGCAGCTTCGGTCGAGGAAAGAAAGCTTGACTTCCGGAACCGCAATAAATTGCTGGACTTTATGTTTTTTCAGTGCGTCTGCACGAGGTAGAGGTACATGGTGTACTGCACCAACAAGCCGACAATTGATCCAGCAATGGTGTCTTCAATCCAGTGGCAGACGTAAAAAACCCGTGCAAACGCCACCATTGGCAACAGCAGGTACATGCCCGACACGTAGCCACCGAACACGCAAAGGAAGAAACCGAAGTTTGCAGCTTGTGTTGTGTCGCCCGAGGGAAAGCTGTACTTGCTCTTGTACAGGTTCGGAAACTTGAAGTGCCGTCGCCAACCGGAAGAAGCGAGAGACGCGATCGGACTGCGTTTGCCGCTCGAGGACCCCGCGCCGCCGACGTACCAGTTGTAGTCCGGCCGCGGGCTACGAAACGAAAACTTCAAGCACTCCGTGACGATCAGTGTCACCAGCGAGGTCAGCATGTACCTGGGAAGCGAGGTGCGTTTTTTTTTTTCGGTAAGCCTTTTTTCAATGGTGCGCGCCTCGATGATGAGTGTACAACTACTCTTGCAGGCGGTTTCTTCGCAGTCACCTCTACGCTTCTGAAATCTTTAATCAACAAAAAAGGCAAAGTAACCTCGAGAAAGTGTCGACTTACCATCTGTAAAAGTGACCTCCGACAAAGGCGCCATTGAGAAGGTAGCGCATCTGTGCTGCTTGAGGGCTGATATTTGTCATTGCCCCATCGTGCGCAGGATCGCCTCCCGTCCAGAAGTCTCGATATATTGCCCTACCGTACCTGCGAAAGCATAGAGGAGAGCAAAAGTTAGAGACAAATACTACATGGAATAAATTACTTGGATTCAATTTTATTGCCGACCATCTTTTCGAGCTCTTTTTGCCCGGCCCGCTCGGCGGAACGGAGCCCCCGCGGCTCATTGAAGCCACAAAAGAAAACAAGTACATGCTGTGACTGTTCTATCGGAGACACCGAAAAAATAAGCTATTATTTGTTTCTCACCTTCCCGTCCAAGCTGCGTATGAGGATGAGGAGTGATCCCCCGTGGGGACATTGTTGATACTTTCCGGCTTTTCCACCTTCAAGTCGAACAGCAGGTACACCAGGCAGAGCGACCACACGAAAAACACCGGGTTAAAGGCGACACCGGCGAGAAACAGGGGAATATCAAATGTAAAAATGTCTGGGTCTGGAAAAGTGGAACTTGTGATGCGAGTTGCAGATCATACAAGAATCTGTGTTGCATGACTTGCAAAAGGTGCCCACTTCTGGCCATCCTGAGAGGGCATTTCTCATGCAGAATAGGCATCACCAAGAGGCTGGGGAACCTGTGATGCTAGGACCTGCGTTCCAGACTTGGGGTAGCTTGGAAAAACTGCATGACAAATTTCCTAATCTTCCAGACCCAGACATCTTTGCATTTGATAGGGAACCTCCTGGACCCACTGGCGAAAGCCCCGAAAGCTGTGCACCGCGGCATTGGTTCGTTGCAGGCAGCGACACAGCGTCCAGCTGTCGCTGGGTACAGGAGCAGCCTGGTGCGGTAAAAACTTCCAGGTCTTCAATGGAAAGCTTTCTTCTACCAAGTTGCTGGAGGTCGACCCGGTGGATCGACTGCTGTTGCGATCGTGCTCTGTTGATGGCGTGATCGTTGTATGCGTCACTCCGAGCACACGTACCTAAAATTGGTATCAGGTTCTTGTTGTAACGAACGAGCAAATTGTGCGTAATAGTACAAGCCGGATGGCAGTAGAGAATCAGGATCAGGAATACGTAGTACTTTGCCTTCGCGCACACAAGCTCCATAAAATTTAATTCATACTATCTAAGAGCGACTCAACAATATATATTGATGGCGCTCGACATTAATTACTTAAAACAGTCACGAAAAGGCGCTAACGGCGAATGACTCAAAGCGGCGATTATGATGAACCCTATTTTTCTATCGTCACTGCCACTTCAATTTTTATTTTTTTCTTCTTGGGGATTTCAACATGAAAGGACGAAGTACCTTGTCCGGTGAAGAGCCGCGACCCGCCAACTTCATTTCACGGTCTCCATCTGAGAATTCATCACTGCAATACTCGATATCGTCAGAAAAAATGCACCCCCAATACTCATTATGCAGCCGAGAGCTGTGACGCGTGGCTTGTGAATGTCTTATCTTTCCCCCAAGGGGGCATCGAGCAATTTCGGTATCGTTCGATCGGCAATCTCAGAAGATGAAGATGGAGAGGCGACGTCCTCCACGATTCATAGCAAGCTATATTCCCATCAACTACAGGCTCAGGCAAGCACGAGCAGTGTGCCAGCGCCTGTTGATCATATCAAAATCAGTGTTTTGCTGACACAGATCGCGCATCACAAAGCCGCTTTCGAGTTCATCTTGAGGGGGATGGATTATTTCACTCTGGTACTCGATGTCAGTCGTTTGCAAGTCGTCGGTGGTAGCACTTGCATCGAGAGGTTTTACGGCATGCATCTTCTTTGCGGATGAGAGGAAGTAGAGTGGTCCACTTGTAGTGCGTCCTGTGCTGCTTTTCCGAGCACGCTAGTCAGGTACTGTGCGCCTGCAGGAGCCAGTTCCCTGTATTTGCGAAGTAGCCCGTGCTGCATTCAATTTCTTTGTTCCATGCAATGCTGGTACTTCCTCGCGACGGCGCGTGCATGTGCTGATCTGGAATTCAATAGTGGACAGGTCTTCTCTTGTGGAAAGAATCTACTACAAATGAGAGTCCCAAGCGATGCGCCAACCATGCATGTATAAATATATCTATCGCTATGGTATGAGATACAAATACTGGAAATGGATGCTGTTGGGGGAGAAAAACATGAAATGTCGACAGTAAAAATCGTCTCCTACGACAGAGGTCCTACTTCAGGTGGGAATAACCGTTTGTGCGACCTCTGATCAAAACACTGAATGAGAATGCGCTTTTAGAAAAACAGGAAAATGCCTGAGAACAAAAAAATTGCTTTTGTCGTGTCGTACGCTTCAAGCACGAAAGGCGCAACCACGTCAGTGCAGATTTTCATCCCACGTGGCCTTCAAAGGGATGCCATACAGCAGCGGCTCAAAAGACCGAGCAGAACGGGCGACACGAACGAATCAGCAAGTCTGTGTACGTTGTCACGACCGATGAATCTGGGTTTGCTATTTCATCTTCACCCGAAAATTTTACGATAGTGTGCACGACGACCTGTTCAAACTGCTAGTCGACGTCCATTAATTGTTTACGTCTGTGGTGGTAAACGACCGAGACTTGTGTCGCACGTCAAAACCGAACGGAGTTGCTACTGGCTTGGGCTTGGCGACAAAATTAGATTGCGAAGCATCATTTTCGAGACCCGATCGTAATGCATTCCTTCCAAAGATGAAGCTCTACGAACAAGATACTCAGCGTCTAGGTCGAGTATGTTGTTGCTTGGGGTGGAGATCAATACCGGCGCAAACAGCTACACCTTTCTTTGTTGCTAGTCACGCAATGCACCGACACTCTATCTAGGTAGGAGAACTCACTCGTTCGTTTTTGGACTCGACCGAGGAAACAAGTAATTGAAAGTACTTAGCGCGAGAGTCCGAATAAAAAAAGTAGGCACATCCAAAAATTGCGCTTCGAATAAGGGAGGTGGCGAGACCTAAATTTGCATATTCCCTCCGAACCCGAAGGGAAGACGAGTTCCCCCTCACAGAAAATGAACCTTTACCTGTCTACTTCTACAACATGGCTGTATATATAACTATAACTATCATGAGTAAATGACAACTAGCAGCGCTCTTGTTTTGAGAATGAGAACTTCTCTGTGTGGCTCGTTAGGGGACTGCTAGCTTTAGCTTTTCCTCCAACCAAGTAAGCAGCATGATCATCTGCATCTGCGAACAAACACATATCATTCCGTAACATATGTCGCTGCGAAATACTTTATTCATATTTTTCATCCTACTTACTTATATATACGAGCGACCTGCTTCCAGCGCTCATGCAAACAGGCTATCCGCTCCGGTCTCGTATGTGTGTATAGGATCGGACCGTCTTGCGAGCTCTACTTGGCAACATCCCCACTCTCCAAAAAACAACTTACGCAACCAGGAGCCGGAAGCTTGTTCACCGACCGCAACCGGCACAGGTTGAACCGCCGTTGTGGTCTGGTAGAGTTGGGAGGACGGTTGCTGCATGGTCGACAGGTTTTGCGAACTGAATGCTGATGAAGCTGCCTGGCTTTGTTTCGGCTGATGCTGAGCTCCCGAGCTCTTATACAAGCCTGTCCCACTTGTTTTTGTTACGCTTCCAGATCCTACAAGTGCAGCGGACGATGCCGTTCCTTGTGGGCCAGCGTCTGGGATAAAAGACCCTGCCTGCATTACTGTTGAGCCAAACAGTTTCGGCTTCGCCGCGACCTGGTTCGTCGAGCTCCCTGCAGTGCTCGCCGTCGGTTCTGCCAGGGATGTCGCGGGAGCCTTTCCAAAAGCCTGCTGACCGGCAGTCGAGGTCTCAAACAGCTTCGGAAGTGCCTTCACAATGGGTGCTTTCACCCGAAAGTCCTCGTTGTACCTGGTAGTTTCATTCGTCAACGCGATTTCTTGATCTCACACAAAAAAGACACTGGCTCAAGCCAACGTAATTTGCTCGGGCATGTTTGATTGTTGGCAAAGCCGCTCTCGCTTTGATTTCTTTCATACAAAAAAAAACGCTCTGTCGGCTTCAAAACAAACTACCAGGATGGAACCGTTAGACTGACGAAGCGGAGGTGGAAAAACAAAGGCTACTAGTTGAAAATCCAAATCAAGAGTAGAAAATACGCATCGGATTGGTCTGACGTGGTTCCGCCACCTGCTCTTGGAGGTAGCACATATTTTACACGTGGTGCTTTTTGTGTGAACGATGCACGCTCGAAGCCTTTTATCTTCGGGACGGTTTGACCAGATTTCGGCGCCGCACTCATGGTCGTCACGGATGCTTCACTTGTCGCTGACACCATGAAGCATGTTCTTCGGGCCCCGGTCGTAGCGTCAGCGCCGAGTCGTCAATCTGTTACTGTTTAATATGCTTGGCGTTCCCGGCTCGCCTGCACTGAAAGAGACCTAGACTGTGCCTTTTCCAAAAGCGCGACCTTGCCTGCGGAAGTGGGTGCTCGCTCGAACGGCTGCAGCGCCGGCGGATGCGCACAAGAAAATGCCGATCTTCAAAATTATACCTGATTCACCCTCTTGTTTCTGCTATACCTGGCTGACTGCGATTCCGATTTCGAACCTCGCAGGATCGCGTGAATACTGCTTTGAATCAATGTGCTGCTGCTAGGGTCATCGACAACAACATTTATCTACGTGGACTTACTACACTGGATAATATTAGTATTTCGAGTTGTTTATTAATCTTGGGTCTTTCAGAAAAAATGCCTGGGCTTGGGTACGGGTTGTTATATTTCTATGGGCCCTGCTTCGCAATTTGATGTCGTGGTGTTGGAGCCGCTTCTCGCGAAATTCTGATTTTTACTTGAAGCTCATCATTCCTGGAAAGAGACAGACGCAGTATCAACACGAAAGACGAAAAGGGACGACCGAAGTTGCACGAATTGTAAAGCATACGAAGTTGCACGAATCACCTCCAGGGACGAGGACGAATAGAAACAGAAAGATGGACGATGAGATTACTATTAGTTCCCGAAGGCCGCTTGATCATCACGGCAAACCTACCGAAATTAACGTACTTGCGAGAGAGTCACACACTAACCTCTGCCACGACATCAAGACGAGATAGGCGAGCGGCCCACGAAGAGAAGAGAGGTGGGCGGCCCGCTAAAGAGATAGGCGGCGATGATTTATCATACTACTCCGTATTGACAGCGGCGCGCAAACGCCACGCATAGGCGAACTCAGCGCAGCTGTTGAAAAAACTGGTAGTCGTGCTCTGCCCTCGAACCAAGGATACCGAAAATAAGTAGTCGTGTGCTGGAACACCAGGCTTCACAACGAAGTACCTTCTGTCCAACGTCACTACAGCGCAATGCTGCCCGTGCAACAAGAATCCGCAAGGATCATAAAATCGTACAAGAGAGACTGGCGGATATTTCTTTATCTACAGACTGACGCTCGGAGCACCTCTCACCTTCAGTTTGTTGTTGCCCTCACACTTACGATATCATCTCGGATCCGGAGTGATCGCTATTGGTTTGCTAGCTTGTCACCTCCGATTCAACAGCGACACACAAGCCATAATGAGCTACTACTGATAAATTTAAAACTGCGCATCGAAACATAAACAACACTAAAGAAAAATGCATCCTTTGAAATAGAACGGGCCGAGTTACTCTGACAATTACAAATCTAAAAAAATGAGCGAAAGAAGGCTTTTTTGGGCCGTGGTGAACCAAACAGTGAACGAAGCAGCAAACGAGTTCAGCAAAAAAAAGCTTAGGAAACACCGAGGTAGCGGCGAACCACCATGCTCTCGCCGCAACAAGGACATGGCAATTTACTTAGTACCGATTACATTTATAAATATCAGATTAGTGATTGCCAACGTTCGAAACTGAAACTCGTCAACAGCGCTCAGTCTTATAATCCACGGTAGAACTGCTCTCCAAAAAACTCTTGGCGGATGGAGACGGCCTTAGCGAGGGCATCCTTCGTGGCATCGTTGGCGGCCTGCACGTCGGTATCCGGATATCAAAATGAAAATACGCCCCCGACCCAGAATATGAGAGTGTTAGTGTCTACGTTGCAGAAGTCGAAGTTCTAAATGGAAATATTAACATTAAGTTCTGCCGCCTTGCTCACATCTTTTCGAGCGCGAAAGCGAATGACAAAAATTTACGTCTCTGGCTTGCCATGTAAAAACTGTCAAATGCTTCGCGAGCCGGAGCCTCCAGTGATCTGCATGAGAGACAGTATTCTCGACTTCGTCCAAGCTCACAAGACAAGCAGTTTCCATTTGGAAACTTTCCAACGAACAATTAAAACTTCTGGAGAGGGTGCATTTTTGAATTTGATACCGGACCGTGAAAGTTCTTGCGGTGTTCATACGGGGCATCCGCGTCCATGGAGCTTTTCTTCGGCGCCGCTCCATCCTGCTCGGCATCTTGGGCGGCGTGGCGCTTAAACCTGTTGTCAGTATTTTCACGTTGGATAGTGGACTAGTTGAATCATCATATTACGGATTGATTGTTAAGTAAGTGTCTGCGTCTGGTTCTTCTTCTTTGAAGACGGCAGCAGGCTAAAATAAAAAACGTTACGCCCTTGCATAAAAAGCCCTGCAGGATGCATCAATTACGAGAGGGCACAACTAGTCTTGTACTTGTTGACAGTCTTCACCGATGCCTGGAATGACTCCGAGTTCATGGAATCGTCCGACGCCGCTATGGCCGCGGCTTTGGCCTGCAACACGCGGGTCGCCTCACTGTTGCTCCCGCCCGTTTTGCCCTTCGCGGCCGCCACGCCTCCCGAGCAGTCAAACATGGCGTTGCGGTCCGCCTTATCCAGACGTAATTTTTTGCCAACCCGATGATCTTACGATAGAAACTACGGTTGTCACGCACGGATACTGAGTAGGAACACTCATGCACGAATCTGCTCAGTTCAAGCCTGTCGTTTATGCGTATGCCTCGCTTCAGCTACCAATCTTTGCGATGATCACGTTCTTGACGATGATGGCTGTTTGTTTTTTCATCTGCAGTTGCTTTTATTCTTCTACACTTGGGTCATCGTTTGGCGAAAAACCTGTCATTTTCGTATGCCTTGTCGTCCACGTAGGCATCGTCCTTGTCACCGAATGGCTGTTATGCATTGCAGTTGCTGGTGTCATAGGTAGTCGTCAGAATCAAAGTTCGCGCAACGCATGCGTATCGTGCCGGAGCATTTCAAAGGATGAGCACAACACCGCGAAAAAAACACACACCACCCACATCAAGGTACCTCCCAGAGTTTCAGGTGTCGCTCGCCCCGATTAGCTATAGTTTTCATATAAAATAAAGCGAAGGCAACGATTCACAAAGGCTTTGCAAAACCTGACATCTGCATTTGCAATGGATAGCTGCTTTCCCTTCTTCAGCACCAGCGCCGACGCGGAAACCGAGAAAAAAGCCAGTTTACTCCACATCATACTAAATTCCCAGTGAGTCACACAAACAAACTTAGAGCTGCCGTTCCTACATGAGAAAGTGGGGCCACGAGAAAATTACAGCCGTGGTTCGTAATTGAAGATCAGTGTTTGACCCAAGAAGACTGAATCAACTGGATCCTGGATTCATTTCTCCTGCAGGTCCGGTGTTTTTGGGAGAGCGAGAGTCCAAAGAAAGGGCTTCTCGACTTCTCTTCTTCCAAAAAACCAAAAAAGAAAACTCAAGGATCGGCTCATTAAAAACTTGGGCCAGGAACTCGGAACTTAGAGCAGAACAATCACAGTGAAAAGGAAAACCGTGTATTGGAGCATATATCGAACCTTATCCGATTGCAAGAGATCGCTGAGCCGCAGCGGGCTGGTGAACAGTAATGCCGTACAATACAACCCCGCTAGGCCTCGTGACGCAAATAATGGCCGTATCAAGGTATCATCGTTCTTTTCCTATCATTTGGAATATAGCACTTAGTACGTGGCGCCGACATGTAAGTATCACCCTTTATTCTCAAGTTCCGGCCACGGAGGTCGCTGCAATGACAGGCTGCACCCGCATGCGTCACCTTCTTCAACACCAGTTGACATAATCGTACAAGAACATCTGCCCACTGTCTCGGACTTTCCAGGTCGTGGTCGCGTAAGTTATAATTACCTCGTCCCATACCTCTACTCCTGCCTCGCCGAAAGACCGTACTGCGTCGCGCTCGAGACTGAGACAGGAGCGTGGTCTTCTTCCGTGCTTAAAACTTAAGGACGAAGGGAAGAAGTACTACTAACCCAAGCTCGTTTCCTCGCGGTCCAAAATCAGGCAGAAGCAAAACAAAGAAAAACGGGCGACAGCCACAAGACACCGAAGACGATGACCGCCTACTGGCTCGGCTTGTTCGCTAAGTTGCTACTTTCCGGCTATGTCTCTTCCCTTGCATACCGAGCTCCTCATCCAAGAAAGCAACGGAACCTGTCCGCAAATCGGCTGCAAAGTAGGTGTCCAAGCCAATCTTCGTAGCAAACTTCTTTGCATAGAGATGACTATGGATGGCCGAATACGCATTGTGCGTGCGCCACCTGGGCCCGCAAGCTTGCTCGAAGCCCTCGACGTCATACAAGGCCTCGGCCTTGCTGGGCAGGTAAACGTGGAAAATAACAAGCAAAGGAATTGAATTTGCGAGTCTGTAGTTCTCATGCCTCAATTTCAAACTGCTAAAAATATCAATCTGTGCAATTGCTATTGCAAATAGATTGCTATGCAAACATAATATGGAGGGAGCTCGAAACCCAAGCGCAGCTACTATCTAATGTAACCGACTTCGCGCCTTCTCGCGCATGCATATGCGCACTCACGCGGCGACGCTTCCGCACGGCGACTAGAGAAAACTGGCTTTCAAATGCACACGCACACCAAAGCTTAGCTTTCAAGCATTACTGTTGCCTTTGCAATGCGGAACCGCAAAAAAGTCGCCGCGTCGCGACTAGAAGCAAAAACGCAATTTCTAAATTCAATTCCTGAGCTTGTGATAGAGAAACAGCGAATTCTCTCGGCGTTCCGCACATACCTCTGCAACAGCGGGATCGAGTTCCACGCGCGCAAGTACTGCATCAGCGAAAAGAATGTGTCCGCTTCTGGTTCTTCCCTTTTGGGGGGGTCTCCGCCCATCTTACTCGTGCTCGGGGCACGAGAATTTGACGCCTCTCCTCCTGTTTTTGACGGCCACACCGAATCACTGTGTTCCTGTCCTCCCGGAGCGATTACAACTAGTAGATCCCCTAGCGTCGCGGACTCCTGTCGTGCTTGCTCCCCGCGAAAGACCAGGCTCCGCGCGAGTCGATCGCCTTCCATCAAACGCATGGGCCACTTGATCATCCAAGGGTGGTCCGCGAACTTAGGAAACAAGGACCAGAAAGGCACCTCGTACAGGTCCGACAACAGAACTGGCACGCACCCGGCAAAAAGCGCGCGCACGAAGCGGCTTGTGTACCCCGAGATACCCCGCGGGATGAAGCAGAACACCGACGAGCCCTGACCGCGGATACCTTCGCTGAAGGGAACGTCCTGGCCTACATGCAGGTCGGGGTAATCGGTGGCGTTCTCCCGCGCCCACCTCAGCAGCACGCCCCGCGGACCTTCTGCGCGTCCCAGCGCTGCGTGTAAACGCCGGTTCCATCCGACAAAGTCGCCCAAATACTGGCGCTCGGTCAGCTCCGGCACGTTGGCCTCCAGTTGTGCGCGCACCTCGTCGATATTGATCTGCGGTGGCACGAGAATGTCCTTCGCAAAGTTAAAAGAGGGCTGCGTCTGCCACTTTTCGAAGTAATTCCAGAGTTCAGGCTCGTCCATGATAAACAGCGCCTCCGGAATGAACTGCCGCCATTCTTTCAGGGGTCCGTCAGCACCCTCGCCCCCGGAAAAGACAAACACGTGGTCACGTCCGTTGCTGTAAGGAAAGTGCGCGAGCTTCGGCACCAGCTGGCTCAGCAGCTGGGAGGACACGGTGTAATTGAAGGTTCCGACTTGGGTATGGCATGCCGTGTACTGAGGGACAAAATAAAAGTCCGCTTCCGCTGGGTCATCCGTCCGGCACGCGCAGGCCAGAAAATAGTGGTGCAGCCGCACCTCGAAGCCCCATTGCACATCCTTACAGAAGTGCGCACCGCGTGCAAGCAGGGGCAACTCCGGGTAGTACCGAGGATCGTCGACATCGTACACGTAAACTTTGAACGCCTGGGCGATCGTAGGCATAGGAGACGGAACAAGTGAGGCATTTCCTTCGCCTTCCGCACCGGTTGCTTTAATAGCTGCGATAGTATCATCTCCAGCGCCGCCCGTCGTCCCGCTCGCACTATTCATCAAACGGTCGTCCGCCCGCTGGTGAAAAGCGTTCTGGCTCCCAAAATCGTTTGGGATTTTGTCCCGGCTCATGCGCATCAATTGCTGGAAACTCCGCGACAAGCGCCGACTCGTGGTTGGCCACCAAAGAAAGGCACCTTCCGATTTTGAGTAATGATGTATGTGGTGGCTTTTCATATCGGGCGGACCACGACCGTGGTTCCGTCTAGGCGTGCTCACCTGATCTGCTCTTGTCACGTGCAGTTCCTCCAGGAGGTTCCACAGGGAACGCTGCCCTAACATGGGGTCGTCATACAGATCTAGCAATCCTCTTGTATCCGCAAACCGAAACACTTGTTCTTGGTCGATCGTCTCCCGGAACCATTTTACGAGCCCAGCGTCCTGTTGGAAGAGCCACCGCGCGAAGCCCTCTTCGACCGTCAGCGATGTAGTTGCACGCCCAGACGCTTGTTGTTCCTGCTCCTGTTGCTCGTCCAGGAGTGCCGCGTATACATGCTGAATTTGTTGCGTGTACGAGGTTTCCGTTTTTGTTTTTTGGCCGCGCTCCTTTAGTGTGGCTATGCTGTAGCGAAGGAGGATGCCCAGGCCCGCGACGTTCTGTTCGTCGAGTATGTCAGGATGCGTTGCCACGAGCAGCTGGTCCAGCACACGCCACACATATGCGAGGGCTCCATAGTTGTCGTCCGAGGCCAAACGACTGTCAATGACGATGCTGAGGATGGTGACCACACCCAGCAGACAGGTGTCGACAAACGATTCCACTAGCTCAACCAAGTCAACCACGCGCAGACTGCTCAGTAGAAACTCGTTCACAAACTTAGCCTGGCGCTGCAGCACAAGCTTCTCGAGCTCCTGCTGCGCGATTTGCTGGCGCGAATTACGCTGGATCACAGGAGGACCAGTTCGCAAATGTCGTTGCCCACCCTTATGCTCATGCTCCTCATAATGTCCTGGAGAGGCGGTGATGTATTCCCTGTCACTCCTTGTTCCTTTGCCAGCACGGTTCTCCTCCTCGTCTCGCCGCACAAAAGACAGAGCGTCGGCGACCCCAGAAGATGATGATCTCGTCCGTTCTGCGTCATCGATACTGCGACGCGCCGGTGTGCTGTGCCGCTGCGTTGTACTTTCGTCAGCCCCAGCACTTGATGTCGTGGCTGCAGTCACCGTCTCTTGTTCTGGGTCCGCAAAAAATTCTGCGACAGCAGCATCTTCGTCATTTTCTTGATGTGTCACCGGCTGCCCGGCCTGGTTCTCTGGATTGCCGCCCGCGGGCGCGATAAGATCAAAGCCAAGGAGAACCTCCCAGCGTGTTTGCGTTTCCAAATCGCGCAAGCCCCTTCGCAAACTCGACCAGTCTACCCACAAGCGGTCAGCCAAGTGCGCTATGTAGAGGGGAAGCGAGTGACTTCTACTTGCCCTTGAGAAACTGCATCAGCAATTGTTCCCAACAAATAACACTCCTGCGTGACTGTCGGTCCTTCGCCTTTGGATTTGGTATTGGTGTATGCAAAAAGCACGTCACGAAAACGCAATAGTCAACACCATGCGGGTTGGGCTGTACATCCAAACGTGCGCTTTTCGCATCACACCAGGAAATCTTCGAAACTAGCAGCTGCGTATATGAATATGCAAAGTAGAAATCCGCATGAAAAGATGGTTTTTTTCTCAAGGCTATCAGCACTCGTCTGCGAGATCACTGACTTCTCTCTGATACGCTGGCAGGTACGTACCATCTTGTGCTGTGGTGGCGTTCACCCATATACCATCGGGGTGTTGCAGCGGGCGGATCGACGAATCCTGCGCAAGAAGATCGAGCAACAGGGGGCTGCGCCTTTTCAGAACAAAAGCGTCTTTGCAACGGAAATCCTGACCGTAGAAGGTCTCCAGACGCTGCTCCGTCTTTTCCTGCTCCTCCACACTGAACTGCCGGCTCACGTCCTCCCCCATGTTCGCCCCGCGAATCGGTTTGAAGTCGACGCCATCCTCGCCGACGCCCTCGTCTCCGCCCCGTTGCCACTTCTGGTGGTAGGTCGCTTTCTTTTCCCGATGCTTCTCTGCCGACGTCGAGCAGTCATGATACATATAGCACAACATGAAGCCGGCGAGAAGAAGCGAAGCGGAACGAACCGCCTTCCAACGAACACGTTGGCGTCGCACACACGACCTGCGAGCATCGTGTCCAATTCGTACATGTTGTCGCAAGCAGACACCCCCGTTGCGTTCGACGCGTACGAAACAGCGCCTTTCAGCGAGGCAGCTCGAAAGACCGGCGACAAAACTCCTGACTACGAGAACCCACGACGACCATGAGCGGTTTTGATTTTGTCGCTTTTGAACGACCGCGTGGCGCGGCCACAGATTACAAGAGTGATCATCGATACATGTTCGAGTCGAGGTAATCCGTTCTACGATAGTCATGGTCGCCATGCCCGTGCTCTTAGTTTCCCTTTTTTATTTTTGTTACCGGGACGAGATAGGACCACACTTAGTTCTTCAGATCTCTTTCTATCTTGGTGCTGTATTGCACAATTTTCATCCAACATGTTCGTGTCCCCCCTCAATGTCCCCGAGCGCCTCGGTCGCTTGCTTTGCGAGTCTCGCACCTTCATTTCGATTGCTACCCCAGCAATTGCAAATTACGCTTCCATTGAATATAAACGACCAAGAAGGCAGCCACTGCAAGCAGCTGCGTAAAGAAACGCCCCCTACATTCCTATGGGCTCGAGGGGAAACCTCTTGCACTTAGCTCACGAAAGATCGAAGAAAGAAATTGATTCTTGACGCATGCGTGGAACAAATGCTATGTCCGGCATTCCCGCCTTCCGCCACAGCAGTACAACGAGCTCGCTGCCAAGAAGGTGGGCACCATACTAGTACAACGAACAACAACTCCACAAAGCCCGGGGCAAGTGTGTCGCGGGAGCACGTGCGAAGCAAGCCTCCTTTTCCATTTGATTCGTACTTTACGGTACACAAATTGGTACAAAAAGTCTGGGACAATGCAGATCTTGTCCCCTGTCCGAGTCCCTACGTCGTTTACAGTAGAGAGAATGCGCTAGGATGATAGTAATTTGCAGTCCGGTGACAAACTTACAATGATCGAGCTAGCTCGAGGCGCGGCGGCGGTGGCTATTCTTCATGTGGCTCGCTAGAACGAGGTAGGGAACATGTAAAGAGGTAGATGGAGTAGTAGATGCTACAGATCACATTTTACATTTGGCGCCTAGTGCTTGCCGCTTAATTAATGTCTTCAATAGATAGAAGTCTTTCTGTTTACCGGAAGCTTCAAATTCAAATGTAATAGAGGGAATTTTAAAGAGATGAAGTGTACATTAGATTTCAATTTCTGCAGGGTGAAAGTGAATACGTTTTTCTCTTTTGCTGCATTCAGATTATTGATTCTGCAGGAGTGGTCCGTTTCGTGAGCACCCCAAGAATTGCGCACGATCTTCATCTATCGATGCCAGCACGCACTCAATAGATAGAACGTCGGGGGCGAGTCACCTCTATGTCATTGTTCGTCTCTGCCGCAGGGCGACAGCAGAGGCACTCGAAAAAGCTTGGCTCCCGCCTCGGCTCGGGCTGTATCGGCGTCGGTCGATTGTCCGCATTGCCGATCTCGTTACCCACCGGCATCCCAAACGGAACCCCGGGTACCGCAAGGTGTGCGACGCCACCCTTTGCCACTTGCTGTTTCCCTGTTTGTTTTGGTGCTTTTGTGCTTCTTGCAGGTTCTTGTTCTTCAAGGAAAACACTGACTCCAAGCGGCCGAGTCTAAAACTAAAGTGGCGGGCAACCGAAAAACGGCCGAAAGTATGGCCCTACAAGATGCGCTTGCTGACGAGCTTCGACAAAAGTCGAGGGACGCGCTGGGGGTTTGCCTTTGGACTTTCTCAAGGGCGCAACTTTGCAGAGCTTGTCAGACCTAGAAGCAAAAGCCAAAAAAATGTTTGCCGTAGTTATAAAATATATACGTAATCGTGCTGGGCGCTTGAACTTGATGTCAAATGGGCGTGGTTTTTTGAAGAGTTCGATTTTCTGGTCGTCGTTTAGGTTCGAAAATCCGGTGCCACCAACCTCTGCAATTTCGTCGTTGATGAGTACACCAGACCTCTCGGCCCATCCACCCGGTGTCACGTTGATCACTCGCGCGCCTTTATCCTCAGTAAAAACGTTCCCCCCCCCCACACTGGTCGTGGTAATCTACATAACATACGCAGAATGTCTCTCGTGCGCAGCCCCACGAGAACATCTTGTAACGTGTGTTTTGAATACAGTCATACACTAATCAGGATAAGGTCAAGGTGGTCACTTTGATGTGATATGACTTTTCTAACCTCCAGGCGCGAGGAGCAGCAAACTATGAGCTCACAAAGAGGATGAGCTCACAAAACTTCTCAAATTGTGTAAGAGATTCCACGCGTTGCTTAATATGGGGTGGAGACGTTTTCACTCAGGATAGCCTTTGAAGCCCATCCCTGATGATAATTTTGAAAAATGACGTTGAAGGTGAGATCGATCAGAGTTGATGCAATTTTAATTTCTAGGAGCCGGAAAGCAAAACTACAGCAGTTAAAATTGGCACTTGCAAAACTATCTATACCGAGCTTGAGTTCCTCCAGCGTGAGTGTGTAATAGGCGTCCTTGATTTCGGGGCGCTTCAACTTGATAATCAGGGGACGCGGTCCTTGCAGCGCAGCCAACTTCTCGTCGCGATTCATGGCGTAAAATCGTTTACCTGTGGACGCATTGGTTTGGAATCATAATCAATCTCACGTTGACCATGCGTTGTTTTCCCTTATCATCTGTGTCCTGTGCCTGTCTTTGCAGTGGACACAGATGTCCTGTCTTTGCAGTGCTGAGAGGCAGGAGGAGGGAATTTCCACCTTTTTCTCGCAGGTAATTGTTTGAAAGTTTAAGTGTAAGGAACTATTTCTGTTTTCCCATCGAGGCCGTGCAAAAAATAAGCACACTAAGACCAACACCACGCTGTTCGACGTCGATTTTGATTGTTTCCTATAACTAAAACTATGGTATGTAAAAGCAAAAAAAAACAAACAATACCATTGACAAGGTGAATTTCGTCGTCTAGTTGAATGCCGGAACGGGCAGCCCAAGAATCTTCAAAAATGGTGGTGACCTCTATACCGTTGAACTTCATGCCTAGTCGCTTCTCCTCGCTATGGATGCGTCAGGTGGGAACTCATCAACTTGAATGCCAACGCTGTGCTCGCATCTTCTGGCATGCGAGTTAATTGTCTGATAGTCCAAAGCATGTAGCTGCTGTTAGAGTCTTTTGCGAAGGCTTGTGAACGCTCGGGCACGCACGCACGCACGACGCACGGACCCTCTTAGTGCGGCGTGAGTTGGAGCGCAGAGACTTTCTATGCTGCCGAGGAAGCAATTTTCAGAGAAGAATGACCTGAAGCTACATCAAGCAACGAGCCAGCGCTTTGCAATTGCATGTCCTCTAATCCGCCAGCTTAAAAATTGGTGTGGCAGCTCTGTGCTTGTTTATTCAGTACAGTAGCATGACAGGGCGAACAATTATTTTATCCGCGGCTGCAAGTGTTTTGCTTTTGTATTTCTATTTTCAGTTCCACTGCTTTTTAGCCATGAAGGCAGATGAGGCTTCGCGTCCTGGTGAGGGCACTACCGCTTTTACGCGGTAAGTATGAATGCGTACCTTTCGCCTTACCATGGTTTCAATCTTGACGATTTCCCACCTGACACTTGAATATTCGCACACCACATCATAATAGACGTCGCCAGGCATCGTCGGCGACGCTTGCGCCAGTACGTCCTCGGGCGTCGACATAGCAACCAGCACTAGCGAATAGGTAAATTGGCCGCAACAAACTGTCGACGTTGAAACACACTGGATGCGCTTTTCAACCTTCTCGTGCCAATGCACTTATTACTACAGCAGCCAAATCAAATACTATATTTTTTACTGGGTCGCTGTTGCGACGAGGGGTGGAAAGAGCGGGTAAAAAAATCCAAGACGGAGGAGAAGAAGGTGTTTGTATACGACTGTGCCTCGTGTGTTCTAGGGGGGTAGCCCAGAATCGCACGAGTTAAGTTCTTCAACAAAATGGTGATCAGACTGTGGTGGTATTTGTAAATTTCTTATAGATACAGGTGAAACAAGTTGAAGTTTCTACCAGGTTGGTGAAGACGCAATGACGTTTCCAAATAAGCCGACCTCTCCTACGTATTCGTTAGCGTTATGTCAATCGTATAAAAGAAAAACCGAAGATATCCTTGTTTCCGTGAAAAAGAACAGCGCAAGACCGAGGAAACGCAATGCAGCACGCATACCGACTCATTTGGGTCTGCTCTGTGCACGAAAGGGAAACCGTTCGTCTTCGTTTTCGTACGAGGAAGTAATAAATCGACTGTTCCGAGTGCACGCTCCTACGTTTTCAGTACGACGAACAAGCTTGTACGCACCGAATTCATCAATCAAACGGAGAGACGAGCGAACAAAGTATCGTTTTACTGGTACAAGTGCTTCGCGGCCATGGCCAAACGACGGAAATACAAAGTACCTTCCTCGCGCCGCTGTGGAAGCACGATGGCACGGGAGCTGCTTACGCATGCAAATAGAAAAAAATAAAACAAGCGATGGGACTGGGAGCCTTGATGAAAAGACATTGATGTTTATTCATTTCACAAATCCGTTTATTCGAGCAGAAAAGGAGGTGCGGCCGCAGCGCCGAAACCGAAAATGCGGCAAGTTTCAATCATGCTGCGTCAATTGAATCGCAGCGGGTTTCCTGGTGGCGGAATACCGACGCCCTTAGGTAGTGCTTGTTCAAATTTTGAAGGGAAAAATCACCTCTTCCAATCCTCGAAGCTGATGAAATTAGTGGTTTTTTAGTGTGCTGTCTTATGCAGTGAATGATTACAACATTCCCGACCGACCCATCGTTGGTTTTCTTTGCTGAGAGCCGAACGAAATTTTTGCGCACCTTTGATCATGTGCCAGTGGCATAAAGTGCGCATAGAAATGCTGTCTGCACGCAGGCGGCGGGCCATTGAGGAGCCACTGCGTTGAAAATGCCAGTTAATTGTGTCCTTCTCCTTGTCTCACAAACCTGCGGTCACAATAAATCACAAAACGCATATCAGCTTTTGTGGAGGCTGAGGAGGTGGCGTTTTTCACTTCGATATCGAATTCGTATTCCGCGGCAGCAGCTGCATGCGTGGTGTAGAAAGCGGCTGCATCCGCCGCTTGGGCGGCTTCCCTCTGGATCGCTGCTGCGCGCTGCTGCAGCTCGGCCGCTTGGTCCTCTGCCTGCGACAGTTGCAGTAGACTCTGCTGCGCTATCCTATGTAAAAACGTACCCACACCAGAGTCAGGATGGGGATTTTGCAGCACAAACCTAGGAGTTTTGTGAGTCACGCATGACAAGTTGCGCTATGCAGTGTAGTGCAGGTTAGCAAGTGCAGCCGCGTCACAGATTCATCTGCTCATCCTGTTCACAGCATCACAAATTCCAAAACATGATTGGAAATGGCTCTCATGGGGAGGCGCATTACAAGTCTTCCTCTCTTTGCAAATCTGCATTACAACTCTGGTGTGGGTGCGTTTTTACTCAGGATATGCGCCGCAGTGTGGTCACCCACGGATTCCACCAGCTCGGCCCGCTGCTTCCACGCGTCCACAAAGGCCTCCCGCTGCCCGGCTGCATTCACGTAGTCCTGCGCGCGAGCCTGCAAGTCGGCCGACGACTTGGCAGCGGCCTTCGAATCGGCTTCGTACTTTGCTTGTACTCCTGCGCCTGCATCGTGCGCTGCTTGCAGGCTAGCGGCTTCCCAGCTGTTGCGCTTCTGCAAAGCCACGGTCGCCTGCAATCTGGCCTCGTGCTTCACGCTCGCGAGCATGTCCTGTGCGAGCTTCTCACTCTGGGCCTTCACGTTTCCTAATGTTCTCTCGTACGCCGTCCGGGCACGCAAGGCAGCCTGCCCCGCAGCTTGCGCAGAGCTATTTGCAAGTGATGATAATTGCCATCTGTTCGACTCTAAGCGATAAACCGATGTATCATATTCGCCATGTCAGTAGTGTATAGCCCCTCGGAGCGCAATTCTTTCACTGTGTTGCCCAAAAACGAAGTTCAGAAGCATTTTCACTCTTTATGCTTCAGCTTTCTGATAATCATCCCCTTGAGTCTACGCCTTCGACCGTCTTGGTCTTGCAATTTTTCAATATCATATACGTTTATTCAATGGAGCAGAACGTGAGCAAAAAGTGGTGCAATTCTCTGCATTTAAACGACCACAAGTATCCTCCATCGTCGAGATTTTTACACTTCATGACATTGATTTCGAGTCTCAGCAAGGAAAAAAGAAGCGTACCTGTATGCCTGCATCATCTGTGCCTTGACTACAGGCAACGGCGGATCGTTCGATCGTGCACTTGCTGCAGCTTTTGTGTTTCCTACACTCGAGGTCAAGAAATTCTTTCGTCGGACCAGAAGGCTGGCGGTGTCCCCCGCTCGGCTGGAGGAAGTCCCAGGCGTGTACGTGCTTTCGATTGGTGTGAAGGAGGAAAGGGCGACACACTGGTGCGCGGTGCCCATTCGCGCGCAGTCACTGCTGCAGTACCGGGCGTAGTCATCCTCGCGATCGTGTTCGTTCGTGCAGGTCGCGGTGGTCAACGGGCAGGTGCGCGGAACGAGCGAGCCTAAATCTCCCTCCATCTGGACGAGCCCGCAAGTGGCAGTGCTCCCGCTCAGCGACACGCAGCAGTCGCAGGAACATGACGAGGCGGTTATCGCGGCTCGGCCCGCCACGAAAGGAGCGACCTTCGTGCCCGTTGTCGCGCAAAAAAAGACCAACCAGAAGATGAACCCACACTGAGCCCACTTCCTAGTTACCTGCAGGACCACGGGGCATGATGAGCGGGGGCACACGAACGCGAGAGGACCACCGCCACCATCTTGTTGTCCAGTCTTCATGTTCCTTATCCGCGCCCTTGCGAGCACAAGGGCGCTAGTCCTGCCCAGGTTCTGCTGTGGCCCATACTACCCCATCATATCGCAAGCGCGTTTTGCTACTGCTAACGTCACTAGGACTACCTACGACGAAACGACGGCGCGTACCTTTTACAACACGCAACGCCTTCTATTTTTACCAAAACTGACGGCAAGGGGGCATAAAAAAGATCACGAGCGCGATAAGGTAATCTGTACCTATTAGAACAACAACAAGATTGACTCCCGCATAAAGAAACCGCGCCAGATTTGCTTCTCGCAACGACAAAGTTTCTTGGTAGCTCTCAAACTGATTACGCCGCGCATGTCTGTTTCCGTCTTTCGGCCAGGATGATCACTCATGACATCGAACAAGCATTGCATTATTGCGGCTTCGCTCAAGGAACAAGAAAGTCATTACACATAGCATACTTATATGGCGAGTGGTGTTTTTGGACGACATGCCAAGCATTCACTCTAGTGTAATTTTATTTTAATTGTAATCTGTCATAACTGGCAATGAAACTTTTGTGCATTCGCTTGCAGATCGGGCTAAAAAACAACATTGGTCAAAGAAACGGGGGTCGCTGATGCCGAGGGTTCCGTCTGATCGACGTAGATTCAAATAGAATAGTGCAGACTATACGCATTTGTTCTCAACGCTTCGGCATACATACAGAACATCGTTCGAGCACGAATAGAAATACGGCTGCGTGGGTCAGCGATGTACGAGTACGTCGCATGATTCATTGCAAGAAGAGCAGCAACGCTAGTTGGAGGTGCTGCAGGAAATACATACTTACTACCAGGAGAACTACTAGTTCGTGAAAGCTGAAGATATAATTCAGTTCATTTTGCGGCTCGTCTCTAGCAAAGCGTTTCTGATTTCAGAACGAAGCCCCTGCAATGCACCGAGTAGAAGTGGCTCGCGTTCCTTTTCCTGGTCTTCTTCACCACTAGTGACGTCGTCATTGACCGCCTGCTGCAGCTGTGCGAGAAATTCCTCCTCGTCCTCAAGAAAATTATGACTTATCGCTGCAGTGCGCGTCACATTGCGGGCTCGGTGCCAATGACCCGCGGGGAGGTACAGCATCTGATGCGCTTGTTGACGGAACCTGTAGACAAAACACCTGTTGTCTACGTTCTCCGTTTGCGAAGCGGGCTGCGACGAGGTGGGGATAGCTCGGCTTTCTTCGATGAAAGAAGCACCTGCGCAGCTTGCTGGTCGTTGTGCTTTGGTGCTAGTCCTAGACCGCTGGGCTGTCGACGCGCTGTGCCTGAAACTCCCACTCTCGCGAGGAACGAATTCAGTTTTTGTGGCCCCCTTGATAAGAGGTCTGCTAGAAGGCTCGTCGCCACCCGCGCATTCGATTTCCCACTCTTTCTCCCCCGCGATGAGATACAACCAAGCACCCGTACCCTGCGGGTCGACGTGCCAGTCCGAAAAAGTGTCCTCCTCGCCTATGAAGATCCACTGCGTGAGCCGCTGCAGCAAGGTCGCGGTTCTCGAGTCGACGTAGGCCGCCCATCGTTGGTCCCGGTCGTCTATCCATATGGAAAAGCACACCCACACCAGAGAAGAGGACACGTGGAAAACCATACATTGTCGTGTCGATGTTGAAAGGACTGCGCTGAGCTCGACGACTGTCTCGTTGTGCCATGGCCCCTACCATATTTATTAAACTCGTTGGTGAGCCTCTGCAGGCACTGAAAATGAAAATTGTGCTGCGAAAGGGAAAGCTCTAAATTGCAGAGTTAGCAGCGGGCCCTTTTTTCGTCCGTTCAGATGCATACCGTGATCCGGATTGGGGATCATGCGGGATAGGGAAAACAAAATGAAGAACGCGCGATGCTGAGGCTGCAAAGTTAACTTGTAGTTGTACTTGCTTTCCTGGCTCGAGATTAATGGTTAATTTTTCAACACGGTCGATAGGCTAAGTTCGTGCATCTGTCTAAACTCAGTAAGCACGTGGACACCGACCTCGAGCCAGGTCGGGCACTCGGATCCTGAAGTCACGCTCTAGAAACACAGGCGCGAGTTCATTTCACGCGAAGGTAGAAGTAACTTCGCCTCAACAACAGGCCGACCCCTTATGGGTCGCGCGGCAGCGCCGTAAGTATTTTACGGCGCGAACTGGTTGGGACTCACCGAAAAGCCGTGAGTCTCTATGGTCGTGCATGCGACTTCGCGCGCACGAGGTGATTTGGTATCATCTTCCAGTCGCCGCAAACTATACCCAATCGCCGAGTGCGTCGACTGAGTAATAGCAACTTGGGCCGGCGCCAGGCGCTCGGCCTGGTTGCTACAGCGTGGTCGGGGCCATCCATGGCGGCCCCGGAGGGCTGGGGGGGGCAAGCAATATTTCTAGTCCTTGTCTTTACTGGGGCCTCCGCCCCGGTACGAGGGACGGGTTTAGAAGTAGGCCACGCCGGCCCCTACCGAAATACGCCTCCCTGCGCGCGGTTGCGCCCTAGACACTCTGGCCCCCGCGGCCCTCATGGTTAAAGCACAACACGATCGGGCAGCAAGTCGAAACAGCAAGTCGAAGCAGGGCACTAACCATGCCCGCCCCAATCGCCCAAAATTGGAGCCACAGCAGAAGCTCAACGCCCCTGCCAATGACTCGGCATCCACTGGCCTGAGCTTGTCCGCGCTAAGTGCGGCCCGGATTTGCTTGCCAAGCTCCCCGGCGCGCACGGGGCATACTTCGCAAGAGACCCCGGAGGGGTGGACGTGGTGAAAGACGCCCAAAAAACGTATCTTCGGGCCAAGTTCATCCTTGTCCCGTTCAAACGTTATGCTGAGCAGCTCCGTGAAGAGGGTATCCATGTCCCTCGCGCACTGTTGCTCGTCTGCGAGCTGCGTCGGGGCTGCGTAGTCGTCGAAGTAGCTGATGAGCGGCAACCTCAGCAGCCTCCGCCCGAGGCTCGCCACGGCCAATGAGTAAACATTAAAGTTGATCACGGACGCCTCTTCGCCAAAAAGGAGGACTTTCGCCGTGGCGCCGAAGAGCCTGCCGGTCTTCGGGCATTTGCACACGACCACGACGAAGCGCTGACGCGCTAGCAGCTGCCGGTAGGCCTTTTTCATATCTTTTTTCACAAAAGATAGAGCCGGCACTTTCTCGGGGTCGCGCCGCTTCATGGCCCGCAGGAGGCCGAGGGTGGTGGCGGAGAGGTCGTCGCCCCCAAGCAGCTTTATCGGCGTTAACTTGTAGTTGTACTGCGCTGCAAAGTTAACTTGTAGTTGTACTTGCTTTCCTGGCTCGAGATTAATGGTTAATTGCAAGTAAACCATGAGGTGTGAGTGTCGTGCTTTTCTGTAGAATATGTTCCTGCACCAGTAGAAATTGCTTGAAGGCTTGCCAAGCGTCGTCGACCATAGTTGTCAAACAGTCCGCGGTCTTCCAATTTGCTTCGCGAACTAACGGGTTCGTTTCGGTCTTGCTCCAAGAGCATCTGCTTGTTCTGCTGCCATGCTCCCCGTCGACGAGGCGGTTCACATGATCCTCTCCATGTTCTTCATCTTCTCCCGAGGAGGTTGAAGTGGCAGTTGCCGTTGTGGCTCGAGGAGCGGAAAGTTTGCGTCTTTTGCTTTTGCTAGGACTGTCGTTTGCACCGTCATCTTCACACACTGACACTGTCGCTAGGCTGCCGTTGCTCCTCTCGCCGTTCAAGTCTCGGGCTTTCAAACTGAATCGGTATTCCCAAGCCCGCAGGTAGGAAGGGAATTCTCGGGTTTTGCAGAGGTTGCGGTCGTTGCAATGATCTGCCGAAGGCGACGGATCCTCATCCAAACTCATGGCGGAAACCGGGCTGTCAGAGCTGCCGCTGCAGTCTGCTCCGTCAGGGAGGAACCGCGTCAGCGCTTCCTGTACACTCTGCATGACAAATCGCTCCAAGGCCGCTGGAGGGTGTCCGACGTCTTTTTCTCTTTCGAGTTTAGCTGGCCCGCCGACCTCCTTTCGCCGCGGCGCGAGGACGACTGCCTCGTCATCAATGGCACGCACATCAAGTGTGTTGGCTTGCCAGTGAGAAATCGCGGCGTCCCGCGACGGCCACTGCGTCAAAATGCAGTCCTGCTCGCTCTCCGGATCCAGCAACGGCAGCAGAAACCGCACGAAATCGTCGACGGTTTCTAGGGTGTAGGGAAAGTTGAAGAGCTGGCGGTGAGCAGCGAAATCGAGGTGGACAACCCAGGGCGACGCGGTCGCTGCAGGGGACACAACTATATTCGTGCGAGGATCCGAGTGTGTACTGGAGGAACCCGGCGTACCAAATTCATCTGCCATCTTGAATGCTATGCGGGGTAAAACATGCCTACAGATGTCGACTGTTATTGGTGGTGCATTCGACTGTCATATGTTGTCACTTCTTACTAGGCAGTCATATGTTGTCACTTCTTTTGTCTCCTGAGTTGTGTAGTAGAAATCGGAAACTGTGGTTGACACTTTATCACGGAACGCTTTATTTCTTTCATCGGTGTTAAGATCATGGTAAAATGGCGCTGGCGCTCACACCTTGCAGGATCGCAATATTTCTAAGTAGGACCCAGGGAGCATTTCAGCTCCTTCTTGTTCCCTACATTTCTGAGGGTCAGTGGAGAGGAGTCTGGACACACGAAGTAGAAAGAAAATGATCCTGACAGGCTGCACATACCCACGTGGTTTGGAATTGGATCCACTTTTTGTGATCCTGAGTGATTTCAATATGCCATCGCTAGAGCAGTTTGGTCCGCATCTTCAAGGAGTGCGAACACACCTGTTCTTGGCTACATTTTCGCCATAACGGCGCAGCTCTAGTGTGTGTTTTTGCTAACAAAATTAGTTTCAAAATAAATGAGTCTTCGAATCCCAATTTTAATAATAGACAAGACACACCGCATTACCATCGATGAGCCCCACTTACTATATCTACAATCAAAATAGTGTACAACAAATCGTGAATCATACAAGTGATCAGAGAAGTATCACTATGACAGTGACAGTCGTGGAAAGGTCTCTTCACTGTCAAGAAAGCACCCTGGTTGTAACGCTATTGTTTGCCGCAACGGCGATTTCACTGCATTATACAACGTTCACAGCCACGATGTTAGCGTGTACTAAAGCGACTCGATGTAAAGCACCTTCTGCTCTTACCGTGTTCCAAAAAATTCGTCGATCCGGCCCGGTTTCGGCTCCGGTTGCAGTTGATAGGTCTTCAACCACGGCCATTTTTTGGCACAGCCGATGTTATTTTCCCGTGCACCTTGGTAGCATCCTTTTCCGTAATCCCGGTAAATAGTACCATTACGCTCGAAGTTTCCCATGTAGCCAAAGTCGCGGGTTGCTGTAAAATTCATGTTGGTCTTCGATCTATCCTACTGCCACTGCGATCTACCTATACGTCCTCAGGCATCCGAATTCTATCCATCTACACATCGACAAGCTGATACTTGTTCGACTAAATCATGACACGACGATAATGAATTTGCAAAGAGCGTGGAGGTGTTGACAGGGTACCTGCTATGCGTGCCTAGCGCAATTACAACACAAAAAAAAAATGTTTTTCTACGGTGGTCATCATATTGGCGCTCGTGGTGGCGAAGCCGGTCGATCGTCTTTTCGTAGAATGGACCTCTTTTGAACTCTCGCACTGGGTCGTCGTTTGGTCGATCGTCCACACGACATTGCCACCTGGGTGCCTTCGTGTTTTTCGTCTCTCCCGCCCACCTGAATTGTTGTTTTTCCCGTCTCGTCAAATTCTGTGCTTGTTATCATAAAATGTTTTACAGATGTACAAAAATCAAAATAAAGCCGTCGCGATTTCGAGCATTAGCTTCAATTTTGAGCTCGAACTTTCCTCTGATGAGTTCCATAAATGGTTCTGAGTTTGAGTCACGGCTTGGCTTTTGCCTCTGTGTTTGATTTTTAACATGAGTTCTAAGTTTGAGTAGATCGAGCTCCAGGTTCGGTTTTGAGTTTGTCCCGTTGCACTCGCACTCCTTGTCTACTTTGGTTTGGGTTTCAGCCCTTTGAGTTTGAGCCTGAGCTCGAGTGGTATCGGGCTGCACGCGGGTGTTGAGTTTGAGTGCGAGAATCTGCCAAATCAGGTGCTCTGCTGTTTGTGTTAATAAAGAATGCGAAGTAACTTAGAAACCTGGGCGTGACTTCCAGGGTTCGTTTGCCTTCTACCACGACTTCGCTGGGATTGTCGCAAAACGGGGCTAAAGATGCCGCAATTCCGTTTGGATTTCCTGGTCGCCGCTGGCTCCGAGTATGCCACCACGGATTCTTGCATGTGTTACGGATCGCCTTCTCAACTGCCACTTGGTGTCCCCCGAGGACACGATTCTCTGCCCGCACACCGAGCTCCTGATGCTTTCTCGAGGTATCGGCGACGTCGTAGTGGGGATACCCCCGCTCCGTCCCGACACTCCGGCAACGATACGTATACGGCGGCATCGTATTAGAGAAGTGAGGCAGTGTGACAGCAATCGGCTAGCAATGAACTTAGGAAGTATGTCGTACTCGTTCGATTAACGGTGGACGTGGCGTTCTAGAGCTTGCAGCAGGAGGTTTCACGAAATATCTAAAAGTTGACTACGGGTACTATTTTTTACCAGCGGTGGTTAACATTGAATTTGTACCTCTGCCCTCCTCCTCGTGATTACACAAATTTCGGGCCCTTGCGATCATGCAGAGCACGCCACTTGCTGGGGCTTCTCGTGTTTGGCTTTCTCACGCTGGTTGCATCCGAGTGTTACGATAATCGCAAACGAGTCACGACAAAAACTGCGAGCATCGAAGAGTCCACTTTTTTGCAACGTGATTATCAATAGCGGAAAAGCCTACGTGTGGTAGACGCGTGGCTTGGCGCCTGACCACGTCGGTCCTTCCTTACACGGTGGGTTCTTCTTTGTTTTTGTTTCATCTCTTTTCTTGAACAGTGCGCTCTTTCTCGTGGTCTTCCTCTTCGCACAAGAGCCAGACAGACAGAAACTCCTCCTGTTCCTCTTCGCACGACGCGAGCCCGACGACTACACAGCTTACTTTCTCGTGACAGTGAGCGGTTTGAAAAGGCGCACAAAAATTCGCTTCACCCTGAGATCTGATCTCTATCCCCCCCGAGAATCTTCACACTCACGAGGACATAAACAAGAACTCATTTGAAAAGCGACAACGAGAACGACAAGACATGTGATAATCACACCTCAACAAAATGGGCAGCTTTCATCCACTAAGAATTTGCAATATTCATTGCCGCCTGATGTATGCCCATGATTATCCCCGCCGGATCAACGTGCTCGAGCTTAATATCACGGAAAGCCCTGCGTTCGAAATCTTCCTCGGAAGTCGCTTCGTACATCGCCAGCGGGCGACTAACAAAAGTCGCAGGGTCCATCCAAGGGAGAACAACGTTGTCCTTCAATGCTCGCACGGGCATTGGACAAAAAATACTTAAACATTGCTGCGTGCGCGGTAGGATCTTGCTCAAGATTTTATTTCGTTGACAGCATATAAACAGATGCTCGTCATACACAGAAACTGAAACGTCATGCTTGGGTGTTTTTCTCTTGTCTTTAGATTTTTTCACGGCGCCGTGGTGCGGGACCAACATTGCTGTACAATGTAGTATCTTCTTCTAATTCTATTGGTAGTCATAATGACCTCCGTGCTCTTGCTTGGTCCGGCAGCAGTAGCGCGCCCACATTCATACAACTGCACACGGTAAAAAACTCTAGGTGTCGCACAAGCAATACTATACAGTTCCAAAAATCAACATGATGCGGCCCGCGCAAAAACGACAGAGAAAGAAGTTCGCTGGATTTTCTAGCTGCATGAGCTCACAACCAAAGCAAGGTGAATTCCGTCGATCTAACGATCTACTAGTACTAGTTGACTCTTGGACTTTGTCACACCATATCGATATATCGAAACTCGAACTCGATGCACCTAAATAGATAGTACACTAGCACAAAATTGACAGATGATCATCTTCGCTGGCTTGCGTGTGTAAAAACCAGAACTACATGCAGGTCGGAAGCGCAACAATAGTAGATATGCGCGTGAAAGTCAACGCCGTCCACGAAACAATATGTCATCACTGACTGGAGTATTCGAAAACGACGGACATTAACGCCACATGCCCTCTATTGGCACATAAAACATATTTGTTTATTAAGTAGTATGCGTAGAGTCAAATAAGCACTAAAGGCGAGGGTCGCTATGAAATTTAGTTCACATCACAGAGGAATTTATCATGTGGGATACCGGACTTCACCAAAGAGGGTGAAGATCGTTTTCGCTGCAGTGCAAGCGTGGGCTTGGAAAAGTAGCACGGGTTAGATAATCACCTCACCCATTTCCACGTTTTTCCAGGTATTATTTACCATGTGGTTTTTGCTGAAATAAACAATATGAACACAACTGTCGTACGACATGCATCTTCAGGGTCCTCACGCACATTGCACCTAGAAGTAGGGGCCAGCCTTCCGGACCTCTAGTGGGCACCTGTCGGCATACTCAACGAAGTTGGCACGAAAGAGTTCGTATCCTGAGTAAAAACGTACCCACACCATAGTCAAGATGGGGAATCGGCTAGACAAATCCACAAGTTTTGGCTGTTTTGCATGACAAATTTGCATTCGTAGTGTAGTGCTGTTCGAGCTAGCTCAGCAGCATCACAGATCTAGCATACCATGCTGATTGGAGCATGACAAATTGCCAAACACGACTAGAAAATGCTTCTCATGGGGCTCCGCATGAGAACCATTCTCAGCATGCAGATTTGCATTACAACTATGGGGTGGGGACGTTTTTAAATACGATAGTTCGTAGAGCTTGTTCAAGGACGTGTCGTAGGCCTTGGGGTCGGACCACGACTTTCGCGGATTCAAGATCTCTATGCTGTGCAAAAGTATCGTACTCGTATTAATGCAGGTCTTGCATTACAAATTTCTTTGTCAAGGCAAATCAGCATTACAAATTTTATTTCTCATGCTGAGAAAATTTGTAATGCATTTATACGAGTACGATACTTTTGCAGTTCATAATCTCGCTGGGCACGCCCGGGATGCTTTTCGGCATCTGCAGCCCAAAGAGCGGCATCTCTTCAAACTCGGTTTCCAGTATGGGGCTCTCAAACGTTACTACATTCTCAACTGTTACATGGTTTGTCATGCACGATTTGTTACCACCAGGATCGCCACGATTAAGCTGCTTCGCATGACAAATATTTATCCGAAGGGCTAAACAGCATCTAAATCTGTGCCAAATCTGTAATGCAAAAGGCGCAATCTTTATCTTCCCCCTTTCACTTTCGCCGTTCTTGCATTACAAATTCATGTAACAGTTGAGAATGTAACATTTGAGAACTCCATATCCAGGATGCTCTCGTTGTGGATCGCGTTCACCAACTTTCGTGTGTGCCTGCAATATCAGCAATAGTAGGAATAAATACTTCGCACGCCTAAGTTTAAATGATCTTTCGAAATTACAAATTCGGTTGAACTATCTACAGATGGGCTCAGATATGGCAATTCTTCGTTGCACAGCTCAGACTCATTCACTGCACCGGAGGTCGAACCACCACCTCCAGTTCCACTATGCCAATTGGTCTTGCTTTTGGTTTTGAGTGACTGACCACAGGGAAAACAATAAGGAGTGGAGAAAAAAGAAAAACTCCTGACAACTCGAATAAAAATGGGATCGTACTTGATTTCCATGCGCTTTCCGACTCCGTAGCCGCCACCAGACCAACCCGTGTTCAACAGGTAGGCGTGACAGGTGTGCTCCTCAAGTTTCTGGGCCAGCATCTCGGCGTACACAATGGGGTGCCACACTAGGAAGGGGGCTCCGAAGCATGCACTGAAGGTGGCGGTCGGCTCCGTGACGCCCTGCTCGGTCCCGGCCACCTTCGCGGTGTAGCCCGAGATGAAGTAGTACTGCACCTGGGCCGCGGTCAGTTTACTCACCGGAGGCAACACGCCAAACGCGTCGCAGCACAAGAGGATGATGGAGCTTGGGTGACGGTCCACCTTGGCCGGGATCATGGCGTTGGGGATGTAATGAAGCGGATAGGCCGCCCGGGTATTCTCCGTGATGCTGGTGTCGTAGTAGTCGATGACCCGGGTGGTATGATCGAACACCACGTTTTCTACCACCGCCCCGAACCGGATTGCGTCGAAAATTTCCGGCTCTTTTTCGCGGGAAAGGTCGATGGCCTGTAGAGAGAAAAAGAAGCCGCTCATCCTTTTTTTTATAAACTGGTAGTGCTACTGGTGTGTAGGTCACTATATGTAAAAAGTACACTACTCATCTTAATCAACGTAGAAAAGGCCCGATGGCCGATCCACGACATTTGCACGCAGAACTGTGGCGCGGAACTTTACGCCTTCGGATTTTCCTTTCTTCAGTTATCTCCCTACCTAAAGTTGCGCACTGCATTTTGATTTTTGTATCTACGTGGTAGATACTTGAGTAGCAGGCACGAAGCGGCCCCGCGAAGCTTCCTTCGAAAGGGTAGTAAAATCAAAAATCTGCACCTTTGCGTAGCACCCGCCCTCGATGTTGAAAACGCCAGTGTCTGTCCAGACATGCTCATCATCGCCGATGAGGTATCGGTCCGGGTCCGCAGAAAGGGTGGTCTTTCCGGTACCGGAGAGGCCAAAGAAGAAACTCACATCGCCCGACTTCCCAACATTGCAGGTGCAATCCACTGCAAATGTATCATGTTCATTTTCCGATCGCACATACGCGCATACGCTGATTCCGACGTGTGCCGGTTGAAGCAGTGTATTTTTTTAGTTGCAGAGGATGAAAATGTCAAAAGGCTGGCAAATCTCAATGATTTATACAAATATTGCGACTTCTACACATGAGTATGATACTTTTTCAAAGGATAGGAACTGTGTAGCGGCAGTTGGCGTTGTTGCGGCATCGCATACCTGTTGATGAGTATTTGCATTCTTGCGTGATACTCAAAGTTTTGGCAGATTTTTTTCTTTTTCTTTGCGAGGATAAGGAGTCATTCAATCATATGACAAGCACTAACTTCTATCAAAAAAAGTTCAGTGCTCTCTTCACCCGCTCCAACTACTTAACACCAACTGCAAGCACGACGCTCTTCCGTGATAACGATAGAGGAATGGAATGAGCGAGACAGAGGCTGGTACAACCAACAGAAAAAAAATCTCGGCTTACATCATGAGGGTGAGGATTCCCTTCTTCATTTCCCCAGCGTACTCAGTGCCCAGGATCACCATCTCCTTCCGGCGAAAGTGCATGCAGACGGAGGTGGAGGAGGTCATTCCCTTCTTTTATCATACTGAAACCAGTCCCTGCTCTCAGTCCTAGATTTGCAAAATACTGGCATTCTGAGCTGGAATAGTATGCTTAGAATCCTTGGGCCGTCTTCCAGAAACAGAATGAATACCCTAATAAACATTTTTTAATGCAGAGAAGTACTCCTGTAAACGCGTGGTCAAACTTGATGTCAGGGCAACCGTGATGCGAGCGCGCTTCAAACCGCGTCGCGACTGCCATCCCGTTCCCGTGCTTGTAGAAGACTAAACATTCTAAATGTAGCGGACGCTTTGCAAAGAAAATTTATATTTATCGCTTTTCAAGTTCTGCGAGCAGGGCGCTTTCCATTTGGATAAGGTGTAGCGGTTGGCGGGAAAGCAGCCGGCGTTGTAGATGATGAAGTCTGGGCTGCCAAACTCCTCCTTAGAGTCCGGCATGACCAGCATGTTTTGCATGAAAAGTGCGTGGTAGGCCCGAGACGTGATCACGCGCACCTTGATGCGATACTTGGGATCCCACCCTGCGTACGCGTCCACAACGTACACTTTTTTCAGGGAGTTGAGATAGTCCACCGCACGTTCGCGGTTGATCAGAAACGATTCGTCGTCAAGCTTGATATTCACCTGTCGGTTAGTAGTTGTTCTAATTTCAATTTCTAGAACCAACGCTCCGACACACATGCAGACATCGTACATAATGCCTAGAAGGATCATTTTTACCAACACCAGGCTGGCGCGTTCTATTGACGGCACCACTAGCGACGGCAGAAAACTATCATGTGACTCAACTTAAGTGGAAGAACGAAACCAGAACGTACCTTTCCCCACCAGACTTCGTTTGTGAACGCCCACCAGCCGATGGGTTCATCAACAATCCGCTTGTCCGCTGGAGAGCGACCTGTCTTCGCCCCACTTGAAACAACGAGCGCTCCGGTGTTCGAGATGTAGCTACCTTCCTCTGCACGCAGCGCCTCCTCATACCTGTGATTTGGACACCAAACATTCTTGGACTTCACCGGCGAAGTAATTGAAGACGTTTATTCAGTTTCTCCATGTACTTCATGAGCAGGTTAGAAACCGGATCCTGAAACTTGTTACTTAAACATGAAAAATATGTTACAAAATCGCCGGGGACGCGTTGTGCACGATTTGCTTGACCTTGAGCCCGGTGCTCTTGGTGAGTTCCTTTTCAAAGCGTTTCTGTGTGGAGAACTGCCCCAGGTCAAACTCGTCCTGCTTACTCATCTGAAGCGGTCCCGGGGTCCGTTCGTAGTGTGCCAAGTTCGCATCGATCTGCATGCGCAAGGCCTCCAAAAAGTCCTTGCCCGCATCGATCTTCATCGTGCCGGAGGCACGCTTCGGCAATTCTGGAACGGCCGACATCGTCCTGCTCGCGGCGCTCCACCCCTCTGTACTTAGAGTATCTATTTACTTAATTTCGATTCAGGTTCTGCAGAAAGTTGCTGCGGACCTTCTCTTCGTAGTTTACCACGTGCAACAGACACAGCGTTGTGCTAGCGCCAGTACGGTTGCGAAGATTATCCGACTTCTCCAAACGAGCTCGATGTTCAATCGATGGCACGACTCTGCTGAAAGAGAAATCGGCACAATTGAAAGAACGAGCGCTACTCTACAAGGATAAGGAAAAAGTGCCTGACTTGGAGTAAGAAAGTAACTGGCACCACAACTACATAAAAAAGAAAAACAGCAAGCCAGAGAGAAGAAAATAATCACTGCGGTTGATCTTGGCAGATTTTTTCTAAATGAAATCGCAGTATGTCGATTCGTAAGTGAAAAATTATTGGGTAGAGTACTGACACAGTGGATTTGAGGCGCCCAAAATGTGCTGACAAAACACGGCCGGTTGCCAAACACAAGAAACTTCACAAGGCTTTTATAGGTGCAGGCTTCTATGCAAGATATAGTTTTGAATCGAGAGAAGTGGCTCAACAACGCACTCTGCGTGTGTGCCTCTGTCAGTCTGGGCTACAGCAGGGGAGTTGTCAATCACTACGCTGACACTTTTCTTCCTGAAGAGGTTGGTTTCGGACAAGATGAAAGTTGAATTATGAGCCGCTGCGGACGACAATAAGACTAAAACAGATATCAAGCAATCAATGTCTATTTGCACAACCTCAGACTATATTCAATTCCATACAGCTGTTGCTGTAGGTGCATAGATATTGATATCGCAAGAGCCAAAAAAGTGCAGGTGTTGACACACTGCACTACTTCTATGTTTACACACTTAACAATATTCAAAATGAATCGATACAATTCTCATGCCAATATGCTTACACAAGTCACCGCCCCTAGGGTGACCATCCGACTGTGAATTGCTAGTCAATTCCCTCCAAAAAAAGATCTAGAAGTATCTGTATAAATATTTCAGTTTTTCTTGTTTTTCTTTTTCATTCAACTTTCTTTTTCAGACGCTCAGCCGCTCATGCTCACGCTTTTTCCGATACGTTTTCGCTCAGAATCTGACTTTTTCACACTCACATGCAAGGGCATGATACAAAGCTGACCCTGGATAGGCTTGCCATGCTCATGCGCTCCCCCTCGTAGGCAAAGTGAAAACGAGACCGAGTCTTTGCGTCATACTTTCGTATATCGAAATGGTAGAGAACAATTTACTTAAAAGCTGCATTAGAATCAGCAACGTGACACGTCGTCATGCGCGCAATAATGCAGGCTTGAAAGTGAATCTGCAGTTTGCATTTTCTCTAGGCCTTTTGCTGTATTGCCGCACACGCCGGCATAGCATCTCTCGCTTGCGTTTTGCTTGTTCTTTTACGGAGCGCGTGCACAACCACATACAGAGCATTAAATTGAATATAAAACACACCGACAGCGCAACACTCGCACTACATGTTTATCATCTATGAATGGACAAAATAACAAACAGCCGCCAGCTTTTTGCGCTCGCGAAAACGGCTAAGTTGGGCAAACCAAGTCCAAAACGCAATAAAAACAAATTGATTCGCATTATTTTCACATGTGTACTGCAAATTAGACTCCAAGAAATCACATGGGCTGGAACGTTTGTAACCTCAGTGCTGCGAGCTACTTTCTTAAATCTTGTGAGTTTGAGAAGAAGAGCATGAACATATTCAAGCTGCCCTGCGGCGATGATAGATACTTACCACAACCATCGACTCTAGTCCTAAAGCGTAACAGTGTTTGTTGCTTCTGTGAGCATGATTTGGAGCAGGGCTGCAGCTTTCCGCGGGCTCAGTTGGACGAGGTCGGCGAGTGACAGTGAACTCTTTCCCGAGGCTGGCACGTTTATCGGGAGAACCGATCCTCCTTTAGAGAAGAGCAAGTGGTCCGCGGCTTCGGGACCCGCTCCTGTGGTCCGGACTGACGAGGAAGAAGCCATAGCCAGCCCTTGGTAAGGATCTGCTGCGGTGTCCATCGACTTGTTCTTTCGGTTGTACCAGTCGCCGGAGGTGGCAACATGTGCGGCCCCGTCTGCCTTGCGTTGACTTTGATCTACCTCGCGAAGCAAGCGGGCCGCCCCCTGCAGACAGTCCATATCAAATGCAAAAATGTCTGGGTCTGGAAGATTCTAAACTTGTAATGCTGTCTCTGGATCCTAAAAAATTTGTATTGCATGACCAGCAAGGGGACTCCAGTTTGTGCTACGCGGAGAGGGCATTTCTCATGCGGTAGAGGCATTGCAAAGTCCTCTAAAAATCTGTGATGCTAGGGCATGCATCACAGACATCATGGGCCATTCAAAATATGCATGACAAACCTGGCAATCTTCCAGACCCAGACATTTTTGCATTTGATAGTCCAAAACTGGGAACAATTTTCGCTGGTCATTCGCAATGGCTATTGTGAGGAAAAATCCCCCCTCCCCATATCAAAAGGAAGTCCCTGATGCTGGGTTTGCGTATACAAATCCGGTCTGTCTTGCAGTAGAGGACAGCAGGCTCCTGCCAAGCCTGAGTAGAGAGCTTTTGGCCTAGGCGCTTAGCATGGCAAACGTTTATGCTGTAGGCCCAACAGCATCACGAACCGCCTGCATAATGCGGCAGAGCCTGTGGAGTTGTCTTCTTGGAAGACAGACGTGATTTGTGGTCTCAAATCAGCAAGACAAATTTTCGGAAACATACCTTCTCGATATGGGGAGGGGGGATTTTTCCTCTCAGTAATGGCTCGCTGGAACTCAGTGCACATTCGCCCGACTTCCTGCAGTTTCTCGAAGGGCGCTCGCCGAGCAGTCACCAGCATTCGACTCAAGAAGTCATATGCGAACTGAATCGGACCCGCATTGATGTACGACCGCTCGATGGGAGGAGGCATATTTCGGCTCGACAAAAGTTCTCCATCTGAAAAGAGAAAAATTCAAATGCATCTAAGCGTCAAACTATTGGTACGAATTGCCATTGCGCACCAGCAGCATTGTAGTAAGTAAATTCATCACATGCGTAGACCTAAAGACACGGTGCCAGTACAAAATCACAATCTTTCTCAGCTATCTCGATCGACGCCAGCGCATACTACTTACACGGCTCGCATCATCAACTTTCTGCGAACAAATTCTACCGACGGCGTAAGCGTTTTCAACCCAAAAGTTGCTAGAAAGAGAAAGCCCTTCAAACAATAGAAATAGATGAAAGTTCAATCGTACAGATGCTGCCCTGCTGGTTGGCGGACGGCATGTAGACTTCTTTTCTAGCGACCACGTGATCCTGGGTAGCCGCGGGCACAACCCCGTTCTGTAAGCATACCATGGAGGTGAACGGTATTCCGCCTACGGTCCACTGTGACGGAGGCTCGCATAAGTTTCCTGCATGCACCAGGTACCCAGTCTTGCCTGCGTCCTGCAGGACTCCTGCGGCAAATCCCATAACGGTATCGACTCAAAACCTTAGCTTCATGGCCTAATTTGTATGTCTATGTCTAAGTCTATGTCTCATCAATACTAAGTATTTCATTTTCGAGAACACGGTAGGTGTTGCAGTCGCGGAAACGCAGAAAAATAGCAAAAAAATTGAACTTCGTTGCTGCAGCTGCATCCGCAACAAGAAGATCAAGGAGCAACTACATCGCCACTACATAATTATAATCAAAATATAGTGCCGCCACAATCAATGTCAGCCATGCAAGGATAATATGGATAGGACCGGAGAGTAATAAAAAATGGAGCTGAGGCTTCCGTCGTCGATAAGTGTAGGCTAAGTTACAGTCGAAGTTGGTAGGCATGCCTGACCTGGCTTGATAGACCAAGGTGTGCGGCACTGTTTCGAAGTGGCCCTTGAAGAGATCCAGCTTCCGGCGCCGCTCAATTTCCATCCCCACCAACGTAGCTAGCAGCACCTCTGTGGACACGTTGTTCAGGTCGATCACACCGGTGCTTGGGGAAACATTGCTACACAGCTCCTCCTGCACGGTTCGCGGGAAGGCTTGAAACAGGGCCCGAGACCACGTCTTGAGATGGTTGAGCAATTCGTTTCGCTCCTGCGCGGCGCCCGAAGCTCCGCCGAGTGCCGCCGCTGTCGCGGTCGTTGTGGGATTAGAAGTCGTCGCGGAAAAAGCTGCAGCTGCACTCGATGTCGTACTATGTTGCGATGGTCCGGAGACGCCACTCTCCGCCGCCTGTCCGAAATTCGACGCACCGTCCGCGGACGAGAGCGATGTGCTGACCTGGATCTGGCGCAGAATGCCTTCGATTTCCTCGAGGAGGTGCCTCGTTTGCGGCACGGACCGGAGCAACGCCGACGGTAACAAGACGATGCCAAAGTGCAGATTGCGGCTCGCCCGGGCCACGATGACATCGCAGATCATCCGGGTGAGATCTAGGAGCGACAGTCGTTTGTGCGCCATCTCTTCCGAAAGCAGCACCAAGTTCGGGTGGCAGAGCAACGCAGTTTCCAGCGTGACGTGGCTCAGAGCCTGTGACTCCCCCTTAACGCGCACGAAGAACCACTGCTTGCGCGAGGTGGCGGCCTCGCACCACAGGCTCCCGGCGATAGACGCGAACACCTTCGTCACAGTGTCGAAGCCGATGCTCTGCTGAATGAAGGGGAAGTCGTTGTCCGAGGCCACGGGGATCCCAAGTACCCGAATGTGGGCCAGCCTTGTATGGAACTGGGAGCTTCCTCAAGTGCTACTGTTACATGGTGCTCAACTGTTTCTGTTACTGACAACAAGATAGAACTGCTTTGTCTAAACTCGTGTCACGTCAGACTCAGAAGAACAACAGAAACAAGTCAAAAAATGAAACAGAAAGGATGACGGCAAGCATCAAGATCAGGCTGTGGCTATCGAGTTCTTGTGCGTGATCTTTGTTATCTTTTCACCTATTTGTGACCCTCCGCACCGTATTTCAAACAGACACGGCGCCCGCTCTTCGTTAGCGCTGCTATACTTGCAAACACCCAACACACAGCGAGGCTGTGGAGGCACGGCGTCACGAGGCCCTCCTGAGCAGTCGCGACATCAAGTGGCGAGCGTTGGAGGAGAAGAGCGCGCCGGAAATTGGAGCCTTGGCAGGCCGGCTCTTGCGTGGGCTCGCTAGAGTTGTAGCAACAAGAGGGCGCGCACAAGGCGGGCAACACAGAGCGAGTACACTACGGCGATAGGAGTACCTGGGCGGCGCCTTTGTATCGAGCCGGGCGCTGTGTGTACTACGTGAAGAGTGGCGCCCTTTTCCAACAACCACCAGCATGCCCCGCTGAGCGAGCCAGCGCTGTTCTTTGGGCTTCTCAAAATTGTCCGGCGCCATGAAGAAGATGCAAACCAGAATCATCGTCCTTGAGACTTTACACCATACATAAAGATAAATCGCTACGCACAATATAGCACGCAGTTGAGGACATTAACGACTGCACAGGCCGTACTCCTCATCGGCGAGACAGGCCTCCGCCAGCAGCGCTGTATCAAGCTGGGACTTCAGATTCCCCACCACCACGAGCGCATCCAGCTGAAACCTCCGAAGGGTCTGCAAAGCATCCGAGTAGTCTTCGTCGGTTTCTGTGAAGTTTCTTTTTATTTAATCTACTTGCTTAGCTGTGTCAAGTGGTCGTCTGTGCGCACATTGATTTCCATTGGTTTATTTGCTGCTGATTGAAACTGTTTCGACGATATCGAGGAACTCGTCTCAGCAATGCATGGCCGTAGCGCAGCAAGTGGAGCAGGAAGGAGCATTTCTATTATTCACATTTTGAATCGTCAATCTGTAATTCATCTCTGTCAGATGAAGATGGGATCAACATCATGTCAATGAATTGTATGTATTCTTGTACGCAGCGTGTGTCCGAATTCGCAGAGCAATTCTTGTCCGCCAAGGTTCCGGACCGAGGCGATCTTCTGTGCGTCCAAGCTCCGAACCCAACCGTTCTTCAGGCCGACCCAGCCGCCGACGAATCCAACGAGCCGGCCCGGGGGGTCCATAGACGATACGTAGTCGAACAGTCCGGCGACCACGGAATGGAAACCCGGCGCCTGGTGACTTCCAAACATCACCCCGATACTCACGGGCGTAGAGTTCGCCACCTATCAAGTTGAGAAACCGAGACATCTTCTTGATCCAGTCAAAACCCACGAGCACCCAGGAGCCTCGGCAAGTAATTTTTTATCGTATGTAATGCAATTTCATCACGAAGTACAGTTGCGATGCGCAGGCCCTCTTCTGGTCGTGATACCCGTTTTGCTCAACATTTCCAATTTAGGCGAGCAACTGTAATAGCAAATACAAATTTACATACAGTACGCCAATCACGATCAGAATCAGCGCATTGCCATTACATTTTGGAAAGAGTCTCCTGCATCTCCTGGATCTGAGGTTTCACTAAGATGTAATCTGCAATTCACTTTCATACCAGCGTGTGCTGCTTCACGAGCTGCGACATTTCTGTTTGCATTTGGGTTGCGAGATTAGCGGCTCTTATCATGTCAAATGACCACAGTCAGGCTTTCTTTCTATTTCATCGGGATTTTTCGGTAACGCGAAGGTCAAGCACCTTTTCCAAAAATGAATCGAACGCACAAAAAAGCACTTGGCTCATTACTCTTAGAAAACCTTTGTAATTCTCGTTTTCCAGGGCGCCCGAGAGATTTCTTTGCTGAAGATTCCGAGGGGTCCTTCCGACAAGTTCTGCGCCAATTCCAGTGGGAGTCTCCTGCGCTCCAAACAAAGGGTGCAGCTGGTGCACATCGACCGCAGAAGAGGCGGATAGATTACGCGAGAGTTCATGTGCATGAAGAAGTGTGGGGCTGCTTGGCTGTTCTGCGTAGTCCTGCAACGCGCTAAAGTTCTTCGCGATTTGCGGCGGGGGATACTGGTTCACTACATTGGGATCCCGACTGCGAGGCAGGGCAGCTTTGGACCCCAGCAGTCGCAAAACACCATGGCGCTCGCGCTCGGCCAGCGCCCGTTGTGAGGGAGAACTTCCGGACGTAGATGCGCCGCCGATCGGCTGAAGGAGCTGACCGTCGTGGCTGGGAGTGCGCGGTTGATGCAACGCATCAACAACGCCGAACCCTGCACTAGTCCCGTCGACACTGACGGGCGGCCGGGCGACAGGCGCAGACGTCCGGTGGTCCCTCGGCACTGCTACTTTCGAATCTGCGTCGGCCCCAGCAGCTGAAGGATCTACAAAAGGCACGTTGGATGCCGTCGATGCCTCGATATGACCTCCGCTGTTTACGTGCCTCATAATAGCAGGAGCCTGGCTAGCTGCGAGCGCCGAATCGGGCAACTCAACATCCCGCCTGGCGAAGGCTGCCTCTACCGTTGTCGAGGGGGGCGCGGCGAGCCCGTCGGCGGCCGTCCGGTTCCACAGCGTTTCCGAGTCCGCAATTTCGTCCGGGTCTGCCTTCGCGAGCAGGTGTTCCTCCGCTTCGTCGTAGGTCAAAGGGGGCTTTACCGGGTGAATCGCGATCGCGGGGAGGTGCGCCGTAAGCGGAAGGGCCGCCTCCACCTGGAAAGACATGCGAGCAGTGATCATCTCCTCCACTACTTGCATCGGCTGTTTCAAAACGTCCGGCAACTCCGGTTCGTACCGCACTCGTTCCTGCTCTAGCGGAGACAAGCAATCGAACCCCCGCACCGAGACGGACACTAGAGGCTGACTTTGTTGTAGCGGGTCAGTAACCAAGTTTTGATTTGCGTCGACATCCGCAGGATGATGATCCTCAGATGCTGGATGTCTTGCGTGTGGTCCAGCACCTGATGAAAATTTTTCTTCGCTATTCTTCTTACCGTCATCTATAGGTGGAGGCGCATCTACCGCAGGGATGAACTGCGCACTTTTAGTACTCTCCGAGTTGTATATCCACGCGCCGGATGAAGAAGAGGGAGACGGTAGCTCTGCCGCAGGATTGCGGTCTCGTCCCGTTAACATCCCAAGGGTATCCACAAACTCTTTGACGGGCGAAGTGACATTCGAAACGCTCGGTAGTTGTGGTCGCAGGGCCAAGTCTTCTACTTCGTTCGGCTGTTCGTCCTCCACTATTTGCGCTGTTGCTTCGCTATCGGTGGCCGCGAAAGCAGGTACTTGTCCCCCGGCTGAAGAGCCAACAGCTGTGATTTCGCTTGTTGAAGCCGGGGGGATGCGAAGCGCGTAGCCAGAGGACGTCAATGCCGATGGCTGGATCAGCTCTGCTAGTTTCTCCGAGGAGAGGTTTTCCGCCAGAAGCGTCAGCGGCAAATCCGCCACAGAAGCGGAGGGAATCGTGGCGCTGAAAGTTGAACTTTTTTCCTGTGCCTCCGGAGCGTCCGAACGTCCCGCACTTGTGAGGGCAGCTGTCTTCTTAACAGAACGACCAACGTCGTGATGGCTTCCTTGGCGAACGAGCAGGTCGAAACTAGGGTGCATCTCGCCCGATGGCGTTGCGCGAAACTGAAGCGGGCCGGGCGCGCGGAAAAAGTTGTGGTCACGCCACAGGGGTTCGAATCGCGTCTTGTACAGATTCCGGAGATTGGCTCGCGTCACCGTTCCCATAGTGCCGAAAAATCTCGCTTCGGTTCCTTGCGCAGCCACCTGAAAAGCCGAGGAATCGGATTGCATCGGATTGCGTGCCAGTGTCGCCACAGCGGTGGTATGGTCAAAGTCGCAGAAACGGTCTATGGGGACCCCGCAAGGCCGCCATTCCCCGACGTCCTGGACCAGCTCTGCGCACGACGCTATGTGTCCGGTAAGACCGTTTGCCAGCAGTGCACCCGCACAGTGGCCCAATGTCCAGCCTAGGTGACAATCAAAAGGTGTCGGCAGAGCGCCCGCACTCTCCCTGCTTACACTCCAGTAGCGCGGTGAGAAGTGGAGCCGTGCGACCTCGGCAGTACGATCCAGCCCGATGTGACTCGCGAGCGCTTTCTGTCCCTCCCCTCCCTCTGAGATGAATGCTGGTGACCTAGTTGTAGCAGCCTCTGTAGTTGTTCTCAAGCCACCGTCTGACAGAGAAGGACCACGACGTGTTTCTGACGTGACACCAGGCCGCTGTGGCGAAGGTCTGCCACCGTTGACTTTGCGGAACCGGTTTTCGCAACTCAAAGCAGTCGGGGACCACATGGCCCAATTGATTCTTAATTGCTCTTGTGCCGTCATCCGAGACCGCGCCTCGACAGCCAGTGCCTCCACACGCCGCTCCAGTATCTTTCGCACGGCCGTGCCGAAAAACTTTTCGGCTCGCAGATCTTCTGGCAACATGGGTTGTCCAAGGGCATCCCGGCGGAAACACAGCGCGCGTCGCACGTGTTCAGGGAGAATCATGAACAGCTCCTGACTTTTGAAAGATAGTCGCCGCGAGACCCACTCTTCAGTGACCGTGTCAGGGAGGCAGGCCTTCGTGCTGCCGCGGGGAGCTGCTTCCGCATCGATCGAAAACTGGAGATGCGAAGGCCGCGAACTACCATGTTTGCTCCCCCGAGAGGGCGTCCGACAGAAAGCTGCCCCCTCAGGAGACGGCGAAGGCAAGGATCCGGTCGTTGTCGGCTGTTCTTGCTCTCGTTTGCTGCTAGAAGATGAGGCAGCCACGACCGGAGCTGATGATTCTTGTTCCGCCGGCTTTCCAGCGTGCCTTGGTGCGCTCTGCCTTTCGTCTTGATGTTCGAACACAACGTGATCGAGCTGGGCGATCTCTTGGCGGAGTTGAAACATGTCCGGGTGGCGCTCCAGCAGCCCGTCGGACAGAAGGACAATGCCCGACCAGTGACCGTGCACAATTCGACGATACTCCACGACGTCAGCAAGGTATCGAATGAGTTCTGGGACCGACGAAATGCCGAACACGTCTTCCGTCAGAATAGCCACCGTCGCGCGCACGTTGCACGCCAGCTCCAAGGTTAGCGCCGCGTCCCCGCAACGAATGAAATGCCAATACTTCCGCGAAGATAGCACATCCACTGCAATGTTCCCTACCACCTCGGAGAGCATGCGGCGAGAGGAGTCGAACCCGAGAGTCAAGGGCATGTAGTAGGGAAAGTAGAAGTTCAGATTCTTCGACTTGGGCACAAACACCAACTGAATCCCCTCGGCGGCTAGAAGCGGTGCCAGCCGCCGTGCCCACAAGACGCACTGCGGCCCTCCTATCATTACCAGGTGCTGCAGGTGGTCTTGTTGACAACGCTGAAGCACAGCGGCTGGGCTCTCCAAATTTTCCACGGGAGAATACGAAAAGGCCGCACAGCCCCCTTGGTTCAGCCACCGTTTTACTTGAGCCCATTCGCTAATTCGCTTGCAGCGCCCCTCAATGAAGCCTTTCGGTCCCCCTACATATCCAACGAGTTCCACGGCGCTGCGACGGCCGGGAATTCGAGCTCCGTTGGCCCCGCGCGTGCAGCCTTCGCCGGGCAGAATGGTAGCGGACGTATCCGGTGGCTCCAGACCGCCACGCGGGGCCCACGTCCGACTCCGCTCGAGAGAATTCTCGCGCTGCTCCGCCGGGAGGTCGGCATTTTTCTGCTTTTGCGAAGACACAGACCCGCCGCCTGCTCCGGAGTGCGGATGGTGCTGCTGCACAACAACACCAGCGGAGGACCGCGTCTTGTCCAAATCCAAAGCACCTGCACTACTACCGGTCTCGGCGGAGGCGGGATGGCCGGTGGCCGCTACCGCCAACACCGGCGAAGCGGAGAGCAGCAAGCTCGGATGGTTCGCAGCGTGTTGTTCTAGGGCACTGCGTCCTACTTGGCTGTCTGACTCAGCCCGTACCAGGTCACTGCCAGAGCTTTCCTGGTTTTTTTTGAGGTAGGCAAACAATCCAATTATCACGTTCAGAATGCCTGCCGCGATCGAGTTATTACCGGACAAAACCACGCCCACCCGTCCCCGTATCACCTTGTTTGCCAGCACAGTCGCGGCGGGAAGATCGGTAGAAGACAAGTTGGGCTCTTCACCCAACGCCGAGCCCACGGGAATATCGGAAGACGTCGTCGTCGGACTAGCGGCAACAGCGGCGGCGCCGGCCCGGGTAAAACTATCGCATGGCACCACCTTACGCCCTTCCTCGCTCCAAATTAGTGGCTCCAGGTCAGAAAAGCTCGGGGCATCGGGTAGGCGTCTCGTTTTGCGTGTTGCCCCTTCTCCTGCGACTGTCGACGGACTGCTGTGCTCGAAAGGAGCATTTGTGGCTGACGTCGGGGTCGCTGTATCCCCGCCGGCAACACGGTCGAAGCACACGCAGCCAGTGCGGCGATCTCGCACAGCCACAAAGCTGTTCTGCTCGAATTGCTGGCAGATGCGTGGGATCTGCTCTGTGCGGTGGATTTCTAGGGGACTCTTATTCATCTTCCGCACGTAGCAGCGAGACGAGACAGAAGAGAGCGCAACGAATTATATTAGCCTACGCTAAGAGGTCATCTAAGTGTGGCCCTCGATCGATCGGCTTTCCATCTTGCTTTTGGTTTTGCCGCAAGAAGAAGGCAGGTGGCCCACTGCAGGCGTGGGTCTACAGAGCTGCAAGAACGAAACATTTACATGATTTTCCTTCTTACGTACAAAATTAGAAATACCTCCTGACAAGCGTGTATATAATTAAGTAGACGTTAGAAATGATGTAGATCCTCTAGACCCACTACTGTAGGTAGCAGAAGGCGTACTTAAATGCGATTGCGTTTTTTATAAATATATGCATTACTGATCGACCATGGCAACGAACCAGTAAGCACGGAAAAGGCATCTACAGAAGATGACGAGTCCGAACAAGCGTCAAGAACGACAGACGAAAACCCGTTTCTTGAGAGCTAATTTCAGTGGAGCTGTGTGTGTGTCGACCACAGGATATGATCTCGAATTAGGTTGATCCAAATTTAAGTAGTTGCAGTGGACGGAACGCACGACCAAAGAGGAAATCCAAATACAAACGAAATATAGAAATCGGGACCGCTCAAAAAAACGCAGGGAGCCATGACGCAAAACAGGATACACCGCTGGGGATGAAGACGAGCAACCCTGCATACTGCTAAGGTCTTAGAAAAAACACAGAAAAAGCACAAGGAAGCCGGTAAGCAAAGATCCAGCGAAATTCTCTGTCAATCCGTTCACGTCTTTGGAAGGGTCAGCGCGAGCAGGTTCTGTGCCTTCGCTCGCAGCGTTTTCTTCATAAGTTTCACAGAAGAGGGAACTTCTAGGCTACAAAGATGCCGCAAGACAAAGTATCCAAAGATACTACTTGTACGTGTAAGAATAGCACTAAAGCATTAGAATAACAACATATAAGGCTAAGCGTCTATATTCTCATACGAAAAACATCTTTCTGATTTTTACTGGAGGCTGGAGCCAGACAGTGATTTAAAAAAGGATATGGCTTTTTTTGGAACTGTCTAAACTGACAACGGAACTTTTTCGCGACCCTTGGATCCTTCCCCGCATGTTGTCGTGTTTTTTTAAAAAAAAGGGCCCAGACTGAAAACGGAACCCGAAGCAGTAAATAGGTGTTGAAATGGAAACACAGAACACCCAGGGAAGCTCCGGCTAGCGCCTAGAAGTAGAGAGACGGCTTCTGTGCGCATGGCTCCCACACAGGTGAGACAGAGCTTGCGAGGGTGGGAAAGTGATCGAATCGGTTTAGTTACGAAGCGACGCTGTCTGCGAAAGGAAGCGCGTGAGCCGAGACACTCACAGAGCAAGGGCGCCGGCTTTTGGTTCGTTGGAATTCACGCTCTTTGCCTGGTCTCCTAGAGACGGAAATGCTTGCAATGGGTGCGTATTCTGTCATTAGACAGAGAGCAGAAGAACTAGTCTGGGCGCCACCGCCAACGGCTTCGCTTTCACTCGGATGGGGCCGGGCGATCTGATCCCTCAGAAACTTCACGAAAATTGCCTCAACTTTTGTTGGGACAGAACCACCACCCAGCTCGGCAAGTGCTCAACTCCTATCCACATGAAAGGGAAACGATAGGGGCAGGGGGAGGATGATCGAAAGCGGTACCAAAGCGCCCCACACATAAGGGCCGGCGCTTCATGGCCTAGAACAACCCAGAGCCAACCGATTTCAAGACTCCCACACGATCGGACTACCCGGTGAGGGCGGTTGATCGTTTTACCCCCCTGATCGTGTAACAATATCGGCCAAAAATTTTCTTTGCCGAGGCCGCGCAGCCACCTCCACATTGTGGAGGCGGTTGCGCGGCCTCTGCAAATGCCCGTCAATGAATTACCAAAAACCCCAGGCACGAGGAAAAAAAGCCAGGACAAGCCGGGAGCCTTGGTGTGCTCCGCCTTTCGTCTTTCGCTGGGCGCGACTTGGGACGCTGCCTCACAGGCAGGACAATGGAAACGAAAGACCATTTGGCTGACCGGCGGGGCACACAGGTGGGGAGACAGACAAGAACGAACGGTCGGCGGGGCTGCGGCCATTGAACGTGCGCAAATCCCGCAATTTTTGTCCCCCCTAGGAAGAGAGAGAGAAAAGAGAAAACAAGATCTATATCTATTTTAGATCGAGAAAGAATAAGAAATAGAAAAAGAAGAAGAAAACGAAAGACGAGAAAACAAAAAACAAAAAAGCAAACGAAACGAACAAGAAGGCGAATCGCCACGGTATGGTGAATGTCGGTTCCGTTGTCAGTTTAGGTAGTTCCGAAAAAATCCGATCCCTTTAAAAAAGATAAAGAGAAACAATATGCTAAGGTGCATTAACTATGTGAGACGGAACTGCTATGTCGTGTTGCTGGCACTGCTTTTGCACGTGTAGTGGTGTGTAAAATATCGAAACGGGAACGAAAACGACATCTTTCTGGAGCAAGGGCTCGAACTTCGACAAAATAAATGCTGCGAAAAAAAAAATGCCGGTTAGAATCACAGACAAAGCTGATCTACTTCGGAGTGGTTCCCACCTCGAGATTCTGGCAGCTGCGCACCATTCCGCGCCACTTTTTGTACTCGCTTCGCAGTTCCGGTACATTGTACTTGAATTCCCAGTCCCCCCATGCCGGGCCCCAGCTCGGAACGTAGTTGATGTGCGTGACGTTCCGAAGCAGCGCAATGTTGTGGGCGCCCTTGTGTTCCGCAGTGAAAATCTCGACCGAAACGGAGCAGTTTCCGGGCTTCATGAGCACGGCGCCCAAACCGAATGTAGCTCCGTGCGGGCCAATCATGAGGCGAGCGTCCGCGAATGCTTCCATCTGCTCCTCCATGGAGAGCACGTCGGGATCGAAGTTTTTCACCGTGCATGCGTCGAGCCCGCGGGGGCTTGTTGCGCGCTGTCCGCCATCCAACGCCAATGCGTTTTCCTCGGCTTGCAGGGCCTGTCGCGCCTCCTCGTGATTCGTAGCCCTGCGACGATGGTCGTGGCGATTGTAAAACAAGACGGTACATTTTTCATGGGGCCCCGCCTGAGCGTGAGCGCTACCCCCTTCCGCGGGGTGCTCAAACACATTCAAAATGCGTTGTCTCGTTGACTCGATCAGGGGCGCCCGTCCTCGGCAGCTGCTAAAACGCGCAAATTCCCCCTGCTTTTGTGCTTGCGCATCTACATCAGGGTCCCCGATCCGACACTGGTCCAAGTCTGTGAGCCATCACAAAGAAAAGCACACAACCGGCACCATATTGGTCGACACGATGAAATAAATGCGACGTGACTGTGATACTGCTCAATTGTAGAGCTACAGCTACACTTGCACGACTTGAAATTCATAGAGCAAGTACCGCAATTTTTTCTTTCTGATGTATCAATCTAGAAGTGTCGGCTTCTTCACTTCGAATGTACCCATTTCCATTTCGATTTCTCAAATCTCAATCTTTCTCTCAGGATATCCATATATAAAGTCGTATTTCCCTCGATGCTCTTTCATCTGCATTATCGTCACTTACATTTTGGTAGACGAATACGGTGTGGGCGTGATTTTTTCCGAAGTATGTACTTAGGGCGCATATATTTGCAATCCAGTCCAAAGGTGTCTTCGGGCTCAGAGCCGACAACGAAAAACACATTTTTTCCCGTGAACCGCTTCTGGCTTGGGCCCTGCTGCTCTGTTTCGACACGACGATCTCCCCCTGCCTGCCCGGTCTGATGCTCTTGGGGAGTATCATCCCGGATGTACCTTCCCCCCAGCATTTGCCGATACAGGTACGGAACCTTGCAGACGCCTTCACTGCGGCTTTTGAAGTGTTTCTGCAAAACAAGAAGATTGCCTTCAGGCAGCGCGGGGTGCTGCGACGTGTGCTCGTCTTCTTGTTTCCCCTCCTGCGCGAGCTGCTCGCGCGCCAACAGCTGCGTAAAGTGAACCGAAAAAGCTTGTGGCAATCCTTGGTTCGGGTTCCAAACGTCTTCAAAATAGCTCAACACGAACAAGTTTTCCTCGACCACGCGCGGCCCATCGGAAATTTCCTTCCCTGCTGAACGTGCCCCTGCCGAAGGTAATTCTTCCGTTTTTTTGGGAATGCGCACGACTGCCTTTTTGTCGTCGCCGTCGCCGCCTCTCGCATAACGGTTCACCAACACCAAATCAGAACTCTCGTCCACTTTCCACTCACAGTCTGCATCCAAAGCCCAATCCCAATCGTCCGGAGCTGGTGTTTTCGCCACTTGAAAAAAACTCAGGTTCTTTCCCCAGCAATACGCACCTTTCCCAAGCGTCTCAATTTTGTTGCCGGTAACATTCAGGTGGGGCCCACTGCACTGCAACCATGCGGTGGCGTTCCGTCCCGAGGAAAAGTGCCCACAAAGCACGACCGAATTGTGTTTGTACCGTTCCAGGAAGCCGGACCCGAAGTGCGCGTCGCAAAGATCGGCAACATGCGACTCATGATCCGCTCCCGCATGCAGGCCCCGACGCCCAATACCAGTTGCGACGGCAGTTGTGTGGCCTCTCGTCTTGCTCACCTCACCCAAGAACGCTGACTTGCCCGGCTGATCGTGTCGCAGTGCTCCGCGACCGCCGGCGAAGTTGCGGCGTCTCACTTCACGCTGCGACTGGCTGACAAGGGCGCCCGCTGCCCGTTTTTTTATGGCGTCTGTCCACACATACCCAGAAACAGCAAGAATGGTGGCGCCGCGAGCAGCTTCATCTTGCTCCCCAGATGAGAGAAGGACACGAGACAGTGCACTCCACTCGGTCGCCAGGGCCAACAAGGCAGGCCCAACACTGCTTCTTCTTCTTCTACCTAGTTTCGACGTCATGACTTTGTCGCGCCTCTCTTTGGAGCAACAGGACTGAAAAATGCACGAGTAGAAATTGTCGCAAAATCGACTAATCACTATGACAGGGTCGCCAGCTTTGTGCCGCTTTGATTCTTGCGTGCGAAACTGAGTAAAAGGCAGGGTGAAAAAGGGTCGTGGATGACGAAAACTACCTTGCTAGAAAAATGATCCCGTCTAAAGAGTGCTACGTACATAGTCAGAGTGAAGAAAAGGAAATGACCTAGTTGAGTGCCTTAACGATGATGGGGTCAACAAGCAAACTACGAGTGCGAACGCGTGGGTCGTACCCGATGTCGGTAAGGGTAATGAGTGAGCAAAATAGAAATAGATCAACGAGGACAGCCGACCCGCCACACTCACAGGCAAGTTTTTTTCTCGTCAAGCTCAAGTGCGCAAATAATTTCTTCACTCCGCCGGAATGGGACCCCTGCGCCGGGCGAGTTCGCTCATACTTAGCGAGGGAGGACGCGGCGCCCAGGTACCTCAGACATATGGCGCAAACTGTTTGTGCGTGCTGGCAAGCTAGCACTTTTTCCCTGTAGAACAAACATTGCCAGAGTTTCATCTGAGCGAATTAGTAGCCAGTGTCTCTGAGTTTGAGTTCAAGACTCCTTCTCAACACACCACGGTTGCGCAGGCATATAACAGCGCACAATTTTTTAATCTGATTCGCAACCAAATAAGAATGGTGGCAACCATTTTATGAGGAAACAATATCTGTCCTTTGAATCAACGACAGGGAGATCTACGCACGCCTTTTATGTTCTGAGGAGGAGCAGAAAGGCCGAGGAGGTAGCAGGTAGGGCGGGGATGAGAAGCAAATACAAATAGACGAGCGGTTTTACTTTTAGTTTTCTTACGGCTTTGTTCATTACATATTTCTCTTTGCAATCAAGGTAGGATGTGAGTAGAGTTGTAGTACAACTCGGTTGTTGACGAAGCGGCGACACACAGCTCAAGCCTACGAGGGCAGACCGTGGTCTCGAGTGGGCACATAGGCCTGTGACACCCACACGCTCTGTCTCTCAACAGTAAAAATCATTTCATTTTTCCGGTAAATGAATTATCTATTTTCATGTATTCTTGGGAAGATGGGTTTTGAAGTAAATTGAAGTTGCAACTCTTCCTCTGTCTTGCTCTTGTTGTACAACAATCGGATAATAATAAATCATACATGTTGGTTCATCCGGTTGGACATAATTTCACGCTGCAGCGAAGAGAGACGTGGTACGTTTTCTTCTACCTGTTTTTACGACTGATTTTGCAAATAATTTTTTTTTCTAGTAATATTCTTTTGTCCTACTTGGTGCCTACGGAGAGCGCGATTGTGTGACTGCAGCGATGAGTCTACTCGTTTATCCTTGAAGTTGATTCTCTATTTAGTTTAAATCTTACATTTGGTTTTAGTGTTGAAAGAATTTTTATAGAAGACACTCGTGCTTGTCTGTAGTGCACGCACTTGAGTTCGCGGAGGTAGCAGCTGTGACGGGCTCTTCGGCGCGCCGCAGTGCTTCATGAATGGCAGTGCCGTAGTCGCAAACCTGCGCAGTCCAGGATGAAACCGCTTCTTCCTCAGCGTTAGCGGAGTCGTGCAGTCGGTGCTCAGTAACTGCAACATTGTTGCTTGCATTCATGGTGTCCAAGAAAGAGGCGCTTCCACATGTACGTAACAGCTCCTCCCCGGTCTGCGGTGTAGTGCGTGAGCAGGAGCTTTCCAATGGATCAAACGCGGTCGACTGGCAGCCGTCAGAGTTGTGTCGCGGCTGGTGCTTATCTCCACCTGGCGTGAGTTGTTCCTCGTTGTCCGGCTCACAACTTCCGTAGGAATAGAGTGGTTGGGTCGTTCCGCGACCGTTGTAGTCCTCTGCGCGAGCGTATGAAAGTGAGCGAAGTAGCGCACCCCCCCCCCGGCCGAACAAGATGAAATGCACGCGCACGCCCTGCGAACAAGTAGTTCCACAATGAAACGGACCTTTATTCTGGGCACATCAACAGCACTGGTGCAAAAGCCGTTCATCTTTGTTGTTACTTGGTCTCACAGTACAACACGGACTGTACCCCATGCAGACATCAGCCCCGCTCGCACTCGAAGTGGAATCTTTGAGCATTTTATTTTTATCCATCGGAATCTTTCTCGTATCATATCATGTCCACATCGCACTTCATGGAGAGCTTGAGCTTCGCGTTCGCGAATCAATGCACATATTTCGGCATGGGCGGGGCGGGTGGGACAAATTTCCTCTAGATAGCACTTGCTGGGACTTGTCGTTTACCAACCACTTTCGGAAAACATGCGCAACAGTACCCCACACCCCCTATTGTGCAGAAAAGTAAGCCTAGAGCATCGCCAAAGATATGAGTACTCACATCGCGACGCGATTTCAGTATAGTACAGATACGCGGCTGAGATAGCAGCCATCATTTGCACATGAAAAACGCAGCACGAAACGCTTGCACGGTCCACCGAGCTTCGGGCTAAGAGCGCGCTGAACCGAGCCGGTAAGCACACTGCATCAAGCCGGTAGGTACACGTCGAACCGGGCCAAAGTAGTAAATCTATCGGACTGCGCGCCCGAGACGGAAGAAGGGTTCATGATTTGCTCGGAACAGCCGACGGTCACGCAACTGGCACAGCCACAGAACTAGCACAAAAAAGGAAATCAAAGCGGGATGCCTAGGTGTACTTTTCTGCGTCGTGATATTACTGCTACCATGTGCCTAATCTGGTCTCCCGACAGGTTGGACTCGTCAGGATTGCCCTTCGCATGGGCTCCGCAGTTTTCGGAGAAGATACCTGAGAGTTTCCGAATAAAGTCGGCTGTCGCCGTCTGATCTCTTATCAATGGACCACAACTTTTATTCCTAGTGTAGAAACAGTTGCTTATGCTTTAACTTTATACATTCATAGATACAACATAAATCAAAGCGAGATCGAGCCACTTCGATAGTTTGGAGGGAATGCAGAGAAACTACCAGGCGAGTTAGGAACTGTCAGCGCGCTGCGTGTTCTTTTCCTTTTAGTTTGATTAACTGCAGTGATTTGGTCGCCAGCCGCATCACTCGTCTTATGCTTATCAGAACGCTGCCCGTGAATGAATAAACCAAAATTAATCGGAGCATCTTACTTTTTTTTTTCTCGGCCACGTTCCCCCCAGTCATGGTTCCGTAGGAGCGGGGAAAAAGTTCAGACAGGAGCTTCCGCTGGCGTTGTTTAGGTAAATGCTTGGCCCCCGCCGTGACAAGGAGGATTACCGCAAGACAAAGCCAAAAAAAAGTCCTGACCGCGGCCCCGGAGTCCTTCCGCCGAATCCGGCGTGGTGCAGCGAGACTCGCGGTGGAAGCACCACTCGGGAGCGACTCTTCATCCAGGTCGGGATCCTAATGGGAGGCGTGAAGTTTCATATGACGATTGATCATGGGTTATTCTTGCTCTAAACTATAGAATTACTGAATTAGCAACTAACACCCTGACAAATCAGAATTCTTCACTAGTAATTGCTTCAGCAAAAAGAGCATTAGGCGACCATACGAACAGTACGTGCTCGACTTCGACGATGGTTTCGTATGCAGTGCAAGTGTATCTGTCTGAGTCCCGAAAAGCCACGGAAACTTGCTCGGACATACATACGGCAGTGTGTTTGTGCTCAACTACACAAGACAACAACTTAATGTGTCACATCATGACTAGCGAAATTCTCCTTGCTCGGCTTTCCATTGATGCGCGCAACCTGGAAAGTGACATTGGAAGAAAAAAGCTTAGCTGGTCCAGCAGCCCCGAGAACAACGATGCAGTGACACAGACGTATCCATACTTGCGTTTGATATTGCAGTATCCCCGACGACGTCCTTGATGTGGAGGCGCATTCTTCCCGACCCCACCTCCGTCTCGGACACGCGCGCGCGAATGAAAATTCCCGGATTACGCCGGATCTCCTCGGCTGTGGCCCGAAAGGCGGCGTCCCAGGACACTGTTTTGCCGTCGCCCGCGTTGATGATGCTTTGCACAAGTGTGTCCAGATCCACCACCTGCAGGAGCACGGGGTCCACGGTGGGCACTCGCCGCAGCATCGTGTTCTCGTTGCTGGAGCTCCAGATCTTTTGCCGGTCCACCTCGTCTCGGACCATGCCGAGCAGTCGCGCCATGGCGCTTCCGATGCGCGAAAGCGGCGCTTCCTCCGGGAACCGGACCACAAACTTCGACAGGATTCGCAGCACCAGTTCCGGTCCCCATAGTTGATTCAGGAGCGTCTTTGTCAAATACAGACTTGTCGGCGGTGAGGCAGGAGCAGCACCCGTGCTCGCGACTTCAGCATTGACTGCGGTTGGATTTTTTCCCGCAGCAGTCTTGGTCCACCACCCGCTACAGAGCCAGGCGAACCAGGAGGTGGCCGCTTGTTGGGAACTGGTTTTGGTCCCCGCGTTGCCGGGCCGTTTCGGGACCAACCGCACGGGTTCCGAGGAGTCCGCAAGGTCGTACACCTGCGTGCTGAGCAAGACGGTCCCCCGAACCACCTGGGTCACACAGTCGCGTATGGCGGCTAAATTGATATTCTCATTGGACTTTGTTACCGTGCGGCGAAACTGCTCCAATGCGTTCTCAAATTCTGTCACAGAGGATCGGTCAAAGTTTGGCATCAGGTTGCCCGCGGCCGCGCTCAGATCCCCCTCCGCGCGACGGTCGCGCAACATCTTTGGCAGCATTGATGACACCTTCGGGGTCGCAGCCTCGACAGCTCCTCCAGCACCACCCGACGCGATAGCACTCGTCGCCTGGAGTGCCATATCCTCGCGCAGCTTCTCGTCGTATCACACAGGAAAACTACAACATCGAGTAACATTTCACATCAATCACGTGCTGTTTTTTTTTAGGTGACCACGAAATACTTACTTAACTCCCCAGGCCCAGACACTGCCACTTCTGCATAAAGGGTGAAGTTCCGGTATGCTTATTTGTAGCGGGTCTACCACGAGTAGCGCTACGTAATTCTATTAATTTTCCTGAGTGATACGTCGTCCAAATTAGCCCCAGTTTTCCGCAGTTGTGGTGCTTGCGCGGCTTCGAGTTGCGCTTGCAGCCAGGCCTTGCGACTCTGTCGATTATGCGTTGCAAATAATGCCTGGGTCTAGAAGATTCCTAGATTTGGCACGCTTTTCTGACGTGACTCTAGACCCTCTGACGCACGGGCACAAACAGATCCTGCGGTCTGTCATGCACAAACGCGCTTTCCCATGCGGAACAGGAAAACGCACCACATTGGAACTTCTAAAAAATGTGCCATAATTGGCCGCGTATAGCATTAGCAGTTCGCCCGTCGTAACTCATCACAGCCCAGCGATATATATTTATAATTACAACTTTCCGACTCAAAAATATTTGCAGGGGATATCGATACGCGTAGTGCAGCGTCGCTTCCGGTTGCATTTCCACATACATGTGAAGGAACGCGTTCATTTCGGGATCCAGGCTCTCTGCGTCCGACAAAAAAGTCTGAAACTGCTGCACCAGCAACCTTATCGCGGCACGAAAGTTGAGATCTGTGTTTCCGCGCGCCAAGAGTTTGATCTTTGTCTATGCTTTGCGAATGTGTCGGGGTCTGAAAAAAGGCAAACGCGTCCTGTGATATTGGGTGGCTGGTCGCACAATAATAATCTCTGTCGCTGGTGCAGGTTCCACCCTCCACGATCGCGACCAGAAGCACGGACAGCAAAAGTTGCCGACTTCTTGTCAGCGAAAGAGACGATTTGTCATGCGAGTACTAAGGCAATGAGACAAAGAACCATTCTCGTCTTTGAAGTCTGTATTTTACAAGTGCTAGGGCTACTTCCAAGCCAGGTCTTCCGAGTCGCGGTAAAACATCATGGCAAACTAACATCTGCCCTCATCCAGGCCCAGACATATTCGCAAAAATGCATATTGTCAGCAGCGAAGTGATAGATACCAGGTCCGTGTCGAAGACTTCATTGCCGGATGCCCGAAGCTCGCGCAAGGGCTTGACGAGTGCTGTGCTGAGCTTGTAGGTCTTCCCGTCCCGTTCCGCAGTTTCGCTCACCGGCCGCAGCTTGCGGCGAGAGGCGAAAGAACTCTCTTCATCCTCGAAAATGTCATTTTCCACTCTGCTGTCCGAATTCTTCGCGGATGCCGGTGCGTCCGGGTCCCCAGGGTTCACAATTGCCGCAACATCAATCTTCCTTGGGCGAACGACATTGGCGAGGGGCAGCTGGGCGGAAGAAGCTCCGGCTGCATCTGTTGCCGCAGCCGCGGACATACCGAGGAGGCCGAAAATAAAGTTTTTAATTTCGCTGAAGAGTACCGCGAGAAAAGAACTCGACGACGAGGACCGTCCGGCGCTGTTCTCACTGGTGCCGTCCATCTCTTCCTCGTTGTCTCCTGGTGCGAGATTTGACCTTGCAAAAATGTACGCATCCTCGTCCATGAACAGCTCTTCTTGCTCCATGTCCTCATTCTCATTCGCGATGAGATCCGCCTCAGTTGGAAAGTAGAGCCGCGACGTGATTTCTACGGCATCAAGCACGCTCCGCATGTCGGTTTTCGGGTACAGCTCGCGCAGCGTCTCCCACGCAGCCAGGACCTCCAGGTGAGTGTCCTGTTCCCAGAAAAGACGGCGTACAGAGTTCAGCTCCGTCCACACTTCCCGGAGGGGTGGTACCATCTGACTCTCCGCGGCGGTAGCGGACGCCATCAGGAGTCCGGACGAAGAAAGGCCTCCACCCCTGACATTCACGTCCTGCTCCTGATCCTCGCCGTCGTCAGTGGCCGCACCAGCACTAGGATCACCGTAATAATTGCTGAACGGAGCGTCAAGACGTGAGCTGTAGTCCCTGTCCTCCTTGTTGCTCAACGTCTTGGCGGCGCCAACCGACGAGGACCCTTGCTCGAGCGACCGTTGCGCATCCACGTCCTCGAAGAAATCTGCCACAGTTTCCGCGACGGCCTGCTGGTCCTGGGCGTGGTCCGTTTGCAGCTTCTCGAGTTCGTCCTGAAACCCCACCGCAACCTCGTTGTCTACCACGTCGTCGGTCGGTGTCATGATAGAATCCACTATGGAAGCGTCAGGATCGAAATCGTCAAAGTTGAAATAGTTTGCGATGCACAAAATGCTAGACGCAAAGTGCCTGTCTTGCAGAGCAGGCAACTGAGGCCGATTGTAAGCCTGTTTGGGGTGTGAGATAGAGCTGCTAAAATAGCATGACAAAAGCAGTCTGCTCTGCTCAAACAACATTACAAATTGGATTTCCATGCTGCCAAAATTTGTCATGCGCCACCTGGGCTCCAGCTGGTATCGCTTTTTTGCATTGCAGATTATTTCAACTTTGACGATTTCGATCCTGACACTCCCATATCCACCAGGGAGATGGTAGCCCCGTACTGCTGCTCCAGTGTGACGGTTGGTGCGGGCGTCGTCGTACCCGCCAACGCGGCCGCCGGAACTGCGCTCAAGTCGTCGCCCCGATTGCCCCACTGCGCCTGCCCGCCAAACGAATAGAAGTCGTAGTACTGCTGTGTTGTACTAGTTCCCGCCGCGCCCGCCGGGCTTTGAAGAAACTGGTACCGCAGGTGCCCAATCTTCGCTGATAGACGCAGCGCCTCGTTTGTCGTGCCAACTTCGTGAATCATGCTGCGAAGAACCGCAGTGATCGCAAAGAAGTGGTCTGCCGATTTCTCAAGCGAGTAATCACTTAGGTTTTCCAGTGCCTGCAACATTTCGGAGAATGAGAAAGGATGATCGCCGAGACCATTGTCGGTGTAGCCCCACGAAAGCATGTTCTTCACACTGTCGTCCCGACCAACACGCGACTTCGCGAGCCGACACAGCTCCCGGCCGATATGCAAAGAGGCGGTGCGCATTTTGTCAACCCGGTGCTTCCGCGTCGCCGATCCGGTGCTTTCGCGGAGTCGACGGCCTTGACTTCCAGTGGCTCCTGCTTGTTGCTGTTGCTCTCCCGCCGGCAGCGGGTAGTTCTCAGCAAGTTCGGTCGTCGTGCCGCTAGTATCATCTAAACCTCCGCGTACCTTTGGGAACGTCACGCCCGCGAAGTCCCCGAGCAAGTACCCGACCTGAGCCAGGTCTGTAAGTGATTCCGACGGATAACATAGTTTCAGAGTCGTTAGCAAACGCATCCCATCGGCGATGTTCCGAAACCAGTGTGAATCCACGAACTTTTTGGATGCGCGAAAGGTCTTGCGCTCCTCTTCGGGAGGAGAGGGACCAAGCAATTCCTCCTCAAGCTTGAGTTGCTCTGCCTGCTCCTGTTGATCACTGGCAGAAGTTGAGGTTGACCCGTCAGCATCACTGCCAATCGCCTGCGCCACACGAGGACGCACCACCTCGGTCTGCCACTCGTAGTACATGTCCTCGAGGTACTCGTTGTACTCCTCCGCACGCCTTCGGGCGTACAAACTTCTGCCGTTGTCAAAGTCCTGCTGGTATCCTGTGCGACACAAACGCTCTTCCTCTACTACAGTGTCAAGGTGCGAGCTCTGGTGCTGTAGCTATACGAGTATTTACAATCCATGGGGCATACTTAATTATGAAGCAAACAGCTTGTGCAGCTTTTTTACCGTGGAAATTGCGAACGATAAGTGGACCCGCACTGTCCTCACGAGTAGAAACTAGCCTCGCCGTATCACGGAGCCAGTATTTTTTCCTGGTGACTAGAGTACTACGGGTGCAGTCCATTTTCACTTTACTTGTCCAGCCCGGTTTTAATTATTTACACTCAAAGCACCTCTCAGCGAGCGGCATATGGACAAAATAGTGCAGGCACGTGCCTCGCCACATGCGGCTCGCTGCGATGAAATTGATGGAAAAAGGACTTGCAACATAACACGTGTGTTTTGGAGAGAGGCGTCTTTACACAGGATAGCTCAACCTTATTGGTTTTTTCAGACTCCTGTAACTGCAGCAGGCGCCGGTATCGCCTGATTGCTTGCTTCTTCAGCAGGCTAACATCCCCAGCGAGCTCCTTCAGACTCACCCAGCGGCCGGACAGCAGCGGCCCGGTTTGCTTCAGAAGTTCCGTCACTAGTGGCTCCAGGCCCTGCAGGTCGCGAATTTTCTTTACCGACAAGCTGGCCTCCCCGGTGCTTGTTCGGGCACCACTTGCCTCTGGGACTTCCGGTACAGAGTCAACGTTGCAGTCCTGGTCTCCGTAAGCAGCAAGGAAGTCTAGAACCCCGTTGACGCCCTCCGTCAGCGAAATCGGATGCAGGGATTTACTTCCGGAGGCATCCGCCAATGCTACCGCAGTGGTCGTAGGGCCAGTCAACGAACTGAGACTGGATATCAAAGAGCCATCGGTGGCGCCATTCCCGTTCGTCGCAGAAGATGGGTCGGCGGTGGCGGTGGACAATCCTCGCAGCTTCTCAAATTCGCTACGAACCACATGAAAGTTCCGCTCCTTGGGGAAGCCTTGGACGAAGCGCTCCATCTCGGTTCTCAACTCCCTGAGTTCGTGCAAACCAAAGGAGCGCAGCAAACTTGTTACGTCATCGCGAAAACCCGCGCTCGTTGTGCAAGTCGAGGCAGATTGAGGCCATTTCGTCGCTGCCTTAGAAGCGCTTCTTGTTGTATCCAAGCCGTCAGCTGCACTGTTTGCCGTCGCGGTGGCAGCCGTGCTGTCCTCACGAACCTCACCCGACTCCTGGAAAACCACGCCGACGGCAGCAGAACGGGCAGTGTCAGCAGGAACACATGTCTCCTGCAACGGAAAGGCCTGCAGCAGCCAGGTCAAGTGAGACACTGCAGCCGTCAAGTTGTCGTTTACCGACCCGCGCATTTTTACCGCAGAAAGCAGGTCAACTAGTTGCACCAGAGGTTCGCCTTGCGTGGCTCCTCTCAGGGAATCGGCAAGAAACCGTGCGTCGAGAAGACTTCGGATCAGATCTTCCGGGCGGTCCCGGAAAGCACTCTGAAATCCACTGGCCTTAAGCTTCGCGCACTGGGTGTACAATTGTCGCACGTCTTGCACGTCACTGAAGTAGCGGGCAACGTTATCATGAGAAAAAGGTGTTACAGTTAGTACACATCTGTTGGAGTTTCTGCATCGCAAATTTTCTCTGTGTGGCAGAGAAAACTTGCAATGCGAAGATCATAAGGGAAAACAGGAAGGAAACGAGGCTCCCAAGCATTTCCTGCATGAGAAAGGTTGTCTGTGTTGCCGCTTGCAATACAATGTGTAACTGTAACACTTTTTCCTTGCGATAAACGTCACGATACCCGTCCATCACCGAGGCCAAGTTCGTTCTTTGTTCGAATAAGTTCGAGAAATCTGCTAGACTTTGGGCGACCGCCGTCTCAACTTGCGGCGCCAGGCGCTGTCCGTCCTGGGCAGTAAAGTCTTGCAAATACTTCCATGTCCATCCGAGTCGCAAGTCGTCAAACGGGGCGGTGCGCAGAATCCGAAAGCTCTCCGCGAACGCAACGAAATCAAACGCAGCCGACTGCTGTGCAACAACATCCTCCACCTCGGCAAATTTCAACCCTGCAATAACGTTTTCAGCTTTTTTGTATCAATGTCAGCGACCGATATGCGCCAATTTGGGTATTGTTACGATGTGCGTGAGGTTAGCTGTCAGGACAGCTTTGGTAAGTACTCGACCGACACACGAGCTGAACAGCGCTAGCAATGCAACTCATCGAGGCTTTTCGATATTTATACTAAACCAAAAAAATCAGCATCCAGGCTCCGAATCACATTTGATGATTTAGTGGTCTGTATTTGAGTGGGCCTGAAAATTGTATGTTGTTCTCTACGTACTTTACACGGAAAATGCAACGTACTCTGTAGTATGTGATTGCGAAGATCGTTGAAATTATACCGGGTAAGGCGGCAGCAAGAGTGCGAAGCCCGTCGGTGAGCTTTTCGAAAGAAGTGCTGGGAAACTTGGACTGGATCTGGAAGATGTGATGCTCGAAAAGGTCTTCCCGGAAATTGGTCGCGTCGTCGGAACTCCGTCCACCCTGAAACTCCCCTAGGTTGAAACTGACCTCGGGAAACACGGCCGCGGCCTGTGCCAGCAAGGGGCCCACGGCGCCTGTGCTCTGCTTGCACATGTGCTCTCCAACTGCAGCCTTCCACCACTGCCCGCAGCGTCCATACCGTTCATCACAGCCCTGGTCGCAACTGCACCAATCCGCGCTGCCCCCACACCACCCGAACGCGCTGCAGCAACCGTTTTCGCACCGCGTCCCGAACCCCGCACCGCAGCGACCGTCAGTAGATGCAGGGAGTAGAGACAACTTGCTACTTTCTTTGTTCTTGGAAGCTTTCGCAGCAAGTTTCTCCGCGACCGCTGGGTGGTGATTCGACTGCTCTGCACCCTGAAAGGCGCTAGTTGCAGCATCTCCCTGACCGGCATCCGGTTTGGACAATGCAAAATCGGAGATGAGCGCCCACAAAAAAAGCAGTTCCGGCAGAAGGGGGGGATAGATGCGCCCGGGTCTTGTGCAATGCCTCTCAACATTCTCCATCTGGTGCAAATTGCGCCTCTGCGACCTCATAGACGATGATAGAAGAACTTCACACGAATCATTCAATTCGACACTCACTTCGCATTAGATCTTTACGCGAAGGTCACTGTATCTATTTTGCTCTTGGCGCCGACCGAATCATTTTTTGTAAGTATCTAGCAAGCTGATACTTTCTTTGTGTTGTCTAGCAAAATCTTCATCGGAAAACCATTCTAACAAACATGAAGGTGAGCAAGTATCAACGTAGCATCGGAATTCTTAAAGAGGAAGCAGCAGCAGCAAATAACAATAAGTATGTATCGCTCAATCATATAATCGTCGCTCAACCTTGCACAAGTGGCTCTGCACCACGAGACACGAATACCCATATTGGGCTTATCTTTCGTTGGAAAAGCTGCACCGCCGCATTTACATATCGTACTCTCTCACAAGCTCAGCACTTCTCAAGATATCTCATCTGCGCACCAGTTGTCAATGAAGATTATGCACAGCACGCACGACTCAAAATTTGCATCGACACCAATCACGATGGATAACGAAACGACGACCACTGCTGGCGGAACACTTCTACGGTGACGGCCTTCAGCGTTAGTTGCGTAGTACATTGACGGTCCTCTATTGCAACCAGTGCTACTGCTAGAGCAGTAGACATGGAGTAAGCATAATGCGCGTAACCCTTAAAATGGGGGGCATACTGCCAGCATACTGCTCTGTTCTCCAAGTGCAAGTCCTCACGGGAAAACATCTGCGGATGCAATTAACAGGCTCTCGAAACAAAAGAGAGTGTCGTGGAACAGGGAGGTGCTTTTGAAATTCTACGTACACGTAGAGCGTTGGAAATTCGACTAGAAACTCTCGAAACAAAAGCTCACGAAACGAAACGAGTCTGGTATTTTGCATTTGCATCAACCAGACGGACGTAGAGATAATTGCGGCTCCTGCAAAGGAAACTACCCTAGTGCTGCCATTCTCCAGCGGCAAAAGAAAATGCAATCTAATGGAACAGCAGCAGCTTCCTGGCAGAGCAGATGAAGTAGGGCAATCCGCTTTGCTTACCTTTTTTTGGTATCAAGCAGGACGAGCAGTACCTCCTCCGTGTTCAGGATTTCGCGTCATCGATCTCTACGAAGCCGCGAAGGGAACGTCATCGAAGACGCTACTGAGCATGTAGCCGATTTTGGGTCGCATCAGAGGCTCCTCTTGTGTACTCTCTCCGATCATCCACCTCAGTGCCTATGCATTGCAAACATGTCTGCGTCTGAGTGTACTTACCAAAATAGGCATTGAATAAGTCTGAGATCTATAATCATCCATGGCATGAGTAGCAACCGAGAGATCCGGTCACGACGGACGCCGGTCCCGTCTTTTGCGATTCCTACACGCGTACGTTCTTGGGAAAAGGAAAGCGGGAAGAGAAGGACGAAAAAAAAAAACGAGCATACCAGACCTTCTGGGTGACTGTGATACCAGCGCCATATTTATTCTACCAAGCTTCTGCACAGTTTCCTTCGCAGACCACATGTTTCGCATTGGATATTGCCGGGTTGATGCTGAAATCCCACGACACTCCTGCGTCTGGATTCCTCGTCCACAGGTTCAGCGTTTTGCCACAGCTGTAGATGTCGGCGCGAAACCCATCGTATCCCATTTTATTCGGATCCGTGATTTCTGGCGCTCGGAAACCCTCGGTGCCACAACTGCACGACTGCAGAAAGCCCTTCCCGGACACTTGAATAGCGCTCCCGAAGTCGCATAGCTTTAACCGATCCTGAAGAAAGTGCATTGAAATGTTGGGATTTTTTTCAGTAAATAGAAATACAGATCATAAACGCAAACTACTACTACAGTGACGGAATACCATGAATCCTTCTCCGTACTAGTGGAGGAGTTGTAGTGCGCTAGAAGTGCATACTTCTAACTCATTGCTCGCACAACTTTCTGCCTTGTTGTGCTTGAGTCATCAATATCGTCGCCATCTTCAGCCTCTGCTCTCGAGCGTGCCCCGAAGTGCTTCTTCTTTGCGTTGGAGTCTCCTCAAACTTCTTCGATGCGCAGTCGGCTTAGGATGTTCGTGCTCCACTTACACTAGCAATGCTACACAAATGAAATTTCTAATTCTATTATTAATTATGTTTTTGGAAGTAGATACGGAAACATTTATTGACCTCAGACACGGCCGCAGAGTGTTCTTCTTGCGTTCAACAACGCCGTTGGTAGATCAAATTGAAAATTGGACTGCATCGCGTTCGCGATAGCCTGACAAAAGACAGTAAATAAACTGCAGCACCGCAAATAGTACCTTCATGTCCACAAGAACGTTGCCCGGCTTCAAGTCGCCATGTACAATTCGTTTCTCCTCGTGCAGGTAATGTAGCGTAAGGAGAAACTGACGCATATCAAATGTAAAAATGTCTGGGTCCGGAAGAATGCAACCTGTCATGCTTCTAAATCTGAAGCATGCAAGAGTCTGTGTTGCGTGATTACCAAAAGTCGTCCAGTTTTGACCAAGTCGGGAGGGAGTTTCTCATGCAGGATAGGCATGAGAGAGATCGCACAGAATCTGTCACGCTAGGTCCTGCATTCCAGACCTCATGGGTCATGGAAAAGCTGCATGACAAATCTTGCAATCTTCCAGACCCAGACACTTTTACATTTGATAACGCACCAGAGCGAGCAATCTGCGGTTGTACTCCTCCTCATTTTCGAATTCCACTGTAAGGGGCAGCGGAAACTCTTTCATCACTTGGATGAGTTCGGTGCGGTGCAGACCCTCCCCGGTGGTCGGGTGGCGACGCAATAGCCAATGTGGACGCACCCCAAGCCGCTCGGCTTGGCCGTCGGCGGTTGTGACACGGTAAACAGGGTCGTTTGCATCGCAGTTTATGCCCAGGGGCCGCGAAAAAAAAGTGATGGGTTGGAGTCGCGTCCACCGCTTCGGCAATTGCTCCGTGTATTCTTGTGAGTCCATCTTGCACAGCTCGCTCAGGAAGTACAGCGAAAATGGATCCTGTGAAAGTGTATAGTCCGGTTGCTTTGCAATTGCAGGCCTAGTTCACGTAGAGCCGATGGGGGCCATGACTTGACTGCTACGTGTTTCGTCTCGCCTCGGGTTCGGAAATGACAGTGCTGAGCCTGCTTTTCCTAATCGGTTCTCACTAATTCATGTTCTTTTATCCCAGAAAAAAGCAGACCGCCTTCAAAATCATATTCCCTATGGATACAAACAGAAACATGGCTACTTGTTTTTAGACATGGAACAAAGAATAAAAGCTGTCCACTCATTGTCAGCATTGCCTAGGGAAAAGAATAGATCCTACCTCAAGGTACACCCCAAAAAAGCGCACGATGTTGGAATGCTGCAGGTGTGCGAGCATTTGCACCTCTTTTGTAAACGCTTCCATGTGCGGGCTTCTTTTCGACACTTCCTTCAGAGCAAAAAACCGTCCGTTGTTTACTCCTTTCACCGTGCAGCCATCCCACGGATCCTGTTTAGTGGGTCTGAAAAAACCAGTCCGGGTCATGGTTCTTGAGAGCTCGTCGCGGAACGTCGCGGACGTGCGCTGCGTGCTGTCCTGTGCACTTCCCCGCAGTCGAGAAAAACCCTCGCGATCCCGCAGAATCTCCGAAGCTGGATGTGAATTGAGCATGATCCAAAATCTAGTATCAAAATTTGTTTATTTACAAGTTTCCGGGCCGAACCTCGTAGACTACTACGGAACAGGCTTACTCAGCTGGAATTGGAACAACTTACACACGTGCCAAGAACAAATCGAAAGCTACCGGCTCCAGATTCTATCTAATTTAATGGCGACCGTTTTGATTTTACACTTTCGATCTCGTGTCCAGCAGAGAGCGCTGTAACTCTGCATACCAAGCCTGCGTCTCCAGACGCACCTACGCCAAAAATGAAGCGATATCGCGGCGTCCATCAGGCTGAAGTAAGTAGAACTGGTCGGTATGTTGGCAATATGAGCCGGAGAATAAATCTAATGCTCGTCATACCGCTTGAACAAAACAAGAAACACAATGAACATGCAGGGAATAGTACGAGGTGCTTTGTTGGTATCTACCGTCCTTAATGAGGAGCGGTAGGTAGTGTGCCCGGCCGGGTCCGGGTTGGTACGTCGCTGTGTAGTACTGCGGTCGTCCGAGGCGTCGGTCTGGTGCTTCTGGCCGGCGCCCTTACTTTGCGGTGCTGGTGCCTGCATGTCGTACCGCCAAACGCAGCGAAAAACCCGTGAGAAATCGGTCGCCATTAACAACTCAAATTCGCTGCATTGTGTTTGCTATCAAATGTAGAAATGTCTGGGTCTGGAAGGTTAGAACTTGTCATGCTAAATCTGAATGATGCAAAAATTTGTGTTGCGCGAGTACCAAAAGCTGTCCGCTTTTGACCAAGTTGAGGGGGAGTTTCTCATGCAGGAAAGGCATGATAGAGACCTCAAAAAATCTGTCATGCTGGGTCTTGCATTCCAGACCTCATGGGTCATGGAAAACCTGCATCACAAGTCTTGCATTCTTCCAGACCCAGACATTTTTACATTTGATATTTGCACGGGCACCCGCGGAATGCGACGGTCAAGGTTCGCGAAGTCCTCGCTCGTATCCAGTACCAAAGTGCTATTGCTAGCATACAACAAGAACAATCCGTCTTAACAAGGAAGCTGGTGCGGGCTTCCTGTTCTTTCGCTTCCTTCTTAGATTTAAATTTATACATACTTGATAATTGATGATAATTATCTCTTGCACGACATATAGGCACGGTAACAAGAAGTGTATGCTAGGAGCGAGGTAACAAACCCAAACGAGAACTTCGCGGTTGAGTTCTCATCCGGCCGGCCGGCCGGATGAGAACTCAACCACATCTGTGGCGGATTGAAATCGGCCGGCCGGTCGTCCGGGTCCCCTTCTTCCCTCCTGGTCGACGGCCTCACTCTTCTTCTTGATTGTCACCCCCCAGCTGCGCAGTTTCACTTCTACGCAAAAAGCCCGAGCTTTGTCATGCAAAAGCTGCGGCAAGTGCCTAAAGCCAAGAAGCAGAAGCTGCGTTGTTTGCTACTTCTACTGCGAGTCGCCGGAAAAGACGATAAGCCTGGGGGCCCAGAGGATGGGGGCACAGCCCAACGCGGGCGCGCAGCGCTGGCTGAGTGACCATGCCGGCTGCGGCCGGGCGCCGACGAACCCCACCAGGAAGCAAAGCAACAGCGTACAACTTGCGCGCGCGGGCCATCCTGCTGCGCCGCCTTCGCGTGTGGGAAACGATAAAGATTGCTAGGGCGCCAGTAGCCCGGCGGAGGCACACATAAGCGCGGCCCAGGCCATTTGCATTGTCCCTGCTATCGGGTGGGGGCAGCTTTGGAGCCCGACGCGCCGCAGGATTCGGGCGCCGGCAGAAACAAAGGGCAGCGCGCGCGGCGCGTCGGAGATTGGTTGCCCGGCGCGCCGAGCGAGGCCCCGCCTCCCATCACGCAAGTCGGTGGACGCGCGAAGCGCGTCCGACCCGGATCCGGCGCATCTGCCAACTGTTGCGCCGAAGCAAGCATGAGCCAGCGGAGAGGCGCGCGGACGCGCTTTCTGGGCCGGCGATTGCAACGTATAGCGGGCGCGCGTTGCGCGCCCCGCGAAATTTTGCCTATTGCGTTTGCGAGCCCCGCGAATGTTTTTGCATTCAATTCTTTCGAATTCCACCCAGAAGCCAAAAGGCATAGCGCAGTCCAACTATGAAAGCGCGCCCGCGGCGGGCGCGCACAATGCGCCACCTTTAAAATTTTCCAACTTCTGCCCCGCTGCATAGCGTAGCTTCTCTGTATTCACAGCAGGCGCGCGTAGCGTTTTTGTGTTGCACACGGCCCCCGGCGAAAGTGGAGTGAGGGAAGCGTCGGTCTCCAGCAGGCCGCCCCCCCCCCCTTTCGCCCGAGCGAATGGCGGGCCAATTGACCAGGACGACCAGCCGGTCGATTTCCGCCGCTGATGTGGTTGAGTTCTCATCCGGCCGGCCGGCCGGATGAGAACTCAACCGCGAAGTTCTCGTTTGGGTTTGTTACCTCGCTCTAGTTATTGCAAATTTTTCTCTGTGATAGTTGTCCAGCCGAACCCCGAACAGGCCGCTGGTATACAGGTTGCGCGATTCCGAAGAGCAGCTACGATGATGGCATTCTCAAGCGTTAAATTGATACCAGTTACACGGTTTCTGCTCATCTTAGCAGACGCAGAAGTGAGACGCTTCAGCTTGCGCCTCCAATATAACAACTGCAGCACGGATTTCCATGTTGTTAAGCGCGTTGGAAACTTGTCAACATGCGAAGTGCTAGCTTGATTGTGAGTGTGACGCAGGTTCTGCATGACTCAATGAATGAAGATGAACAAGAAATCGGCGACTTGTTGTTGCGCGATTCGCGCTGCAACAGCTATCAATGTAACGCATGAGAGAGCCATAACCAGATGCGTCCGCATCGGACTGGTCCTGTTCATGCTCCGAAAATGGAGTTCTTCCGCCGGTGTTGCACGCTCCCGAAGGGGGCGGATACTGATCGGCGTAGGCACCGCCTCCCTGCAAATCCGTAGCGAAACCCGTCGCTCGTGCCGCACTTCGTCCCTTTTTCCGCCACCTCCCGTCCGCTTGCTGGTCCTCGGGGAGCTTAGAAGCGCGCCAGGTGACCTTCTGTCGGGTAGCGGTGCTCGTGCTGTTATTTCCTACTTTCCTGCCGTCCGGATCGACGCCCGCCCCTGAAGCTGAAAAAAGTATTCCCAAGAAAAATTGCAGTGTGTCACTGTTGCATTTTTCACTGTTCCATTTCTCACAGCGTAGTTCCAAAAATTCTTCCTCGGGAAGAAACACGATCATGATGAAGACGAACGAGTACAAAGGTGGCCAGCACTTCTCACCCATGCACTACCAGGAACTAACACGGACACTGCATGCTCTGGCAGTTTGCTTACCGCCCCTACTAAACTAGGACTTTTATCTATATCACAGTGACCACAGACCGCCTCGTCTTTGCTTCAATAACGAACGCGCACGGTTTGTTATGATGTAGCTCCTCGGCACTCGTGGACGGTTCGTCCTCTTCCTCGACAACACCCACAAATCCGAGCCATATGCGGGGTAAGAATGTCCCCAAACCTCACCCGATTATGAATGTGCATCTTCCAACATCACGCATAAACTACTGCGCTAGCAGCTCGACGCACGCGTTTTGCAAATAATCATGAAGGTGAAAAAGAACTCGCTTCTAACGAAATCCGACGGCTGCGAAGAGAAATAATATTTCTACTCTTGCTCTAGTCTACTTCTAATCCGCATTATAGTGTTCCACCTTCGTAAGGCTTGCTACTCGCCCTTTCACCCTATGCATGAACCTGCCATCATCACAGCACCCTCATTTGTTCGTAGAACTTGAACATCTGGATTTGTACAGCACAGCTGATCTTGGGGATGTTTGGGTGGGGATGGTCTTCGAGATGATAACCCGGAAGTTCTCTTTTTCCGGAGACGAGACACGGCTACTGGAAGGATGGACCTTGTGCGGAGAAGATGCGGCGCCGATCGATATTGGCGAGCCAGCTGGTATCACAGAGAAAGACACATCCATGCCATGTAGTTCTTCGAGCCATATAATTAGGCGTCCACGTTTTTTGGCTGTCCGTGCTTGCGCCACGGTCCATCCATCTCTAGTTGTCGTATTTTCGGTGGAAAAAATGGAATTGCGGTAGCCATTATCACGAATTTGAATTTCGGCGTCAGTAAAAATTAGATAATAGCGATAGCTAGCAAACAAGGGACGCGCACGGTTGCACTTTTCTGTGTGATAGCTGGTGGCGCCTTTCTGTCGAAAGGAGAAATGTCGCTGGTTCGGACCCGACTTGAGGTCATTTTCATGTCCGCACCGCCGCTGCTGGGATGAAGGTGCGACTTGGATTTGCCGGTGTGAAGATGCCGCTCTTTGATGTCTTTTTGTGGCGACGACCCGTCCCGCACACTAGTGACCCCTCCCGGCGCATCTTCCAAGACTGCAAAGGCCTCCAGGTGCCCCACCGTATCCGTCGACGCAGTCTTCTGCAGCTGGCTCGGGCCCAACACGCGCCTCTGCTGGAACTCCGAATGCGTGCAGCCCATCGTCTGTGTCAAGACAGAGATAGTCACCGAAAGATTGCAGCGCGGCACTTGCTGAAGGCACAGACCAGCAATGACTAGATCAACAAAACTGGTAGCACCCTAAGAAGGCCTCGAGTCCACCATCCTTGGAGAGATCCGGCCTCGGCGTGCATCCATTTTTTTATGATTACCATGTCATATTACGCCAAACCGCTTCTTGTCGCCTTACTCCGTTCTTTCATCCCCGTCGCTGATATTTCGGTGATTCCACGTCCGTCCCCCGTTCAGCAAAACTACAAGAGAGACGCGATCGAACACACGCGGAGACCTGATGACGATTGAGTAGGCAAACAGACACTGCGTCCACCTTGTTGACCCAAAATGAGGCTGGGAGGGCCCGAAAATTGGAAACTGAAGCACTAGAAAAGCAAACTCTATTAAGTGGACATGAGCACGCATAGTCAACGAAAAAATCAAAAACAAAAATAATTGATATATGAAAGACCAAGTAGATGGCGGGGACAAAGAAAATGGAAAAGCTCAAACTCAATGCGGTCCTGGTGCAATGATTCATTTTGAAACTCAATTTTTGAACGTCTAGAGGAGTCAAACGCAAAGTGCCTTTAGCTCTTTTGACTCGTAAAGTTTGTCCTCGCTCAGAGCAATGCAGGGCTGGCAAGGTTTGAGTTCCTCGTTATCAGCAATCGTGAGTAGAGACGACCGACAACATTGCCACAACTCTGTAGATGCAGAACAACGGCACTACGCATCAACGACGGGAAATGCGGGACTTTCTGATTCCTGATGTGCTGGGTCTCCGTTCCAGTTCGACACTATGTATTGCACAGCACCTGCGCTTTTTGCTTTCACCTTCGATGGCTGTGACTCTTTTATACCTATACGACGCATGCAAAGGCTTGCCGAGCTCTTCTCGAAGAAAATTTCTCTCGTAATATCAGATATGTAATAGTTGAGCAAGCAGGTGCAGAGCCTGCACCTGGATTTTCATCTTGTCCGCCTCGACCTCGATGCAGCGTTTCTATTTTACGATGTCCACCCAGACGAATTTCTCTTCTGGTTTTGCGGTGCCAGACGGATGGGGCAGCTGTCAAATGCAAAAGCCTCGCATTTGTAACAAGGTAGAACAAGGTATACAGAGATTAGACTGCAGGAAGTGGAAGCTGCTTCAATCATACAAGTTGTAATTCATTTTCATAATCGTGCACGCAACCATTTATCGGCAGACATAGCCTCTTTTTCTTCAGGCTTAGGTGGAAACTTCGCTACATAGCCAGCTGGGCATATGAAGCCCGGGCCTCTGCTTCCTCAGCAAGCTTGCTGGTGAGGTAAGTACCTTCCCAAGCAAAGCAGCCCGTTGGGAAATGCAAATATCCCTGCAGCAATAATCCTGCGCACAATTCCCCAGAGGTTTTGAGTACCTGGGTCGGGACCAGCAGAAGCAGGGGTTTTGAGATTATTAACTTATGAGTTCGTTGGGTAACAGCTGCGAAACTTTTGTGATTCATAGCACAAGGTCGGCAACAATCTCCGCGACAAGATTTTGCTTGAGCAAGTATTCTGTGACGTCGAGCCGAAGCTCCGGGTTCCATATTATAAAGTGGCCTCGGCCAACGCGCTGTGGCGAAGTGAATCCCACAACCGGACGCGTGATATACCTGTAGTATCGGAAAAGTGGTGATCTACTTCGGCTTTCTAGGAAGGCGCAACTCTGTCTCTGCTCATTGCAATCAAAATCCATAGTTCCTATGGCGATCTAGTACATCCGACCAGGCAGCCAGATAAAGGCGGCCAACCGGTCAGCGGCCGGCCCATTATGCACCGAAAAACAAAGACCCTCCATGAAGAGTCTCACCCTTCTGCACTTCACTTACTGACATAGTGTATGGTGAACAATAAACTTCAACGAAATCATGAAGGCAGAGGGAGCTAGCAGCGCACACGGCGTCCTTTAGCAAGCTTATCTTCCTCATCAAGATGAGAAACTTTTCGGTGACCTCACTATCGCATATCGGTGACCTCACTACATAAAAAAGTACTCCGTGACTTGAACGTCAAAAGCCCATTGGTGCAGCCCGACTCGAAACTCTCCTGGAACTCCCTCGTTCTGGGCATGCCGCAGAAGCACCATCCCCTTTGGGCGCGTGATGTGCAGCATTTCCAAGATGCCAATCAGCGGGTCAAAAGTGTGATCTAGTGCATTCCTCATGTGCGTCACATATGGCGTTGTCAGAATAGATCAAAAGGCTTCGCTCGTACTTAATTTTTTCGCGCTCCTTCCCAACTGCACCGGGCTTGCAGAAACGCGCCATAGCGCGCAATGGCGCCAACACTCGACAATTCGCGCCTTGCTTCGTCGAAATAATTTGGCCTCTGCGCAACGTGTCGTGCTGCTACTGTGCATGACAATGCTGCGGCGCAACATAGTACCTGCCAAGATCGTACTAGAATGCCTTGCGTGCCGGGTAGTTTGGACGGGCCCGCACAAAGAACTTTCCCGCCCCGGTGGGCGCGCCCGCGCGGAAAATTCATGAAACTATGTATACGAAAATTTACGGTGCCTGAACCCTTTGACCTACATGGACGACCCCATATAATGTCGAAGTAGTTTACGGGGAAGCAGTTGGACAGCTGCTCGACGTGACACTGCACCGGCAAGTTGGTGGGAGGCGTCATGTCGAATCCATCATAGAGCTGCAGGTAGTACTTCCCCAGCCCGTCCGCCGACGTTATCGGTATTTTTAAACTGACCCTATTGACGTGTGCATGGCGTGACCCGTCGTGACTTTTAATCGAGTGTGCACTTGCCTCGTGATCCCCAGCACTATCCTCTTTCGTAGTGTTCGTGCCAGCGCGAGTCGTGTCCGTTGCATTGTTTTTTTGCTGCAGTGCGACTGACGGACCCTCGAGAATAACCTGGTCGCCATCTCCGGCATGGGGCTGATCACCCGCGTCCGCATCACCCGACATGGACGCCCAGAGGCTACTCATCCAGGAGGAGCCCCCGGACCCGCTGCGGTCCAGGTCGCGAGAGGGGGCGCTCAGATCGTCGGCAAAGGGATCATAATCATTTCCGTCGGTAGCTAGTACCAGATCTGAATCCCTGCGACAGCTCCTCTCTTTCCCGCCGCCGCCGAACCCCTCCTCCACGCCGCCCGAGCAGAGCGGTAGGTCCCGGTCCTCTTCCGGGCTACTGAAGAATCGCAGCGCGCTCGTCTTCGAAATTTTGGTAAGATCCCCTGGAAAGCGCAGATTATCGCACTGCAGCTCTTTCGGCGTAAAGGGGCCACTGCCCGTGTTTAGGATATGCAGGCTGGTCCTGTTCCCGCGGCTTCCGGCGAGGTCCACGTACACACACATATCGTCGTACGCCCACGGTGCCTATCAAACAGAAAAAAACCAACCCTTAGTACTACTCCAGCACCTCCTTAGATAGAAAACTTACTATGTCACTGCAGGAACGTGCAAGAAAATGCATACACTTCTGACTCAAAATGTATGCTTATTGCGCACCATTGGGCGGCATTTGCTTTTACTTTCATAACGCTGCGCCAGTCTTGAGCCACTCGCGCAGACGGGCCCGGCTGTCAGTCCGGGTGTTTATTTCCGGGTCCGGGTTCAATCGGCCAAACCAAAACCCCACCTCACTGTCTATCGCCCGGGTCCACCGAATTCGAAACTTCTCCAATGCCCACTCGTGCCTCAGCTGTGTCACGGCCGCGTCCCCCATCTTCTTCGCGTCCTTCAAAGAATATACGCCGGGCGCCACATCCACGGCGCGCAAGCCGTTTTCTCGCTCCGATGTCGAAGGACGATCCGTCTCTTGTTCAACATCGTGACGACCCCCTACCGCTCCCACGACCCCACTGTTAGGACCCCCTCCCGCAGCGGAGGTGTCCTCGTCGCCCTCGCTGTCAGCGTCTTCGAAGTTGCGGTGCAGTTTTTTCTTTCTGTTTCCCGAGAGCAGCGAGGCGGGTCGCCAAGTCCAGCGGTAGCGATCCTCCAGGAAAGATGCGTAGTTTTCCCGCACTTCGGTGAGCGTGAACGGCCACTCGCTATCGTCCAGACAGTGTAGGCAAAATTCCGTTGTGCGGATCACGAACAGCATTAGATTTGCGAGCTCCTCCTTTTTCTCTTGCGGGAGAGAGGGATAACGATCGGCCCCGCCGACGAGGTCGAATGACCTCTTTTTTGGTCGTCCGGAAAAGTTTGGAAGCCCAAATGGCAGCGACGTTTCTTCCTCGAGCTTCTTGTCTGTTTTTTCGTCGGCTGAAGATGCTATTTAATCATATCTAAATACGTCTGGGTCTGGAAGATGATCGAGTTGTGATGCAGTTTTTATATGAATCTTGAGGGGAATAGCAGGGTCGTGCCTTTCGTTACGTAACAGATTTTTCGAAGATGGCCTGTGCTCATTCTCTTCCTCCATGCGTATCCTGCATGAGAAATTTCCCCTGCGTATGACGAAAACTGCGCAGCTTCCGCTGCTCGTGCAAATTTTGATTTTGATAGTGACGCATCACGAAAATGCACTCTTTCAGAGTCAGACTCAGACATATTCGCAATGCATATTTCTCTTGTTGCGCCGATTCCTGTGCGTGAGGACACCGGTCTGTGTCTGCAAGGTAGTGCGTTTTGTAAAGCTCGGAGTCGGGGACGTCTTGAAAAAGGGAAGCATCTGCTAATTCTGTGTGCTCATTCACACACCGCTGTTTCAGGTGACACCTTCGATGTGGTAAGCGTAAGTTAATAGATACATGCCTTCCAAGTAACTACAAGACAACCTTCAGCGCAAGCAAGAACAAGTGTATTTGTATTACTGTGAGGCAAGAGGAACATAGGGAAAAGTATATCCTACCACTGCACAATTACCCGTATGGCCCGTGAGCGACCGACTTGCAGTCCGGGTTCTCTTCGCAGAGTTGGCGGCAGGTCCGGTAATCCATTGGCTGGAGAACATCGTCCACGCTCGGGCCTTCGTCTTTAACTACTCGCGGCATCTCAGCCCATCGCTCGACCTCGGGTTCCGCACGGCCCGCAAGGGCGGTGGAGCGCGCGCACGTCACCAACATCGACAATAGCCCAGCGCTGCAGTCTGTGTTCAACACAAAGGAGTCAGTGTCATCGTAATCCTATCAACAGCTGCAAATATGTGTATGTCTGAGCCTGGATCTACAAATGATAATAATCGCTGACGGTGTGTCAGTTTTTCTTTATTCCTATCGTGTCGCTCTATATATGAAACAAACGCAACCCGCCCAGACGCCATGTTTTTCGCGCCCCCCACCCTTCCGCAGACGCCCGGCCCATAATGTTACGGGGTCAGACGGACAGAATCTGGAAAACTTTCGGCCAGCATTGGTCTGGCCCTGATTTTTTATCATTAAGTTGTATCCATCGTGACCACCTTTGTTTTCGCGGACGCTTATTCCTATTCCTATTTCGCATTATAGTGGCTCCGCCACGAGAGAAGCGCGGGAGGAGCAGAACTCCGTGCGCCTTTTTTAGAATCAATTGAGATTCTACAAGAAGCGCTCCAGGCAAGGTGATGGAACGAATTTTGATCGGTCGAAGCTAGAAGGGAAGCCCCAACGCGCATAGCTTCTAGTTGCGCAAGAGCAAATTGTTAGATGTGATATCATGCGGAAGCGTATCGCAAACTACAAATCTTCCAGCCGCAGACACACTGGTTTGGAGTGCGTAGAGAGACCATTTTGAATATGTAAGGATAGGCCTTGGCGCAGACGCCGTGCACCCAATGGGGATTTGCTTCTTCGTGCTCCATATCAAATGTAAAAATGTCTGGGTCTGGAAAAAAGCAACTTGTCATGCTGCATTTGGATTCCAGAAAAATCTGTATCGCATAAGTACCAAAAGGAGTGCAGTTTTTGCTACGCGGAGAGGGCAATTGTCATGCGGAATAGGCATCAAGAAGCTCTGAAAAATCTGTGATGCTAGGGCATGCATCACAGACATCAGGGCTCATGCAAAACGTGCATAGAAAGTGTCAGAATGTTCCAGACCCAGACACTTTTGCATTTGATACTCCATGTCATCACAATGAAAAGCGCCCCAGCCACGAAATCAAAATTACGTCGAGACCGCCATTGAATGACAAAATAACGGCCCGAAACACCTATTTGAATTGCCACTTATCTGCTACGTGTAAAAGTACATTTAAAGTTTCTATTGAGTACGAATATCGTTCATCGCATACTTCTAAACGGAAGATTTGCATTTTCTCGCTCAGGTTATCTTTATTCCTGGCGTGGAAGGCTTTTCAGTGTGATACACGCCGGCCTTGATTTGCAGCAACATGGTATTCCAAAACGTGCGCGTTTCTTTATGAGAGCGTCAGACACTTATTTGCAAAAAAACTTGACCAACTTCCTGAATGCAATTCTAAATGGCAGCGCAAAGCTTGCCATTGAATTGCGCAAGCAGGGGTATGCGTAGGGGTTCAGGCTGCAACTACCCTTTGGCGTGCGTGGAAGCCTCGGCTTCTGTGCCGATCGCTGTTCTGTGTGGTCGTCTCCTTTCGCAGGGTACTAGGTAGTTGAGAATCGCGACAAAAAGGTCACGCATTTTCCACAACTGCTTGGAGAGACCTCTTTTGCAGGGGGCTGCAAGTAGATGCCAGTTGCGAAAAGAAACTCTGTCCGCAAGTTTTCATTGCAAAAGGTATAATTGGGCTGACGGTCCAGTATAGCTATAGCCGAAATCAGCACGGTCGAGCTGGCTTTACCCTGGACGCTTCGGGTTTTGCGTAACTGGGAAAGTTGCAGTTTTTTTGCGATGTAGTATCTGACGCCCTCATATCCTTCATGCGTATTATATTGCACAAATCTCCCAGCCCCTCTTACTTTATTCAGTGTTCGAAGAACATCGTGAGCACAAACAGGACGATCAGTGCCAGGAATCTAGTTAAGCTTAGTGTTAGCCTCCGCAAGACAACATCCAGCTCACCAACATGTCACTGCTTTTTATTGCTTATTTGACTAGTACTCTTCGCCAGCTCCATCCGTGATTTGTCACGAACGCCACGCAGTATTGAAACGCAACGACGGAAGGAGTGCGTGATGGTACTTTATTTCGGTCATCCCAGACCATGAGGGGCCGGGGGATTCGTGCACGCTGCATACCGCGAGTCGCACCAGCAGTCCGTAGCGGACCGGGACCCATCATGCTTGGTTTCCGTGGCCCACGCCTGATCATATTTAGCTGGGTCCTTCCTTGTATATGGCGATGCAGCAACGCGAAGCTTCCAACAGCTCCCGAAGACGAGAACCAGATAAGGCGTTCTCCAGAACAGGGAACGCGCAAGATCAAGTGCTAACATGATCCTATGGCTGCTAGCATCTATCAACACTGCAACCAGACTCTTCGCTAGGACCTTAAGTCTTAATGCTTCGCGCAATTGAGGAAATAGATGACATCGATTCTCTTCGCGACACGTAGGACGAAAAACATGCAGTGATATGCTGCTGTCTTATACGTTGCACCTCGATAGGGGTCAAGAAGTATTTTCCTAGGTACGGAGGACCTACGACCAACCCGGCCGGGTGAACCTTAGGCCCTCTGATCCAAAAGTTAATCTGTGATACTACAGCAAACCGTCCTAGTTTCGTCCAACCGGAGAAAAGTCTTTTTTAGTTCTGTTTGCGATTTTCTTAAAATTTCTTTAACACTCATTTACTCGAGGAATATTACGAATAGAGGACACAGAGACAGATCTCACTACTACTAGCTGTAGCTGCTACCATGCGTGTGCACGTCCATGGCGATGGCTCCAACAAAATCAAAAAATAGAAGACGAGCGATGGCAATCGGCAATGATCTCCGTCTCCGTGCCTCAACAAAATCAAACGGCAAGGGCACGGGCACGGCCGACGCGTAATATTACAACGAATTACGTCAAAGAAAGTGGACCAGGCACAGACTTTGAGAGCGTCTATCTTCACTGGAAACCGAATTTAGTGCAGAAAGCCAGCACTTTGGTCCTCCATACGATCTTTGTTCTGTTGTGGGTTGAGCAAGCCACGCGTGTGGGCAAGTCCAGACACGGAACGAGAAAGAAACAAATCTTCCACTCCGAGCAAAATCAATCAAAAAGCTCCCGAAAAAAACGTGCGTCTTTGATCGTCCCTTGTGAGGTCAGCCCAAAAATTTCGTGGGCGTTGTCGATTTCCTGCTAGCTATTGATATGCGAACACGATTAGGGTCGCCGTCGTTCGACGTTTGGATGACGCAGTCGCTATTTCCCCCAACGGTGCTCCTGGGCGGGACCCCCTATCTCGCACGACATTTTTCCGCCCCTGCGCAAAGTGTCACTTTTAAAGTTATCAATATTCTCTTGTTAATGTCATACACGTACAGGTTCATCATGGTCGCTGTCACAGGCTGGTTTGAATTCGCAATCAAGTCGCTCATCTACTGCCAAGAAACTTCAACATAGTGTGCTCTTTCCGGCGTCTTGTTCTCTCGTTCCAAACAGAACATCAAACGCCATTCCTGCAGGTCGCTACTTTCTACAGGTACGAAGTGGATTTTGACGATCCTGAGGACCGGCTGCTCCCGCTGGCGATCTCTTGCAGAGCAGGGGGCGGCGTCTGGGACACTTGCCGCATTGCATCGCAGAGTTCCTGGGCTAATTTCAACTTGCCCGGATCATAGTGGTTATGGGAGTGTCAGAATTGAAATCGTCAAAGTTGAAAGGATTTGTCATGCATAAAATGCAGCCCACAAAGTGCCTGTCTTGCAGAGTAGGCAAGTGAGGCAGATTGTAAGTCTGTTGAGGGGTAGCAACTGAGCTGCTAAAATAGCATGACAAGAGGCGTCTTCCTTACCCAAGCAGCATGACAAACTGGATTTCGGCTCTACTCAAATTTGTCGCGCGCCACTTGGAAACTGGGTTACAACTGGCATCCATTTTATGCATGACAAATCATTTCAACTTTGGCGATTTCGATCCTGACAGATCCATAGTGGTCCCAACAGAAGTAGGAAATCGCGGTTCCCTTTATGCCCGCGCGTCCCGTTCGCCCAATGCGGTGCACATAGTCGTGAATCGTGTTGGGCAGGTCGTAATTCACCACATATTTTACGTTTGGAATGTCCAATCCACGCTGCGCCACGTCGGTCGCGATTAGCACCTGAAGCGAATATATATGATGCTTAGGTCACACTTTGCTCTTCTCCTCCCGAAATGAAAAAGGAGCTAATTCAAAAATCAAAATTGCTTCGCTCCGGCGTATATTATTGCCACCCAAGAGAAACAAAGCAGCCTCGCTTCTCCTTCTCATTTGCAAGTGAGTCCGACTGCGTTTCTTGGCTTCTACACTTTAGATAGACCCTCCTTTTCCCCGCCTCAGTAGATAGAAAGCCGAGTGTACTACGTCGTTATCGTTCGTCACTACGCTCACATGAATACAGGGCGAAGTAATAGTAAAACTAAAAATTTTGAATTCGCAGGTACCTTGAACGTTCCGCTTTTGTAATCTCTAAGCATGCGCTCGCGGGACTGTTGGTCCTTGTCGCCATGGATCGCTGCGCACGGAATCCTTGCACCTCGCAGGTTGCGCTCCATCTGGTCTGCAGTGCGCTTTGTGGCTGTGAATATCAAGACCTTGGCATCCTTGTCTATCCGACGAAGACGAGCCCCGCCCCCCGAGGCCATAGACAAAGACGGCACATGCTCATGCACGAAACTGGTGGTAGTAGGTGAAGCTGAAGCTATAGCAATCTGCACAAGCACATAACAGCAATGCGTGAGGCTTTTTAGAGCCAGCACTTCACATCAATCTTCCTACTTTTGGGATGATGATTGCAGCAGATCGGGGAAATGCTGCTCACCTTGCCCGAAGGGGGGCTACCTCGATTCACTTTGGTATTGTCTGGGCTGTCCTTTAACTTTTCGAAAATTCCAAGCAGGTGGTCCTGTCTCTGCAGCTCCGGAATGACCTTTATTTGTATTTCATCATTTTATATCTATATTTATACGTGTCCATGCGTACTATCATGCTTGCGCGTGCAGCTTCATTTCTAAATATGCATCTTCAAGCAATGGCAAAGTTTGCAAAGGAAGCTGGTACTTCAACAATCTGCGTAACATCGGGATTGCATTGCAGCTCCGTGCTTCCGATCGTGACCATCGTGGGATCTTCCTTGCAAAAATCGCGGGCCATGCTCTGGATTTCTTTCGGCCAAGTGGCCGAAAACAACACCGTCTGGCGATCTGGTCTGCATTCATGAAAAACGGGTGAGGAAAAACGCGCGACTCTGGTTTGCCTCGACGACGTTGCGACTGTCACGCTCACGCACGTGCTTGGAAGTAAAAGTAAAATATAAACGCACGGGGTATATATCATTCGAAAAAAGCACAAGCAAACCAGCCAATCCTACACCAAGACGCATATGGAGTTGGAGAGACTGAGATTGAGATAGTACGCTCCTACTTTTGTTCCTGCTGACAACGACTAGGTTCCAGCTGAGTACTTCAAGTTGCCTGCATGGAGAAAGAGAGGTAGTAGAGGTCTGATATCCATGTTGCCATACTATTATAGTATGGCAACATGGATATATTTAAAATATTACCCGAACCCGAAGCAAAAGAATGCACTGAGGAAAACAGCAACGCTGCATCTTTGCGCCGATGACGTTTTGCAAATCATGCGTTCTCCGTCACCGTAGCGTCCTTTCCAGGCATAATCGCGTCTGCTTCACTATCTTGCGGATGCTCGGTTCAAAACCCATGTCGAGCATGCGATCCGCCTCATCTAGCACCAGATATGTAACTCTTTTGAGATTGACAACTCCCGCGGAGAGGAAGTCGATTAGACGTCCCGGGGTGGCGATAACAATGTGGGCCCCGTCCCGCAGCGCCCGCGCCTGGCTATGTCGCGACCCTTGTAAAAAGTTTCAAGAAAATTAGATAGTAGAATCAGCCGCACGTAGATGTAGCAATTCTGCCTCTATAGAGTCATTGAGGTAGATGGTTCAAAAGGAAAAGGCGGAAACTCACTATAGTCAGTGGAAGACGAAGAAATACATTTTTGATTATATCAAGGAGAGAAGTCTTCATTTCTCTGCTTCCCTTTCGACCCGTCAGCGTAAATGAGCAACAAAAGAAGAAGCTAGAACAAGAGACCACACCTGACCCTCCATAACAGACTGCGGACTTGATCTTTGTGATTCCACCGAACTTCCTCGCTTCCGACTCGATTTGCTGCACCAATTCACGAGTCGGGCCCATCACGAGCGCCACCGGGCCGTCGCCGGGCTCTAAGGCGGGCTGTTGCGAGATGTGCGACAAAGCTGGTAAAAGATAACTCAACGTTTTTCCGCTTCCGGTTTGGGCAATGCCGACGGAGTCGCGGCCCTTGCTAAGGATGGGCCAAGCAAACTTCTGAATAGGACTAGGCTCCCGAAACCCCGCTTCCGTTAGCTCTTCCATCAACAGCTCGCCGAAAGTTGGTCGCATGCGTATGGATGTGTCAGGATCGAAATCGTCAAAGTTGAAATAATTTGCCATGCATAAAATGGATGCCAGTTCGAACCCAGTTTCCAAGTGGCGCATGACAAATTTTGCTGGTCCCTAAATCAAGTTTGTCATGCTGTTTAGGCAAAGAAGGGTGGTTTTCTCACGCTACTTTAGCAGCTCGAGCTGTAACCCCAAACAGGCTTACAATAGGCCTCACTTGCCTGCTCTGCAACGCACGTACCTCGGGTCATGCATTTTATGCATTACAAATTATTTCAACTTTGACGATTTCAAACCTAACGCTTTCATAATGTGCTCGAACGCTGTAATCGGTCCAGGTACGCTCCCGCGTCCGCGCAGTGTCGCTGTTGTAAAAAGCAAGTAGCGACACTCTTTACAGCATCGGTCGGGACCGGAAACAACCTAGTCCCTACACACAAGGCTGATGCGACAACTGGTCTGTTTTTATACAGCAATCACGTCCTGCTCCTGGCGTACACACAAAGAAAAACGGCCTGAAATTCTTTTTACCTGACAAATCTTCTACTAGCTGTTTATTTTCTTCCGGAGTGCGCTGTGTGACGGCCTCGTGTTCCTTGTAGAGATCCTTCTGGAAATCGGGCATGCGCTCGACGTCCCACCGGACGTCCTGCAAAATAGCATGGTTGTCATACTTACTGTCGCCCCCAGGGACTCGCTCCGGGCGTCTCGCGCTTCCTCGAAGCCCCCCTCCACCGTGGCCGAAGCGGTGTACACCTCCACCGTATCCGGGACTAGAGGGGTCTTGGTACGCGCTGCCACCTCGATTCTTTCCTCCAGCTGCATAAGCGTGCTGCGACGCACCCGAAAAACTTCGGAAAACTAAGTGGCACACCCGGTGTGCTGTCTTCGCTGAAACGTCTTGCCACAAGCGTTCCCGAGTTGGCGTCAGTGACAGAGACCGAGAGCTTAAGGAAGCCATTCTAAGAAGCAATCCCCGCGGCGCAAGGAAGCTTTTGTTTTTTTGCAGTACGTCGCTACAGGTACAGATGATTTTACGCGTACTGGATGTACGTTGTCCAGTACATTATCTTTGCATGTGATTCGTGCTCGTTCTGCTAAAAAAGCGCGCAAGCACTAGACCAATCATCATCAGACCAAAGTTGCGACTTTGTCCTGTTCAACTTCGCATGCATGACGATGGTTTCAGGACCTGCGCCTGACTATCATATTCAACATACGAAAACGAAAACGAACAGGAAGACGATTTGGACACCCAGTGTTCTATTCAAAACTTCCCTACGCCTGTGTCGATCATGAATTATGATCGGACAAAAAAAACAACGCCGGCGCTGATCCCCAGCAAGCAAATAAGATCGCCAATGAAGGAAATTCCGTGGAAAAGTAAGGCAAAAAGTGGAGTACATTGATCTTCGCAAAGTGAACAAGTTCTTGCTTTTGACAACACCATCCAAAGTTTTTTTCGAAGAGCGTCAAGTGATCAGTGAGACGGACCGGGCAGAACATACTTGCAGAACAAGATCAAAATAATGCACGCATTTTTGTTCCTGAAGATTCGTATTCGTTGGTTCCACAAAAGCCGCCACCGACACATGACCACGATCCATCTTTGCACGCTTCGATCAGGAGCAGATTACACACCTTCCACCTGGAACACATCATCGAGAAGACGAGGAGAAGCTCTAGCGTCAGGATTTTTCCTACTCATGGCAAAAAGTACGCTTCACTTTTTCCGCACTAAGGCTTGCAAATGTACGGGTTCGAATTTGCCAGCTAGGGCCAGTTATGGGTAGAAAGTTAGATTCTAAACCCGTAAACCGTGCAAAACCCTTTCTAAACGCAGATTGGCGTTGTGCTCCGTGGGCAGCCGGTAAAACACGATACCACTAGCACCATCACTTCTTCCCGTCTTAGAATTGGGAACAGCAGACGACTGTGCTTGCGTATACGCGCTTTAAGCCTAAATTTTCCAGCTCTCGGTCTCTTCTTCTTCCGAGACAGCTATGAAGGGCCGTACGACAGCGTCGATCATTTGGTAACCGCAGCTGGGACAGTCCTCTTGTGTCTTCAAACCGAGTTTCTCGGCACACTCCAAGTGAAAGGCGTGGCCACACAAGAAACAGACGAACTTCTGCTCGAGGATGCTTCCCCCGCACAATTCGCACACGGCGTCCAGCCGGAGTTCGATGGTCCGCTCAGAAACATACAGCTATCAAAATGAAAAGCTCCGGCCCTTGAGGGAGAAGTCGTGCACTCCTTGAGGGGAAAACAAATGCGCCGCGTTTTGATTAGGCCAGCCTGTGAATCTTCATATCGGTGCTAAGTTCGCATGAGATGAAGCATCAGCGTCTACTGATGGATTTCCATTTATTCTGGGAGTGCATTTGCAGGAACAATTCTTTTCATCATGATAGCTGCAAATCTTTCTTCAGAACCTGCGCGGCTTTACGATGCTCTCGCATCTCGGTTCGCAGCTCATCGATGGAACGCTCGCAGTTTTCCAGGTACTGTGCGATCTCCTCCTGAAAGCCAGACACCACCAGAGGCTCCGGAACGAACGGCAAAAGGTCTCGAATGGTCACCAGATGTCCACTATGCTTGTGAAAAAAAAAGAATAAGAAACGACCTCGTGCCCACCGGAAAATATTCGGGCAACGTCGCTAAGCGTGGTAAATACGACTATGCGGTTACATTCTGCCGCACTTACTTTCGCGACGTGCTATCATGAACAACAACAAAAGTTGTCGGAGTCAGGGCTAGCGAGTCATGACATAGGAAACTCAAAAAACAGTACCGTCGGACGTTGACTCTTCAAATTAATACAGGAGCAGCTTTTTGATTTTGACAAGAACTTGAACAAAGCATGACAAAGAGGCGCTTCAACAGCTTCAGCTCGTACTACGCCATACCTGCCATGTAAAGTCATTTATTTGCGCATCCATGAGGCGCCGTTGAGTTGTTGGGGAGGCGTGTTTCAATTTCAATTAACACAGGATACCCGTGAGAGCTCAGGAGGCTGCGGAAGGTGCTCAGCTGTTCTACGGGAGGCAGGGAAGCAACCCGATCCGCCTCGTACTCGACAACCTGCAAAAACAGTCGCATCATATGAAAGACTCCATCCAACACAGTTAAAGGAAAAGACCTAGATCTGTTCGACGGCGCGAACAGCCTGTAGTCTCGGACGGCACGATGAAAGCGAGAGCCTGATAAATTGGCCTGTATTCAAAGACGAGTCGCGCATGCTCAGTAGCTAGATTGGTACTAACGTACTTCCTCAGGATTGGGATTCGCCTGTTGTGCTGGCGTTCGTGGGTCCTGATGGAGAAATGACAAGACGATTGACGTACAGGATGCTTTCTGTACACTTACTGCACAAGTGGTCGAACAAATCGATGCAAGACAAACTGCTTTTCTGTATCCATCGTGATGGTGGTATAGAAGCTTGAGTCATTCTGATAAGCCGCGTTCGTTCCTCTGGGTGCGCAGGCCTCGCAGCGTGCTCTTTTGCTAGTTCTACGTTTCCGCTCGCCAAAGCCGCCTCGACAGCCTCCTCGTGATGTCCCAGCATCGCAAAAAGCAACACCTGTGCGGTCTGGTGGATTGCTTTCCGGTCGCGAAGATGATCCGCTTGCGCTGTTGTAGCACTGTTTACTACGATAGAGCGCGCTCCTGCAATTTCGGCCTTGTGGTCAGGAGACCAGTTTCCTCCTGTCTCGTCCAGGCTGATACTTTCGTCTGACAGAACGCGTAGAGCAAAAATGAGATCCAGGCTCCGTGCCACGTCGTCACTCTGAAGAAAGCGCAAAAGAATGTCGCCTTCCCACTGGCGCGCGTAAAATACGAACAGCAGCTTCAAGTACTCTCCGCGCTCGAGGTCCGACATCTCCAACTTGCGGAGTGCAAATTCCAGGTACCGGATCGCTTCATGTGCGTGTGGTGTTTTTGTCGTGGGCCCCCCGCCTGTTCAACAATCGAATCAAGTCGCAGCATGTTGCTGCTGCACATTTTTCGTATTCTAGTTTTTTTTAAATATCTACGCATCAGACACTAATCACGAAAATTGCTTTTTGACTTCGTCCAAGTCAGTTGAGTCGGATGTGGTGGCGCGCCTTGTAGTTACTTATTCCACTCGTTTCGAAAATGGAGGCTTGCTCGTGGCATCTTGATTCGTCATGATCTGCATCTGCAAATACGAGCTGAGCTGAGCGATTACTTTGTATGTGCGAGACGTGATTAATGCAGCGAAGTGAACTTCAAATTGCAGCGATCCTGATCTCGCAAAGACAGAACAAACAGAAACAACAGCAACAAGTAAACTGATACGTATGTAAGTGATTTTCCTATAGGAACGCAGTCTGTAAAAGGGCAAAAAGTTGAAAAACTCAATCGCATAATCACACACGATAAGATCCAATTCGCAAGTAGCTGCGTGCCCCCTCGTCAAGGCCTGCACGCTCAAAATTCCAACTCAAGCTTAATGGCGCTCGACGCACCCTTTCCATGCAGAAGTTGCAGGGGAAAAGCGAGGTAGGGTGAGTGCAACGCAAAATGTAAATGAAAATATCGAAAGCGATATATAGGAGGAGTCTTTCCCAGAAAGCGCACGGAATGGAACGGGGTAGACAGTCAAAACAATCAGAGCTATGCTACTTAATTTGAAAAAAAAGGACCTGCAGTGTCGTCCGGTGTGGGCGAGTCCCGATACGCGTACGACGCCAAGAGACCGAGACTCAGTTCGACATTGGCCCCATTAGATTCATTCACTGCAAACATCTCACTGCTCGTGAAAAGGAAAAGGAAAACGCAAGCGCGAGATTCTCTTCCATGCATCATCTGCCCGCCTAAAATCATCTGCGTTGGTTGCTTCACATGGCCGTGCAGCACTGTACTTGAGTATATCAGGCAAGGCGACTAAATATTTTGAGCGACGAGCACAGCGCAAAAAAACCCCGGGTACCTCCTCCCTAACCTGAGCTGCCTGCTCCAAAACTTCGAGGACGTACCCCCCCCCCCCACATTCCGCCGCCTCTCCAACCGCGACCACCTCCGTTCCGACCCAAACCCACGTCTCCAGGCTCCAAACTCCTCTTCCACACGTCGGATCACCTCTTCCACAATCCACACCACCTGCCTGCCAATCGAAGCAACCTCCTTAACAGGAGCCTCAACCGACTTCTCCCCGGCCCAGGCAACCTCGTCTCCCGCACCTCGACCTCCGCAGCCACAACGCCCACTCTCCGGAGCAGCTCCCCTCCTCTGCAGGTCCACGCGCGGCCACCCCCCCACCATACCCAAAGGCAAGCTCTAGACAGAAGAGAAGGTGGTGGTCTGCAGGTTGGAGAAGGAAGTCCGGTTTGACTTTTTTAGGCATGATCATACATGGCCCCGGCGTTCCAACAGCTGATCTCGATGCTTTCTTTGGGCTGCTTTGGAAACATACAGGTTCAGATTGCTGGAACCTCGGCCGAGCATCCATGTGACAAATGCAAATCGAAATCTAACGAGCGACAGAATCTGCGTTTTCGTCCACCTTCGTGTTTGTTCCAGGTATCATGTAACCTTGACATGTTTGCAGATCATAAAATTCAGGTTTTCGCAACAGTGACACAAGCTCGACAGGCGCTGCTTCAAAGAGTATGGGAGCGTACTGGCCGAGAATCTGCACAGCGGCCTCCTCCGACTCTTCAACCAAGACCCGTTCGATGCATTCTAGGAGTTCCGGGTACTCTCGCCGAGCGACGTAGTGTCGTGCGAGCATCGCGAAATCGCGGAGGCGCCAGGCGAAATACAGAAATTCATCGGTGCAGTCGTAGCTTAGAAGCAGTTGGTACACCGTGGCGGCACAGTCCAACCGCGCTGCCTGATTCAGAAAAAATAACAGCAAATTTCGGGCGGGGACAAATACCAAATATAGCCGCCGGGGCGGGGGTAGTGAGGTCGTGGGCGTTTTTTTGCCGACCGCCGCCTTGGCCGCGGCTTTGCTTTTTATGGGCTCGCCATACCACCGCGCGTAACGTTATGCCGCACGGTATGGCGCCCACTTGGGAAACGTCGCAAATTTTGGCACATTTCCAAAATTCCTTTCCGAAAGCCAGCCCCGATGCTATGGGGCCGATCCGGGTGCCACGGGGGGCGCCCAAAAAGCGAAGAAAAACCGGGCCCATAGCATGCGGATTGGCTTTGCGCGTCTGGGGCGCTTTTTATTTTTCGCGTTTTTATTTTTCACGCCGGCGCTTTTTGCAAAGCTTCCCAGGCTCTAAAACCGGCGAAAAGGCGGCCGCTTTCGCGACCGCCCAAAATGCTCCGAAATCGCGGCCGTGCCATGCTGTTTCGCTGTTCTGATTTTGGGCGCGTTTTTTGCGCGCCCCTTTTTGGGCGCCCCAAATCGCCAGAAACCAAGGCGGCGGGCGCCTCAGAAGGGCGCCCCTTTTGCCGGCTCCCCTGCGTCGTTTTATCAAGCGGGAATCGATAGTTTTCGACCGGGCTTGTTTGTTGGCAAAGCTCCGGCCGCTTGATAATTGCCAATCTTTTTCGTCAAAAAACACTCCCGCCCGCTTGAAAACTGCCGGTCGTTTTTCAGGGGAGATGGCAAAAAAACTCCCCGGTTAGAACCGTTCGGTGACCTCACTACATACAACCTCCTCGAGCTTTGCGCCGTCACTTGTTCTCGACGAAGCCGCAGGCTGCTGGCCGCCGCATGAGCCAGCTTCTCTGCCCGCTTGCGCGTCGTGCCCACAAAGAATGTTCAAGCAGAATTCGATACCCCAGACGCCGAGGAGGACCATCTGAGTCTGGGGCTCGGGTGTCCCCTTGGCTAAGTTCTGCATCTTCAATTTCAAATAGTCCAGCAGAGCGAGCGCAACAACAGCAGCGGAAGCTGGGGAGGACATGCTCGCCACATGCTGCCCGTCATAGACCCGAACGGACTCTGACTGCACCCGGTCACTGGTGGGGTGGCGCTGGTGTTGAGCTTCCTTCTGCCGACCGTCTGTGGCAGTTCCCGTTTTCCCCCGCAGACGGGCCACCGAAGAGCTCACGGCCCCGAGCCTGGCCCCCTTGGGGGAGGATCGCATGCACTCGAGAAACGCCAAACAGATTGACTCGAAGCTGCGGATCCAGGATGGCAGTTGGCTGAAAAAGATCGCAGCGCGGCCGTAGTCGCCTTCCCGGAACAAAGCCTCCGCGTGGCTCTCGATCACAAAAAACTTGTTCTGCCCGTCACAGAGTTTCAGAGCATTGGAGAAGTCCTGCTTCTTCAGCAGTAGCCGCCAGACGTTGGCCTTTTCCTGATTTACCGTGACATCGTACACAAAGGCGTCGCATACCAGCAAAATCTGCCCGCTAAACTGGTCCGCTCGGGGAAGGTCGCACAGAAGTTTGCCCGTCCGGAACACGCTCACCAACTCGCCGTACCGCGTAACTGGCAGGCTTTCGGCATAGACCACCTCGGCGGTAACGCGAGAAAACAGCACCAGGCTGCGAGCCGGCTCCCCGAACAGTACCAGAAAATGGTACTCGGTGCTGGCAAAACCCAGTAATTTGCTCGATGGCATGCTCGCTCCGAGTGAACTCACAACACCCTCAGTGTCAACCTACACAAGTAAGTTGGGATTTTCAGAACAAGGAGAACAGTACGACCACTACGACAACTCCATGATGCTGCAAACTACCTGCACCCAACAGAAGTTACTCCACCGAATTGAGCCTATCAGCAACATTGGAAATACCAGGGCGCTCCCCGGGAGCGTGCTGGAGGAAATCGTGGTCGGGCCCGCGTAAGGAATGACAACGTGGGTAGTGGGGTCCTCTATCCGGAGTACTACCAGTCCAAATGTCGTCACCCACGCCATGGAATCTTGTAAGTACAGGGCAGATTGCTGTTCGTTTTTGATTTCATATAATTTACGTTCTTTATTCTCTTCAAAAATTCAAGCCATACTAAGGCGCCCTTCACGTTCCGTCAAACAAGCCCGCAACCCAACGGGGCCGACACCCCATTGCTCGTGACTACTACGGTAGCATCAATCTACTTAAGTTGATGAACAACTCCTCGCTACCAGTTCATGATTGAAATTAGTAGACAGCAAAAAAACTAAAAAGACACACTTCGGTACCGCAGGCGTATTAGCACTTGCCACCGCAGCCGCCCCGCCCTCCCTCGAAGCCAGAACCGAAGCAGGCAAATGATGCACGCGGCTGTACGAAGTCGCTGCCGGCACTTCCTTGGCGGTTTTTTCGACAGAATCGAAGAAGTTGACAAAATATCGGTCAAAGTTGCGCACGAAGCTTTTGTCTAGGAACAGAGGAGTCGGGTTATTGTAGACGAGCAGCCGCTTCTGAGTGGCGAGCCACAAGGTGTAGCGCACGACGCTCACGGTATTGCTCTGGTCGCCGGAAGCGCTGCTGGCTTGACGCTGGGGACTGAGGGTGTGCATCACACGAAGATCCGTGATGGGTTTGCGCACATCTTCGGAAGCTTGCCGCACTTGGACGATGTTGAAGTCGTGAAAGTTGGACACGAGGTACAGTGCGCCCGACTCGAGTCCGACAAACGCGTGGCAAGAAGAAATCTCTGTGCTCCCGGCGAACGGGACATCGCACCATCCCACAGCAGTGACCGACAGCTTGCGCAGGCCTTTGACCTCATTTAAGATCACGGCCGGTGTTGACGAAGAGGCACCCTCATTCACCGCCGAAGAACCACCGGTGGCGCCGCGTCTGGTGCTGCCCACACCCACATAGTAATGGTGAAGCTGCTCCGTTTGCACGAGGCAGTGACGGTGGCAGTCGCTGGGGAAGAGACGGCGAATAACGTCATTGTTACCACCCCCGCCACGGCCTCCCCCATCCCCGGGCGCCTGCGCTACAATCTTGTTGGTGTTCGGATCGCGCCACTGCAGCACTTCCAGTGGTTCCCCCGGGCCGCTGCACCTGAAGATCTGTTCGCCGAAGGATACCACGAACCCGTTCTCCAATGGTGCTACCGCGTGCACTATCAAATGTAAAAATGTCTGGGTCTGGAAGAATGCAAGACTTGTCATGCATATTTCTCATGACCCCTGATGCCTGTAATGCATGACCTAGCATCACAGACCTTTAGAGGGCTTCCTGATGCGCCTTCCGCATGAGAAATGCCCTCTCCGCGTAGCACAGGCTGGACCTTTCTTGCTGGTCATGCAACACTAATTTTTTTAGAATCCAAAAACAGCATCACAAGTTGCATTCTTCCAGACCCAGACATTTTTACGTTTGATATGCACCCGCTTGCCACGACTGCTGAGGTCGGGCGAGATATCAAATGTAAAAATGTCTGGGTCTGGAAGAATTCATGTTTGTCATGCTTGTCTGGCATGACTCTTAAATCTGTCATACACGTTGCCCAAGAGCTCCGTTTTTCTGTGATGCAGAAGCGCAGTTTGTCATGCAGAATAGGCAACACCTAGAAGCTCAGAGACTTGTCATGCTGAGCCAGCATTTGAAGTCTCATCATGAGACGCCACCCAGCATCACAAGTTTCCAGACCCAGACATTTTTACTTTTGATACGAGAGTCGTAGGGACAATGAGGGCGCCATCCTCGGACAAAAAGGTTCTGCAGTCAATTTGATCCATGATCTAGGACGAACGGACCGCGAGATTCATCACCCGGCGGCGCCTACTTTTTCCGCCCGGAACGCACACCAATAAACCATGATCAGTTAGAAGGATTGGCTCCCACCTCCTGCGCTCAATCCTCATGCTGTGTGAAGATCGTCTTCGTCGCTGTGCCACATTCATGGTTTCTTACGATTCGAATCAAAAGTATGATTTCAAAAACTTCTTGAAGAGATCAGGCAGGATAACACTAGTTGAGGTGGTTGCAGAAATCCAAATTTCAAAAACTTGTCAGCTGTCGCAAGCTCAGTAGACTTCCGAGGTTCAGAAGTGTCAAAAATCTAGCTGGCACTTTACAAATTCAGACTTTCCGTATGCAAGCTGCGAATTCTGACACCGCCAAGACGTCGCACCAAGTTTACAACAACTTTCGTGGCTTAGCGTTCCAACTGTCCGTAGCAAAACTGCAAAATTTGCAGTTCTTTTTTCCACCAGGCCAATATTAAAATATTCCAGCAGTACATTATCTGAATGCCGGACCATCCGATTGCAATTTCAGACGTCCATATCAGACGCCGAAGCTCCATGCATTCCGACCTCACGGTGTGCAACAAAGTTCTTGGCGCGTCTAAGTCATGTCACTATTCAGACCCCCGCAATGCCAGCGCTTCAGTCGCCCGGTTCGAGGGCTTCAAGCTTGAAATAGGTCGGCGCCGGGTAGGGCGCGCCGGGAGGGGGCTCGAGGGCGGCGTGGGCGCCCGGGACAATTCGAAATCACAGACACGCCATCGCCAGAATGCAAAAGCGACACACTACAGAGCAACGCACAAGGTGCGCTGCCATACGGTATCACACGGTCCAGCGCACCCTAGTGCTCCAGGGAACACGTGGGAAGTGCGCTTCTCTCCGCCCGTCCTCGTGAGGAGCTGACTAATTAGGACGAGGCGTGTGCTGGTCCAAAAGCCCATTTTGTGCATTTTGTCGCGCCTCCTCCACCTAGTGGGTAGAGAGGGGGGCTGATGAATGTTCGCGCTTTCTAAGTGCTATTCTTAGCATCTAGATGCGCTTGCGCATGACATTTAAAGCTTCGAAATACCGAAATCGAACCTACGTACAGGCAACGGTGGCTTTGCTCATGTACCAGCAACTACACATGCACCGTCAAAACTAAGCTGCTTTCATTGTCACGCAACATGGCGAATCATCCACAAAGTCCTGCTGAGGCCTTGTTATTCATCTAGCCAAGATCATATCGCATACAGTCAAAAATTGATCCTGATGCTGCACGGGACAGATCTATCATGATGTCACCAAAGCACGATGGAACCATATTACACAGGATCCTGGTCGTTGATCTTTGAGATTTGCGTGAAGTACTAACTACATCGCGACGTGGCAGGATCTAGTAGTGTGCTGGCAGTAGTGCTTCATGGTGCTTCTATGGAGTCAGTATGTAGTACTAGCATTCGTAGTCTACTCGCAGGCTGAAAAAACGTCTCCCGCGATGTATTTGCGTTGACGCTTGTGCTTCCTCCGCCAGGCAAAACAGAGTAGAAAGATGGACGACGGGGGAAGAGTGAGCCGAGGAGCAACCGAGAAGGTCAAACTACAGCAGAGAACGATCCGCGCCTACCATCGCACCAACCTCATCAATACGACCCGAACTTTTTGCCAAAACCAGAAACGTGCCTGGTCCTACCAGCTACGGCTATGCATCATGGCTGCACAGCCGAGCCCTTCCCTTTTCCACTTCCTCATGCCCTCAATATATAATGCGCGAGCCACCTTGGAGTTAGATTATCGCAAGGGAAACATTAGCGCCCGCTGTTCATCTAACTGTTGCAATAAAACGCGCGATCGGTGTGTAGGTCCGCTTCTTCACGCTAAAAAACCGCATACCCAAAAAATGCCCGAACCTCACCTCGCGAGACCCTACAGAGAAGACACGAAGATAGAGAGGTCAGCGGGAAACCAGGACGGAGGTTAACGAGCACTACGTACATTGACTCACGTCATGCCGTCAAACGGGAGCCGCGGGCTTACATCTCTTTCGCGACCTCGAAAGCTACAAGCATCATAGCTGTCCTATGTATCTATAAAGCTATCAAATCCGAGGCATCTGCAACTTCCTTAGTGCGATGTTTTGGCGCAACCCTTACGGCGCCGCTGCAAAAATACCGACTCCAACGATTTGGGTGACAACAGATTGAAAACTCCAGCCTATCCCAAAGAAAAAAGCCGGCAGGTCAGAAAAAAAATAATTAAATAATAATTGTTATTGTGAACAATAAAAGCAAAACGAAACAACAGAAAAAATTGCCGCCATACCATGCGGATTAGCTTCAGAGCAGATCAGCAATCCGCGCGAATCCAGGTGGGACTGTTATTGACAACAATAAAAGCAAAACAAAACAACAAGAACAAATTGCCGCCATACCATGCGGATCAGCTTCAGGACAGATCAGCAATCCGCGCGAATCAGGGCGGGACGGTGATCGCCTGCGTTTTTTATTTTTGTGACGAATTTCGCCCATTCGCGCCATACCGTGCGGGCTGGGCTTCGTAGGGGGTTGCCGGCTTCGCCAATCCGCACGGCACGGCGCCCGCAGTCGGTTTTGCGGCTTTTTCCAGATTTTTTATGTTCGCGCCATAGCGCGCGGGCTGGCTTTCTGGCGAAGCTGCCGGCTTCGCGAATCCGCACGGCGCGGCGGTCCCAGTCAGCTTCTTAAATTTTGGCGCGTTTTTTTGTTTCGCGCCATACCGTGCGCGATGGGCTTCGTAAGGGATTGCCCGTTTCGCCAATCCGCATGGCACGGCGTCCGCCGCCGGTTTCGCGACTTTTTGCAAATTTTCCCTATTCGCGCCATAGCGTGCGGGCCGGCTCTCTGGCGAAGCTGCCGGCTTCGCAAATCCGCACGGCACGGCGGCCGCGGTTAGTTTTGTGAATTTTGGCGATTTTTTTTCTTTCGCCATACCGTGCGGGCCGGGCTTCGTAAGGGGATGCCGGCTTCGCCAATCCGCACGGCACGGCGCCCGCGGTCGGTCTTGCGGCTTTTGGCGCGTTTTCATTGTTCGCGCCATACCGTGCGGGCTGGTTTTCTGGCGAAGCTGCCGGCTTCGCGAATCCGCACGGCGCGGCGGCCGCGATTAGTTTCGTCAGCTTTCGCGGGTTTTTTTCTTTCGCGCCATACCGTGCGGGCTGGCCTTCCTCAGAGGTTGCCGGCTTCGCCAATCCGCACGGCACGGCGCCCGTGGTCGTTGTAGCGACTTCATCCGCGGGCGACGTCGGCTATGATTCCCCAGAGGGCGCAGCGACTTTGCTGGGGTCTGCCAGTCTCCACGGATAGAGGGGGGGCCGCATTTTTGGCATTCCCAAGCGCTGAAGAACTTGGCGAGGCTTTGAAGTCTTGCCGCATCTGATTCCGGCGATCACGAATATTCGAGAAGATTCGAAAAGCTGGCAAAACCTTCGACAACTTCCAAACTCCTGCCTTCCCATTTTGAAGCGATTCCGAATATTCGAAAGCATCCGCCAAAAACTTCCAGAAGAGGGCGCAACTTATTTGGACTATGCCAGTCTCCCCAGATAGAGGCGGGGGCGCATTTTTGGCATTCCCAAGCGTTGCAAAACTTGGCGAGGATTTGCCGGCTCGCCGCCTCTGATTCCGGCGATCGCGAATCTTCGAGAAGATTCGAAAAGCTGGCAAGCCCTTCCCTTCGACAACTTTCAAACTCCTGCCTTTCCCATTTTGAAGCGATTCCGAATATTCGAAAGCATCCGCCAAAAATTTCCAGAAGAGGACGCAATTTATTTGGACTATGCCAGTCTCCCCAGATAGAGGCGGGGGGCGCATTTTTGGCATTCCCAAGCTTTGCAAAACTTGGCGAGGATTTGCCGCCTCGCCGCCTCTGATTCTGGCGATCACGAATATTCGAGAATATTCGAAAAGCTGGCAAAACCTTCGACAACTTTCAAACTCCTGCCTTCCCATTTTGAAGCGATTCCGAATATTCGAAAGCATCCGCCAAAAATTTCCAGAAGAGGACGCAATTTATTTGGACTATGCCAGTCTCCCCAGATAGAGGCGGGGGGCGCATTTTTGGCATTCCCAAGCGTTGCAAAACTTGGCGAGGATTTGCCGCCTCGCCGCCTCTGATTCTGGCGATCACGAATATTCGAGAATATTCGAAAAGCTGGCAAAACCTTCGACAACTTTCAAACTCCTGCCTTCCCATTTTGAAGCGATTCCGAATATTCGAAAGCATCCGCCAAAAATTTCCAGAAGAGGACGTAATTTATTTGGACTATGCCAGTCTCCCCAGATAGAGGCGGGGGGCGCATTTTTGGCATTCCCAAGCGTTGCAAAACTTGGCGAGGATTTGCCGCCTCGCCGCCTCTGATTCTGGCGATCACGAATATTCGAGAATATTCGAAAAGCTGGCAAAACCTTCGACAACTTTCAAACTCCTGCCTTCCCATTTTGAAGCGATTCCGAATATTCGAAAGCATCCGCCAAAAATTTCCAGAAGAGGACGTAATTTATTTGGACTATGCCAGTCTCCCCAGATAGAGGCGGGGGTCGCATTTTTGGCATTCCCAAGCGTTGCAAAACTTGGCGAGGATTTGCCGTCTCGCCGCCTCTGATTCTGGCGATCACGAATATTCGAGAATATTCGAAAAGCTGGCAAAACCTTCGACAACTTTCAAACTCCTGCCTTCCCATTTTGAAGCGATTCCGAATATTCGAAAGCATCCGCCAAAAATTTCCAGAAGAGGACGTAATTTATTTGGACTATGCCAGTCTCCCCAGATAGAGGCGGGGGTCGCATTTTTGGCATTCCCAAGCGTTGCAAAACTTGGCGAGGATTTGCCGTCTCGCCGCCTCTGATTCTGGCGATCACGAATATTCGAGAATATTCGAAAAGCTGGCAAAACCTTCGACAACTTTCAAACTCCTGCCTTCCCATTTTGAAGCGATTCCGAATATTCGAAAGCATCCGCCAAAAATTTCCAGAAGAGGACGTAATTTATTTGGACTATGCCAGTCTCCCCAGATAGAGGCGGGGGTCGCATTTTTGGCATTCCCAAGCGTTGCAAAACTTGGCGAGGATTTGCCGTCTCGCCGCCTCTGATTCTGGCGATCACGAATATTCGAGAATATTCGAAAAGCTGGCAAAACCTTCGACAACTTTCAAACTCCTGCCTTCCCATTTTGAAGCGATTCCGAATATTCGAAAGCATCCGCCAAAAATTTCCAGAAGAGGACGTAATTTATTTGGACTATGCCAGTCTCCCCAGATAGAGGCGGGGGTCGCATTTTTGGCATTCCCAAGCGTTGCAAAACTTGGCGAGGATTTGCCGCCTCGCCGCCTCTGATTCTGGCGATCACGAATATTCGAGAATATTCGAAAAGCTGGCAAAACCTTCGACAACTTTCAAACTCCTGCCTTCCCATTTTGAAGCGATTCCGAATATTCGAAAGCATCCGCCAAAAATTTCCAGAAGAGGACGTAATTTATTTGGACTATGCCAGTCTCCCCAGATAGAGGCGGGGGTCGCATTTTTGGCATTCCCAAGCGTTGCAAAACTTGGCGAGGATTTGCCGCCTCGCCGCCTCTGATTCTGGCGATCACGAATATTCGAGAATATTCGAAAAGCTGGCAAAACCTTCGACAACTTTCAAACTCCTGCCTTCCCATTTTGAAGCGATTCCGAATATTCGAAAGCATCCGCCAAAAATTTCCAGAAGAGGACGTAATTTATTTGGACTATGCCAGTCTCCCCAGATAGAGGCGGGGGTCGCATTTTTGGCATTCCCAAGCGTTGCAAAACTTGGCGAGGATTTGCCGCCTCGCCGCCTCTGATTCTGGCGATCACGAATATTCGAGAATATTCGAAAAGCTGGCAAAACCTTCGACAACTTTCAAACTCCTGCCTTCCCATTTTGAAGCGATTCCGAATATTCGAAAGCATCCGCCAAAAATTTCCAGAAGAGGACGTAATTTATTTGGACTATGCCAGTCTCCCCAGATAGAGGCGGGGGTCGCATTTTTGGCATTCCCAAGCGTTGCAAAACTTGGCGAGGATTTGCCGCCTCGCCGCCTCTGATTCTGGCGATCACGAATATTCGAGAATATTCGAAAAGCTGGCAAAACCTTCGACAACTTTCAAACTCCTGCCTTCCCATTTTGAAGCGATTCCGAATATTCGAAAGCATCCGCCAAAAATTTCCAGAAGAGGACGTAATTTATTTGGACTATGCCAGTCTCCCCAGATAGAGGCGGGGGTCGCATTTTTGGCATTCCCAAGCGTTGCAAAACTTGGCGAGGATTTGCCGCCTCGCCGCCTCTGATTCTGGCGATCACGAATATTCGAGAATATTCGAAAAGCTGGCAAAACCTTCGACAACTTTCAAACTCCTGCCTTCCCATTTTGAAGCGATTCCGAATATTCGAAAGCATCCGCCAAAAATTTCCAGAAGAGGACGTAATTTATTTGGACTATGCCAGTCTCCCCAGATAGAGGCGGGGGTCGCATTTTTGGCATTCCCAAGCGTTGCAAAACTTGGCGAGGATTTGCCGCCTCGCCGCCTCTGATTCTGGCGATCACGAATATTCGAGAATATTCGAAAAGCTGGCAAAACCTTCGACAACTTTCAAACTCCTGCCTTCCCATTTTGAAGCGATTCCGAATATTCGAAAGCATCCGCCAAAAATTTCCAGAAGAGGACGTAATTTATTTGGACTATGCCAGTCTCCCCAGATAGAGGCGGGGGTCGCATTTTTGGCATTCCCAAGCGTTGCAAAACTTGGCGAGGATTTGCCGCCTCGCCGCCTCTGATTCTGGCGATCACGAATATTCGAGAATATTCGAAAAGCTGGCAAAACCTTCGACAACTTTCAAACTCCTGCCTTCCCATTTTGAAGCGATTCCGAATATTCGAAAGCATCCGCCAAAAATTTCCAGAAGCGGACGCAATTTATTTGGACTATGCCAGTCTCCCCAGATAGAGGCGGGGGTCGCATTTTTGGCATTCCCAAGCGTTTTGGGATAAAGCTTGGCGAGGATTTGCCGCCGCGCCGCCTCTGATTCCGGCGATCACGAATATTCGAGAATATTCGAAAAGCTGGCAAAACCTTCGACAGCTTTCAAACTCCTGCGCGCCTTCCTATTTCGAACCGATTCGCAGCATTCGAATGCATGCGCGGACGAACTCGGCCAAAACTTACAGAAGAAAACAGCAAACCCGCCAAAATTTACGCCGAGCCATAAACTCGCCAAGCGGCGCGGAGCGAAAGCAACAAACCCGCCAAAATTTACAAAACTAATTGCGGCCGCCGTGCCGTGCGGATTCGCGAAGCCGGCAGCTTCGCCAGAAAGCCCGCCCGCGCGATATGGTGCGAACGATGAAAATTCGCGAAAAACCGCAAAACCGACTGCGGGCGCCGCGCCGTGCGGATTGGCGGCGCCGGCAGCGAACCTCTTACGAAGCCCAGCCCGCACGGTATGGCGCGAAAGCAAAAAAATCGCAACAAGTTACGTACAAAACTAATCGCTGCCGCCCTGCCATGCGGATTTGCGAAGCCGGCAGCTTCGCCAGAAAGCCAGCCCGCACGCTATGGCGCGAACATAAAAAATTTGCAAAAAGTCGCAAAGCCGATCGCGGGCGCCGCGCCGTGCGGATTGGCGAAGCCGGCAACCCCTTAGGAAGCCCAGCCCGCACGGTATGGCGCGAAAGAAAAAAACTCGCGAAAATTTAGAAAAACCAAATGCGGCCGCCGTGCCGTGCGGATTCGCGAAGCCGGCAGCTTCGCCAGCAAGCCAGCCCGCACGCTATGGCGCGAACATAGAAAATCTGGAAAAAGCCGCAAAACCGACTGCGGGCGCCGTGCCGTGCGGATTGGCGAAGCCGGCAACCCCCTACGAAGCCCAGCCCGCACGGTATGGCGCGAATGGGCGAAATTCGTCACAAAAATAAAAAACGCAGGCGATCACCGTCCCGCCCTGATTCGCGCGGATTGCTGATCTGTCCTGAAGCTGATCCGCATGGTATGGCGGCAATTTGTTCTTGTTGTTTTGTTTTGCTTTTATTGTTGACAATAACAGTCCCACCTGGATTCGCGCGGATTGCTGATCTGCTCTGAAGCTAATCCGCATGGTATGGCGGCAATTTTTTTTGTTGTTTTGTTTTGCTTTTATTGTTGACAATAACAATTATTATTTAATTATTTTTTTTCTGACCTGCCGGCTTTTTTCTTTGGGATACAGCCGCAGCATTACAAAGACAAGTCACGGAGGGAAAGAGAACAGCCTGACGGCACGCTGTCGCCGCGTACTGAGATCCTCAGTTAGACAAGGGGGGACCGACGTCGAAATATGTGCTGCGATTGTGCAGTGACACAGCATGTACACATCTGCACGCGTGAGGGGCACCCCGGAACGCACCGGTTGCGTTTTTATTGCGGCTAAAGTACTCACATTCCTCATTGCGGCCCGATTGGGGTTTTTCAGAGATAATTATTGTAGACTTTTTCGCTAAGCTGGCATTGCGACAAAGGGACGCAACAAAATTGAAAAACTGTGACTCGATTGCATTTTCAAGTGCAACGCTGGACTTTGATAAACCTCACGAATGAGTCGACGCACGGCCGCAGGCGCCAACAGTTGTTGGCCAACAATGTAAGTAGGCGCGACGCCGCTGGCATCCTGGAACGCGGCCGCCCAGCTTAAGCACGCACGTTGTATGGTACTTCTGGCATAAGTCGACGTGACCACAACCAGCAACATTGCATTTCTGACGGTGTGCGTGAGGTCAAGTCGCCCGCGTGGCACGGGCTTCACTCGGGGACTCGAACATTCCTAGATCAAGACACAACATTTGATGGTAGTGATCAAAGAGCGACTAGACTTCATTTTCAATGAGCTCGAACTCCGCTTCCGCATCCTCGGACCCGCCTGTGCTGTGATGCTGTGTATGCACTGCAAATATTTGTAATCAGGAGTGGAATACAGACGCACAAGCTGAAGGTAAAACGCCCCAAGAAATCCCTATCTCCCCGGCAAGGAACTTTATGAAGTCCTAACCTACATCAAGTTCAAGTGCACTGTAGAACTGCAAATACATCAAACTCAATGTAAGTACACAATCAGAACAAGTAGCAACGGCTCACCCTACACAGTGCACTTCAATTCGTGCGCCTTGTGCCAACAATTCGAGTTACGCACTGAAGAATCAGTACTAGACTCGCTTTCGCGATGAAAATACGCTTGAAAATTGGCACTGCTGAGGCTGACGTTGGGCATGACTTGGATCAAAAAGAGCACTCCTGCCTCTGGACAACCTGAGTGCTCTTCTTGTCGGGGTTCACATACCACGCTCATCAACCAGCATCTACGCTGTTCCCGTTCCTGACCCGGCCCTGTACAATATTTAGATACGGACTCACCTGTCCGAGCATTTCCCAATCGCGCGGACTGTGGGGGCTAGCCGGCACGGAGTCGCCCTGCGGGAAAAGCGGCGGCGTCCGTTGCAAAGCATCAGTGGGCCGGCCAACATCCAACACAGGTTGCAGCGGCTGGCTTGACGGATTCCCCGCGCCCGTCTGTGCGTGTGCCGCTCCTGCTCCTTGACGTGGCGGCTTCTGGCCCTCTGGACAAGAAGAGCACTGTGTCGCATCTTCCGATCCGAGTTGTGACTTGGGCTGACGGCACTCCTGCTCGTCCGACGTAAAAATACTAAGCGTAGTACTGGGCAGGGCGGCGCTGCCGTTCGCCGTCTCCTCCCTCGTCTCTCTCCCGCCTTGCCGCTCCACTACAGGCAGGAAGACGCGCGTAGAAGATACGGCACGATCATCACCTTTGCGCGTTGCTGCAGCTGCTCCACTCCCTTTACCAAAATCCGTGACGCGCGGCGACGACATCAAAGAAGCCCCGGCTTGCTGAACCTGCTCCCATTCTTGCAGGCTTGACTTACAGCTTCGACGCCCAGACGTTTCGGACGCCTGGAATACCTCGCCAAGAAGAGCTTCGAAAACTTCAAAACGCAAGGCGTGGGCAAGAAGCAAATCCTGAGCCGTAGGCGAGAAGCATCAAATCGCAGCGGAAATACCATGGGAAGTAAGGCCTCTCAGGGCTTTTAGGCAGTAGCGCTTCACACGCCCAGTGCCGAGGCCGCAATTGGCGCACCAAAGTACGCCAGAGCTCAGTAGTCGCAGCACAAATCGAGCAACGAAACAGGCAAGGCATTGCCGCCGGGAGAGCGAGCACATACAAGCGCGCCCGCCCGTGCCGGTATGTGCTGCTTTCCCTGCAGCTGTCGGCACGCTCTTTTCTCGGCAGCGGCAAACAAGATCTTCTCGCGGCCGTAGGCGCCCAGGCCTCCTCGCGAGCCGAGAGGCTGTTGCCGTTCTTTTTGGCGTCTCTAAACAAACTTTTTGGTGAAATCTTGTTCTTTAGCAAGATAGCATAGCGTTGTTCTTTTTATGCATAATATGCATTAGCATAAGCGAGCGACGCGACTTGACTAAATGAGAGGTCTTCTGTAGACTGTTTGAGGTATTCCACGGCCCCATGAACGCCCGGCATCGGAGGAGTACCTGACAGCTCTCCATTATCCAGAAAAAAAAGTGTGTAAGTGTAACTTTCTTTGAGGAACAGCATCACAAATTTGCTTTGTCATGCGTGGCTTGTAAGGCAAAACACACCTGAAAAGAGAGCTTCGTGGCTGTCTGGCATGACAGGTGTAACTCTGTTGCATGTTCTGCAACACAAATTTACACTTACACAGTTTTTTTCTTGCATATCCATGCTCTTCCCGGTCATGGAATTCGAGTAGTACTCCTTCGAGGTATATCAACTGCAAATATGTCTGGGTCTGGAAGGATGCGAACTTGTGATGCGTGTTGCGGATCATGCAAAAATTTGTGTTGCATGACTTGCAAAAGGTCCCCATTTCTAGCCATTTTTTCATTTCATTTCATTCAGAAGGGCGCTTCTCATGCATCGCATCGCATCGTATCGCATCGTAGTGACCTTTGACTCCTGTCAGGGTGGCGTTGGAACAGCTTTAGCCCCTGCCAATACCTGGGCGTTAGAACAGATTTCGCCTCTGCCAATACCCCTCACCATCATCATCATTGAGACGGACCCCCTGTGGTCGTCCTCACGGCGTCGTCTTGGCCCTAGGCTGTTTCGGACAGATGTTGGTTGTGTCCGGCGTGAGGACGGCTCTGCATGGGCCTCATGCAGAGAAGGCATTTCTCATGCAGAATAGGCTTCACCAAGGGGCTGCAGGACCTGTGAGGACGCTAGGCCCTGCATTCCAGACCTGGCAGAGCTTGGAAAAACGGCATGACAAATCTCGGAATTTTCCAGACCCAGACATATTTGCATTTCATAAGGTAGTCGAGGACCACGGGGCGGTGATCGCTTCCCGTGCAATTGAAATACGCGGTGTACCCCAAAAAGGCCTTCTCCGCGTGGCGACTGCTCAAGTAGGCGCCGCTGGACGCCACCTCGTGCCTGGCCAAAGCTGCGGCGTGCGAGTCGTGCTGGCCTGTCAGATGATGACTGTGTCCGCCTCCACCGCCGGGAACTACTGACGTCCTGGAGCTGCTGGAGGTCGCCGCACAACTTTCAACATCGCTAGAATCCGTTTCGCCCGAAGTGGATGTTGACTGCGGCTGGTCATTGCAGCCTACATTCGCCCCCAAGGATTGCGCCCTTTTTAACGGAAGCACTTTGATGTCATCTCCTGTCGCGAATCTCGTGGCTACGGAGGGTGAAAGGGCTTCCGCAGATTGAGACGGCACCAGAGACGAAAAGGATGACAGGGGCAATGCCCCTGTGCCTTGTTGATTCAGCGGACGTCTTCGCAAAACAACGTCTGCCCCATCCTCGTGCAAATGCCGGTGCGCCGGAACTTTCAGACCGCGCCCGGCAAACAAAATCCGATCACACCAGGCCGGTTGGCGCGACACATCGTAGTGGTACTCTTCTCTGTGAAGCCGGTAAGTCGGAGGAAACGCGATCGGCATCTCGCGAAGCGCAAGATAGTTCTTGTTCATTCGTGTGGCTACATCTACTCCTGGCGTTTTTCCCAGCTCGCCGGTGTGCTCTTGCAGACTCAACATGGATGCTGCAGAGATAAGGAAGTCCATATTCAAAGCACGCAACTATAAAAGGTAAAACTCGTCACGTTACTAGATGAAACATAGAATAGTCAGGGTACGCAAATTACTCGCGGAAACGACGAGAGTTGTATCAAGGTACGAGGTAGATTTACGCTTACCTTTCTCGTTGAGGTACTGATCAAACCTGCACAGGTCCCGCCAATGCTTGTAAACGTGGTCGGAATGCCGCGCGGTCGCGCGAAATGGGTCCAACTCTGCGTCGGTGAAGGCAGTGGGGTCATAAACATCACTGAGCTGCTCGAACTTAACGCCACCTGCGCTCCCGGTTGATGGGCCCGCAACCGCACTCGAACCACTTCCACGACCCGCGGGCCCAACGACCCCAGCCTTCGGAGCTGGCGAAGCACCGCAACCGCTGCTACTTGTGTCAATCCGCGTTTTTAGGAGACGAAAGTTAAAGTCACCAGCACAGATCACAATGTCATAATTGAAGCGGCTCTTGTCGCTATTCCAGATCCGTCCAGACTGGAGGATGTTTGTCAGTTGCGCGTACCGCCGCGAGGCGTTTGTAATACCGCTCTCCAGGTGGACGTTGGCGAAGCACAGAGTCGTATCCAAAAGCTGGTATTACAATGAAAAATGCCCCCTCCCCATATCAAAACGGAAATCTGTGATGCAGATTTGTGGTCACAAATCAGGTTTGTGATGCTAGAAGGCAAAAGATGCGGACTGTAGTGCTGTCTAGCGTGGGAAAGCCTTGCAGCTCCAGGATGACAGTAGGCAACTGGAAGTGGGAAACAGCATGACAGATTACCTGCAATTTAGGCCGCAGCTTCGTCTCTTGGCCTTCTATTTGTGTACTCAAATACAGCATCACAAATTCGCGCATCTTCCGTTTCCGATATGGGGTGGGGGCTTTTTTCACTTTGATAGCTGGAAGTTCAGCACCACCGCGCCCTTGTTTCCAGCCATGCCGCCCATGCCCTCCGGAATATCGCAGCTGCCAATGCGGGAAATCATAGGAGCGAGGTGGTCTGCCACAAACACAACCGAATACTGTCCGATCATCCCGCAACCCTTCACTTTCGAGTAGCTCACGTGAGAAAATAGCTTCTCCGACGTAGTGCTGGTCCCACCTCTGAGATTGAGACTCGCACCAGCAGGCTGCTTCGTGGGTGGGTTGGGAAGATGAACCCCGCTCCTACTAGCCTCCGCAGTCGACTCAGGGCGACCGCTCGCTCGTGGCGGAAGGCTCAGGTCGTAAGAACGAGGTTCGCCAAGACCGTTCCGCCCCTCGACTCCGAGATCGGGATTTGTGGCAGCGGCAGGCGGATCCTTGGCCGGATCAAAACGCGGACAGAAGGGACGCCGGGGGCTCGCGACATGGCCGCAGCCGTATTTTTGCTTCAAGGCTGCGTCAATTTTCGCATTGATCTCTTGTATGGAAGCGTCAGGATTGAAATCGACAAAGTTGTAATGCATGAAATCGATACCAGTTGGAAGCTCAGTTTCCAAGCGGTGCATGACAAATTTCGGCACCGTCTAAATCTAGTCTGTCATGCTGTTTAGGGACAGGAGGCGTCTTTTATCGTGCTACTTTAGCAGCTCTATCTCAGACCCCAAACAGGCTGACAGTCAGCCTCACTTGCCATCCCTGCAAGAGAGGCACTTCATGCCTTGCAATTTATGCATGAGAAATTATTTCAACTGTGACGATTTCAATCCTGACAGTTCCATATCTTGTTCGATCGTCGTATCCCAGGAACCCCCGACCAGGGATGTGGCGGTGGCGACGTATCAAATGTAAAAATGTCTGGGTCTGGAAGAGTCATGCTGTTTTTGCATGACACAGAAGGTCTGGCATGGAAGCTCTAGCATTACAGGTTTCGAGAAGCTTCCGCAATGTCGAATCCGCATGACAAATCCCCCACTTTGGTGACAGAAAGTGGGCAGCTTCTGCTACCCATGCATGAGAGATTTTTCTGTGTTCTGAAATGTGCATTACAAGTTCGGATTCTTCCAGACCCAGACACTTTTACATATGATACGACGCCCAGATCCACAACTTCTTGGAAGTTAAACACCATGATGTCTCGCGGAACTTCCGGGAGAACGCGCGTCAATTCTTGCAGAGGATCCGTCGTACCGCCCACATTCCACGTGCAGGTGAAAAGCGTGAAATTGCCGACGTGTAGCTTCTTACGGTGCTCTCGTGATACCAAAAGTAGCGTCAGAGCGGTGCCAGTGAGCTGACGGCAGCTTTCTTGTCTGGGTGTGGCGGGCCGCCGCGCCGGCGAAACAACAAGACCAGTGGCCTCGCAGTGCCGTGCGTTGTGCCACTGCTGGGCATCATAGACTGCGCTCTTTTTTTTTTAAGTAATTAAAGGTGTGTAGCGGCCGCTCAAACTCGTGCCGGAAAGTCGCAAGCTTCTTGCAATCAAAAAACCAAGGCCGGTCCGCTCGCTGTGCCCGGCCCCCGGACCTTCACCAGGGCCGAGCCTTTTGACGCCCGGCCCCGGAGAATCGACATCGGCGGGCGCCACAGTACACGGGCGGGCTTTCAGTTTTTCGCCTTTGCGGACATTTTCATACGTTTTCATGTTTTTCGCTCCCGCTTTTTACAATCTATCACAAGCGCCACCGCTCCTTTTCCTTTCCTATCTTTCCAACTTGTTTCCGGACAATAACTGGCCGACTCACGATTCGGGTGGCCGCATTTCCGGCCCTCAAATGTGAGCACAAGTGATGCCCTCACCATCCAACGACCTCACTTTTTCCTTACTTTCCGCTGTTGCTTTTTTGGCGTCTCCGTTTTCGCGTGCAAAAACTAAATCGCGAGAATCCGCACGTCGCAGCGGCGCTACTTTCGCCCGCTCCCCACCTGCGTCGTTCTTTAAACTGACGGCACTGGACAGAATCCAGGTGGGCTTATTTGACGCAAAAAACCAAGTGAGCCGATCAGACTCAGAGTTAGAAAGTGACAACAATATTTTTGCATGTGTCAAAAATAAAAGCCTCCGGATCGCTCCAAAATTGCCGGTAGGGTTTCTACTTGCTGCATGTCAAGAAAGCCGCCAGGTTAGAACACTCGCGAGGACCTCACTCCATACAATATTCTGAAAGCGTTCGGAAAGCGGTGGGCTACGCAGCAAAGCGTCGAGACACTCTTGTCGTGTCGCATCTTCCACTAACGCGTTGTATTTGCGCGCGACGGACCTCCAGGCGAATTCGTAGTGCGAGTGCTTGCCCTCCCGCAGGAACGTAGAATAGATGGAGGCCACGCCAGTTGTCTGCTCGCTAACTTGATCGCCAGCATCCGCCCACAGGACTTGCAAACCCCCTCGAACGCGCTGCTCGTCGCCGGGCACTAGCAGGCCAGTCCCGATGCCTACCGTAGCCTCCGCCGAGCTCCTCATCGCGTCGTGCGAATGCCGCTGCGGGTCCCTGAAACTTGCCTCCCCACCTGCTCCATTGTATCCTTCGCCCGTTCCGCCACTTTCTTTTTCCGCTGCGTGCGACGAGGTAGAAAAGTAGTCAAAAAAACTCTGCCCCCACCCCGGCGCGTCGGCTTCCGGCATCTGTTTTTCCAGTTGCTGTGACGTCGACTTGGAAGTAGGCAGGGTGGGCACGGGACCACCAAAAAGACGTGTGGGAACCGCGGCACCGACGGCGGCTCTGGAGGCGGAGGCGCTCTGCTCCGCGCCGTTCGGACATGAACCGTCGTCGTTCTTGACTTGTTTTGGCTCTATTCCTGCGATGAAATCGTGAATGCTTTGCCTCGTATTTGCTTTTCCAACGCTCCGGGAAGGAGCCGCGGCAGAGCACTTAGGGGATCGTGGGGTTTGCGACGACGAGGCATGATGTGGCTGAGCCACAATCTCGATCGGCCCGACGCTCGTTAGTGCATCCGGACGCGAGAGCGCATGGCCGCCCTTTATTTTATTTGTGGGGGATGCAGCACTACTCGGCGACTTTCCTGCTGCGCGGCGCTTTTCCTCGGCAAGAAAAACCTGCTGCACGAACCACCAACAAAAACCAAACTGCATCAGGTTTGTGCGATCCAGGCAATCCATGCAATTCGTGCGCACGACGCCCGACTGCCGAGTCCTCCACACGCACGGATGTGGTTGTACTGGACTTTCTCCAGCACTTCCGCACGCGTCGCCCGGCTCGTGCGCTTCATGATCGGAGGTCCGTCCATGCACTACGTCCTGTGCGCCGCGGCGTCCTGATTCGCCAGCACTTCTATCAAACGTCGTCTGGTGTGTCAGCACCGCCACTTGGTGCTCGGGCAAACCGTCACAGCTCGCGAACCCGTACTCTTCGAGTTCCGGCCGCCACTTGTCCATATCAAGTGCAAAAGTGTCTGGGTCTGGAAGATTCCGAGATTTGTCATGCATATTTCTCATGACCCATGATGCCTGTGGTGCATGATCTAGCATCACAGACTTTTAGAGGGCTTCCTGATGCAACTTCCGCATGAGAAATGCCCTGTCCGTGTAGCACAAACTGTACCCCTCTTGCTGGTCACGCAATACAAATTTTTTTGGAGTCCAAAGTTAGCATCACAAATTCCAACCTTCCAGACCCAGACATTTTTACATTTGATAGTCCACCTCTGCAAACAATTCCTCCACACTCGTAAGTCCCTTGTGGTTGCAGGATCGTGTGTAGAACTGCTTCCGCCCCATACTCAAAAAAAACATGATGCCTATGGTGCGTGTTCTGCTTTACACGTCAGAAACTCGTCCGGGGATCTGCATAGCACAAGTTTGTGCTCTACTGACTAGGCATACGTATGCAGAAATTGCATGACAAGCACAACAAGTAAGGGGTGGCGGGGAAGTTTTCAAACAGCGTACGAAGTCGAAGTGCTTCAGCAGAAGGCAGCGACGCGCCCCAGCGGCTGCCCCTGATATTGCACCGTAGTCATCGGGCCCATTCGCGCGCGCGCTGCTCGAGGGGGACCCGCCCGAGGACGGAGACGAGCTCCCGAGCTGCTCCATCCGGAGCGGCGCCACGCCGCCCGTTTTTCCGGTGCAGTGCGTGGTGGTCTTGTCGTGTCCTCGCGTGGTCGCGGAAACGCCGTCCACCGCGTGCAGCCGCAATTCGGCGGCGCGCCCGCTATCCTGAGCCGCCGTCGTTCGTGGTGGCGTCACCGTGACGTCGCTGCCCCTTGGTGGAACACCACGGTCTGTGCCTGCGGGTCCCTGGGCGTCGGAGTGAACAGCTACTGAGACCGCGTCGGATGTACGGAGGAGCTCCGCATCTTTGGGAGCGGTTGTTGTAGAAGAGGGTGTGGTCGTGCCAACGGCTGTGTTGAGACTGTCTTCTCCTCCTGGCACGACCCCAGAAATGTTGCTGCACGCAGGTGAAGGGACCACCGCACCAGCAGAGCTGCTGACGGAAACTGATGCAGCGACAGCCCCACAGTTGTTCTTGAGGCCCTTAGTACTCAACCGCGGCAGCTTCGAAGCCACGGCACGGCTATCGCGATGCCGAACTTCGCGTAGGTACTCCTGCACTTGCTCCTGCAAGGAGTCGACTAGCATTTGCTCTCCTGCTTTTTTGTCCTATTACAATGAAAAATGCCCCCACCCCCGAACTTGGAAGCATTTGTATTGCAAACCTTTCCAAATGAAACATTCGCCCTCTTGCATCTATCAGCATTACAGGTTTCCAGTCGTGAATAGCGAAAATTTGTATTGCAAAAGACCCCAGCAAGAGCGGCGCTTGTCATGCAGGCAGCGCGATACACGCCTAGACTCTGCATCAGAAAGATAAGACTCGTACTCCTTTCATGCATGACAAAAAGTTTTCATTTGGAAACTTCGCATCACAAATTCTTGCAATTTTAGGGGTGGGGGCATTTTTCACTGTAATATGTCCGACAGCAAGTTCACGTACATCACGCAACCATACATCCTCTCCAGGCCTTCCTGGTGCTTTCGGAATCCCTCCTTTGCAAACTGCGGATGCGCGCCATCAAGAGGAAGAATCCCCGCTTCCAGTGGTTCAACATCCACGTGCTTTGCTTTCTTTCTATCGATATCGTGTGCACACGACCCAGCACCATTGTCCTCACATGTGTACATACATTCCTTCGGAGATACCGGGCGAAGGCCCTCTATTGTTCGGCGCCCCAAAACGAGCACCAGCAGGGAGGTGATAGTACCTCTATTTGTCTAGGTGCTAGCTATGGACGCGCTCGACGCCTCTTCTGGTGCCGTAGACCAAACAGCAGTATTCAAGATGGAGCACCGGCGGTAGGATGCGATAGAAAGCTCTCGATCATTATTTGAAGAGCGCCTTCTGGTCTTCGCAATTTGCGTATACAACTAAACGCATGAGAATCACAGATCTCCTTTGGAACATGGAGAGCGGGATAAATTTTTCCTGATGATACTCACGGGTCAGCTCCGGAATTCCCATTGCATTTTGCTCCCAGAACAGCGGCACCGATCCCCGTATTTGTATAAAGCTGTATTGCGTGAACAATGTCGCTGCACCAGCCGTCGTGGCCGAGGGCGTTGTACTAGCAGCAATCGACAAAGATGCAGCGGTCCTGGTGAGCTGTGCGAGCTGTTCCAATTCGCAGAAGTTAGCAACGTCCCCCGCGTCGTCCATGCCTCGACATGCATACCGAGTGCCAACCCGGCGACAAGAGCGTCGCACGATCAACAAGAGCCGGACTGAGGCGGACGAAGGGACTGGACGGCCGGAGCATCCGCTAGCGGGGTCGCTGGCGCTACCCGACGTCGCCATTTCGCAGCCTCTATGGCCGTTCGTAGCCTTGACATTTTTTTCCTCCCGTGCTGTTGACCCAGTACAATCTGTTGCAGCGCTAGTCGCCTTTCCGCAGGACGCAGGAAAGAAAGTGGTCGGCTCTCTCACCAGCCCACTAGTAGGAGACTGCAATCCCTGAGGCAACGTAACGTCTTGGTTCGTCCCCAAATTCGGTTGGCTGGGACGGTTGCCTTTGGCGTACACTCTGTGCGTGCCGGCGTCTTGAGGCACGACGTTGCCTGAGTTTTCTCCCTTTGCGACTGCTCGTCCAGTTCGCGAGGACATACGCTCGGCTCGCTCGTGGGTGGCACGGTTGTAATCCGCCGGCGACAGAAAAGACACATCATCTATCGCACGCTCCCCGACAAATCCCTGCATAAGCACAGAGAGCCACGCCTGCGTTCGTGTGTCCTGATGAAGAAAAATCCGTGCCATCTCGTGGTTCCAGACAAACCGTACGTCCGCTGTTTCGAAAAGAAAGTGCTGTGTGTTCTCGTAGGAAGCTGACAGTCGCCCACTAGCGGCACGGGGGATTCCGCCTGGGCCTACCGAAATCGGTTTTGCAGGAGGTTCCTGCTGCCGCGCTGCCGGTCCTACTACACATGGGCCTCGTTGGTTAGCGGCATCCGCAGTTCCAGTTCCCGTCCCCGACTGCATTTTGACTTCAGTGTTAGCCGCCGAAAGAGAGGAGCTCACCGATACGGGCGCGCCGCACCCATCTCGGAGGTGCGAGCGAGTCGAACTAGGCGTACTACGGAGCGCACCCGGCGCAGTCGTTGCGGACGAGTTGTTGTACATGGCCAACTTGCGCTGCAGTGTGCGAGTGAGGTCGATCTCGTTGCTGAAGTAGAACCCGGAAGATTGCAGGAGGCGCTCCAGACCCTGGATTTTTTGTGCGTGTACAGTACTCGTACTATTTTGCGCACTGTTAATGGGCAGTAACTCCACCTGGGCGACCCGGAATATTTTTCCGTACGAAGGGCTCCGGTTGCAGCCGCCGGCATGGTCGGGTGCGGCCCAGTGGTCACTCGTTGCAGAAGAGCCGGGAAAGAAACTGAACGGGCGCGACGAGGGCCGATCGTCGACGTGCTCGCGCTGCTTCTTGCTGGTCGTGCCGGCGCCCGAGAAAAAGGGGTACGCGCCCTCAGGGTACAGGTCCAACACTTCAGTGGCCTTGCTGCAGTACAGGAGGTAATGCATGCGCTTTTCGAGCGACAGGATTCCAAACAACGCCAAACAGCTCCTCGGAGGGTGTTTTGTCGTGTTACGCTGAAGCCCGAGGGGGGTCTCGTGCAGCAACGGCATGGAATGCAAATAGTACTCCGATCGGGATGTGAAAAGATGTAGACTCCTTGAAATTCTTGTGCTCGGCGGGCAGTCGCAGCCTGAGCTCTGCAAAAATGCCCGGCGCAGAAGCACGCCCCTTTTTTGCTCGTCATGGTCGTCTTTCAAACTCACTATGCTTTCTTGGTTGAGCACAAACTAACGCAACGTTTGCCGGCACGCAAGCATACTTGTTGCCTCTGATGCATTGAAACAAACCTGCTCGAGCTATTTGCACTCGATACCCTCCATTCTACAGCTACGGCGGCAGATCTGCAGAAACGCGCTCTTCGGTTCGTCCTCTGCTCCATCACGGAGGGCGCGCTCCCGGCGTTCGACGAACAAGTGGGCGCATCATATGCAAAACGTACCATGAACCTGTGCGTCCCGGCCGCTATGAATTTCGGCACTAGAGGTCTTTTGTTCACCGAGGTTCGCGCGGTCATACATATTCATGCGCAGTGGCAGTGGGCGGTCAATGTTACTTCATTATGAAAGCTATTTCGAGGATAGCGGCCACGCTTCGCGAGCACATGATCCCCTCCCTACAAGGGCTGCGTAGGAAGAGGCAACAAACCTAAAAAACGGGATAGCACGACCCCGTTGTTTACATTCCGCAGATATTGAACATTTTTGAGTAGTTTCAGGTATGACTTTCCTGCGTGTGTAGAAGAGCTTGGCTAAAATCAAAAAAACTGCCAAAATCCATACAAGATCAAAATGGTGACTAGTACGTGTACGCTCCTTCTTGTGCTTGTGATAGCCCGTCTGTGACATGAATGTGTAGCGACTGTTCGGTTGCGCCACGCATCCACTCGAAACGAAGGAGAATTGATGTCCTAAGACACCGCTTTACGCATCCGCTCCGTCCCTGCAGACTCCGCCTCGGTTAGGCATCCATTCGTTCCCTCACCGTCCTAGTTCTCGTCGAGGTAAAAAAGCAATAACATGCGCTGGCCACGCTGCCACCATCATGTACGGGATGAAGCCAACCCCTTCACACAGCATCAGACCGGGTGCTGCAAGTCAGCGTCTTCGTCTCAGAGCAAACGTCGCCCAGAATGAAGATGTGGCGCGCAGAAGACCTCAGGTCGGTCGCGCGCGGCTGCTGTCTGCGCAGACTTACGGCAGAAGTGCTGCTCTCTCTTTCCAAGCTTTGCCCTTCTTCATGCCAAGCTCTCGCTGATGATGTCCAGCTGTGACTTTGCGTGGCAGTATTTGGCGTGGCTACGCGCTGCCAACATGGTGTTGAGTCGCGGCAGCGGCAGGCTGTACTCGAGACATAAACAAGCAGGGGCTGTGGACATGGGGACTCTGCCCCGAGAGTTTTGCCGCACGTCGTGTCACTGCCATGATTTGCCTGATGAGTTCCGCTTTCTTGCACTCTAAGAGCAATCAATCGCTCACGGTCACGCTGCAAACAAATTCAGTGGATTAACAGACTATGAGAGCCACTGCAGGCTTCTCATCCGACTTCTATACTTGGCCAGTTGCGGACACATAGTTAGCGCAGCGTCCTCAGGAACGTCTTAGGACAGTAACCATAGCATAGCTTATCATGGGAATTGGCTGGCTGGCGCTTCTGCCTTCTGGTGAAGATCGCAATCTTCGAAGTAGAGCTGGCATTACTAAATACACGTGAGCAGAGAAAACTCACCCGAAAGTGTCGGACTACGGTCTCTGCCTCTCCGGAGCAGGAGATTTTGGCATCCTGGAAAACGGAAACGCACAGCGCATGTGGTCATGGTTGCAGCGCCACAAACCTTCCTCGGTGTATAGCTCGATCAGCCTGGTGCTGGCTTATTCTTCTGCATTTTCTCAATTCCAGTTAATACGGTTTACATTTTCATTTATGTTTATCGGTCATAACTTTTGAAAGTGACAGACACTTCAAACGACGAAGCAGAAAACATATCGCGCGAGTCTGATGCGGAGGTAGCTCGTGATGGTGATAGCTCAGAGGTGAGGTCAAAAGCCCTCGTACAGATTCATCATGAGGTCAAAAATCATCTGAATTTGTTGTCTACAAGTACTATGGAACGAGCTCGCTGGTTCTTGCTCGTGCAGAAGTGGTACTAACGGACCGCGCCTTTCCAGGTGCTGTCGTCTGACAACAACAGACGGAAAGAAAATGAATGCACGCAGCAGCAGCACACGAAGGCTCAGACCAGCACTTCTAACCGATCGCGAAGTATCTAGGAAGCGGCGACTGCAAGTCGTGCGTATCTTCATCTTGACGAGAATTGCATAGCGCGCTCTTCCGTTCTTTTTAATGCAAAAATCGAAAGACAGGATCAGGAAAAGGAAAACAAGCGTAGAAATACCAGCCACGGCCCCGCCAACTACGCGATGAATCCACAAAGTGAAAGTAGAATCTAACGCAACGCCTACCAGAAGACCGATAGTATTTCATTGGGTTTTATTTGGCCGATTATCTTCTAACACTAATGCAAGTCAGGCCGCGTTGCCCTACGGAACTTTCCTTCTCGCTCAGACCGTCTCCATCTCGGTGAATATAACATGGTAGTGAAGAAGATATAGCAAGTACTACGGCAAAAAAATGCTTTACGGACCGAACGAAAGAATCCGCACAAGAGCTGACGCTGTGGTGGATTCTTTGCTCGTCACTGCGGGGTTGCAGTTATTTCCCAACAATTACAGTTGCTTATTTTGGATTTTTTGGGAGGAGTAAATATCTAAAAAAGTTATCAGTGTGTCTGCTGGCTTTCAACCACAGGAAAGTCCATCGCATGTGTGCGCATGCAAGGAAAGTCTCGCGCTTGTTCGCTTTATATCCATTCATGTGCTTCACTTCTAGAAGGTGAAGCCATGTGCTTTATGTAAAAATATCAAAGAGAAGTAAAGTAAGTAAAAATATACAATAAACAAAAGTCGTTTCAACAATATTCAACAAATCTTGCTCAAGCTTGTAGTTTAGAATCTGTATCTATATTCTCGATGTCATTGGTGCATTCGGTTGGGAAGTGGCGGATCCTGCTCGTGCTGGTCTTCACAATCCATGATGCTGCATGATGCTGGAAAAGACGCCCCGTCTCGTAGCCTGCACATTGAGAGAGTGCGTGGCACTTTGATCCAACAAGAACGAATCTCTACGCGGAGTCTCTCAGTGTCAGTAGTGGTGCTCAGGCCCCCGCATTATACTGTTGTGCACAATATCAAACGCAAGTGGTGCTCCTGCAGCATGACGCTTCAAGACTAGTCCTGGCGATGCCCAACGTCGAGCCTTTCGACGAGCCTACTGATTCAACTCAATTAGTAGTCTTGTCATCAGAACAGATGAAAGACACTCCCGACAAAGGCAAAAGTAGAAGGCTTGCCAGAGAAAGTGGACGCGGCCAGTAGCAGACTCGCTGTGCCACAGATGCAGCGCAACATATTACTGGACTTCTACTTCTTTATCCCACACCGACACCACCCGCACTGATTATAGTATTATTACAAAGTGAGACTATTTTTCCGCGGCGCTGGTTACAAGAGCTGGAAAGACGGGCGAGCGTGCACGTCGTTTGTTCAGGATATGGACATCTCTGGACTACTCTGGTTCGCAGCGAGGGGGAGGGCGCTCCCGTTCGCCGCGAGGGGGAGGGTGCTCCTGAGAGCGGCAGCGATCTCCTTGTGACGGCGGTCGTCGGTCCGGTGCATCGTCTGATTCGTAGAAGGATCCTCTTGTAACGGCAGGCCCTCGGGAAGCCCCTCGTCGCCAGACGCCGAGGTCGTAATGTTTGCTGTGCTGTTGGCAGGCGAGTGCTGCCGAGCAGTAGAGGACCCGGGGTGGCTATTCCTCAAAGTCGTCCCCCGACTCGACGGAGCCCGAGTACCCACGGCACCCGCTTGCTGTTGTTCTACTATCTTCCTAGCGCAGTCGTAGCCTGAGGGACTCAGCGGCCCTCGCTCGGTCTGAGCAGGATCTTTACCGCTAAGGAGCAAGTACCTCATCCAAACCTATGCAGATAAAGCGTACCCCGGCCTCAACATACGCAATGCACTATCATGAATGTTCTTTCCATTGCAGCAAAGCTCCCAGTGCGCGCTGATCATCACGTACTGAATTTATTTCCGGAGATCGTCGCAATGCCGTCGCGCATTTTGTTCGAATAGCAGGGGCCGGCACGAACAAGATCACGATACTTATAGCAAGGCATGCCGCATGCGACGACTTGCAACGATCATACAGTTCTCATGTGAAACTGAAGCCTCCGTGCCTTGGTAAACGGATTGCAACCCTAAAGGCAACCCATAACAAGGGTTTTGCGTTGCATTGACAGAATGCGACGTGTTTTGCTGCAGAACGTCGGCCCGCAAGGCGGAACCAATACTGCAAACCACATCTCGTCTACCATATCTATTTGTAAGAACACATTCGAAACATCTTCAAGTGTCATACATGCAAGAAGGAAAAAGGAAATGCTTCCGTTGAGGAAAACCGCAAGGCCCTGGGAAGTGCTTTGTAGGGGCGGGAAGGGGCACGCTTTTTCGTATGATAAGAACTGCTCGTGATTGAGCAACCGATAATCAAGCGTCTTCAGCGCCCACCGTTGCACCTCCATCAGATGCTTCTTAGGGTACACGGGGTACATGTCCTTCTTTTCCTTGTACTGGGACGGAATCCACCCTGCAAGTCGTTTTTGTTTTTCTTTATAATTTTGGCCAGGCCGACATCGAAGCAGTCCTCCAAGCAGCAGGCCAGCGCATCTCAAATCAAGAATTTAGTGGTATAGGTATTGAGAAAACAAAGGGACGACAAATAAAAAGACAAAAGGGAAAAACTATACGGAAGACGTAGTCGAACCACCACTTGAAATGACCCGGCTCGTCGAAGATGACAAGCGTGGCTATGCGAAGCAAGATCGTGAAGATCTTTCCGTTTGTATCACGTTCAAAATTGCCCCCACCACACTGCTACCCCTAAAGACAGCCCTCATGTCTGCTACTTCCGTGAAACTACACGCAGTGACTTAAAAATTGCTACCAGATACTGATTACTTAATCATCGAGGACAGGAGGCTTGCTTTGGTGAGTAGTTGAAGGAGACCTTTTTGCACAAGATAGATTTCCGCATCATCCGCTGCAAATTTGCCCTTATTCTCTCGCATCCAAGCGTCGTAGTTGTTGTACGAGGCAGGCCTCGGCATTACGGGCTGGCCGCTTGCTATCGCAACAAAAAACTGTTTCTCTGTAAACTTGTAATGCAGAAAATGTATCTGAGAAGTATTTGTCTTGCTACACATGCAAGACAATGGATTTTTAGCTGTGTTTTCTCTTAGGAATCTCGCATGGCAAATTTTCTCTATGATGTAGAACAAACTTGTGATGCAAAACTTGCAAAATCCTTACAGTGAAACACTTTTTTCGTGCGATACTTGCGTTCTTCTTGCGATTGAGTGGCGGCTTGGACCCCGTCGGGTTGTGATCTTGGTCGTACCGCCTATATTCATCCTCCCATCCGTAAATGGCTGCTCGCTGGTCCATCACCCAGAGCTCCTCATCAACCGGAATTTTCTCTTCTGGGTCGATAGTATGTGGTGGCGTGGGTGTGTCCTTAGGCGCTTCGTCTATCCTACAGAAAAGCAGAGCTACTAGTACAATAAACTTTATCTTTTTGTCTCAGCGTTTACCCGTAGTATTGTACCCTGTGGTACTCATCACATTGAGATTGAGTAGATACAAGTATCCAAAAGGACACACATATAGGTACTTTGAATAGCGCGCTCGCATTCCTTCGTAGCTTCTCTGGTCAGATACTTGAACTTATACAATAATATTGACGTGCCTGCTCTGAGTCTGACAACTCTGTCTTGTACACTTGCATGGGACACTTCGCCAAGTAAGTGTTCGCGATTTTATACAACTTGGGCTAGGCGGAGAGAAAAGCCGTGACTATGCAAGCGCTTTTCTGTATGATATTTTCCTGCAGCTTCACAAAGTACCACGACCCAAGGGCTAAGACGGCTGTGAAGAATGATGACAGTTTTCGTTTGTGTGGTGCAAGGCAGCAGCATCGCTTGCCCGCCCGTGCAAGGACTAGCACAGCGGCTTTCTTCCTCTAGCTGAGGTAAAGACCGCCAAGCAAAGCTTTCGAGCGGAAAAATCAGTAGCAAAAGACGGAGCCATCGGTCGTGGCCACTCAAATGAAATCAAAATCATCTCATTCAGATACAATTACAAATCCATTTCTATTTGTTGCGGGGGCAAATTAACAAAAAACAAAAGTATCATAGAAAAGTTTTTCATCGGGTGAGGAAAGATTTTGCAAGACACTAAAGCTGTATTATACCAGAAACATGCTCGCTTGCGTGCATTCGGAATTCTTTCATCAGCTGGACGGTATTGCGGACACTCTGCCATATGGGAAGACTGAGGCGAACGTTTATCAAGACAACCATGCGCCGGACCATCTTCACCAGAACCCTATTCACTGCAAATGTGTCATGGCCATATCAAGACAAAAGAACTACATGGCGACAAGTAGCTCCCACACACACATCTTCCAGCCTCGTTGTCCTTAATTAAATTTCTAAGAACTTTGATATATTTATAAGTCGCTCTCGTCGGAGTATCCCAGTGTCAGTACACGATTTTCATTTTGATTTTGGGTGCTATAATGAAGTCGCAGCGCATTTGCTAAAAATACTCTACTAGACCCCGAGGTGGCAAGACAATATTTGGGAAGGACAGAGGATACATTTTCCATTTGTAAAAGCAGCTCGACCTATTTATTATGAATGCATATCACCTTCTTCATTGTCTAGGCGACCACAACACACTTGCCAGCGATAATCGAAATCGAGCTTCGGTTCGCGCCTGTCGATGAAGAAGCGGAAAAGCATACAATCTATAGAATAGGACATCAAATGTGAAATGCTAGAGGTACGAGGATCCAGGTGGGGCCACGTATGCGCATCCTGGTTTTCGTTTTCATGTCTTCCCCGTACGATGTGCTGAAGTTGCATTTTAATAGTGAATCAAAAACTGAGTACTTATATACCAAAATGTGTGCTGCCTGGAATTTAAGTCGTCGCGCATGTACTTCACTGAAACTTCGTCGGAGTCGGTCCTTGCGCTCGGGACTCAAAATGAAAACATTCCCCATCAAAGGTGAGTCATACACAATGCAAAGTTCTTGCTCTACTTGCTTACAAGAAAATAGCTCGCCGTACGTGCGCTTTGTTTCGTTTATCCTTTTCCTGCGATGCTTAGTCTACAATTGATGCTGGCCAAGCAAATAGATCTAAGTACTATATGCTCTCCTGGGTGGGCAATGTTTGACTCTGCTTACGCTTGCAAATCGTTTCCTGCCCTCGTCTATAAAGACGCGGAACGTGTTTAGCGTCCGCCTATGGATTGCAAATATGTCATGGCCATAGAACTTACCAGGGCACTTGCCTAGCGAAAGTAGTGCACTTCCAAGGCGTATTGCCCTACACAGAAGCTTAAACGAAGCTGTGTTCCTTTCGCATGACATGCAGTAATCACCAAAATCTATAAGACCAGGGCTCGGTATCTAGAGGTCCATGGTCTTGACATCTTTGCAGCGCGTACAGTCTGCTGTCCGGCTTCAACCAACCTTGCTGCTCGTCCGTCTGTCAATTCATAACATCGATCGTCGCTTCATCTCGCAGTTGTGTTCAAGTCGCAAGTCGACTCGAACTAATACTAAACAAATCCAAACGCAAATAAGTAAAACAAGTAAAAAAGCTTCAATCAATACCAGGCAAGGACTGGAAGCTTGGGTCGATGCCCCGGACAAAGACGGCGGAAAAGAATAGAGGGAAAGTCAGTGAGCTTAAGTGACACTACAGGAATTACTAGCCCCGAAAAATATAATCGAAGTTGCCATGAATTCCGTATCCTGATCTACTTCCTTGATATGTTTAAAGTGAATCTGCGCGTTTCATTCTTGTACGTAGTTGTCGCCTCGCCGCACAGAGAGGAAAGAACTCTATGAACTCTGATGCAACATCAGACAGAGTGATGCAAACAAGAAGAACCAAGGCTCCTATGTATGGGCTGCCATGCGTTTACTTTTTCGGGGCTCAGCTTGCTGTGGAAAATGAAAGTCACCTCTAGATTTCCCGTTCATAACACACACACGACTCGCTCTTGGGAAAAGGAATGCCGGCAAGTCCCAAACCGTGCGGGCCAAAATGCCGGGCGGCATAGGTTCTCTCCAACTGGTCTCGAGGGCTCGGGGTCGGCAACCCGTACGATGACCTTGAGCCCCTGCAATGAGGACCGACGAGATGGGGTGTTTGCAGCGATGGCGTCGACTGCGAGGCTGCAGTGGTGCTCGGGGTATCGGCGACGCTTTGGCTGCCTGAGCGGTGGCTGATAATATCCTGGTTATGAGGTGACGGCGTGGCTCGGCTCAGCGACTCGCTTTCGGATGAGGCACCCCGCCCGCGCTTGATTCGTGGCGGCGTTCCTAACCCAAGTGCGGCGCTCGAAGACGAGTTGTCCCCATCCATGCCCGTGAGCTGAATCTCCCAACTTCCCGAAGAAGACCCTGTGCCAGAGCAGGTGCCGAACTGTAGACAACATCCCTCGTCACGTAGAGGCGCGCTTTCGTAGGTGTCGGGCGCGGGTCCCGCTGGTCCTTCGCAGGGTCCCATCTCCTCGGGCATGCGGTCGATGTACACTTTGTGGAAAGCCTCGCGCTCAGCCGGAGTGAGGTTCTGAAAACCCGGCACCTTCCACAGGGACTCCCAATTGTCCTGTGGTCGGCGTGGAGGTTGAGGATGAGGATGCGCGCCGGTATTACCGCCGCTAGAATGGTCGCAACTAGAAGTAGAGCACATCGGCCTCGGCGCGGACGCGGTCCCCATTTTTGTTGCTGGCGCCCGCTGCTGGACAGACGCTGCGCATGCAGGCTCCACTGCGCCTGCTGTGGTTCGTGGCAACGAAGGATTGTTCCCAATGTTGTTGCCGGACCGCGGCGGAGGCATCGGATGCAGGGTCAAAGAATTCGCTGAGGGCACGCCCGGTTTCCGGTTGTTTGCTGCGGCGCCGGGCGGACCTTTTGTCCCGCTAGCACTCGTGCTGGTGCTGCCAGCACCCCACGGTACAAACCCTCCTGTCTGCGCGGCGTCGAACGCGCCCTTGGACAAGGCGCCCTTGGACATCAACGCTTCTAGAAAAGTTTTCTGCCGCTTCGGGCGCGGTTGCGAGCCAGGCGACAGTATGGATTGCAAAAATGTCTGGGTCTGGAAAAATGCAGCAGTTTGTCATGCAGATTTGCATGGCCCATGAGGTCTGTGATGCATGCCACAGCGTCAGAGATTTTGCGAGGGTTTTCTGATGCTCATACCGCATGAGAAATGCCCTCTCCGCGTAGCACAAATTAGACCTCTTTTGCTGTTCATGCAATACAGATTTTATGTAGATTCCAGAAGTAGCATGACAAGTTGTATTCTTCCAGACCCAGACATATTTGCATTTGATAGACAGTGACAGACTCCCGATGTCTGCCTCGATCCCCGCCATTTCTCGATCCACCTCATGGTCATCATAGCCGCCGGGGGGGCCTCCACCTCCACACGCTTCGCCGGTTCCCGCTGCCTCGTCGGAGGAAGATGGAAAGCCGATAAACTGATGGCTTACACGGTGGAGCTGGTGAGAAGACGACGGTGGTGCGCTGCCCGGCGTGCTAGCTTGTGAGGAAGCGGCGGCGTAGGGAAATAGAACGTTTCGCGATGTTTCCCCAGAAAGCCGAAACTGGTCTCCACCTCGATCTCTGTGGGTGGTTGCGTGAAACCACCAAACCAAAACCCTGGAGCACCCCCGAAGCAGCACGGTCGATCCCCCTCTCCATACGGCGAGCCGCCGTTGCTGGCCACGCGCCCCGTTTTCGGCTCTCTTGTTCCGCCGATCAAAGAAAAAAACTGCGCTGTGCGACGAGTTCGTATACAAAACAACTAGATTGCAGGTGCACAGGCAGCGCAACCGTTTGCGGCACTGCATTAGCTCCTGCCAAGGCGAACCAGAAACTGCCCACGACCTCCCTCAATTTCCTGAACCTAAATACCTGCCTGCACTGCGGTGCATTGTTGAGAGCCAGGCATCTCGAAAGACGCAACACCGCCAATGGGAGCAGTACAGGAACGCTCAACTTCAACAATCGGGGAGGTCCATGCATACTTAAAAGCATACAAATGTATACAAAAACGCTACCGCAGCTGGTACGTCGTCGTGTAAACAATAATCAGAGAGCTTTGCTGTTCTTATGGTCGCTTTCTTTCTCGCCTGAAAACAAGTATAGTAGGTCAACATAGAAGAATACCTAGAAGTATTGCGCATCTTCTGCAAAGAAATGCCGAATCTCTTACCACAGCTTTTTTCTTGGATATCTCCACATTCTCGCTCGCAACGGGCACTGACCGGTCGAGCAAGTGCGGCAAGTGGTTTTCCAAAGCCCTGACGACCTCAAGGAGAGTGCTGGAGCTAGGCAGACAGATGCGCTGGCGCGGCTGCAATTCTGCTTTACAATATCTAACAGTCCTCTGTGCGAGAACTGAAAGTGGAAATCGCGTGAGCCTGAGCCGTAGGCGCCTCCACTGCCATCACACCCAAGCAGCTGCCGCTGGACAACTGAATCCCTGAAGACGCTACTGATTCTTTGAAAGGGCGGCCCTTTGACCGGTAGGATCGTGTCGATGAGAAAGACGCAGCTACTTTATTATTGCTGAAAAAACCGCCCGTAGTTGAATTGCGTGTTCTGCTACGTCGCACCTCGGCCATGTCCAGCGAAAAATCGACGCGGTGAAGGTCGTCAGTTGGTAAAAATAAATCCCCGCAGCAGTACTCGTATTTGCAGATGTTCGGGTCAATCCTCGTAGTTGCCCTCCTCGAGACGAAGGGTGTTCGGTGTCAATCCACCCCGAGGAAGGCAAGTCGCTTGTTTGTTCTGCACGAGAACGTTCGAGTGCTCCACCTGCGCTCTTGTTAGAAGTCGAAGCTGATGATACGCACTTGGTATTCAGGTTCTCGGTCGAATCCCGAAATAGAAACTATACTAGATTGCCTCCATGATCAGTCGGTATTCGATCTGCAGAGCCGTCGCAGTGCTAGCAGCTGCATCTAGCATTGCGGCGGCCCCGAAGGCGGAAGCTCACCAAAAGTTTCGAGGACCCGGGATGTGTGGGCTCTACTAGTAGCAGTAGCAACTTTACCGCGCTGGCACTGCAACCGTGGTCATCGACTGATTTGCCTCGGATGACGTCACAAGACTATATGGCTCGGTTCGTTTCCGGCATCGAGTCGTCAATGATGAGCCGGGTTGCTCGAGCTGTTCATCCGCATCCACAGGAAGTATCTGCACCCCCGGCAAGGCGACGCTCTTCAGGAACTCGATAGCGTTAACCCTGCTCCGGCAGGACTGTCTGTACTATGTCTAAAAAAAGTAATTTGCTGTACTCTGCATTCATTGTTCTATGACTTAGCGCCAGGATTGTTCCGACCCTGGGTTAGACTATCCTCGTAATTCACACGTAAAGATGTTGGCACTTTGGGCCCTACTATTCACAGGGTAATAATGCTTGAATACGTACTCCGTTCCAGGTTGAGTCTTTGTCTTACAACTCTTGCTATAGGTACATTTGCCTTCATGAACGACCACATCACCATACTCATACAGAATGGCTTATCACGATAGAAAGCGAGGCATACAGAAGCTTTTGGTCGCTTGATCAAATAGGGTTTGGTCTATAGGAACTACTACAGTATCAATAATTTTGCAGATATTCTTTCACTGCCATCCTGTAATGTTGGTCAAATGAATCGACTCGGTGAATATGAATGATCGTCCCACCAACAGTGATCTAGCAGCATCGCAACAACAACAACTACAGCTTCGCTTCCATAGGAGTAACTTGATCTTTTTATCGACGCGATCTGCTTCTGCATCCACGCAAAACTAATCGCATACTACTTGCTCTGTGGCCTCTTTTGCGCTGCTAGTCATCGTCGGGCACCCACTACTTAATGAATATTGTGGCTGTAGGTTAGTAGATCCAAATATCAGCGTCTATAACTATATAAACATTATTGACCTCGACGCAAGAAATCAAGAATAATAAATAAACTAATTTCTGAACATAGTTGCTGACGTCGCGCGAAGAAAACACGCACAAGCCGTGCACTTGGATGCAGTCAAGTATTTCTAGATCTCGGCGTGAAAGCTCAAATCATGCTGCGTGGTGGAACGGCGCTATCAAACGTTTTCAGTTCACAAAAGATGCATTTTCCATAATTACACTTTAACTTCCAGAGAATCTGTGCTAAACCATTTATACACTCATGATTCATACTGCTATTTCTATTCATTCTGAGGTACTCAATAGACGTTCGCCTGGCGGCCACTCGGCTGCATATATGGCATGCGCAAAAAAGGGGTGTGAAACTGCATCTACATCTAGTCGACAACAACATTAATCTTAGTGCGTGTTTCGGTCAGACGGTTACTTTTTGTGTATCCACCTAGTGCGTACTACTACCACAGTGCCTTCCCAAAGTGTAGGACAGAATTTTTGTTCTGGCGGACCATCTGCTCGCGCTTTGCGAAGATAATCGTGATGCTGCCACCTCTTGCAGGAACGCGCACTGTAAATTTTTCGCCTACTATTGCACGATAGAATATCGTCTGCGTTTCTGGTGTCCGGTGGCGCGGCAGCACAGCTTCGTCGTTCTCGTTAGGGGTAACGAACTCTCGATGAGCATGCTGCACATGAAAGTCATCTGCAGCTTCCACATTGGTCACCGACTGCTTCGACACTTGTTCAAAATTAGACGCTGTTAGAGCGCCGGTGTGTTCGGCCCAGGCGTCCACCCCGACAAGCTCGGTGCCATGTTGGAAAGCGGACAATGACATCTTCGCCCAACACGCTGCGTCACAAGACACATCGGCAGCAGCCGGTTTGAAATTCGTAAAGATCATCGCTATCGCAGAATGAGAGGAATAAATTGCTCGCCTTTGCGATCCCACAGGCCCGGAAGATTGGTCGCGCACTTGGTCGCGCCGCTCATGATATAATTCAGGTGCGTCGCGGCTTCTGACGTTCTCTTTCAAGAACTTCTCGGTGAACCCTTTTTTGGGCGAGCAACGCAAAGGCCCTCCGCATTCTCTATCCAGATGATCCGCTGCACCGAGCAGGCGACCCAACCCGATGGAAGAGTGCTGCACGAGGTCGGAGGCAGTGAGCACAATCTCCCGTGCTGCAACGTGTGTGAGATCCAGAAAGCCGTAACTGACGATTCCGCCCTGCCGACGTGCCTGCTGGTTCACTGAAATCAGGAGCCCGTTGCGGTAAGTGGTGAGGTCCCACTCAGTGGGGCTGCGGCTGCTGACGTTTTTGCTTGAGTGCAAGAAGAACAGCTCAGACGACAAGTCCGGCCCAAATGCTGGGGTCGCCTCGCGATCCACCTGGCCGCCCTGCTCCTGATTTATTGTTCGTGCTCTACCACCATAAAAATCCTCTTCATTCGTCTCTAACTCCCTGTGGTCTGCGAGTTCTTTGGGGCTCGGCCTGCTATCGAGGGGCGCACCGAGCAGGAGCGGGGCCCCGATCACGCAGTACAGCGAGAACTGGGTCCGGCTGACCGCTGGGTCCATGTAGATCAATTTTGCCTGCACGGACCGGTGCGCGGGGTTCGGTGAACTCGCAATCAGCATGTCCAGGTCATTCCAGCCGCCGGGACTGCCATACGCCTGCAGGTCCCGAAAGCGACGCAGTGCATCTAGCAATGACAATACGTCCGTGACGTCCGCGGAAATGCGCCACATATTCGCAAGCGGGGCCCCGAACGGGGGCATGGCGTAGAACCGCAGGTCGGAAACAAAAGGGTGCTGCCAACCACCACCGCACACGGAGTACAGTACCGGGTGTTCCCTCCGTTGGTTCTTCAGCAAGGCATCGCGGAAGGCCTGAAAACCGTCCAGTTCCGCCGTTTGGGTCTGCTCCGCATAACAGTTGTCGATCTTCACAAAGTCGACCGCCCAATCGATTGCGAACTGCCGTGCGTTATGGAAGCGTCAGGATCGAAATCGACAAAGGTGAAATAATTTGCCATGCATAAAATGGATGCCAGTTGGAACCCAGTTTGTATAGTGGCGCATGACATTGGTGGTCTACGAGTTGCAGAGTTAGTGGCGCATGACAAATTTCGGGAGCGCCAAAATCCAGTTTGTCATGCTGTTTGGACAAAGAAGACTACTCCTGTCATGCTACTCTAGCAGCACATCGTCTTCCCCCAAACAGGCTTGCAAAAATCGGTCTCCTCTGCCTGCTCCCCAACACAGGGGGCCTTGAGTGCCCCACATTCTCTGCATTACAAATTTTTCGACTTTGTCGATTTCGATCCTGACACTCCCATATGCGTCCACTGCTTCGTACTGGTGCGACCCCGGACGGCCGGCGCACGTTTCCGTGCCCCGGTCCGTGTAGATCCCGAATTTCAGGCCCAACGCGTGAATTTGATCGGCCACGGCTCGTATTCCGTTTGGAAACCGGTGGGGGTCGGCCACCAGTTTCTGGGTGTCCTGGTCGCGCGCGTCCGCCTGCCAACAGTCGTCGAGATTCACGTATTCGTAACCCAGGGCCGCGAGCCCGCTCTCTTTCAGGTAGCGGGCGCGCTCGAGCACGATCCTGAGAAAAAACATCCCCACGACGACCCAAGAGAGAGTCAAGATGAGAAAAAACTATTGCCCTTTTGGGTCGAGATGGCGACAACTCTGCAACACAAACCTAGAAGTTTTCGGCGCCACGCATGACAAGTTTGGAATGCTAGTGTAGTCGCATTCAGCTAAGCACTGTAGCTGCATCACAAACCGATCCCCGTCCTGATTCTGGCATCATGACAAACTGCCAGACAGCATTGCAGAATGCTCCCCATGGGGCTGCGCAGGAGAAACGTCTGAGGCTTGCAGTTTTCCACCACATCCACAACTCTGGGGTGGAGACGTTTTCACATGGGATAAGCACGATCGTTTCGTCTACATCGCAACCAACGTCGTTCCAACTATTGTAACCCATCGGTGGAAGGCGAGCAAGCCCGTTCTGCAGCGCTTGCGCGACCAAACCGGTCGAGGAGGAGGGTCGTGACACCGACAATGCTGAGAAACCTGCCAAGTGCAGGAATCCCATGAAGAAAAGCCAGCTAGAGACGTGGGCCGCAACTTGTCGAAGGCGAAGATTGAGCCAGAAGCAGACGCTATGAGTATGAAGCTCGCGCCCGAGGGACAACATTAGGAACCAAATGCGTGGCGGGCAAAAATCCAGTCAGCGCGAAAACCAGCATGCCTCTTCGTCGACACACTCTCTTTTGATCGAAAAGAAGAAAGCAACCCGGTCCACGGAGGTCTCGCGTACACAAGCACGGGTATCTTAAGCAAGTGCAAACTGCCTTGGTTTGGCGAATTTTCCTAGATTCAAAAAAATTTTTGCCTCGCGATCTTTGGTGAACAGAAGAAGCAGTAGACAACAGAGAGCTGCGACGCTCAAAAGCACGAAGGCATGCACTCACTCTATATGTCTCGAAAATGCGTCGATGCTGTTGTTTTGCGGCTGCTTCTTTCAAGCCACAAATGAAACCCTGTCGTTCTTAAGGATGTGCATTTGGCTTTGGGAGAGAGAACACGCAAGATCATAAGAGTCCTCCCTGTCAGTTTGTCACCATTCCAACCAGGTCTTCCTGAGCGTGACCACAGCTGTTCGCGCTACCAGTTGGAGAAAAAAGCAAGATGATTTGATTACACGGCGAACAAGAACTCATTATATCATATTATTTTTCAGTTTGTTTCAAGACCAGGTAGAGCGCTGAGAGCGTTCTTCTCTATCTTGTGACACAGCCTCCGCACCGCCGCTCCCGTCCAGAGCGCTTTCAGCAGGAAACTCGGGCTCTTCTTCCTCGGTGTCCGGCGAAGACCATTCACTGTCATCTTCGGAGTCCGTGAGCACGTACATATCTTCTCCAAATACATCGTCAATCTTTTTAAAGACGAACTCGCCCTCACTCACGTCGTCGTCATCCGTATTCATTGCAAAGATGTCCGGCGCAATCGCAAAGTGAGTGTGATACTAGTTAGTATTAGTAAGCACACAATTATTGTTATAACTCAAATAAAAGCCGCCAGCATGCAAGAAGAGCAAAGCCAGTACCTTCTGGGTCGCCACAGAGTGAAGCACCTGACGCTAGACAACATCATCGGGCAAGTACCAGTACAATCATCTTCGATGCGCCACCCTGAAACTATCCCGAACCAGAGCTCGGCTCCCGTCTAGGTTTTTAGTGAGCAGCGCTCTCCCTCTCGAGAGAGCTTGTCAAAATCTGCTGTCCGTTGCAGAGCTTGCACCGGATAGATACTTACTTAATCATATTTATTCTTATTCCGACAAGGTATTTATAATCAAATTCAGCACATGACAAGCCACAGCGAGTTGCAGAACAAGACACATTTGCATTTGATAATCCTGGCTGAAGAAGTGCGAATCCGCTGTCCCGTTGACGCTCCGGTACAAGCCACACGCGTGCCACCCTGCCGCACAATACGACAGGTCCTGGCATTCCCGGAACCCGCAGTCTAGACACGTCACACCCTTGGTCGGCTTGGTCCAAACCTTCCCGCTGCGCTTGAGTTGCAAGTACTTTCGGGGATCCAGCCGCTTCCAGGTGCCGCAGCAACTTACTCTAACCCAAACGCGGTAGTCCCGCACGTGACCCCAGGCGGCGCGGTTCGGGGTTGTGGTATCGCAGGCGTAATGGCAATCGCAAAAGATCAGGTCGCTGCATCGAAATTTCGCCGCCGTTTCACACTCACGCAAGATTTTGCCGGTCTTCGGACAGTCAATCTTTCGCCATTTTCCACAGGCACTGCACTGCAGCTTCGTCACCGGTTCCCCCACTGGCCACGGTCGCGCAGCCGCTCTTCTTTGCACTACCCAGGCGGTGCAGTGAAACACGCGACCGACAGGTGGGCGAGTGCCGTCAGGATCTTCTTCCAGGAATCGAAACGCGTGAGGTGGCACGGTCCGACGTGCATCTGCTCGGTCGGACGTTTGGCGGATGGTCGTCCCCAAGTACTTATTGCGGTACAGACAAACTGTTTTCTTTCCGCTCGCACAACCTTTGTTGGCGCGCCTTACCGTTGCAACACTTCGATTGTGTTCTGTCATCGCGCTCTGCCTTCTCGCCATCACTTGACGACCGACCTGCAGAGAAGAGACCCCCGGCCGGGTTCCGAGGGGTGCCAGATGTCCGTGGCCTCCTTCAGTGTGGCGGGGATCCCGCCATACCTGCAACCCGGACGACCCGCTCACTCGCGGCAAGAAAGCCTGGTCGTGATGTGATGGTCCTCCAGTTTGCACAGGAACCTTTGATGTTCCTGCACCTCCTGGTCGTCGGTGTACTCCTTCGACGCGTGAACTGGTGTGATTTGCCGAGGAGCGACGACGCCTGACCGTGTCTGGAGCATCGAAACCCGACGACGTCTCGCTTTCCGTACTATCCGCCTCTACTTTGGGCTCCACCGCTTCCATTCTGCGGTCACCGGACGAAGATGGACGACCCTCGTTTTCTTTAGGAGCTTTCGTGGTATTTGTGGCCTTGATGCTGGTGAGTAAACCATTTGCAGGACGACCACGAGAGGAGATCGATGCGAGTACTCGAGCAGGCTGGACATACGAGTTCACGTTTTTTCCGTCGGCTTTTTCATATTGTCGCTCCGCCATCTCCTCCCACGGTGCCGGCAACACTGTTTGCAGCTGAATGGTGTTCAGCTCCTGATCTGACATTTCTTCGTCACTCTCGTCGACATCCCACCCCATCAGCGTTTGCGATAGACAGGTCTCTACATCCTCGCTGTAGCTGTTCGGAAACACGGCCGCTGGTGCGATAGCTCCATTTTGTGTTCGAAACCTCGCTTTGGCGCGCTCGTCAGTGATGACACCTATCTCGCTCATGTCTGTCAGCTGGTCATAAAGTCTTTGACTTCGGCACAAAGTAGCGTCGGATACCGAAGGAGTAAACCCTTGCTCCGAAGTCTGCTCCCCTGCCGAAGTAGTAGAGATGTGATAGTTATTTCTACCACCGCTGCTGCCGACTTGTTCGATGCCAAATGAGTTGCTTGACCGTGCGGAGGCGCGCGATCTCTGAGTTGCGCCCTCTAGCACATTTTGCGACACGCGGAGATCAAGGGAGCATGGCACGTGACCAAAACTTGTCGTCCTAAGGAGTGGAAGCGACAGCGGCGCTTCGGAGCTTAGAACCGATACCCACCTGGCGAAGGAAACGGTCTTTTTCTTGGAGCAGCCAGTGGATTGGGCGTCGCGACGATCTCGTAGTTGCTGAGAAACTTGCGACGACGCGATTGCGTCAGCAGATCTCGAAGGATGGTAGAAGTGGCAGTGGGGCGGCGCAGTTTTGGGCGTGGTCACGCTTTGTACAGCATCGGTCTCGATCTCGTTCGCGCTCTGCAGGACGCCAACCGGACCCATTGAGGGAGCAGGTGCACGAGACTCACCCCAAGACGACGCATAATCCTCTCCTCGGAAAGATGCAACAAGTGCCAGGGCGGGCGGCCCAGATTCGAGTCGCTGATACAGTTCACGTTGCCGATTCCAATACTCGGGAGTAGTCTCGTCAACCGTCAATCGCTCCTGCTCATGCATGGTCGTCCAATGCGTCCACACCTGCTGCCGACCGTGGGCTCTCCGCGCGCTTTCCGCCAGTGACTTTCCCATGTGCATTGTTGGTGGAGAGGTCGTTGCTGCGCACGCCGTCGCAGGCAACCAGCTGGTCGTGGCTCGCGGTTCGACATAGACCGCGACTGACGCCGCAAAATTCTGATAATTCGCCAGCTTAGCTTGCAACTTCTGAGCGCGAAGCAGCTTTTGGCGCACTGGCGCCTGCCAGTCGTAGCTATGCCCTTGGCTCTCCTCTCGGAAACAACCCGCCTTTGCTGCTGGTGGCCCACCAGGTCTGCACCAAGTGTGACTCAACTTTTCAATGCGAACATCACAACGCCCAGCCATCTGGTTTGCTGTTAAGGCTTTCGCAGCGAGCTCGTTTCCGTGTGACAGCTGCGACTCTGCACCGCAGCCTCTCGGATGGGCATTTAGGTGTCGCACGAGCTGGGCCTCGAAGTCTGCGTCCAGCGGGTACAACGGCAATAAATCTTCTGGCTCGCCGCCGTTCGTCTGCTTGAAACGCTTTTTCTTTGCACAATTTTCTGCCATGCACGCCTCCCGGAAGAGCTCCACCACAAACCCGAAATCGGTGAGTGCAACGAGCCTTCGCACAATACCTTCGAGCTCCTGAATAACAAGATTCGGGCGCTTAGACAAAGAAAGAGTGTGGTCTCCGTCCGCGCAGCTATTTCCAGCGCCAGCTGTACTCGAAAGCTCCGCGAAGTGCTGCTGAGATTCTTTCGCGGCAGAGTGCAACTGCACGACGTAGAGAGCACGAATTACTTCGACTGGAATGAGTCCACACTTCCGTCCGCGATCGACATGCCACATACCCTGCGGATCCCTTCCCAAATACCATTGCTCCGACGCCAAACTTTTCCGAAACTCCACGGGGTCTTCCACTTTATCGTGGAGCAACCGCAACAGGTCTGTAATGCTTTTTCGCAGGCAGCGCAAATTAATTTGGAGCTGGGATCTGGAAAACGGCAAGGCGCTGCAGCGCGGTGGCGACGCAGATGATGTAAACAGGGCACCGCGAGAGTATCTTTCAGTGTCAGGAGTCAGAGTGCTCCAGTGCATACTCTCATCGGTGCTTTGGCGCTCGACATCGAAATCCTCTTGTGCGCTGTGCGAAGGGCCACGACGGTCCTTCATTGTTGTGACAGCATCTATCTCAGCCGAGGTTTCATCATCCTCAGCACGAACTCTCTTTGCGCGATGTTGCATCGCGGTCTCCGCCGCAGAGATTCTCCTTTCCATAGGCGTTTCGCCACCCACGACGCGCTGAAACCGTTTGACTTGTGCCACATGTGCCCGGAACCGCGCCCGAGATACGGCAGTGTTCGAAAACGCGCGCGCTTTGTTCCCGTGAGTGACACCCCTGCGGGGTAGGAGGACGCTTCGTTGCTCCACTTCCTGTAGCCCACTGTGGAGCAGCTTCTCAGCCGGGGGCTTCTCGATACTTTTGAACAGCGTTTGCAGCGTGTCTTCTCTCCGAGAACGCGTCCACTGCCTACGTGTAAAGCTCTTCATCTTCCGTGTGTCCAACCACGCTCGCAGTACAGGTTGCACATCGCGTTCACTCCGTGGCAAAAGCAGTGCAGTTGGAGTGGCGCGGTACCGATTACTAGCCTGCGCATCATCCTCCCCCTGCTCGGCCGTTTCGCTATTCTCTTCCTCTCCGCTGCTTGCTTCGTCCTGTGATTCGCTCGCTGTGCAGCTTCCGTCGTTGGAGAAACTCATCGCGCTCCCATCGTCGTGGTCCTCACCGCTGTTTAATGCGCCCGCACTACCACTGACACTGTCGTCGTCGCTCACGTTTTCGGAGTCGGACGGCCCCAGGTCAACATCCGGGTTGGACACGCCGGCGCAGGCAATCTTAACAGGAGCCGAAGACTCGTACTCGGCCGCCACCACGATCTGATTCTGATTTTTCCTGGGGGCGAAATCCTCGGCAGACGCAGACTCTGGTTGTTGCTCGCAGCCGCGCGTGACATTTTCCATCTTGTCCCCCAAGAGCAAATGCTGCGGTACCTGTTTCGTGGGTAAGTCCTCCAAGTCTGTCACGTGCACCTCGCTCGCGTGGCAGCTCGTCAGCACGTCCATCTGGCGCACCGCATTCTCCTCCAGAACTTCGTCAGACGCATGAACCCGGATACGGTCCTCTTGCAGAAGAACCGCCCCGCAGGCGGCGCGCGCCTGCAGCATAAGAAACCTACTTTCCTTCAGATCCTGCAGCAGTGGCTGCCACGTGGAACACGCCGAGTCTTCTTGCATGTTCTTCTCCGCGCGGACTGAGATGAGACCTAGTTGTTCTCGTGATGAGGACGACTTTTCGCTCCACAATGTTTGCCCCTTCAGCGTTGTTTCCGTAGACGGACAGGGAACCGCGGCATCGAAACTCGGCGTAATCGGCCGCGCTGCCGCAGCAAAGTAATGGCGAAGGTGCGCCGGTATTACACCGGTCCGCATGCTGACTTTTGGCGACGCCGGGGCCCAGCGTCCTCCAATCAAGTGACAATCGCCACTTCTACCCCTACTGCCAACAGCAGCTGCACTCGGTGCCGTATTGTATCGGAAACAAACGCTTCGAACAGCCGTTTCCTCGTTAATTTTTGGTTCCGCACTATCCATTCCTCGACGGGCAACTTCTTCCGAGGAAGCGAGACGAACAACCCGCAGCGCCGGTAGCGACGTTACTACTTCTCCACATCCGGACCCTCCTCCCAGGTTCTCGCATCTGACTGGTCCTCCTTCTGGAATTTCGCCAGAATCAGCACCGGCAAGTAGACAAGGTGTAGTTCCCGGTTCATCCAGCACGGGAATTGACGGCGCCGGATCTGCGTGCAGCTCGTGGCCACCGTCAAACGAAATGTGGTCCATATTGGGATAAAACGGCAGAAAAGCGGAGCTGCCGCTGTGCCAGAATTCCCGGTCGCGAAATATCTCTTCCCAACTGGAGGCGAAGTACAGAGTTTCCTCAAGGTGGTTCTCTACGGCTGCGTCGTGGTCCGTGACTTCATCTGTAGAAGCGGGCGATGAGGACGAATTGTCGTCGCAGGACGAATTGTCGTCGCCGGCTGCGGCCTGCCAGATCTCGTCGCCGCGTTCGGAGTCCAAGGACTCGGGCTCACTCTGTGCGCCCACTCGGTGGGCCGTGCGCTGTTCACGGATTGCGCGGCGTTGCGACGCTACATTAACCGAGGAGACACACTTCTGGCTCCTCCCGTTTCTTGAACATGCGCTAGAAGTAGCGGCGCGGCGCCCCATTGCTCGCCCGCCGGTCGTCGCGATCGGATCCCCCCGAAGTGGCACCCGCACCTCCGAACGCTCGGCTGTCCGACTAGTTTCGCGGTCAAGCCGAGAAGTGTTGGAGGATGCGCAACTGGGGCCTTTTCGCGGAAGCGCGACACTGTCCTCCATCCACCTCCTGGAAGCCGATGAGATGCCGCGTCTTGCCGTTCCGCGCTGACCTGCTACAGAACTGGCAGAAGTCGCAGATGTACAACTATCGCAGTCACTGTCGCTGGCATCTGTGTTCTCGGTCTCTCCGTCTGCGGAATCCCCAGAGGCATCGCGCTCGTCCGCGTGCTCCACAATCTCGGCGCATCCAAGAGAAACTCCTCACCACATATATAAACAAACTCGCACCCACTTGTTGAGCACGTCCACAGATGAATCCTACTAAGAACTGATAACCTGAAGCTCCAAACCGATCAAAGTCAAAGCTCCAAATTTTACACAAAAAAAAAGGCTGGAAGAAATGCGCGATAGCAATGTACCGAACGGCTTTCTGAAACTGCAAGGCTTTCGTAAAAACCAACCAACGAATTTCATGAATCAATGTGGTGAGGGTGTGAATTTCTCTGGAATACAGTGTGATTCGTCTCCGGTACGACACCGATAATCGTATCCCATGTAAAATCACCATCGCCACCGTGAGCAAGAACTGTTCGTTATCTAATGAAGAAAACTCAAGGGTACTAGATGAGACGTGTTGCGTTCTCCTTCTCTACTTATTTGTATACAGGATTATTATCATTTATCACTAAAGTGGGACAGTCATTTTCAGCTGGGATAGGCCTCCACCGAATCGTAAAGCACGCGCTTCTGTTCGTCCAAGATCCGCCAGGTTTTCTTCGCCTTGCCGCGCTTTTTGACCACCCGCACGGGACCCAGCGCATCCTCCGGCTGCAGCGCCGGAGGAAGGGATCCCATGACGCAGTACAAGTGACGCAAAAAGGCGATGCCGCCGGGGTCGCCGTCGCCCGCTGTCCCCCCGTTCACAAAGTGTTCGTCCTCCAGGTCGTCTTGCAGAAAGGGCTGACAGGCCCCGAAAAAAGCAAGTTCGCCAATCGACCGGACACCTGGGTAGAAGTAGTCGTCCACCCCCTTCTGCCAGGGTAGCGCCTCGTCGAGCGCGCTGCGCGGCCCCGCACAATCCACACTGTCCCACCAGCCGCGCGCCAAAAGCGGGCAAGACTGTGCGCGAGAGACCTCCTCCGCAAATTGCTGGAACCGAAGGTCGATCGTGCGGCACTCTGCACCTCTCTTCCGCGCTGCTTCGGCGGAATATGGCGGTGGGTAAATAAATTTCGTCATAAACCGAAGCAGCTTCCCGAGAGACAGTGCCTCTAAATCGTAGTCATCGCGTACGAAATTCGCAAACAGTGTCTGTACTGCCCCTCGAGCAGCGCCTCGGCGCGCCATCTCGTGTACTATTGCAATGTCATTCAGGAGCTGCCTGAGTGTTTGATCTTGATGTTGCTCTTCGACGTAGCGGTCTGATTCTGCATCGTCAGCCTTCCCTCCAACCAAAGCGCCACCAGATGACGTCAGCACTTCGTGCGCTTCGTCATGATGGGCGCCCCAGTCTGCGGGCGTCCAGAACGCCTTCTCTTCTAGAGCGTGGCACCAAAGCTCGGGCTCGACAGCCGCTCGGATCGGAAAGAAGACATCCTGCAGAAATTCTGTGTCGGGCTTGGCCTTTGGCATCTCCGAATAGATGCCTCTTCGCTCTCGTCCCCCTTCTTGCAGGGCATAATTCTTCCACGAGCCGTCCTGCTTCCGGGAAGATTCGCGGGCATGAAGTACTTCGTACAAGCTTTCCTTCTCACACACATGAGTACGACCAGAATTATCGAGACCAAAAGTGGAGTTGCGCTCGAGGAGAGATGCATCGTTATTTCCCGCCTTCTGCTCGAACAAAAAAACGGAAGGCTGCTGCAGCCCCTCCTCGATCACGGCGCTGTCGCTTGCGCGATAGAAGTTTTCGCTATTCTTACTCTCTCCGCAGACCGCGGTATTTGACACCGGCGTGCTGCTCCCGGAAGCGTTGCAGATCCCGTCGTCAGTAAAAGAGAAATCGCCAGCGGAGGCTGAAGATGGCGACCCGTGATGCGACGGAGGCTTGACGGTCTGCACCTGCAATTCCGGCGAACCGCACGAAGCAACCCGCTGCCCCTCTCGTCCATTTTTTTCGCCGAAAGAACCGCTTCGCGCTCGTCCACGTTGGTCATCTTCAGACAGCGCTAGCTGTTCTGATTCCTGCGGCTCGAGTGCAAAGAAGGAAGGACTATCTGCGTCAGCCGGCATGGTTTTGATAGACCTGGAATTAGCGCGGTCCCGAGCCTTCTGCTCGCCGTTTTCCGACCCGGCCGGTGGAGCATCTTCGCTGGAGAGACACCGGTCTCGACGTCGCCCTGGGCACTGGCGCTCACTCTGAGGCCTGAGGGCTTTCTTGTCTTCTGACTCATCATGACACGACTCCTCCACGGAGACCTCGGCCTCGTTGTCGCCGAAGTCGGCCGCAGCGTGGTGCCTGCCTTCCGCAAAGCACATGTTGCCTTCTTTCGTTGGTCTCCCATCACCGCAGTGCGGAGAATTATACGCGACTTCCGCCCGACCAGATCCAGCAGAGCGCTCGCGTTGACTACTGCTCAGTCCAGTTTCGTCAAGGGACGGAGATATTTGCATCTCACGGCGCGCTCCAGTTCTATTCGCTTGTTCCAGTTCCACTCGTATACCATGCAAGAATGGGTTCTACTCTGGGCGTCTACTCTGGGCGACGTTTTAGTGTGTATCTTTGCAGCATCGGCATTGCGTCTACTTATAGGAAAGCAATACCGGCAGATACGCAAGGTTTTTCTGTATACACATAAACTACGAATAGAGCGCAAAATAATTGCAGAGCGATTTACCTTATGCATATGCTCGACTGGATAGCCGTAAAACAGTTTGTAAACACTGAATTTTTAGTGATCAGCTTTTCCTTTGCCGGAGGACTAGAACCCATTTGAACGGCATAATATTTTCAATGGGACGTCGTCGTGGCATCCTATGTGATTGCGACAGGAGCACCGGGGACGAGTGAGTAATATTGGCACTGCTTCTCCTTTCGCCGCAATCAGCACGGTCGTGCTGTCGCTGTTTCCCTTGCTGGTGACGCTGGCGCCTCTGCAGCTGCAGTTCTTGCATAAGAAGGCTCGCTTGCGCGTACAGGAAGGGAGCCTTCGGCAGCTTACATCCCTCGACCCGATAGGTTTCCATCAATCGGGTTAGCGGTCCTTCACGGATCTGTCGCACGATGGTGAGATTCTCTGTCACTCCCTTATGGCCTTCTCAGCTGGGACACTCCCCGCCCTGACCAAGTTTTGGGCGGTTCTAGTACCGCGCACTCCCTGAAAGCCTGCGCACAAGTTTTTTTATTTCGATCGTTGCTAGGTGTAGTTTTTTCTGTTTCCTCCCCGATATTAGGATGAACATACACCCCCAGAGGCGTTTTTCCTCCAGCAAAATGCATCAAGACGTACTCCACTTTGAGTTCGCCATGCAAGAAAAACTTCACTGTTCTCTTCAGTTTTCTTGCACCCTTGCGGTAGGAGCGACAAAAAAATGCGGCTTGCCTGATACAGTCGAGCGTCGTGTCCTCACAGCTGAGCGCGCCATACTCTTCACAGCTGACGCCACCGTCAAGGTGCTTTATGCAAATGGTAGCTGGGACATTGCCACCAAAGCGAAAACCAAAAAGAAAGACGCGAGTATTACATACATAAGCTTCACTTCCACAACCAAAGGCGAGCTAGGCTGCGTCACCAGCGTTGGGAACTGCAACTGAGTGCATATGTATCAGCAACAGCAACACCATGAGCTCCATGTGATGAAATAAAAACTTTTTGTCATAAGTGTGCAATATGTATACAGAAATCGTGGCGATTTTGCGCCTGATCAATCTTCTCGGTCCTGAACGCAAGTATCATCCCAGATCGTGCTCGTGTGTGATAAGTTTGCATTTGAATTGTGGAAAATGCCGTACCACCGTTTCCAGTGTTGCACAAACCAAATGGCGTTTTGGGCACGTGTTGCAGCGCACCAGGACTTATCAAATCCAAGAGAAAAAGAGTCGCTGTTGCATTTGCACGAAGCCGTAAACAGAGTTTTAGATTCCACGTGAGTGTGGTTCTCTGTCTCCTGTACCTGTTGAAGAGCGGTCAGCAAACTAATAAATATTCGTTACATCGACGTCCTGGTTAACGCATCTGATGCGAAAAACCACCACTTTGCTCTAGGAATTCGTCATGCACAATTGACAAACTCGAAGCAAGCGAGTTCGCGCAAGCCGACCGTAGATGTGCTATTGTCATTATCTACAAGTTATACATGAAAATGCTTCATCTGACGACCACACTTTTGCAATGGATAGAACTAGATTCCGAAGCAAGGTATCTCCGTCCTCGGTCGTATAACGCGACCGCGGATGTGGCGCCGTCGGTAATTTCGGTTTGTGCATATCGTGTGCCGGGCCTCGTTGTCGAGGCCCCGGAGCAGGGAGTGCCAGGGAGGCCTCGTCACCAGGCTCGCTACACGTGCACCCCTCGAGCGCATTGCAAGAGAGAACACTCCGCGTCTTTTTCGACGACTTCGATCGGAAGAACCGCGAAGCTTCTCTGTCGACAAGCCGCCACTTAGAGCACAATGCACACTGTAGCCAGCTAGCTTCCCCACTCTCGAGCATCGCTTTCAAATGCGCATGGGCTCGCGACAGTGCTGCCTGGTGAAGCCCGTTGCTGGAAGCACACGACTTCGCCTGCGGATTAGTATGATACTGCAGCTGATTGCGCACTGGTCCCCTCATCTTGTTTTCATCTGTTGTACTCGCACTCACCGATACTTCTGCAGGCGCGGACTTACACGTATCAGACGTGGTGGACGAAGTTGCAGATCTCTCAACTACAATATCATCCCGCCTTTCTTCGAACGTGGCATGCACTCTGTTCATCTCCCGTTTCCGCGACCGAGACCGTGACGAATTTGCATTTATTCCGTGTTCGTATTCGAGAAATTCTCGCTCCATCTGCAGCCCCTTACGAATTCGCGCGTTTGCGTCGGCCACTGCTTGGCGCTGAGACGGCTCGCGCATCTGCACAGCGGGATTCGGCTTCGTCGCTTGTGCCGCTGTAGCTGATGAGGCTCTTACTACTCGTGCCTTGTAACCTCTGCTGCCAGGAGCTGCCGCAGCACCTCTCCTGCTGCCGTGACGACCCCCGTCCCGTCCAAGAACACGCCATCCCGTCTCAGTCGTATCTACTTCCTCCGATCGCGCCCACTTGCGCCGCAACTCTGTTACTGGCGATAAGTGCGTAGAAGTACCTGCAGCCAGGAGGCTGCCAAGCCGCTCCCGCTCGCGAACCTCGAGCCGGTGCCGCACCGCAACCATCTCGGGAAGCCATAGTGGCGCATGATCCGTATTCTCCTGCCTGTGACTTGTATGCCCCAGCCCAAGCAGGTCCATTTTTCAAAATATGCACACGCCTGCACAGCAGGCAAGGCAAAACCTACAACTCTGCCACCTATGCTGGATCACACACACGCTCCTCTAATATTGCGCTATTTGCTACTCGCTGTCGTTGTCGATAAGGATAATCAAAATTAGTACGTCGTCTTTTGCTTCAATTAAAACGAAGTCACAAATCATGCTCAGTTTTAAACTGGAGACAAGGTAAACAGGCAGCAAAAGAACTGTCAAGCTTGCTGTCCAAGGAGAGCGTCCGAATACCGATGGAAGCGTCCGAAGCCCTTCGCAATAAAGTCGTGCATACAATGATGCCGAATGCTGTGGCGGCCAATGCAAACCGCGCAGGGTTTAGCAAATGTTGCAGATAAAGCTTGGAAGGAGGGCTACGGCACAGGACAGGGCCTGACTTTGGGCGCCCCGAGGTACACTCCGAAGAATGGATTTTTGGTACACGACGATATCGCTGGCATTTTGCAGTGCCAGAAAGTCACTTAGCCGTGCAACTCGTACTCGTAGCCTTCTCTTTACAAATACCAGCATTCTTGTAGCGTTGTAGTTGTTGTGCGGATACACGAACAGTCTTGCATAGGTAAAAAACATGAAGTTCAAGCCTTCCGCACTGAGAATCCTAGATCGAGTATTGACTTGGAGTCTCGGTAACAGTCCGAAGGCGAGCGCTCAGTCAGGTAGATAATTTTGGCTTCGTGCCTTGAATTTCCATTTCGGTCTCAGTAGTTTGAGTCCGAGCATCAGTATTCAGATAGGGTGTGACTTCGTGACTTGGCTTGCAAGTTCAGATTGAGTTCGCGGATATCTAGCAGCTTCAGTTCGGGTTTGCGCGTTGCTTTGCCTTTTGTATTTTCTAATTTGATCATTCCGATCGTTCGCTTCATGTTTCGGCTTGCGTTCGAGTAGCAGAGAACTCGAGCTCCGTCCTGTTTGAGCCTCCTTCTGAGTCTCGGTCTGGGCCCTGTGCGCAGATGCACGTACCCAACGAACAGAACACGCGGGGGAAGCTCCTTGTTGGCGCTCACCTCAGGAGCACGCAGGACACTTTGGTCAGGCCGGGGCGACTTGCACAATGGGAGGCAAGGCGTCCTGTTCTTGTCTGCTTTATTAGTGCGTGATTACGTCGCTCCGCACGTACGTTAGCCGGAATCGGAAAACTCCAGCAACATAAAGTGGCTCCATACTTATCCGTACCACTGAAGTTGAGCAAAGGGAAGCACATGCGAAGTCACAGTAAAACGGCGCTGCGCTTGTGCGCCGGTCCAAGGCGGGTGCACCAAGCCATTTATAGTCTTGACCACTGGCAAGAGGCTGCTCGCACTGAGAGCACTGGAATTGATTTTGAATATCCGCGCGGCTGCTGCTACTTACAGTTCGCATTGATGGCTTCGCAGAGTCTTCTTGTGGTAGATATTTACTTGGTCAGTGCATATGAGCTGCCGGACGGCCTAGCACGTTGGCCGTGTCTGCTAGCGAGCGCGCACTAGAAGCATCGCCATCTCCTCGGGAATAAGCGCTCACCTCTTGAGTATTGCTCGACGAACCAAAGGGGTACGGTTCTGCTGGGGAAGTTACTTCTGGCTCGAGTTCGTTCTTTTTTGAGCTCAAATCTGTGCGCTCAGCATGGTCCTGCTCCGTCGTAAACTTGCAATGCGGACGCTGCGCTGGGGCTGACGTAGAAGGAATATCTGCACTCCTGTGGCCGCCGTGCGTACCACGTACCATGCTGCCGAGCCTATCTGTAGTGCCGAGAGAGATGAAGTCACCCGCGACTCCCTCCTCCTCGTTCGCCGGAATCGGCTCCGCGTCGTGTTCTTCTTCATAGCGTAGACGGTCCATGAGCTGGCGGTAGCGCCCCACTTCGCGCGAGACGCAGCGGAGAATTCGCAAGCCGTAGTAAGAGAACGCCAGAAGCACACACGCGAGCATGACACTGAAGAACTGTGGGAAGAGAAGGTACAGCAAGAGCTGAGAGTCGGCGTATCCCACGATGTCCCGTTGCAGCTCCGAAAACACAATGGCGCGCTCGCCCGAACCCACGAGCGCCAACTCGCCGGTAAGCGGGTCGAAACCGAGATAAAGAAAAGCTCCGCTGGTGCCGCGATACGCGGCCCCGCCTGTATTTGTGCCGGCCCCGATCCCCCGCAGGCCCTCTTGATCGCCGGATACTCCACCGCTGGGCAGCGGTAATGAGGTGAAACCATTAATCGTGCGCAAGCGGCCCGTGCTCACAAATTGCCGCCGCGTAGAGTAGCCGACCCGCTCTAAAATGAAAGAATTCCGGGCGGTTTCTTTCGACTGCTCAGACAACGACTCGCGGGCCGCATCGACGGGCGCCCACGCCTTCACGACGCTGCGGTACACCCAATCGACGAAGCCACCAGTCGGCCGCGATCCCCTTGCAGGCTGTGCATCCCGTGCGAGACCACTTGACGCTCGCTCTGCGTCCGATGGTTCTTCCGCGGGAGTTACCTCGCTGCTCAACAGAGTCCCGAACACGTTCCCGGGCCAAAAGATCGCTGCGAGCAGGTGCCACTGCGCGGCAAACTCGGCACCTGTCCTGGGGCAAGGACGCGCAAACACACGCTGTCCTGCGCGCGCGCTGCCCGGACCCCAATGCAGACATCGCTTCGCATTCTCCACGAAGGCGGCCCTGCTATCGTCCACCTCCTCGCCTGCCGCAAGAGTGGGCCCTTCGGTTGGTGAAGACGCTCCCACGGAGGGCAGTGCGGAGCGAGTTATGGTCAGGAGCGCTTGCCGGCGAAGAAATGGGCCGACTTCGTAAGTTGCTACAAGGCACGGACTACCGTTCCCGACCTTGGCGGTGGCACGCTCGACGTACACGGGGTCAATGCGCTCCCGGGTGTCCGGGTCTGCAAACTGGTGGCCCTCGCGAAGCTTCAAACACTGCAGATTTTCTTCGCTGCGCAAGTGCCGTGGGGATACGTCTGCCTTGCCCGGAGCGGAAAAAAGAATCGCACTGGCTGCATGCACCATTGTTCCAAGAGTACGCTTTTCGCCATCACCGTTTGAAGATGTCCCGTCGTGTGCGTCTGGGCCTGTCTGTGATGAAGGTTCTGCATTCCTGTCCCACGCATGCTTGTGCCCCTGTGTTTGGCTCGTGTCCTCTTTTGTCAGATGATCTTGCGTCGTCATAGGCTTGTATTGTGGCACAGCAGCTTCGAGGTCCGGTAACTGCAGTACTGAGCGCGGAGCGCTTGACGACTTAACCCCCGATGCGGACGACGCACCCCTGATGGGGCGCTGGCAGACAAAAGAAGTTTTGTGCGAACACGCTGCATCGTTCCATCGAAATCCGCAAGCACCCCAAGCCAGCAGACAACTCTCCGTCCCGCCACTGGGCTCCCCGGGGCACCAGTTGTCGTACCCCGCCAGACCGGACCCGTCAAGCCACTGCCACCGCTCGCCGTACACTAGGCCGCCCATCCAAATGCCCGCCAACGTCCAATCGAGGACGTGGTTCATGAGGAAATCGTAATCGCGTGCGGACTTGACCTGTGCCAGCTCCGCACTGGGAGCGACCGAGTGCCGGCGGCAGTAGCCGAGGGCGTCCCCCCAGGACCGGAGGGGGTAGCGAACCAGCAAGTACTCGCTTCCACCGACCAGGTCGCGCACCCATTCGGCGCGACGGCATCGCCCCGTAGGAATTGCTCGCCAGAGGCAGTAAAGCAGCGCCTCGCGCTGCTCCGCGGAACCGGCCGGCGTGTACGCAAAGGGCGCTGTTTCCGGACAGGCCTCCTGCGTCGTATACTTGGAGCAAGGATCGCTCTCGTCCGTCACAAGGTCCATCCAGCTCGCGTCTTCTTTGTCTTGGTGGTGGGCATCATGATCCGGTACATGATCCAAAGTCGTGTGATCCTGGCCCCCTGACGTAGTTGATGGCGCACCTGCAACGAGCGACGAAGCAGTCCCGCCCTGGTCTGCACCTGCAGAACTGGTCGAGGGGGCGGAGGTCGAAAGGCTTTTCGTGGAGGACCCGCCGAGCTGACCCTCCGCATCGCGCCCGGCGAGCACCGCCGAGGCGACATCCTGTTCGAAGCGCGGATGCACAAACGTCAGTACGAAGTCCGGCTTCCCTAGATAAAGCCAAGGCACCCGCAGAAGCACGAGGAGCACCAGCGGCAGGTGACAGCACAGGGTCTGCGCGCTGATATCGATGGAAGTGAATCTTGGTCTGATTACTGGTCATGCTGTTGCTGGCTTATCCTTCTGAATCTTAATCTTCGACGTTCAATGCAAAGCGAGGTATAAACAGCTTTGTTTTCGGCGGCTTGTTGCTCCTGCATAAAGTGCGTCACAGGCCGGAGCTGCGGTCTGACATAACAAATAGGCGGTCGGAACTTTTGGCGACATACATGACAGAAGCTGCCGCAATGCCAGTCAAGCATCAGAAGTTTCGCAATCTTCCAGAAGACCAAGAACTATTTGCAATGTTGCATAGCCGAGGAGCGCGAGCCAAAACCGGAGGCTCTCTACCACTGCAGTCTTCCCTCGCAGTCGCTGTGATAAAAAAGCCACTTCCCTTCTCTTGCTCGGAGAGGTGGGAGCAGCAGCGGGTGAAGATGGGGCACGAGTAGCTGCTCCCTCGATGTTATCTCGGTAAAAAACGCGGTGAAGGTAGTTCACTCGCTGCAAAGTCGAGTCGCGACGTCGTAGACAGCAGGCGTGACAGAGGCAGCACTCGGCCACACGATCTCCGAAAAACAAGAAACTCGATTTCACACGTGCGCAAAGCGCCGAGAACAAGACCCCATCGGACGAGGAGAGAGACGACGACCTCGCCGGGCTGCTGGTGCTGATGGTGCTGCGGTTCCGAAGCAAGTGTCCCTGCGAAAAAGCGCTGTCTGCACGTGCATGGCGGCCGCTGGTGCTTTCAGAAACAGGTGAAAAGCGCGACGCGGTAGTCGGAGAGTTTGGCGAAGACGTAACAGGGACCGCGAACCACGAGCGAGGATCTAGCGGAGGCGGCGCCTGCCGCTTCTTTGTGCGTGCTGCATACCGACTTTCATCCTCGCCGGCGATCGCCGCGGCTGTAGGGGAAGGACCAATGCCGGTATGCATTCCGTCAGGGTCTGTGCTCGACTGTGGCACGTTCGAAGACGACCCACGGCTGCGCTGTAGAGGAAGATCCGCCAGCTCGAGCTCGGCGCAGCCGCTTTGTTCCGCATCCCGGTGCAGCACCCCGCTGAAGCCTGCGCCACGCTCATTAGCACGAAAGTGAAGTGCCGGACTTTGCCTGTCACTGCTCGCAATCTGTGGAAAGCCTACACCAATGCCCGCAGGAGCGGACTGGTCCTCGCGTTCAAGAAAATCATAGTCCGCTGCCTCAGAAGCGAGGCCGCCGCGCATCGCGTCGCATTCGTCCATCACTACAGGACTGTAGGGACTTTGGCTCTCGGACCATAGCAACGGCGGGGCTTGCAGCAGCGACACATAGCTCGACTAGAGGCGCAAACAATCCAGCCGATTCCATAGCCGCAAAATAAATCTGGCCCGATCAGAAGCAGAGATCCGCTCTGCGTTGGCGCGTTTCGGTGAACTACATTTCCCACGGGCTTCTGCAGAAATTCTGCGAAAAGGACGCGGAACGTACGCGAAACAGCGCAAGTCGAACGCTTACGCCACCACAGTGCCAGAGACGCGCGCCAACGCGTTGCGCCCTTGTGTTCCGTCTCGTTTCGCGATCCAGTTGTTGCGCCTGTTCTTTGGTGACTCGACGCAAAAGCACGGCGCCGCAAATTATCCCCTATTTGGTGAGCCCGGTGCGGCGTGCTCTCTTGCGCAATTCACGCGCAAGTCTGCGCGCGGGATTGTGCTAGAAATTGCTCGCGTTTTCTTGCTATGGCGGGGCGCGCGGAATGTCGACCATTAGGCGGCCCCGAACCGGACCGACACGCTCTCGTTGCTCATCTGTTTTGTCCCCATGCCTCTCCCCTAGTTGCCTCCGCCTTCAGCTGGAAGAAACGGGGGGGGCATTCGAACGCGACTTGATGCGCGATGGGCGACGCCGGCGCTACGCAGAGCGCGCCAACAGAGTCGCCCCACAAGAGCCACAGCAAGTGGACACATAAGCGGGCAGGTGAGCAGCTGCGCCGCCAGCCGTCGTAGCGCGCGCGCTTGCATCGCTTGCGTCGCCAGCCGTCGTAGCGCGCTTCCTTGTTTTTATCCAATTTCGAACATTGCCACTCAAGCTCTCGCATCAGCGCGGACGCGAGTCGTTGCAAGTTTGAAAAAAAAAACAGGCAAGAACTTTGCGGCTGTTTTTGAGGTTGGATTGTTCACGTTCGTAATACGCACACGCGAGCAGCACAGGAGCGAAAAACCAACAGAAGCCGGGAAATACCAGAAAAGCTGCCGCCGCTATCAGGGTCCATATCCACCACCGGAGGTCGTCCCACAGTGGCGACACCCCGAGCGGTTCTGCTTTCTTTTCTTCTGGCGGCGCGTTCATGTCAATCATGTTGTCTATTCTGATTGTCTGCACCTACGCTCGAAATGGAGGAAGGACACTCCGAGCTTCCACTCCGACGACTTTCGCATCTCAGGAGGTACTGGCTTTCCTGGCCTGTGAGTGTAAGAATGCGCCAGCTTGTTCTCGTCCTCATGACGGTCCGGGTTCGGGCTCGCATCCGGTGTTTACTAAACCGCTCTCGCTGCCTTTGCCTCGTATTTTAGATAGTAGTAACCGAAAAAACGACCCGAATAAAGAAAATCTTAACCACAGAAACACGCTTAATGATCTTTCTGATCCTGGCTGCGTTAATTTGGTTCATATCTTCCATGACTTACCGCATGGATTTCGCGGTCAGTCTGTCATGAGACCCTGCCGCTGTCTGCCCGTAGTTGCAAATCCATCGAATTCGAGAGCGAAGCAACTGACTTCATCAGCGACATGCACATGTTAAACAGCAAGCGAATGCGATTGATGAGACAAACTAGATCGTTCTTAAGCAAGTGAGGATGCTGCACATCAGAGCACCTTTACACATTCATGCACCAGATCAAATTTAAGTGCCGGAAATTTCTGTACAGAACCTAATTTCTGTACAGGAGCTTAACGCTTGTGAAGAAGGACTAGGAACCAGTACGCCTGGTAACTTACTTGCAAGGCAATTTGCGCCGTCGCGCAGTCGTCGATTCTTTCAGCATCATTCCTTGCAGCTAAATTTCTTTGAAGCTGGTCTTACACGTGTCAAAAGGGCATCGCTTTGTAAACAAACTCATCAGCCGCGTCTCTGCCTCCCTCGGAAGCGCCTGCGTCGCCTGGTCCTGGATCTGCCTGCGCAGGATAAACTATTTCTGAGTGAAACGCGCGATCTCAACTAGAAGTCGCAAGCGAGTTGCGCACTAGTTCGAAATAAATCACACCAAGACCACACTCCAGCGACAACAAATAGTACGAGCGTCTACTTTTAAGCGCGATTTTGTCTGGCGCCCTCATTGTAACCATTTTAACTACTCTGAACCTCCTACAATAGAACATATATATCAACTTCTGGACTTTGCCTCCTTGTTTACTTTTTGCAGTCGCGCATCTTCCTCCGCCTCCTTGTATAAACGGGCTGTCTACTGGGTTGGTGTTGCAACCTCCTGCTCCGGATCTCATTCAAAGACAACAAGGCCCGCCATTCAGGTGCTTGTAAGTCCTCGTGTCTTGAGAACTGCGCCCATGCGTAGCTGCAGACATTGCTTTTTCAATTTGTCCACCTGCTCCTCAAGGGACCTTTTCTCAAGTGTGAGCTCGTCATGCCAGCGCGTCCGTAACTCTTCCTGCACCTGCAAGCGTGTGGAAAAGTGTTTTCTTGCGCATCAGTTCCAACATTTCTTTCATAAACGCACAAAAATAAGAACAACTCAGCAATATTATCTATCAAAAACATTCATGCCAGACCTTCAATAGTTCGATGGCCCTTTGTTCGCCAGCCTTGCCCTTTGCGGCGAGTGTTTTGACCTTTGCCAACAGCTGTGACTTTTCTGTTTCAAACACGCGGCGCTCGTCGTCTATCACCGCCTGATACTCCCGCTCTTTGTTCACCAAGAGCTTCTGCAGATCTGCTACGCGGCGAGACAGGGTTGCGTTCTGCTTTTCCACGACAGCGCAGGTGTCTTCTTTATGCTGGAGCTTCTGCTTAAAGTTTTCGAGACTCGAAGTGAGCTCGCTTTTCATATCGGTACTTCTATCATCCAGAAAATTACAACTAGCATGCCATATTCTACTTTTCTGCATACAAAAGAACTCGGTACCAGTTCACGTCGGGATGTCAACATACCTTGATCATTCAGGAGCTCCACCGCTCCGATCACCATCACCACTACAAGCGGACCCTCTACTATTTTGCGCACAGTCTGGCGCTACCGCCAATGAAAAAAGAACAAGGCTGTGCCCCTGCGTTCAATCGCTCGTGCTCCGCGGCTCAGCCGGTGCTGGTTTCTTTTTCAAATATGACACGGTAGCATGTTTCTTGAGGATAGCTTCGCTGCAGGTTTCTGTTCTGTGCTTGCGCTGTCTCCTGCAAGTTGTCCTGTGAAAACACCACGTCCCCATCCAATACTAGTCACGTACATCTTGCATGCACAGGAAGTATCTGGCCCGGCTCCCCATGAAGGGCGGGTAGTGCATTATGCTTCGGGATTTCGTCATGCTAAACCGATCACAACCAAAGCGGAGCGAAGTGCGCCTGTCAGTATAAGGGGCGGAAGATCCTGGACACGGCCACAATTGCGAAGCGCGACACAATTGCAGACCGAACTACTCGGGTACTTTTATGCAGGCCAGGCCAAGGGGGCGATAATGGCCTCGAAATACATGCGCGAAAACCCCACGAGCGAGGAGCGCCAAAAAAAAACTAAACCGAGGAATGATCTGCTCGGAGTACGGCCCAGAGAAAACAGGGCGACTTTCACCCTCTCCCCGGTGCTGCTGCCCATCTTTTGGATGCTCTTTGGGAAAGTTTTTGTTTGGCTTCCGGTCGCGTTTTGCGCAACCTGGCTATTTCCTACCCCTTCCGGCCTCCCCGCCAAGACCCCTGCGTGATAACAGCAACTGCCTCCGCGCTGCGTTTGCGAAACAGGGTCGCAGCTCGCAGAGCGCGGACAACGGCTTCCCAGGCATTTGACCACCAGATCACAGAGTTTACATGGATTTGGGTATGGACGTCGCTTTTACACAGGATACAACTTGTCTTGTAAGGATGCGAGTTCGCGCGCCTTATCATGAACCTGTGAAGAGGAAGCCGAAGCAGTTCTCATTTCCACTAAAATAAAATCATACTTCAATCATAACAAATAGGCACACCAGTTCACTACATCAACAAATGCACGAACACTAGTTCGAAAGCACTTCTCTGCCGCAGCTTTGCCATCAATACAATCACAGTACTTCTGCGTACTGGGGGCAAGGCACAGACGCTTGCTTCTGGAACGGCAGCAGCCTCCTCTGTCTCATATGCCTTGAGACGTAGGAGCGTGACTGGAGTTACTTCCACCAGCTGAAGAACAAGAAACTGCGTCGACTAAATACAGACGCGGCGCGTCAAAAATACTTCCTTCTCGAGCATCAATCGTCTCTTCTGCAGGTCCTCCAGGTCGGTACGCAGGTGCGCAGAAGTTTTCTCAGCTAAAGATATCCTCGCTTCCGCAGCCGTCTGTTGGTGCGAGTGCTGCTTCACTAGGAGGTCGTACCTGAAAAATGACAACCGATACGAGCTAATGTGGCCGCTCCCTAGCTCCGCGTGCTCTTTTACGGTTCGCAGTTGAAGGTAGAGCATTTCATTTTCATAACATGTGTGTGTAGAACAAAACACAAGCGGAGGGGGGTAGTCTTGCTTTCATCAATCTTCTTACCCGTCGACCGAATAGAAGACAGAATTGAATACTTTGTCTGCGAATTATCAACATATTGCAAACAACTTCCAACCCACAGCCAGCTATCAGCGGCCACTGCCAACGGTGTCACGTAGCAGGAGCTGACTCTTGTTCATTGTTTTTTACGTGAGAATCGCCCGCACATTGGAATCTGCCATTATTCTACCTACAATCTTTCTCTTTCTGAACTGCTTTCCGAAGAAAAGTACAAAACACTCAGTCTAAAATGCAGCTTCCAGTCATCTTCATGTCTTGGGTGAGCGGAGGTGTTTGCCGGTTGATAAAGGTCCAGGCTGAGAGCCGACGCCTTCGACAGTTGGTCTTCGAGATCATCTATCCGTCTTTGCCGCGTCATATAGTAGGCAAAAATAGCAACCCATGCCCCGACCACATTTGATATAGCACACTTGCCAAAACACATAGTTCACAAGGGTCACTTCTGGCAGACGACTCAAAGGCCAGCCGTGTGATCCATCTAGTATGCACATGCGCAACACGACCACTCCCTGCTTCGCAAGTCGCCCCCTGCAACGCACAAAGTGCACAAGAAAGCCGGACGGGTCCTCGAGAGTGGGTTGCTTTGTGTCTGGGTACATTTCTATTTGCCCCTCTGTCGCTCTGCGCATATCCTCGAGGATCACCTTCATTGTTTGCAGGGCGCAGAGGTTTCTCTTCTGCTTCTTAGGTTCTGCTTGATGTAAAATAAATTGTCCACCGTTCATTTCATACCAGCGAGAAGATGCATGCACAGTCAGTAATTTATGCAGCAGCTTGCTCTATCCAGTAATACAAGTAAGTACGCGGCATGATTCCTTACCTCCATCTCCTGCTTGCGCTTCCGGTCAGTATCCTCCTTGCTCCGAGACGCGTTTCCCTCCAAGGCCTCAAGCTTAGTCTTCTCAAGCAGCACCTCAGCTAGGTCCTTTTCCAGGACGTCGAGCTTTGCGCGCTGGTCCGCGATCTGCTGTCGCTGCGTTTTCTCTTTACGCTCTAACTGTTCCATGAGCACGAGCATGTTTTGCGCCTCGTTTTTGGCCGCGTCGGCCTCCTTACGCGCGCGTTGGTACTTCTCCGAGAGGTCCACATTCTCTCGCTCCAGCACCAGAAACTTCGCACGACGGTCGCCGAGCTCGTCCGACAACCTATCCGGTGTAAAAAAAGCCACCTATGCGACATACATGCTAAACACGAGTAAGACAGTGACACCTTCGCCATGCGAAACGGTCACCCGTAAAGGCAGGCTCTTTGTCCAACTCTTCATGCTCTAATCAGAAAAAAGAAGGGGATGGGTTCTTCGCGCTGCGGCTACACTATCGAATCACGACTGCACGATAGGCCCAACAACATTATCTTGCGCAACTCGTAGACCTTCAATGTCCACATCTTGACTACAAAGCCGGGGGACGTCTTTAGACTTACACGGGATACAACTCGTGAAACAGCTTCAGGTTCTGCGAGTTTTCGGCACTGATGCGCTCCACTCGCTCGTCGCTCTCGTCCCGGAGAAGCTGGTACTTCTGTGACCAATCATGCTCCTGCTGCTGCGCCTGCTTCAGTTTTTCAGAAACACTCTGCAGCCCGTCCTTGTGTGCTGCGAGCTGCTTCCGTGTGGTCTCGAGCTCACTCTCCGCTAGCGCGCGCATGCGGTCCAGCTCGTCCGACTGCCGTGCCCTTTGCTGATTTTGCCCGTGTAATTGCTCCAACTCCGCGACGCGCTGCTGCATCTTTTCGATTTGCGACTTCAACAGAACATTCTGCTGCGCCAGCACCTCGTTTTGTTCCACGCTCATCTTATACAACGCGTCGAGCTCTTCCCGCTCTTCCTCGAAGCGAGAACGAACGGCAGCCAGGCCTCCGCCCCCGCTGCTGCTCGAGGACCCACCGCCTGCGCTTAGAAATTCCCGAGTCTGCAGCTGCGCAATGTGTTCGCTCTTCTGCACCAGCTCCTCTCGTAGCGTTTCGTTTTCGTTCACGAGCGCAGCGGCTTGCTCCGCCAGGCCGGCGCTCTTTCCCAGTACGGTCTCCAGCTCCCGCACGCGGTCGTCGTATACCCGAATCAAGGGGTTCATCAATTGCACATTGTTCGCCCATGGTGGCAGCGCCACGGCTGAAGCTGCCAGATTATCTCGCTTGAGCGCCCCGCTGTCGACGAAGCGCTGCAACTCCTTGGTTACTTTTTCGGCGTACTGCTGCAGCTGGTAGCGCTCCTGCTTCAAAGCTTCGACCTCGTTCATTCTCGACTAGGAGTGGGACCTCTGTACTCCAGAAACAAATAAGATAGCGCTGCAACGTCAGGAGTGGTGGAAGTGCCGATCTCAGATAGACTCTTCCAGCCCAGGATGACACACGCCTTTGCGTGTCGTCCTTTGTCTCCGTGCTCGTGCGATGTTATTACCCCACTACAAGCCCATCTAGGACCCCACTACGGCGACAGCATCACGGACAGGGCCACTACCTTGGCGACAAGGAAGGCCTGCTTCCCCTCTTCCGTACGGACATTTTCGTAGAGCGACAGTGGCACGAAACGATTTCGAAGAGAGGAAATAACGCTCGAAAGTTTTGCGTCGAGATGTTCGCGACTTCAATCTCCATATCAAAAGAGGCAATGTGGCAGCAACGTGGGACGTCAACTACTGGTGAAAATGTTCGCTAATATCCGTGGTTTCTTCGAGTACTCTAATATAAGAACTTTTTGATGTTCATGCACTCTCTCACTTTTGTCTTGCTGCAAGAGGTCCACCTTTTGCGCCTCCTCCTGCTCGGCGGCTTCATCATTTATTAGAAACTCTTCATTCCCTGCTCTAACACTCCGGATCGATTGGAGAGAAAGTTTCTCGACTCCAAAGTGGAGAGAGCGGGAAGCTTCGCACCTGCTAAATTTGACGCCATAGTTTTAGTTATGCGGCCGCCCGGGCGGAGATAGTGGATACTGATGGCTCCTGCACAACACGCAAACCAGGCCCGTGTAATGATGTACACTAGACTTCATGTGGTGGTCCATTTTAAATTTAAATAAAGGCTGCGCAATCTTTGTTTGTTTGCTTCTGGTATCCGCCGTACCGGGAACCTTACGGGCGAATTTCGCTGCCGCCCCCACACGAAGAGGAAACTCCCGAGTACCCCAAAAACATTCAGAAAAACATGTGTGTCTTGTCCTTGTCCTTGTGTGAAGCGGTGCAACTCGTGACGTAAAAGGCAAACGCAGCTCGCATACAACTAGAACTACACAAGCTGGATTCATAGCAAATAACTATTGCCCGGCTGAAATCTAAAAGTGTTCTCGGGAGTCGACAAATTTGAAAACCGCTGAGCGAAGCACGCAGCGAGTTTGTCGTGCCACATTTCGCCCATTCGAATTGTCCCAGTAAATGGACGGCAAAAGTTATTCACGAGGGGTAAACTATTAGTATTCAGCTGAAGAACGATGGTCTATTGATTTGTGACGCAAACGTAAAATATACAAGTTTTGTGGGGCGAAAAGTGAGGCGCCAATTCCAGTCTTGGCGTCTCGACGATGTCCCCAAGTCCTGCTCTAGTTCTCCGCAAGTGCGCACGAGCAGCTCCGGATGTTCCTTTAAACAAAAAACTCTCTAACGTCTGGCATACCACTTAGCCGATCACTTCTGTTGATGGATGCTGCGGACCGTGGGCATCTGGGAGGCGTCTCCCGGTGTTGCAGGGTCCCACTGCACTGGCCTATCGTTTTCCCATATGCCAGTTCTCGTTTCCTTTTTGGCGTTCGTATAAGTGCCTGAAGATTGAAAATTCGCACCGTAACTGTTTCACTTTCATCAACTCATGCCGCAAAAATAAGCACGTGTCACCAGAGGCAGAGGACGACAATTAGACGTATGTACATATGGAACGGAAAGGACAACGCGTTCGGGTAGATGAATTTCTCAAGCACAAGCGTACTAGCACTCTACTAACTAAGTACAAGCAGGTCTTCTGTGTGCACGCCCTTACCTTTGCCGTGCCTCCTGCCGTCGAACCAAGCGCCGTCATACCTGCGCCCGTCTGGCCAAAGAAACACGCCCTGTCCGTGCGCTATGCACACGAAAAAAGTGCGCAACCAAACACGTCTGCATCCGCTTCCATGCCATTGCCACAGAAAACATACCGGGCAGAAACCTACATCCCGAGGCAGAGGCTATCGCTATTACAAAAACAGGCTGCGCGAAAACGTATGAAATAAACGCGACGTGCTCTGGAAGCCTACGATGCATGCACAACAAACATGGCCTCTGGGTTGTCCCTTCCGCGCAAAGGCAAATCAATGGCTGCTGTTCTGCGAAGAAATGCTTCACAGCCATGATCACCATCATCAGCGAGCCCATGAAAAAAGGGTCGCAGCAGTGCGCGAAGGCTAAAAGGTTTCGCAGTCCGTGACTGGCTCCTCTGTGAAGAAATAACAGTCCGCATTTTTTTACGCACTTTCTTTATACGATATGCTTGCGACCCAGGTTGTACTCGCCCTCGTACTGACGCCCGTCAGCCCAAACCATGATCGCTCTTCCGTGAAGCGTATAAGTATGAAATTAGTCCACATCATTCCAGAATCCTCCGCGTGTGCGCATTTATATATTTGCTATTTCTTTCCACGCCATGACAAATCTGGCCCGAACACTTTCGGATAGAAACCCTCCATCTTCAATTTGCGTCACTTACTTTTACGCCTTTCAATGCAGCAGTGTGGTGGACACGATATTCATTCGAGTAAAACTTTCCGTTCTCGAACTGCCCCTGAGATCAGTAAACGAAATCACGATGCCAATAATCGCTGCCTAGGCAGAGGTAGCGCAGTGCGCGTTTTGTCGCTACCGTTGAAGCTTTGATGAGGTTGCTCGCATCTATGGAGGTATCTTCCTGCACAGAAAAAGGTTACACAGTCAGCACCAGAGCCACACAAGTTCTAATTCTTTTCTGTACCTATCTCATCCTCCTGGGTACGTATGTAGTAAGTTGAGGTTCGGGCAGAACCCGTAAAGCACATTAGACAACGCACCTGATAAGTCCGGCCGTCCGCCCACCAGAGAGTACCGTGACCTTCTTTCACATCATCAACGAAGTTCCCCTCAAACTCGTACCTGTTTTTCCGGACGTGGATTTATTTGGCACTCGCATTGGATGGCCGCGCTTTGCGAAAATTGCAAGTTGGGCACTGTTCTGACAGCGGCACACTTCTAGGTGCAGCGATCAAAAACTTCGAGCAAAAAGGTGTTGGGCAATAACGCAGTTGTAACTACACAGAGTGCCTAGCGCTTTCTTCTTTGCGGAATTTCCGTAAAGAGATTTCTAGGGAGCTTGCTGAAGAAGTCGAAAAGCCAAAGTCTCTCCTCGTAGTAGCGTGTATCCTTTACCCCTGCTCCTTTATTCTGCCAAACCCTTGTCGTCTGCCTTGTGCGTCTCGTTTCACAGTCACGTCGATGCTTCCATCTGGCGCAGCAACCTTTCATTGGTGTGGTCTCTAATCATTTTTTGACCTAGCTGGTGCATGTGCGATCGTTGTCACATAGACAAGCGAGCAAGGCACAAACAACAGAACCACTGGAAAAATAATGAGAGCGCATGAACAAAAATGCGATACCTTTACTAGAAAAATGAAAAACATAGGAGACAAATAATAGCCGCCGCACCGTCGGGGCCAGTGAGGTACTATTTGCGTTTTTTCTGTCGAGCCACCCTGAATATTCCGACTGCAGGGCTTAAGAAGCCCTCCTCTGCCTATGCTCGGCTGAGCCCGGTCCTCCGCCAGGCGGTGCCAGCCCCTTGGTGGCGGGATCCTCGGCGCGCGGGCTGCCCCGAACGCTATGGCTCCGCCTGGCCCTCCACCAGGGGGGGCGGCCCATCCGAGGCCAGATCCTGAGCGCGCAGGCTGGCTTGCAGTTTTATTTGGCGGACTACGCATTTTTCTGCTTTTTGATTTTCGTTCGCGCCCCGAAGTCAGGCCGCAGCAAAAGTCAGTGTCCGTGGGCTGAAATCTGCCTGCGAGCCGGAACCAGCGTGCGAGCCGAACTCAGGCGACGGGCCGAAGTCAGACCGTGAGCTAAAGTCAAACCGTAGCTCAACGTCCGTCCGCGCCGCGGACGGACGTTGAGCGTACTGCGAAGGGCCCGCCGCGGGCCCTTCGCAGTAATACGTGCCCCGGTATCAATCCGGTTCGGGAACCGCCCCCTGTAAAGATTTCTCTCGCGCAACATGTACAACAGATTCCAGGCGGGCTGCGTGCTGTGTTTCAGCTTGTCCGTCGGCTTCATCTTTCTTCGATCATCTTCAAACAGCCTATCTAGCGCATACTTGACTAGTAAGTCTGAAACGGATTACGTATCTTGGTGGGGTAATAATAAAATATACAGGTGCTGGGTCATAGTTTTTTCCTTGCTCCAAACTCGAAACCGTATATCACATTGTTCTAAGTGTTCCTCGCCGCAGGAAAATGATAGATTGCTCGTGTGGGCACACAATGCGATATTCCCTCTCGGGGTAGTGGTAGCGTATTCGAAATGAACAATTTGGTTTTGCCACTGCAATCAATACTAGGTCATACGGCGAGGTGTATGGTTCAGCGTCATACAGTGAACTCGGTATTCTCACGCGAGCCACGCTCGCAAGTGTCGCGTACACAGGATTGGCCCATTACTAAAGCTAACGCCGGCCCAGCAGCCACCTTCCTTCGCCTGGCGTATCTGCTACTAACTCTCGTCGTCCTCCAGCTCCTGCGTCGATTAAGCGGTGCCCACAGCTGCCTCCATTGCTGAGCGATAAATGCAGCAGTGCCACGTCATGACCGGCGCACTCGTGTCATTCCCTCCTGCAGGTAGATGAAACTTTTCACGGCCACGTAGACGATTATCAATGGAAAGCTGGAAGAAGATAGTATGCCTCGCGGTTTCTACCACTTTGGTCGCCTAGTATACTTCTCTACGCGCCGCCCGGTGTACTTATTTTCACATTTATCTTCATCTTCAACGTCTGCCTCTCGACATTCGATCTCAATGTCTCCCGCATGAATTTCTGATTATCAAGCCAGTTTCTCTACATAATCTAAAACGATGCGCCCATTAGAGCGTATTCAGGCGAGACACTGACATTGACAACTGCAAAGGCTACTAGACAAAGTAGGCAGCTATTCATTTCATTCTCAATCTGAATTGTTTTCGCTCCAGTCGCAAAAAGGTGTCAAAAAGGACGACACTTGCGCCCAACCTCGCACGGAAAAATGCGCCTCCCTGGTGCTGCACTTCAACGACATACAAAAAATGTAGCTGTGCGCTCATACAGTGACCGTGGAGGAGAGCGGTGGCTTGTCTGCATTCGCTATAGATAGTTCTTCGCCATTTATTACTGCGCTCAAGGCCTCTCAAAGTTGCGCACGCAAGCCTCAGACTAGACAAAGCGCGAGGCTATAGCTGCCTGCCCCGCGGTCTATTTTGCAGTGGTGCGCGACCTCTTCCCATTTTTTGATCCGTTTGTAGCCTTTGCGCACGGACGGATCGCTGGTGTGAATCAGGGCCCACAAAAGTTTTGCCCGTGGCTGGGACGGGTTTTGTTCTCTCCCAGCAAAAAAGAAGCTAAGGCTTCTGACCCTTCGGGCTAGTGTACGCCCACCCGCGTCCGTGCTAGCGCACCGCGCCATCAACTACTCCTGAAACCTCATTCTTTTTCTCTCTTGGAACGGCGAACGACACAGAGCCACTGAGGACTTCGGGACATTTTTTTGGAGTTTTGGAAAGGGCTCGCCCGTTCGCAAGTTCCGCACTTCTGATGGTGCAGCACCAGCAAACCGCCAATACTGCACTTCTGATGGTGCACATGAGGCAGAGCCGCCAGTGCGGCTGGGCTTATGTTTTTCATTCTTATACTCCCAATTGACATTGAGAAGTTGCAAGTCCTTCCTTTGCTGGCGATACGGGAAAAAAGCCGCCGCCTAGAGCGATCGCGACCTCACGATATACTACGCGCATCCAAGAACAGCAGGGCTCACGCTGCAAAGGAGAAGCGAACGCAGACCCGTCCAGGGTTTGTCCGGTCAAGGAAAGACCAATGAGCTGCTCGTACGTATGCATCTGTTCCTCGTGTACAATTTAACAACCCCATCCTCGAAGGCATCAGGGCGTGCCGACTCAAGTTCATTTGCTGTTGTCTCCTTTCACGCGAAACGGAAGCAATAAGTAAACACTAAAATCAAACTGCATCAAGAGTCTGTATGTACAGGAACGTGATCATTTATCTGCGATGCGTTTTTTATCTTAGAAAACAAGCTCCTGGGGATTTTTACGCACAGGCTACTGCTGCCGCGCTCGTACTTTGTTTTCAGCTGCAACAAAGCCACCACATTAGCACTACCCAGCTTTAGACCAGCAGTTCCTTTGACTTTTGAGGAGCAGCATATACTACCTCATATGAATAAGTACAAAGGCCCGCGCCAACACAATAACTGCAAAAAATGTCACGACGCGCGCACGGGTACCTAGCGAGCACCCGGGGTTGCGCATCAGGCAAGGGCAGGGAGCGACGGAGGGGCGGCCGGAAGCGTTCGCGGCGCCGCGGCACGGGCGCCGCAGTAGAGGGGCCGCGCGCCCTCGCGGCCGGTAGCGTCAACCAACAGGGGCCGGAAGCAGGGGGCCGCCACAGTGGCCGGCAGCAGGCGGGGGCGGAAAGCAAAACAAGGGTGGGGGGAGTGCGCCCCACCACCACGCCCCGTACAGCCAACGCAGGTGGGTGCGGGGAAACGCGGGAGGCCGCGCGCCAGTACGGCCAGCGACGCGGGCAGGCCGAGCGCGTAGACAATGCGGGCCATGACCCCCTCCCGCGGCCGGGGCGCAGCCGCGCGCGGGGATCGGCAACGGCGTCACTATGGAAGACGCACACGCTCACCGTAGCGACTCTCGAAGCGTTGAGTGCATTTGCATACACGCACGCGCACGAAACAAACAGCACTTCTTGCCTTAGCCTTTCGACGAAATTCTTGACACGCGCGCTCATTTTCGAAGGAACGATGGCACCCAGCAGGTTTTTCGTGAGTAGCAGCACTACTTAATTGCGCGTCCTTCACCCTGTCACTTTTTGCATATTTTGTATTGGCCCGGAACCTGGCATTCCTACTCTAGTATTTCAATATTGTACACCTTGCGCTCGCCCGCGCACAAGCACACAGAAAAGAAACAGCAGTCGTGCGATGCCTTACAGCATGGCTCTGAGTTCAGTCAATCATTCAAATCATACTAAATTCTCGAGGCGTGGTCACATCTTCGAAAACGTGAACTTTCTGCTAAATTCAAATCAATCAACAATCTGGATCATTTCTCACCGTTTATGTAATTGTATAGGAAATAGGTTCAGGTAAAGACAGCTTCAAAGCTTCGCCCTCTTCTTCATCCAGTGCACGTACGTCCTAACCGCATCAAGAGACCAGTAACGCAGAGGCTGCATTCCTGGAGTTTGTGTTTTCTTTTCTCCATGCGTTTCGAATTTGCGCGAGGACGCTGTTCCTCACGACCACAAGAACTTTCACGCGTCCTCGATTCCCGCAATCGCGATGTCGGGATCTTTATCGTACGGGTTGTTCATGACGCGCGTCTTCGAAGTGAAGTTGTACCTCATTACACGTGAATCGATGATAATTTCTTGCACAGCTTCTCTTTCTCTGACCTGCATGATCATGTTGTGTCATGAACAGATAGACAATGAGTCGAGGATCTGGAGCAATCAGCTCTGTGCAAGGACGAATTTATGTACGTCTGAATACCAGTAAGTATTGAGATTGTCATCTTTAAATGCCACCCAAGGCCCGGACTCCGCGGTACTTCTGGCGCGATCCGTAAGCACCTGCGCCTCCTCCGGTGGCACCAGAAAACCCCCTCGGAATACCTGCCCCGTATTGTCGATGGTCACGCGTATCGGAAGCAAAAGTGTGCCCACTGATGCCTGACATGCTCTGGTACGCCAGTTGTATCGTGCAGCTGTCATAACAAACTTCTACGACTTACGTTGCGAGCACGATGTTGCTGGCACGCATGCAACTATTCTTTGTAGAATGCCCATAAATGACGTCTGCACGCCGACGCCAGAATACAACTTTCTACCAACCCAATCAAAAACTCATCCCGATCGGCGCTTCTTTGTAGCCGAGAGCTGAAATTATGCTCATGACGAGGTTTTCCCAACCACTACGCATGCAAAAGTGGATTCGTGGGGACACTTGTCAATGTTGTAAAGTGCACGTGCTGCCTTCTCTTGCCCTTGCGGTGGAGCTTGATGAAACACTCGGTGCAGAAGAGATCCACACAGTCCTCGCAAAGCACCTGAGAAATTCATTGCGTTGCGAAAATGAAAATGCGTGTCGAGGAGGGTGCCGCTCTCAAGTGGATTCTATATGCATCCATCAAATAGCAGGGTCCGTTTCTATGCGGTGCATGACACAAACAGAAAGACTAGGCACATCCAAAAAAAAGGCTTCTACGCACCGCATGACAAGTTTTTCCGACCCACAGTTAGCTGTTTGCTAAGTAAAAAGCCTCCTGCCATGCTTGGTAGCAGTAGCAGGTTTAGACTCAGACAAACTCGCAGTGTGTCCATTTATACAACTTTTCGCGGACCTAAAATCAGTTTTAATGGCCCTTGTTTCTTTCCCAATCTTGTTTAGTGCAAAAAAAAAAGTAAAAGTACACTTGCGTTGTAGTGCTCGCACTCGAGGCAAACTAAGCCGTTTATTATCCTCTTGAGGTGATTGTGGAGTTCCGGGCGAGATCGGTTATCGTAATGAAAGGTACCCGCGTCGTCACGCTTTTCATGGTTTTTTGTGTCGCCGTGTAGCACATGAAAAAGCACGATGCCTGAAAGCAACGAGAGCGATTGACTTTTGTAGTTTACCAAATATAACTTCAAAACTTCGAACAACTCAAAGCATTGTGCCCATTGGGTGGAAACAAACTTCTTTGAGAGGACATCATCAGATGCAAGTCGACACAAAAAACATTGCGAACTTGTAGCGGGTACATTTTAAATAGGATAGGCGTGCGTCGATACAAAACACTGGTCACAATAGAACAGGCCGCACTGGATACCTGTGAATTCGAAAGAACCAAGAGACATTATAGGGACCTTCAGCATGATTTGCGTGGCAGTTGTACACGCTGGCTTTATCTTTACCTTCATTCATCATGCATAGGCTGCTTCTGCAGATGCGGCGCACTGTCGCAAAATCTGAAGAAGGCCAACATCCCATGGCCGGATAAATATTTAAGTACATTGGCAGGACGCGATGAGATGGTCGCACGCGGCACAGACCAGCTGCTCCACGTCCTGTATGATGTGGCCTCGCCTTTTCCCTGTTGCGTGGGTCGCATTGAAGCAATCCTGGCAGAAGAAATCCTTGCACTGCTGGCACTTCACAACCGCGCTCTTCTCCTCGCATTCTTGGCACATAACCTGATTAGTTGAAAGTAAATGTGGACGCAACGTCCCGACTTGCAGGGCTCTCTTATAATTTCTACTCGTGCTGACATGCAGCAAAACACTAAACAACGACGTTGCACAAGCAAACTTTCGTCCTCGACGCACATCATGAGTAAGGACGATCGGTATCGACACTACAATAGATCGATCTACTTCGTACCACTGTGTCTGGCTTCCTGATCACGTCGACCTTCACCTGCTGCTTGCGCATGCGCCGCAAGAAGTCCAGCGGCTTTTCCAAATCTTGCAATATCGTGCCCAAGTTGAATTGCTTTTCGACGTATGCCTCGATCGTTTGCTTGATTACCTGACGAAGTTGTTGAAGAAGTCTGGTGTCCGCTATGCCTCACTTCAGCTGCAATCACACGTAGGGTGTCGATCAGAGAGTCATGCACTTTCAAGCGAGCGCTTGTGCTTGTCAAAGCGACACACGCATAATGGAAGCAAGCAAGTACTCTTGCGAGGAAATATTCGGCCTTGGTTTCGCACTCGAGCAAAAGTGCCACTTTGTCAACCATTTCCGGGGTCATGGGCGGCAGGTGGCTCGTGACGCGATTCAGAATCTCTGTGATAATACCGCTCAGACGGGTGCTATTGGAGTCCAGATCCGTTTGCTGTGTCGTTCCACTCATTTTCACAAAGGAAGCCTGCTTGTGATACCTGATGTTGCAGAAATTCGGCACCAAGACTCCAGTACTTGTTCGATGATGATACGTTTCTGAACTTCCGCCATCAAAGTGAGACGCACAGGACCCCAACGAATTTTTAATCTTTCAAGCACACAAAAACATACATGGACAGTAATCGCGTCCTGAATCAATTTTAATATGGAATAAATGCCCTTAGCCCACTTAAGTAAGTATAGAGGGCCAACAAGCTTCATGGCAACTTATTCTGAGCAAGGTAAAATACAGTCCGGCGTATTGCTCGAGAAGCGGATGAAGTTTCTCCCTATCACAACGCAAATTGCCCCTGCCCAGCCTTCAACTTCAAAGTAAGTAATTTCCGGCTGCATAATTTAAGCACCATGCAGAGATAGCGGTGGTCGCTGCCAGACGAATAACCTGTGGACTTCTGAGGAGTACTCCACCGAGGTGGCGTTACTGCATCACAATTGCTCTAGCGTCGAGGGGAGCGGCCTCGGGACAATTTGCATTTGATTAATGCAACCGCTTCGTCCTGACGTGGTAGTACATGGTTTCACCATTTTCGTTTGTGAGCTCCCGCCAATCCTTGGACGGCAAATCGGCTTTTGCGCACTGCTCTGCGATCCAGAGGTATTCAGGTTCGTTGACGGCATCGATCCCGAGCATCTTTGCCACCCCGACGATGATCTCCGGGGAGACATGCTTGGTCACCGGAGCCTCGTCGCCGTCCATTTTTGCCTTTGCTCCTTGTGCAGCTAGAAAAAACTCTGCTCCCTCCGCACTTTGTAAGCGCCCGCCGGTCCTTGTCGAAGCGGCCTGCTGTCTTGTAAGAGGAGGAAGAACCTCCAGGAATCAAAACCGTACACAGCTGCCAAAATTTTCCCCGACCGCGGCAGAAGAGGGATGTCCGCTACGTAACCGGAAAGTGCTCCGCTTGAACGACCGAGATGTTTCCTCCAGCTCTCGCAACGCGCCGTAGGCACTGTACGCGGACTGTTACGAGGAACCGAACCCGTTCTTGGTCGTCTGGTTCTGGTACCGAGGAAGCCTATAACATGTCGGTGGCGAAACTGACTTCTGGTCGTCTTTCGGAGAGTTGAATGCAGTTTCTAGTCCTCAAAACCACCCCAAAAGGAGATTCTAATGCGTCGTCTCCGCTTCTGCGGATGTACCTTTTTACAGGCTCCTCCTGCTACCAAGAATCCGTCCTATCCAGTGCTATTTGCAGCCGACGCCAAGAGATCCGATCTTCTGATATCACGTGCTGGTTGTACTACAGCCGGCGCAACTAGCTGCTCGCAGACTTACTTTTCCACGGTGAGAGGAAGTATCAATATTTCCTACCACGTAAAACAGCAGCAGCGGGAGGAGCAAATAGGCGGGCTTCACTTTTTTTAATGCCTCGCTTCACCGGAAAGGAATATAGTGAATTCCCAACTGCGTGCAGCAAGAAACATGTGTGTGTTCCTTCGTCCAGTTCTCCGCTGAAGAGAACTGGACGGCGTCAAGAGTATCCGCGAGCCATCCCTTGCTAGACGTAAGAAAGTATGAATTTTTGAAGTTGAGCTGTTGACAATACTTCGCAAATCAAAACAAAGTCAAAAAGTGATGACCCTAAAACCACACACGAAATTGAAATACTAGAATGAAACAACGCAAAAACTACAAAAACAAAAGCGCAAATCTACGAATTGAGCGCCATGCGACTTTAATTGCCCAGGCCCCTCTGAGTTTCGAGCTCAACGAATGCCAGAAGCACGATAAGTCCCCCACAAGGTGAGGGGGCAAATTGCGTATTTCTCTTGTTCTCTACAGCCATCGCGATGCCGCATGTGTGTCCCTCTGTAGTCGAAAGCTCACACTACCGTCAGACTGCATGTGTCTCTCTCGATTGACTGCCAACTTTCTCGAGCGAACAGAGACGACGAATGTTGCGTCGGAAACTAGTCTTGCACCGTGTCACGTAGTGGCTTAATCCTAAACGGACCAGATCAATCCGCGCACTGAGGCAGGGACGTACTAAAACAAGTTGGCGCCGTCTTGATGTTGTAGTGAGATAAATAGTCCGCAGTCGAAGCGCAGCAAGTGGCTTAAGTATATTCATCGCACAAAGTCGCGCTTCACGCTTTCTCTCCAGAGAGGCAAAGAAGGCGCCCTCCTTCCTCATCTTGCGCGGTCGCCCTCGCGTCCTCAGAAGTCAAACCAATTCCACTGATACATCCTAAAAAACGGACGAGGCAATATCCAAAGCAATGGCTGTTGACGATCACAGCGAAGGGAAACGCGAAAGCCGTTCGGCGCGACGCTGTGCGAAAACAGGGCAATTCTGCGCTCACCTCTTCCAGCAGTTGGTCCAGCACCGGATCCGCGCGCTTCGTGGCTCAGTCGAAGGGATTGTGGTATCGCACTTTCGTTCGGGTCTGCGGGGGCGGCTGCACGTGCTCGGGTGCGGTTGGTTGGGGCGCGGGCGCTGGCAATACTTGCTCCTCGTGATTGGCGCTTGAATCACCGTAGTGCCGTTGCTCTGTATTTTCATTCCAGTGGCGCGTTTATTTTGCTGTCGTTGCCTATGGTTGTCTAAATTTGGCCTAGTGGACGGAAAGGACCTCAAGCGCAACGTCATCAGGTCTAGTAGACATCGACACTCTATACTCTTTCACGGAACTAACAAAAACGTGGTGCCTGCTCGGATAATAAACTACATCTATTGATAACTAGGTCAGATCAATTTATTGTTATACCATCAAGTATCTGTTCCTTCAGCGGGAACAGACCACAGTTACGAAGATGAACCTCGATGTAAAGCGTGAGCTCGGACGCGCAACTGAGGAAGGGAAAATCACCGCCCTGCTTCAGTGTGGCAACCTTCGCGTCCGGGTACCTCGACTTCAGCTCCTGCCGCACGTGGGCCGTAGTAATGTGTCACGCTGAAAATATTTTCCGCTCCAGACCCGCAACAAAGCTGATGAATGACAGATATTACATAGGCCTCTGAAGGTGGGCGGGAGACCACTCACATTTAGATTAGAATTGCAACCCTGCAAACTCACCCGCAGCCGTACTACAGTTGCCCGATCGCGCATTACATACGGTTTCGCGCTGCATTTGCAGTTCACGAATGTCTCTTGCTGCTGCTTCCCGCCGCAGGGCCAATCTATCACGACATACATTCTCAGCATGAAGCTGCTCGGTGGTACAAAAAGTTTCCTTTCTGTTTCTCCTCTGTAGACTTGTACATCTTAAAAATCTCTTCACATGCCTAATGCTGCTATCCGATATCGTGTGCTTGAGGCTCAAGTGCGGACCAATACTTTTGCGAATCTTAAAACACACTGGTCGTTCACGTCGATGATGAGTATTCGCGAAGGCTCGAGCAACAAATGCCCAATGGTAGCCAGTGTGTACGCAAGGGTGATTCTGCTCGCCAGGTCGTACCCGTCGAGAGCCGAGTCGTTGCCACCGAGTCGTTCTTTCACCCATTCGTTGGCGTGCATTACGCGCGGATCGCCGGTGCTGGGGAAGTTATCCAGAAGCATGGACCTGGTGTAAGTATAATTTTTGCGACGGATCTTTTGCAGTTCTAAATCGTTCCCCGTCGCGACGGAGTATATAGCGGCTATCCTCCGCTCGGACACGGCACAAGCAACTCAAGGACCTCTCAGAAGTAGAACCTCAACCTGCTGGCTTTTTGCATAAGAAGAAGAAAGTGAGTGCTACTATGATGAAATGAAACAGGAGTAGTGCCACTAAAGAAGCTAAAACAATCAAAAAATGCTCAAACCGTAACAATGGCGTGGGGGTGACGTGTACAAGGCCGACAAAGCCAGCAGCCGACTCGGCAAAGCTGGCAGTGGATGTGAAGGAATTGCAAAGTACTAAGCCCCCCACGCGTCTTGGATGCTGGACCGCATATGCCTGCGCCAAAAACCCTCCGAGCGAAACGCAAATATCAAAATAAAAACTCTTCCCCTTCTGTGTTCAACGGAATATGTTCGACACTCCGGATGAAAAGAAAAACCCTCGCTATTCTGGCATCATCCCCGACGACCGTCCGTTCCCGAACGTGAGGAGTTGCCGCACTGGTACAGCTTTGAAAAACTCTGTCAGAGCCCAAAGCGTCAGTTACCGCCACACTGAACGCAGGCGGAAAGCTTTGTGTTTGTAAAAATGCGAGGCTGTAATTAAAAGTGCGAGTAGAACGAAAGGGCTTTTCTCTGACTCGAATACCAAATGCAAATCATGTTGACAGAAGTTCTCCCTGACTATGGAGTAATTGTTTTCATCTAAGTATCCAAAAAGGTAGACTTTGTCGGCCTTGATCACGTCGAGAAATCGTTCGAAACCCTCGACCGACATATGCTAGGAAAATCTTGAGTCAACTTCCAAACTTGCACCTGGGGCTGTTCATCTTCGCAGCATAATACCTCCTAGTAGATACAGGTAAACCTAGACACGCGGTATCCTTGGTGTGGAGGGCGACAGCATTCATTCCCGTCGACGAGAAGACGAACTGTGGTCACGCAGGGCAAGCTTGGATCATGAAATGACTCAAAATTCAACACGGATAACACTCCTCCACGCTGTAGTAGGGTGGATACTGACAGCTGATGCAGCGATACCTGAAACACGGATATGAAGTTTGGCTTTTCATTCAGTTTTCCTTTTCGTTCAGTTTTTCTTTTCGTCCCCTAAGGCCTGCCATTGAGAATTCCATCACAAAGACAGGAATGGGAGTCAGTGGGTCCATGACGATTATATATATAATTGATGCAGTATGCTTGTGCAGCAAATGTTCAAGTAGCGAAAAAATGGTGCAGTAGTTACAACAGACGAGTACCCTTTGCAGCTGAGGGCGTCAAGCTGGTAAAAGAAGCACTCCGCGCCGGTGGTTGTGCCAGGAAGAAAGACGCCAGTATGGCCTGGCTCAAGTGTTCCAATCTCAGCTACTGCACAATTATGCTTGCCGTGATACAATCGACACCTGCCACACCAAAAGACCACAAAAACGATACGGAAGTAAACAGCCAGCAGACATTGCGCCTTGGAATGTAAAAGGCCCCGAGTCCTGCTAGCGAGAGAAAGGCCGAGCCTCAAAAAAACTCAGGCACTAGCTATCATGCCATAGCAGAAGCGCGAGCAGGCACAGCGTGTAACGCAACCTCTTGAAAATTCCTCCTGAATAACTCCGGCAACTTCATGCACAAAAAAATAAAAAACTTACTTCGCCTCTCCCGATCGAAGCAGCTGAAAATTGTAGCAACCCTTTAGTGGGTGCTACCACAAAATTTTGGGGCAAAACCCGCCCGAGGATGTCGCGTACTTAAGTCTTTCTACAGTTCCTTGCACTGTGCAAATTTTGGGTCTTTGTCTTTATTTACTGGAGGAATAGTTGGTGCGTTCATCTTGTTGCTGTTCACGATACTTGCACAGGAGGAGCGCACGTATCTGCAGCTCTTCCTGTTTCGTAGTAAGCTACAGCGCCTGAGATAGTAACACCGGAGTCAGTCATAGACCGGATCGGCATCTTCTTGGTCCTCGCCCCCCAGCTGGTAGTATGACCATATTATGACTTAGAAAGGAGCTAGCATACCATCAATTCTCCTGTCCTGCAAATCTAAACGCGAAGGCAAAAACATCTATCTCGCATGCATTAAACTGCATCGGATGTGCTCCCCCATGATTTGTTTTTGGATTTCGCGTCAACGATGATGAAAAATATGCTAGGACGATGTTCTTCGTGAATGATACATATTTCCTCTTGCTTGTAGGGTAGTTGCGCACGCTTAAGCGCCACCGCCGAGCGAAATAGCCCGAAGTCGTTCCGGATGTCAGACAGGGTCTTCTGCGCCATAAGAGAGGTTGCACTTGTTGCAAATCGCCCGATTGCCCGCAAGCACAACAGCAGAGCGGGCGCGAGAACTCCGAGCGAATATAAGTAGCACCTCCCAGGCCGCCTACGGTAGCCACTAGTCACACGGGACGAGGAACAGCAAGAGCCTTTCCGTTTTAAGCTTCCCTAAATTCGCATACTTCTTGTATCTCCGCCTTTTGTTGCTGCAACAAAAATGAATCATACAGCAACGACTCCGTGTATTTCTATGTCTGTCAAACAAATCTTGGCCGCGGTGACCGCTGCGCTTGCGGAAGTATGAATGTACTGTCGGAGGAGCCTAGTGTAGCAGGATATCCAGCGGGCCCCTATGACGATACCATTAAAGTCTTCTCTGTGCATGGAGTATCATTCTGCACTCGAACTCGAACAAGGTAGTTCGCTTGTAACCACCCAGAAAATATTTGCAGAATCAGAAGGAAAAGTCATGGTAAAAATCTTAAGTGAAGCCCGAAACTATTCTACAGCTGCACAACTTGTTATTCCAAAATACCAGTCCGAAAAAGGCCGCTGTCTGATAGTTTTGTGTTTTGCTTTCTTGCACCAGCATAATCCCCCGTACAAAGTCCAAATATACCTCAGCGCAGCATACAAGACTTGGCCACCGGTCGAGTTGATAGACAGTGAAGCCATAGGATTCGAGGCGATTTTCGAACCTGTCGCAAGGTAGAATCCCGATGAATGACCGAAATTAAATGAACAATTTCGGTGTTGATCTCAACCACGATCCTTCTCTTCTTCATCCACCTGATCTAGGTAGTCAACATATTTTCAGAACATCATTTGACGCCAGTTTCAAACGCATCTTACGCCTTACGCGACTTGGTGCGTGTAAATCTTTATGCTACTTGGCTGTTTTAGATTGTCGAAGTTTGCCCGGCCGCCATGCAGCCCAGGCTCCGATGCAGCGCAACACTCGTGCAGCACGGTAAAGATGATCACAATCGTGCGTAGTAAGTATCAACGAACTCCTCTGAGATCTTTCTGTGTCTTTTCTTGCTTGAGTGACGTGCTCCCGGGCAGCAATCTGCTGGGTGGAGACTTTTCCAAACTTGCCCGTGTGTCGTGCTTGCGGGCAGTCGGAACGGGATCTTTCCCGACTTGCCCTCTCTGTAGACAGGAGAAGTCTCTGCCTCGCTAGTACTGCTCCCAGGAAGACCACCGTCAGCCAATAGCCTCAGAAGGACATGCTTCACTATGCTCTTCTTTTTGCAGCACTGCCACGAGCTCCGGGTCAAGAGCGCGGCGCCGAGGCCGCTCGTCGGGCTGCACAACTTCGTTTTTTGTTGCACTTTCCGGATCCGATTCCAGGAACTCCTCTCCCGCAAAAAGCAAAGGGTCAGTCGCGTCTCCGCCGGCTGGAATCAGGTACTCATCGTTGTTCCAGAACGGATTTTCTGGACCAAAGTGCTGCGGTTCACGGATCAGCTCCCTAGCCTGTTCGGCACCGAGTCTTCGCAGGTATCCCACCAGCCGGAAATGCGAATACCTGCAAGTGCAAGTGTAATCAATATAAGAAATAATCTGTAAAAAAATCAATCAAGGATCGACGCAGAAGAGTAAGCACAAGCAGCGAACTTGCTGCGATACACCTGCAACAACCGCGCGGCTACCCCGTCTCCTTCGAACGCAGCCGCGCCTCTCATCAGAGCGCGGCGTGGCGTTGACGTTGACGAATGCTTTGAGTTATTGCTCTCGATACGCATTTTTCCGAGGTTTCAACAAGTAAGATTTCGAATCCACTTCTTCAGGCTTCAGCAGATAGGAGCACATGCAGGCAAGTGTACAACATGGCTGATCTAGAACACGTAAACTTAGCAAATAAGTACATCGTCCAGCTCTCTTCTCCGTGCGCTTCACGAACGGCGGCGAAGGAGAATCCGTGCGCCTTCTGCATGTGCGCCACGCACAGTGGTGCGTTGTCAAACCAAGCGTCGGAGAAGAGATCCTTGCAGGGGCCGCTGCCCTCGCCGCAATCTGCTTCGCTCGCGCCGCTGCTGTCGGAGACCTCCTCCACAAAATTTTCTAGGTCGTCGAACTCAGGATGATGAGAGCAGACTTCTGATGGCGTCGAAGCATCGTCGTCTTCGTGCTCCTTGCTCTCGGACGGGCGCGGGCCCCGTGCGGACAGACCAAAGCCTTTGCCACCTCCCATTCCTTCGTCGATTTCTTTTCTTTCTTCTAAAAGCGAGCTCAAATGATCTTTGCTAAGGCCGCATAGGTAAAAAGGCTCTTGCTTCTAAACTCGACACGATGTCCACCGCATTCATAACATTATCGGCATTACCTCCATTTAGAGTGAGTACGTAAGTGCGTCAAACTTGGCATAGACGGCACTAGCCTCGTACTAACAAAATGGTCACTGGTTAGATGAAAAGTAGAACACAGAGAGATTGAGACGTAGGGATCAAAACAAAGATTGCATTACTGAAAAAATGCGCAAGCTAAGTACCGTTCTCGGCATTAGATTGCCTGGGGAAAAAACAGGAGACCTTGGTATCACTGCCTTGAGCGACTTCGAAACTTTTAAAGCCTCATATTCGAATGAATGGCAACAATGATTTGCGAACTTTCACTGGATCGCAGAATTTTTTTTTCATTCTTGATCTAAAAATTTTCCGCTTCTTCAAAAAAGATCATGAGTTTTCTCAGAAATCTCTCCACTTCCAGCGAAGAGTCGTCGTTTTGGGCATTAAGAATTTCTGATCATCTTCCCTTGTGACTCGCAGAGCTGCAAAGACGACGAAAGCAGGACGGTGAGACCACAGTACTTATTTGATCAGTGCGCGAGTTGACAACACGCAGTTGCATTTGACAAATGGCAATGAAATCGAAAAAATCGGCGCTCCTGATGAAAGAGACCCCTTCACCACCATCTGGGCCGACCGATACCGAAACCGAAACGCCAGGCACTACATACATTTAGAATCACATCGTTGCAAGAAGTGCGACTTTTGCTTTCGAGCGCGGCCGCCACCTCTCTACTAGCTACTTCGTGCGGATGAATATCATTTGATTAGCGCTATCTGAATTGGTTATTGAAATTCAGCCTGCAGACCAGGTAGGTATACTCCGCACAAGAGTTCTTGGGTTGTTGCAGAAGATCAAGGAGATGCTGCATCGTTTCCGAAACCTCTTCATCTAGCGCCTCCATATCCCGCCACAGCATTTCCTCGGCACTTTCGTCAAAAAAATATCGCGCCACGTCTTCCTGCAGGCGCTCAAAAGTAGACACCAAGAGGAGGAACTTCGTGAGGCAGTCCAAGATCGGGGCTGCGGAGTCGACCAGAAAAGTGAACTCTTGCAAGTGGTGCAGGTATTTTCCGTGTTCGCGCAGAACTTCGTCTAAATCACGGGCGTTTTGAAAGCCCTGCTCCAACCGGGCATGGGCGGTCTCCAGTACCTCGTACATCACGTAGCTCTGCACATTTTCCATTACGTGACTGAGCACCATCCGGATGGAGTCCATCTGCCTCGCAAGCGCGTCCTCGTCGCATTTGTGCCTGAGCGAAGGTTTTTCGTTTGTCTCTCTCTAGGTGGTAAAAGTAGCGCACGTTGCTAGTGTTAATTTCTACAGAACGAGCACAGCGCATCCACTTACGACTATATCCAGAAACCTGTGTTGAACTACTGTAGTTCCGTAGCGATACTGCTTTGATATATGATTTTTATCATACTGCTCCAGTACCGAATTAGTATCTGGCGTCTCCAAGATTCTTTCAGCGAGAAGTTCGCCCGGCGCAGCTTCCAGAGAAAGGTGGAGACCTTGCGGAGTGTGAGCATGACGGTATCCCGCGAGAAGACAACGTGCAGCGGACTGGTTATGGCGTAGTCGAGGGAGAAGATGTCCCACCCGATCTCGCCGCCGTTTGCCGGCGTGAGCGAGACGTCGAGCCGGTCCAGAAATTCGGGGTCGTGAAACTGTGCATTGCTCTGCCGTATGGCCTGATCCACGATAGCGCGCACGTTGTGGCGAAAGACGTCCTTCTTGGCGTCCTTTCGGAGCACCCCGTCCGCCAGCTCCAGCAGACACTCGATGAAATCCCCCTGGGCGAGCAACAGGTAGCGCTTCATGGCCACGCAGTGACTCAGCAGGTTGTACTTGTCGAGCAACAGCTCTACCAGCCGTTTGTTTGTGTGCAACGACTGCTGCCGAACGAAGTCGCTGTCCGTTACGACGGGAGCGCCCGCAAGCAGTCCCACCCAATCAGATTCCTCGCAACACAGCCGCATAAAGTTCACGGATTTACCTGAAGTAGTGCGCAGAATAATGATCATGATAACCCTACTAGCAAGGAACCACCACGTCTGATGAACTTAAGTATCTTTTCAACTTTAGATAGAGGGGTTGCTGGAGCAGCTAGGTTACAACGCGGCACTACTTCTTAAAAATCAAAGCAGTGGACTGCGTTGTATGTCAAGGTGGATATTAATAGATACAAAGAATGAATCTACCTGCGCGAAGAATCATTTTCGCTTCTTCGAGATCCACAAAAGACGGGATCATTTCCAGATTGAGGAAATACATGCTGTGCCACAGGTCTTGAATTTTCGCGGTCGCATCCGCAAAAACGAAAAACTCTCCGAGCTGGTCCCGCAACTGCCCCTCGGTCATCCATGCTCCGCACATGAACAGAAACAAAAACAGCGCAAGGGGCGATCGCGTGGCACATCATACGTACATCGAAATAACAACTTTTCAACTTGTATGCGCTTCGCGGTGGATTGTCACAGGACAGTAAAGAAATTTATCCCCGCCCATGCTGGATTGTGATTGCAAAGTTTTCTTGATTTGACACTGCTCTCGTCCATGATGATGCAGAATTTCCTTTACTTGACTCTAGATTGGGAAGAGACATGGCCAAGAAGAAAAGCCACGACGCGGTCTCTCACGACGCTTTTCAGCGGGATAAGGATCATCTCGTGCAATGGCGCGGCGCTGGCCTGCAGAACTGCTTCGACGATGGGAGCAGTGTGCGGGTCCCCCGTCTTACGACACATGTGCAGCGCACTGAGCAGCGGCCCGCCCTTACCGTGCGCGGCCGCAACGCGGCACAAGCGGGACAGCAAAGCCATCTTCTTCCGCGGTTGGCGGAACCAGATCGCGAGACGTCGCAAACTGAGGTCTCCGCTGTCAATCTGCGTCTCAAAGATCGCGATCCATTTGAAGTAGTCCAGCAAAAGATTTCGGACGCATTGCCGAAAGGCCTGGAAGATCACGCTTTCGTTCGGGAGCTCCAGCACCTGGTCCACCCGGCGGTAGTCGGTGCCCACCGCAAGCAATTCGGCGACGAGACCCTGCGCTCCTTTGGCAATGGACACCGTTTCTTTCAGGCGGAAGGCCGCCGGCGCACCGCCGTCCCACACCACCGTGGCCGATTCAATCCCCTGCAAGGCGTACAGGCAGTCTCGGATGATCTCGGCCTCCGAAGGCCCGCAGTACACCATATCACGGAGAACGGGATTCGGTACTAGAGGCGTCCCCACGAAAGCGCTGCTATACGGACCCAGCTCGTATCCGAGTGGTCCACCTCCTTGCGGCAAGACACCGCGCAACGTAGCGGAAGTGCGGTTGGATGTTGCTGCGGACGCAACCAAGGAGATCGGCTCCGGAAATGCTGCCGCTCTCACGACCCCACCGCTTGCCACATCCTGGGCGAGTGGCTTCGGCGAGCCCGGATCTGGAGGCTCAAGTTTCTGCCGAGCCAGCAGCAACAGCACTTCTGCCAGCAATAGATTTTGCTTCCCGGTACTGCCCAGAAGCCCGCGGCGCCGGAGTGCCTGGAACCGCACAGTTCCCGAAGAATCGGCTTGCAGCAAGAGCTCGCTGATTGCGTCGCACAGCTCTCGCTCGGTGCCCCGCCCCGTGAGGCTCTTTAAGCTCAGCAGCCGATAAATCAGTTTCAGATGCCCCGGTGTACTGCGCCCGGCGAGCTTAGCGCACAGTCTCTCCAACAGGGAGCGCACTACCGGCTCCGAGGAGCTTGTGGCTTTCACGTTGTAACCACGCATCTGATCTGGAGGCAGCATATTCACACCCACGTGGATTTCTCCGTATCAAAAGCCGACACAGGGCGCCATTCGCTGTTGAAGATGCTGTAAGAAATTCTATCGCTTCTTCTATGTTGACACGATTACGATATTGCTGGTTTTATAATTTCATACTTTATCGCCTCCCTTATGTTATCGAACTGATGCAAAGTTCATTTCACTATCATTACGCCTCAACTTCAAAGCAATAAGATACTCAATTCACAGAATGAAAGCGTTTGCGATTTGTGGAGACGAGCTCAGAAGGCTCACGTAACGACGAGCTCAGAAGGCTCCGGTGAGATCGCTGTGAAAACTTGGATCTTGATCATTATCTGCGCTGGATGACAAAAAAACCTGCCAGCTGAAAGCTCTGACATAGACGTTCGTATTAACTTGAACTTCACTACAGACGACGCATTAAACTATGCGGGAACATCAAAAGCAAACCTGCCAAAGACTGGAAAGACAGTGACTGTGCCCCAGCGTGCTTCCCATCGCCTTGAACTATTTTTTCACCTCGAAAGAAGGTACGGCACACTTTGCAAAATACTAGCGATTAATACTTGCGAGGGTGCAAATTCGCAGAAAGCGTTAGAGCGCTAGTCTTGCTCCTCTGAGTCGTCGCGAAAAAGCCAACCCCTGTGGACTGCGTAGCCGACCGCTAGTGACACCCCGAGCAGCAGCAACGGGTTTCCTTCGACCCGTTCGCTGCCGCGGCTCACGATCCTGTGTGCCCCCGGGACCGCCCGCGCGTGCTGCGGAGTCGCACCCCGACGGGCAGCCCCGCCCTCGCGCGGCAGGTCTTCGTATGCGCTCTGCTCCTCGTGCTCCCTCAGCCCTTCGGCTCCGGCTGATGGCTCTACTTCTCTCTGGCGTTTTCCTGAACCGGGGGGGTATGTGACCCCACGACCAGCATCCGCCGACTCGGGAGACGCCCGTGGCTTCTCCGGATGAGTCATGCCGCGCGTCTCGTGCATCCTATCCGGCGCACGATCAGCAAAGAGGTCGTCATGATCATCGGAGGTAGGCGTATAACCTTCCGTCGAAGATATAGAATTTCCAGTGACCGCCGAAGCAGGTACGCCGTGCGCACTCGACTGTTGTTCTCCCTGATGCTCATTGCTGTCCGCTGCATGAGGGCGAGCTTCCGCAGTCCTTTCTGCGATTGTGCCGCCCAGTCGGGGCAGCGCCTTCCCGTGGGCTTTGCTGGAACTAGAGCCGCCTGGATTCACCTGCCACTTCCCGAATGACGCTGCACGATTGCTAGCAGCATAATCGTGCCGAGACGGCCCGCCGCGATCCCGTCGCAGTGCGTCGGTGAGGTGTAGCTGCTCATGCGCGACATCGTGCGCCGAGGTGGGTCGTCTTGCTCCAACGCGTGCTGGCTTGATCGCCGACATGACACGCGCGACATTTTCGTTGTGGTCGTCCACAAAGTTTCGCGTTGGCTTGCCCATGTTCTCGAGCGCCCGCGGGCCGGGCGCAGGGTCGCCTAGACGCATCACTCGTTGAAGAATGTCCGCGGACGCGAGTAGCAGCCCGACGCAGAAAAACGAGATGTACACTGTAGGAAGGCGCTGCCACGAACCTCGGAGTCCGCGTCCTGCCGTCGGTAGTTTCGCTGCCGCAGCAGGGCGCGACAAAACGCTCACGGGCCTCCAGAGCATCTCGGGGGCTAGCCGGAGCATGAGCATAAAGAACATAATCCAAAGCTCCTGCATCCAGGAAAAAATTTCGAGTGCGTGCAATGCGGTACAACAACAAATACAGAGTAGCGAAATGCGGATCGACGCCATGCCGCCCGCGTAAAGGAATAGGGTACCTTTTGTATAGAGTAAATCATTGCAAAATCCATTTACAGGATTTCAACATTAACACGCCGGACATTTTCACCCAACCACGAAGCACCGCACACGCCCGTACCTGCACGTACTAGAAGAACAAAAAATTAAAAATAAAATAAGTAGTACCCTGCGAAATAGGAGCTCGGCCTTGTGCGTTTGCTGCTTTCATCGGCAATGTGTGTAATGCTTCACTCGTGGCACTTCCTCCAGCGAGCGCGTACCGCGTCCGTAGCAGTTCCCCCGAGGGGTCGCACAACCAGACGCATGGCAGACGCTTAGCTGGGATGCATCCCAGTCTCGTCGCGTGGCTGCCTGTCGAAACCCAACTGGCAAGTCGAGTGTCTGCGATGCAGTGCTCCAACGACAGCATGCTCACGGAGTACGACGTCGAGCCCAAGGCATGATCCGAGGTGGACGCTTGTTGTATCCCCAACCACACAGAGGACGCACCACTTACAGAGAACGGGTGCGCACCGCTCGGGTTGTTCCCGTCCCGAGTCGGGGTCGTGGAGTGCGACACTAGTGGCGTGCCGCGACGAAAGGAACTCCCCGGCGTGGCACCTACGAGACTGGTGGTCGCATCGGAGACAATCGAGCGGTTGCTAATCGTCCGCGGCAGCACTGGTGCCCCGCCATGGTGCGAGCCACGGAAGGGCGTCGGACTGGGTTCAAGCAAGAAGGACTGCGAAGACTTGCCACTCGGTTTGAATAGCGATCCCGGGTGGTGCGCAGATGTTCGGGCAACTACCGGAGTCGTAGACGATGACTGCAGGCGGCGCGTGTACGCTATCGGGGGCGTGGCTCGTTGTGGCCCTGCGCCCGGCCACGCACGTTGCTCGTGCTCCAGGGGCGGGGGCAGAGATGTGTCTTTTGACCTGGGCGGCGTGGAATATGTCCGCGGGCTGCTGAGGATGCTCATCTTGCTTCGTGCCGCCGTCAACCCGGTCGTGCCTGGTTGCCCTAGCAGTTGAGAAGTAGAACTGTGAAAAGCTAGCGCTGTGAAGAGATGTTCCCTCTCGCAAAACGGGCGCAACTTCTGCTGGCAGAAAAATCGCAACTCCAAGTCGAAAGCGCGGAGGTCGTCGAGCTTTCTCAGCGTCGCCGGAGGAAGGGGTACGGGAACGAGCCGGGGGCGCTGTAGGACCTCGGTTCGCCGAACGCGGAGCAGCACCAACAGCGCGGGTAGGCTTTCGCTGCCCGGAAATTCCAGCACGTGACTGGACTGCCCGACTGGAAGGAAAGAAAAGTGGTCCTGATACTCTACTATCGTGCTCGGCTGCGCTGAAGCCGCTGCCAAATCGGAGGACGGCAGCAGGCGGGCAGAAATCAACTGCAAAGCCCGCCTGGGTGCGGTCTGCAGAAAAACTCGCCAAGGCCTCAGGAAGATAAATGCTGGCGCAAGGTTCCAGCTGCTCTCGCTTCCCTGCCGAAACGGCACGCGCTTCGGCGTTCTTCCGTCGGTGTCCTCGTCGGCGTTTTTGGTGACACATTCCGGCCGCCTTGGAGAAGGCGTCTGCGCAGGGCCTGCGACGTGAAATTTTTGTGGACTCAGGTTTACAATCCTGCACTGGCAAGGGGCGCTCGCAAACAACTTCGCCGACCACGTAGACGTACCTACTCGCCAAATCCATTTCTTCGTACATACTTGATGGAAACTAGCGGCATCGAGTCTTTAACTCCTTGTGCCGATCGAACGCACGAAAAACAGAATCCAATCAAGTTTTTTGAGAAATAAATCGACCTGAGCATCAAACTACCGAAAAGAGCAGCAGGCTTCCGGACGTGCGCGTAGGAGCCGGCGGGTGATTCATCACGTTCGTCGATTTCGGAGGACGACGCCCTACTCAGTCTTTGTCGCAGGTCCCTTGCTATGGGTTCGCTCGAAAGCCCAGCGCCCGGAGCTCCGAGGAAATCACGGACGTACTCTCGCCCCTGCTCCTCCCCGAAGGTCAAGTCACCTGCGTTCCTTCTCCTCGAGGTGCGGCCCGCCACCTGCTCGGAGCCTTCATTCAGGCGGCGATTCACGTGATGGAACCCAACGTGGTCGTGGGGCGACGCCATTTCCGCTCCATAACCCTGCACGATGGGCGCCTCGGCGTCGATACAGCATGGAGCGGAAGGCCGTGAGTGACTTTCTTTAGAGACTGCTGCTACTTCAAGGAGACCCGGCCAATGTGCTTGCGAGCAGTTCGCCGCGCATCTACTCCGTCCGGCCGCGTAGTGCGAGGGCCGAGAGGCCGCAAGGGTGGAACGAATGCCCCGGCCGCGTGGCCATCCATCAACGCTCCGCGCACCCAGCGCGAGCGGCCAAACGCTTTCACAAATCGCGGTCGCGCGCGCGGAACGAAAGGCCGACCGGGTGAAAGTCCCAGCCCGCGCGGCCAAGCCACTAGCACCCAGCGAGTACAGCTGGCAGCAAATCTGCCGACCAGATGTTTTCGCCCGAGGGCGGGGCGCGGCGAGCCCCCAGCGGGCACTCCGACCGTGACGGGGGTGATTCGCTTGCATTCCGTGCGCACGAAAATAAGCGGGGGCAGATAATGAACTCACTACCACTCCGCGCCAGCGGGCGAGAGGTCCCGTGGCATTTTCCAGAAAAAGGGAAATGCTGCAAAAACTACATCGTGTACATGCACAATAAGACGACGCATCTGCCCGTCTGCAAATCCGTGCGATAAGCTGAAGATTCTTTCAGAGCTGCAATCGCTCCGAAAAGCCACTCACTTCCCTTTTGTAGCTTTCCGAACAGAGCATGCTGCTTGTGCTCGTGATACGAATTCGAAGTATGAGCCGGACGCTTTCGTGACGGCGAAAATCCGGTGGGTTCGTGAACCGGCCACAGCTGTTTTCGATGCGACTCGCTTCGGGCCGCGTAGTCACGACTGCTTGCTGTTCGCCGTGCGGGAGATTCTCTTTCCCGGGCCAGAGTCGACCGCTCCTGCGAGCTGACGCGCCGTCGGAGTGCCGAACCTACTTCGGCGTCAATCAGATTTCCCCGCAATGTTGAGCTCCCTTGTCTACGGTCGGATGTTCGTGGTCTCGGCGATGGTTCTTCCTCTTCCCGCAGCGTGTCCGTCTTCGAACAAGCTTTAGTGGTGGAAGCCTCGGGTTCGTATTTGTGGTCTGACGGCACCACCGACGGACTGACCTGAGTCCCATCGCGTCCGTCGTAAAAGAGAAGGCTTTTCCGGAATCCGGTAAAGAGCGGCGGGACGACCAGCTCGATCTCCGATTTTCGGTCCCAGTGGTGCTCATACGAGAACTCGCAAGCGGTGCGCTCGTCCCAAAACGACAGCCGTAGGACGACGACAAGATCTATCCCGTGTGGAAACTACGTCCCCACCCCCGAGTCAAGTTGGAAAGTCCTCTGCGTCGAAAATCCAAAAGTTTTGGGATTCACGCATGACAAGTTTCTCTCTGTATCTATTGTAGCGCAGGTCAATTGGGCACCCGCATCAACAATCCATCCCCTTATCCAGAATGACAAATGCCAAAGCACGAGGATAGAAAACGGCTGTTATGGGGATGCGCATTACAAGCATTCCTTTTGTTCCTGTAATTGCAAACCTGCATGACAGCACCGGGGTGGGGACGTTTTTGCTCAGGATAAGATCCGCACTGTCTTCAGCTCCATGCAGCGTCGTGAATTCCATTTCCCAAGCATAGTGGCGTGGTGGCGAAAGCGAATGCACGAGTAGAATACTAATAAACGTAGCCCAAGCTGCTTTTTGGACAGCTGCAGCACGCGTCTGGAACTGCAACTAGTTTTCAGGCGAGGCAGTGATGAGCTTTGGGATTTGGTCGGGTGCAAGTCATTTTGTTTCACACGTTCCCCTCCAAGACTATCCCCCGCGCCGCCCCAGGTTCCATGCGGGGGGAGTGGTGAGGACCAGGAGAGCCAATTGCAATCCTTACTTCTAGAAGTAATCCAAGTACGTTTACAAACGATCAGAAACTGAGAGATTTTCTCCAGCTGTGGGATAAATCCGAGAGAAAACAAACCAGATAACTGAATGATTACTGCATCTCAAGAGTGGAAAAAGTCAAAGTGGAAGTTAGTTTCCTTTCAAGACAAAGTAAAAGCATTTGCACTGGCGAGCATTTGCCGGAAAAGAAGCAAAAGTTGGAAATGACATCATGAGTGTCCACCACAAAACAATAAATTAGTGGAATGTTATCCATCGGACAAATTATTCTCCCTTGGCGCAGCTTGAAAGCAAACAACATCTAACAAACCCGTCGCCAGACGTGGACCTTCTTTCTGTCGGCGGGGCAACAAGGCACCAAGGCGCACCAAGCCCATCATCTTTCTTCCAAGATCCATAACACACAGATCCATGCTGATACCTCTGTGATGGAAAAAAGGACTGGCTCTCCAGAGCTACAATAACGCGCCAGAAAATAAAACGCACTCCTCTACCATATCTGTCTAAAGAGTGATCCTTTTGTTGTTTCAGTGAGCATGCCCTGCAGCAGCTCGACTCCAATGCAGGTGGCGTCGTCAGCAATCGCATCCAGTCCCGCATCTGTCCCACCGCCGGGGCCGCCTGTTGCGGTCAAAAGTCGCATGGAACTCCATAGCACTCGGCACGAAAGACGTGGCAAAACAAGCACTGCCCTCTGGCGCGATCTTTAAAACACTACACCCGTAGTCTAGTAAACGTAAACCAAAAAGCAACTCAATACTACTGCCATCGTTGCCCCCGTCTCCGGCTGTGCCGGGATCTTGCCAGTTGGCCTCTTGTCGGCAGTGGGGACACATGGATATTTTGTGCGACACGTTTTCTATGGCCGCCGTGGTCTGCTCGTGATTATTCAGGATCGCAGAAGTGGTCAAGGTGTCTTGCCAGTACCGAGCCCACAGTGATCGTAAAACACCAGCGTCGCGCCGGCTTTTAAAGTAAGTGATCGGAATGGCATAGTACTCATCGGCGTGCACGCCAAAGTCCTGCACTTTGTCAACCGGTAGATTGGTTCGCACCACCGGTGGTCCACCACCGACGGTCCGGCTTTTGCCATGACCCGCGGCCGGGCCACGCCCGTCGTTGGAAATCGGTGGCAGCGTACGGAACGCACCGATGTCAACCTTGCCTGCGGTGCACGTGCGAAACGGGTCGATGACAACGGCGAGAAATGGCTCCTGGTGGGCTTGGTAAAGCCGCTGCGTGCTCACGTCGATTCCGGACAGCCAAGGGCGGTAGCCTGGATGGCTATGATACCAACCCATTATGGTCTCTTTCTTCCCGACTTGCTCTCCCAGCTCCTTGAACGTGCACATAAACTCGTTTGCCGCTGCAGATAAGTTTCAAGTTTTATTTGGGCTACTACTATACTTAAAACAAAAAGAGGAGAAGAATCCTTCTCACCTGCTAAGCTAAATGCTGCATAGAGCTGTCTTACAACATCAAAACCGGCGAAGCAAAGGCCTGCGGCCCCTCTGCCCATCATCCCGTCACTGCGAAGGCTGCCGCACACCGCTTGGCCCTCTGGTTTTACGATGGGCCGCATTAATTCACCGCGGTCCTTCTCGTCAGCACGCGCGAACCGCCCCCGTCTCGCACTACCAATAGATACACCCAAGGGCGGGCGGACTGGCGAGAGCTAGCTACGTCGCGACACAGGCAAACTTTCAGGGATCTCTGGCCGTCTTGTGAGCCGCCCAAACCGAGCACTTCTCTTACGATAAATATCGCAATTTCTGAACCTCCGAGAGATCGCAAAAATACTTCGGCAGGCTAAGAGGATTACTCTTTTGTTTCATCTCGAGGGCGCGGGCCCCCGGAAAATTCCGAGCGCCACTTTTGAACGACAATTTTTTGCGCAGGGTCAGCATTTCACTTTCCCATTCCACGCGGCCGACGGGCCGCAGAGAGCTTTTGCTTTGGGAAAATCAAGCTGCGCGAAGGTCTGCGATTGTTTCGTTTTTTTCTTTCAGTTCCTAAGCAGCCGGGGCTCGCCGCGATCGCAGACTCCGCGCCTTTGGCCGTAGCCCAAAACACCGCCTCCCTTTTTCAGAATCTAAGCGGGCGGAGCCGCAAAAGTGCGGCTTTTTACCCTCTTGCCGCTTCAATTTTGCGGCTTTTGCTACTTCTGATGAAAGTCGCGCAATTCTTCTGGGATCATCTTTCTGGAGCCCACGCACACTCAGCGGCCGGTTGCGCGCCACCAAGTTGCTCCGATATGCTACGAACTGTAGAGCTTGCGCGATCCGCTTCCGATGAGTGAGTATCTCGCACGAGCGCTTGCGAGAAGTGCTTTCGTTTACCAGATACGAACAGAATTCCGGTTCATTTTATTGCTCTTACCTGCGCCCGCGTTTACACGAGTCTCGGTTCCTTCCACAGGCAACGGGAACGCGTCTAGAACGATGAACTTTCCGCTAGCCGTGGCCTTGCCTTGCATCAGTCCCATAATTTCGAGGGAGCCTCCGCTCCGCGCGTGTAGCACCATCTTTAGTAGAGCGATCGCAGATATGTGCACTTTCTTGAAGAAGTGCGGGTCTCTTTTCCAGGGCGCGTCGTCGTACAAACGGTCTGACTCCGCCTCGTTAAACTCCCATTCCTGTTCGACCATGGCATTCTCAATTTCAAATGTGACGCGCGCCATTTCCTGCTGCGAGGGAAAGGCAGTAGAAGACGACATCTCCGTTGATCCGCTGACCACCGTACTGTCAGGGATGGCACTGATGGCCTTTGGTTTCGTTTTCGTTATCCTACCACATGTGAACTAAGCACCAAGTCCAGAACTAAAAACACTTAGAAAACGTCCACAAGTGGGTGGGCCTTGAAAAGGGCTAGCTTTGTCGCTTAACTTCAGAGCAGATCCTCTTTCGAATGTGTGTCGTTTCGAGACCTGCGTGATCCCGAGTCTGGAACGAAAAAAGCCAATGAAGAGAGAGCATCTTTGACAACACATAAAATTCAGATTGCTCAAAGGAGAGCCGGAACCTGTGTCTTTTTGAATTATGTGTTGTGGTTCATGAATTTCTCTAAAGTTGTAGTTCTAGTTTCTCGGTGATCAACGTAACAAAATAAACACACAATCTTCGGGCGTCGAGCACTAAAATGATCTTGCGAGTTGATCGGTGTGATCTGGCAGGAATCGGCCGCAAAACCACACGACTCGTCCAGGAGGTACAAGGAAAATCATACGGCACCAGGAGGCATGTCCGCACATCAATGCCCCGTGAACGCCTGACATCTCCAGATGTGTTTGCTCTGTTCACTCCGCTGGCTAAGGCTCAGCCTCGTCTTCTTCTTAATTTTTCGAAGCCTTTTGATACTGATCTGTATTCCCAAACTAACAACAATCGCAGTAGGTTGTGAGTAGAAAATATTCTGTAGTATCTAGCACAGGAGGCGTCGCCTCTACTACCTTGCTATCATTGTTGGAATGGAGTGGTCATTTTTCTGTTCTTCCAAGGTGCGCACCAAGCAGCTCCATCCTGAGCATGTTGCTCAGCTTATACAAAAGAAAAAGAAAAGACACTCGCAAAAACGGTCACACACTAGCGGGACGTCGCCAAACCGGAGTAGCGCCTTGCTCTTCGGAATCTCAGAAACGGAATGAGACCAACATTCGTAGACGATTGTCGGACTTAGTGTCCGCGCACCGCACTTTTCAGCCTGGAGGCACGACATTAGCCATCCTGCACGGCTTGGGGTGCCAGTGTTCGAATGGGCTCGGCGGGTGTAGTTGCCAACAGTACGCCGGACAACGACGCCAACGTCGCTAGGATGCTGCTGCTAATCGGAATTTTCTCTGTGGCCTCGACCCAGGCCGTATTTACCCGGCGGGGACTCTTCGTTCTTGGCCCGCATTCCAGATTTCGGAGATTAGCGTCGTTGGGGCGCCTGCCGTCTCTTTCGCAGCCATTTTGAAAAGCTAAGCACCCACGCGTTCCCATGATGCGCCACGGAGTGCGCTTTTCCGGATGCGCTTGCCTTCCTCTTGGATCGATATTGATCCGCTGCTGTTACACACGCTTGTGGTTGCAACTTTTTCTCTACCTCTCAGTGACTCGTCTTCCAAGTTGGTACGGTGGCTGCGCTCTAAGTAGACCCTGCCAGACCACCCGACCGTTGTCTCCTTGTTACTTACTCCCGGGACGCATGCCGGAGGCCCGCGCGTCGGTTTGCAGGAGCGTCCACGTTTCGCAGCGCCACGTGGACACGCTTCACACACATGCACGGGGGAACCTGCGCACTTCACCTCCAGAGACCGTGCTTCGATCATGCCTCGCGGCAAGTCGAAGACCTGTGCATATTTCATTAGATTTTATTGATCCCTAACTGGTGCGTCTCCTCTAGAGACTTCACGGGCGGCGCTTGGAGCCCGACAGTCCCGCGCTGAAAAAAGGAAGAGGTGGCTTAGGTCCCAGGTGGCGTAAGTCCCAGAGGGGGAGAACCGGAAGCAGCGCAACGGGGCGCGAATCCTGCATGATCAAGAAAAAAAAACCGCCTGGTTCTTTTGTTCGCTTACATCGAAGGCAGGCCCAACATCATCTTCACCGGCATTTTGTACGCTCGTTGTTCCGCCAGTGCTGCGCACACGCGCTTCTATGTGACCGATATCGCTGGGTCGCCGCGGGTCGCCGAATCACTCTCCTGCTCGGCATCTTCTTCTCTGAACGCGTAGCGGCCGCTTTGGTTACAAACCTTCAGTTTCTTCGGTAGACTCTGCAACCGGCGCGAACGCAGGAAGTGGCGAATCCGCACTGGAGATGGTGGCCCCTCCGGCCCATAAAAGAAAGAAAACTCGGCGCCGGACGCAACAGCCGCTTCGTCTGTCCTCGTCTCTCCAAGCTGGTCACGATGCTCAGCGTTCCCGGAGAGCAGTTGCTCTCGAAAACGGTCGTTCATCTGGACTGTCTCCTTATTCTCGACCCAGCCTCCGGCTTCAAAGTGAAATGCCAGCAATGTACTTTCGCCATCTGGCGCTTCCTCGTCGTAATGAAACGCGTGTCCCCACAGGGTGCGAGGGTCCAGCGGAGCCCACCGTGGGATGACCGCACTCCCGTCCTCTGCGACATCTTGCGCAATCTTTTCCTCCATGACTTGTAGACGCTGTTCCGCACCATACATCACCTTGAAAACCCGGGGCCAGGGGATATGATGTCATCGATCCGTAAGAGCATGCATACTTACTTGCGTTCGCAGCTAGAACTGGGGCAAATCATGCTATGCTCCTACACAAACAAAGTTTTGCATTGCTAGAGCTGCTATCTGAGATTGAGTATGCTCATGGTCATACACATGCTCACCTTCCCAGGCCACATCAATCACCTCGCGACGTGACAAATGATGATTTGAATCTGTTCGCGACGTGGCAAATATATGCCAGTAATATATACTCCCTGTCCCTGAGGTGAAAAAAATTGTAGTTTCAGAGTGGATATTGCTTTCACTTTTCCTTTCTGTCAGGGCATCGTCGTTGAAGTAGCGGTAGAACTGGAATAGTTTCTTTTTCCCCACGTACGGCAAGGTCCACCTTTCTGCCCGACGCTGATAAGCCAGGTTGTCTCCGAGCATGGCGCTCATCAGCTTTTGGTGGCAGCCCTCGGGATGGCGGTAGACGTACGCTGCAAACTTGAGGAACCAGCGCTTCATCATGTATCAAAGGAAACAGCTGTCTCCTCACAAATGCACCCGGTTTTTATCACAATGCGTTTTTACTGCAACCTTGCACCTAAGCTAGGGTGAACCTGAGCCGGTCTTGCGGAACCAGGCCAGTTTCTCGATTAGGGAAGACAATTCCACGGCGTGTGGTGCCAGCATGCAAAACCTTGCTCAAACCCAAGACCCTGCTCGTGGGTAACTTGTACCGGTGCGGCCGCAATGAGCGACGTGTGCTATTACAAAGGAACGCTTGCAATGTTGAAACCGGGCGTGGAGAAACGCGCGCTCGTCGTCTGCATATCACGAGGGTGGGACGCATCCACCAGAATCCATTGTTGATACAGTCGTCCAGGATGCTTCCGCCCACCAACAAATCCACACCCAGAGCGTCCGCCTTCGCCCGCAGCGCAGCGGCGGGCGGGCGCAGCAGGTAGGTGTCAAAGTCCACGTACGCCACGTGAAAGTTGTGATGCAGGAGCGGAAGTCCCAACCAGAACTGCGAGCCATGCCACTGGCTCAGACCGCGTCTGTATCCTGTGGAAAAGAGCCCCTGCGGGCGACAGTTAACCCGGAAACCGCCCGGGAGCTTGGCACTACTTATTTCACAATCACAACTCACGCGGTCCTGATATCATCAATAGACTGACTCTGACATAAACATGATCATGCAAAAATAATAGACAATAGACACCATGCAAAAATAATAAAGGGCCTTGCGCTCTTCGGGTTGACGAGCGGGGGAAGGCTCTTTTCCGCCTGGTAAAACGCACCGGCGACGCTGTACTAGCTCATCGTACCCTTGCAGGCGTCCTGCACTCGTCGTCGCGGCGGAGGTCTCGCTTTCATCTGCTGTCCAACCAACGGGAGCGAAGATTTCGTCGAGAAAGACCGCAAGCCGATTTATTTTGCGGTCCCATCGTTCTTCCTCCGGGTTGGCAGCTGGTGCCAGTCCGTTGCGGCGCGCCGAAAGTGGCCGCTTGGCGAGCGCGCGCTGGAGCTCCTCTTGTTCGAACTCCATGGCGTCGCGCAAATTCGAGAACCAAGCCCAAAAAGCCATCTGCGTGTGGGTTTCAGACGACGAAGTCGCCGACTCGCTTGTGCTCTTGTTCTGCGGAAGCTGCCGAAAAATTTCCGCGAAGCGTTGCAGCACCGCGGAGCGGTGGGCCTGAGTATCGTAGGGTGGTTCTTCAAGCGCGCTTGTTGCGGGTGGTTCCTCTCCTCGCTGGTCAGGCAAACCGGTGCTGCCAGCGGAAGCAGGAGCCAAATCGTCGACGTAGTCCTGCTCCTCGAACGTCTCCCCATTTTCACGCGCATCGTGGTACGCGTCTAGCGCTCCGATTAGGCTGCGGAACTTCGTAACTGCCGCGTCGCCAGCAAAGCTGTTACAGGCCGTGCTCTGCAGGCATGTGTAATACCGCATATAGCCGCCGAAGCAGGAAGGCGTGACGTCGCTGGTGTTTTCTTGCCTCCGGCCGACGAGCCGACGAGCGACCTGACTAGGCAAAGCAGCCAGAAGACGGCCGCAAAGCCATCGGCTCTGGCGTTCTTTTCCTGTCTCGTCTGGCTCTGGCGCAGCGACCAAAAACGCAGCAATTATAGGGTGACCCCCATTCAACGTTCGGGGGCGGCCGCCGGCGCTTGTGGCTCTTGTACTGCGGCCATTCCCCGGCTTCCCGACCGAAGCAATGGGCCGAGATCCATTGGCCTTCGGTGCGGCCGCGGAGCGGCGGCAAGCCCGGGGCTTCGGCGGTTTCACGCGCCCTGTTCTTTTCGCGTTCTACTTTTAATGCAGATGTGCCACGTATTTCAATTTCTATGCGAAGCTGCCCCGGACCGGAAGTGGCTCAAAGGCAACCGCCTTCGAAGTTGGCGGTCGCTTCTTATCCCCAAAAAAGCTGCTTCCCTGTTTTTGTCTGGCACTTAGTGCCCCTATTTTTGGGCGCCCGGAATCGGGGCAGGTGCCTCAGAAGGGCGGCAGTTTTGTCAGCTCGCCTGTGTCGTTTTTGTCGCTTGCTTTCGATAAAACTCGTTCGGGATTCGTTGGCGGCAAAGCTGAACAGGCTTGAGTGCTTGTTTTTTTCAGAGGAGTAAAGAAGCCCCGGCCGGTTAGAAATTGCCAATCGTTTTTGGCGGTTTCTGACAAGAAAACTCCCGCGCTAGAACATTCACGCCCTCACTTCCTGTCCATACGAGCGTTTGTCGTGTGTGAAAACCAGGCACTATGCACGCGTCAGGTGTGGTCGTGTACAGACTGTCAAAGCGAAAAAACCCAATAAAATTTCTACTTACGATACAAACACGTGGAAAATCATTTTTGCAAATACTTGCTCAGATGAAAAACTATTTTCTTTGACGAGTCTGTTCTTCAACGGCTAGAACCTGCATAAGTATTCCGCCGTGCTGCCTGGGACGTCCCGAACCAGCTGTTTCAATCGCCGATTAGTATTGCACGGAAACAGCTGCACAGAAGTGGCCCCTGCCTTGATACTAGGGATACTAGCACTCATCGATGTCTTCTACAGAAAACGTTTTCTAGGTCAATGCAGATTATCTACCAAGAAGTGAACATGCTCTCCTCCTATCGATGTCACACAGGAAACATGCTGCAGCGTTTGCTTTGTGCGATACCACGTGGCCTCCATGTACTGGGTGTATTTTCCCCACACATTGGACAAGAAAACAGTGTCCACCCCTCCCGCCAGTGCCCGAACGTCCACGTAACGCGAGAGCGCCTTGGTAACGAAGGGTCGGGGAGCCGGGGCGCGCTCACCCACCTTTATGTTCGTGGCCGCAGGACCCACCGACGACGCTTGTTGTTCCGACGACGCATCCTGCCGCCCGCCTTGCTCGTGGCCGGAACTGGTCCGACCTTTTGGCAACGGAGAATCAGGGCGCGTGGCTTCTTCATCTTCCGCAGGCGGGCGCCAGGGTAGGAACAGACTGAGCGGGCCCTCATGCACGCTCGTTATGACCCGACTGACAGATGGCGGACTGTTCCGATGTTGATGCCCGGTTGTTACGGGAGGGTTCTCCGAGTCAAAAGTTGTCCGTGCAACGCGTTGCTCCACTACCTCAGTGGACTGCTCTTTCAGATCCTTCATTTTGAACATCAAGTCGACAGCGCCGTCTCGGGGGTTCTTTATCGCTAAATTCGAAGTCACGATGCTGTTCACCACCTTGGGAAAAAGTGTCAGCTTTTCTTCGGCGCCAGCCGACGAGGCCGTGGCTTCTTCATCGCCCCGAGTGCCGCCACTCGCGGAAGCAACCACAGCGGTCTTCAGCCACAAAATTTCCCCCACCGACGCTTCCGGGGCAAGCCAAACTTCGTCCACGGTGCTGTCGGCGGCCAGAATGAGCTGCTCCACGGTGGACCCGTTTTCGAGTCGTAAAACGCCGATGTGTGCGAAGGCGGACAATTTCAGGGTGCCGATTGTCTTCTCCGCTGCGACCAGCATGTGGCGCGCACGGGTAAAAAGCGTCACCCTGAAATACTCGACATTGCCGCTTACCCGGATTTGCTCGACCGTCGGAGGCACTTGCAGGTGTTTTTCCTCGACTAGTGCGCGCGCGTGTTTGCCTACTGCGTTAAAGTCCCCCTCTGCAAACAGTTCCCCAGCGAGGTCCTGCACACTCCCGAAACGCCGCGCAGGCTTCTGGGCCAAGTACTGCCGCGAGACTGCTGCTTCTGCGTCCGACAAAGACGACCGGCCCAAGCGATAATAAGCCTTGTCTTCGGAACGAAGCCGGCCACCCGCGAGTGCAGATGTAATTCGCGCGGTGAAGTCTTGCCGCGGAGTGTACGCGGTTCTTCGTTTTGTATCTTCAACACGGTGGTCCCCCTCGCCTCGGTGGATCCCTTCGTCCAGGACCTGCCCCATTTCCTCGCTTAGCCCCTCATCCTCCAGAGCTTTTCGCGTCTCCCACAGCAGCAAGGCGTGTAGCTGCTCAAGTGCTTCGATGCGCTCCAGCAGAAGCCGTGCACCGTCCGCCTCTTCTGGCATCGCGCATGCCGTGCCGTCGATCTCAATGAACTGCTCATGTGCTGACTTCACATCGACGAAGAAAAACCCTTCGCGGAAAACCCAGCCCGGATCGCGATCTCGATGCTCGGCTTCCGTGCCCCCGTGCAGGTACGCCGGCGCGGCGGGCAACTTCGCGCGAAGTATACGGTCGCTCTCGCTGGCCGCGAAGTGGTCGCGGTAAGTGTACTTCGAGTCCTCGAAAATCGCTTGCGCCAAGGTCTGGCTTGAGGATCGGCGCAGCAGCCCCGAGGCCACGTTGGCCAGCAAGACCGGCTGCCCCTGCAGTGAGGGCGCACGTGCGCCGCGCTCCGGTTCCTCCCTTGCTTCCAGCCCCTTCGTCCCCATTTGCTCCGGGTGTTCTGCATTCGCCAGGTCGGACTGCACCTCCGCCGCGGGGCGGAGCAACCAACGGGGGTTGCCAACCACCGCTACGTCTGATGAAGACGGCACCCGGACGGCCTCATCCCAGACACAGGCGCGCGAGGCCAGTTCTCGGCTGCGAATCCACGCCAGACGATCAAGCACCATCTCCAATAGCACACGCAGTTTCATCAGCCTCTGCCGGCCTTGCGGTGACGCTGCGAGAATGGCCGCGTCTTGAATAATGCCTGCGCTGGGCCCCGCGCTCTCCATGACGCGCTCCACGTGCAAAGTCAGTTCGCGCACGTTCCGCAGCGGTGCCGAGCTGAAAGGCGCTGCTCCGCTAGAGAGTCCCTGAAAGACGACACGCACAGCCCTGCCACTGCTGCGCAAGCCCAACTCGCGTTTCTTTAGGTGTTCAAAAAGTCGTGGGCGCGGGGTTGCGCCGTCGCTGGTCTCCCCGCTGGTGGTCTCCTGCGTCGCCACGTGGGGGCGACGGACGACGTCCGAGGCTTTCAATTCGTCGGCATACACCCACTCCGTTTCGTACTCGGAGTCAGGAGCGTTTGACCCGACATCCTTCCGATGGCTGTCCAGCACCTGCGCGACGTAGCCACCCCAGTCTTTGTTGCGGATCGCGCCCCAGGTCGCGGCCTCAGCGTCCTGGTGCTCTTCAGCGTTTGCAACCCGGCGGTACCGCCGATTCCAATCATCTACTCCTTCTGCTGACGCATCGTTTATTTCATCTTGTTCTTCAGTCGCAAGGTTCGGCACCCCCTCCTTCCATGCTTGAAACAAGCGCAGCCGCGAGTCGCGATCGCGCTGCAGTGCGTGCAGAGTGGAAGAGCCCCCGGCACGGACGGAAAGTTCCTCTTCGAAGTCGTACCGGTAGTCGTGTCCCCGGTGGGTGCCGGCACCGAGCAGCCACATCCAACCGACCACGGGCCACGAAGAGGCCAGCACGCAGTCCAGGTCGCAGAACCAAACGGGTGTCTTGTACCTCCCAATGCCGTGCGACTGCATCATGTCTGATGCCACGCGGTCGCGAAATTGGGACACGTGCGAATAACCAAACGTCTTCAGCTCCTCGGGCATTGGGGTGGTTGCCTCTGCGAGCTGCGCGAGCCGACGCGGCCCGTCGTGAAGTAGACTGAGAAACACCGCTCGCATGATCTTCCAGTCCCCCTCTCCGGACTCCGGTTCCCCTTTGAAGCTGATCAGGAGTCGGTACAGAATGTAGAGCCAATACCCCGTTGGACAAACGTGCTGCAGCTTGTGAAAGTAGGTGTCCGCAATGGGTGTCTCCAAGTAAAACTCAAAGAGCGCGGGCGCGAACCCTTCGGCCCAGGATTCCACGCCGGACGAAAAGACCCGTCGATGCTCTTCCCCCGCCAGAATCGAGCGAGCCAGGCGCACGGGCTCCGTTCCCACTGCGAGAAAGTCCTCCGGCGACAGAGCCTCCAATACCCCTGCGTCCAGGGCATCGAACAGAGGCCGGAACGCTTCGAACATGCCGCCCTGGACCTCAAACGTGCGTGGCTCCTGCGCAAGCGGGTCAAGCCGCGCGTCGTTCGGCGAGCCCATGCTGTTTGCCAGCGGCTCGCGTTGTTCCCGTGTGGAAAGTGCAAAATCCCACTCGCGCACGGCCGGAAGGATCGTCGAGTTACCGGTACCGCTTGAAGAAATATCGCAGCGCATCACAGAATCATGGTACAGTGTGCCATAAGGAGAGGTCAACACCTGCGAGGCTGCGCGCAACCGGTCCTCGGCAACGTTGAAAAAGAGATCACGCGCCACGGCGCGGGGGGATAGGAGAGCCCTTTCATTTGACTGCTCACCTGGGGTCGCCCAAGGCTCTTTCGCGTCCTGGCGCTGCAAGTGTTCGGTTTCCTCCAAATGGAATTTTCTCCACCCGACGTGATTTGCGTGAAGGTCGTAACTGGGAAAAACCGGCGCGAGAAGCCGATCCACAAAGGCTGTTCCGGACAAGTTCTCGTCGCGCGATATGGATGTGTCAGAGTTGAAATCGACAAAGTTTGTCATGCATGAAATGGATGCCAGCTGGAACCCAGTTTCCAAGTGGCGCAAGACAAATTTCGGTGGTCCCAAAATCCAGTCTGTCATGCTTTTTAGGCAAAGAGTGCGATTTTCTCATGCTACTTTAGCAGCTCGAGCTGTAACCCCAAACAGGCTTACAATCGGCCTCACTTCCCTGCTCTGCAACGCACGTGCCTTGGGTCATGCATTTTATGCATTGCAAATTATTTCAACTTTGACGATTTCAAACCTGACGCTTCCATACGCCACGCGCGCGACTTAGCGAGCACGAGCAAGATCGGCCACCGCGTGTACAGAAAGGGTTTGACTCGATTCTCAAGAACCTCAAAGCACTGCGCAATCAGACTTTTCCAGTCTCTACCAAGATGAAAAATCCGCCGCCGGACAATTTTCAAAAGTTTCACTTTCCGGCGCGGGTTTGCAGATTTTTAAATAACTGTTCTCCTGGAGTTGCGCGAGCCACGCCGACGTCCAGCTTTCGCAATGCGGTGCGGCTGAGAGCTTCGCCCCCCCCGCCCCTTGATCCGTTTGGAATGCCAGAATACTATAGTAAGAACGCCTTCTGATTTGATTTTGGAAACAACAGAAGCCGCAGGGAATAAATGTTTTGCTACTTCAGACTTGCTCCCCCCACTTTTATCTTTGTCAGACCCGAGAACTTCTGGCTCAACTACCGATGAACCCGGGGGAATCCACGCATGGAGGGTCTCGGCAAGAGCAGCCGAGAAGTGATAATTCTGAAATTTGTCCGGGGGCGCCTATTTCGCTTGGTAGTCTTTGCATACTTGCCACTTTTTGCCTTCTAGAACGTGCTGCTTCAGGTAAAGAGTCGCATTGGCACGTGGGTCGTTGGTACCGCCGGACGCATGGAGATCACCTGTATGGCTGTCCACCCCCGCATCGTGTTCTACTGCTTTTGCGTCTTTTTCGACCGACGGTCCAAACAAGATGTCGTCGGCCGTCCCGGTGCTGACTCCCGGTGTGTACGTACCGTACAAGACGGTGGATGAAAAAAGACTTGCGAGGCCTTGCTCGTGGAGGAACTTGCGGAAGTGCTGCTTCCGGGAAAAGTCTTCTTTGAAAGTGTGGCTACATCGTACATAGTTTACTGCTACAGAAAACAAAACCCCGAGCGGGCATTGCAATACCGCAAGAGTCAGATTCGGGTGATGGGTCGGGGCAGGAGGACGCTCGCGTCTTGGCAGCAGTTCCGCGTCCCCAACGCGGGCCCGAAGCCAATAGCTCAAGATCCGATGTTCGTCCACCGTTTCGACTTGGGCATACGCAGACTCCTCCTTGCGGACTCGGTCTTCGGTAACTGTTTCAGTGAAAAGCTCGCGATGAAACAGCGCCTGCACTTTCTTCAAGTAAGCAGCGAAGCTGACTTCGTAGGCACCGAACCGAATCGTCGGCGCTGAGTAACAGTCATAGTCCGGGAATATCCGCTCGCGTGGTCTGTGGCTCCAAGCTGCGGGTAGAGGCGTTGCCCCCCAGCTTAGTGGAGGCGGCTCGAAGTCAACCAATGAGGATTCGGCAGGGCAAAGCCACGGTGCGAGCATTGCGAGACGGATAAGCATCACGCCACGAATGGCTCGCGCAAGAGCAGGTGTGTCCGCGATGCTCATTCTTTCTGGGCACCGTGCGAGGTCCACCACTATTGAAGCAAGGGGTTGCCCACTCGTACTTCTATTTCTAGCTTTTGCGCTTCAAATAAATGGCCGCGCTCCCCCCACACGCCGCGCTCTGATTTTGTAGTGCAGAACGCGCTCACCCCTGACAGTAACTTCTTCACTAAGGTAAGGAAAACCGGGTCGACTTTCGAAAGCGCGCCGTCCTGGGAATACAGCCAAACAAGCTGCAGCGCCAAACCGCAGGACGAAGATCGTAACTGTGATTCAAGCGGTTAGACAAGGGTGCTCGAAGGGTGAAGAAGTACAAAGAACTAAAGAAAGCACTAAAGCGCCGACAGTTTTATCAATCCCGGCGCGAGTCCGATCATATTTATAGATCTCGAAATACCAGCACGCCTCTTCTGCGCGCTGAGCAGGTTCGGGTGAAACACTTCCAACGAAAAGAACGCGGAGGACGAACCCAAAAACGCACGCCAAGCAGCGCCTTACCGCGCCGCTATTCCACGGGCTGCAACTTAACCCATCACAACTGTTCGCGAAAAGAAGCTGAAGGGCCCGGGCGTAATCATAAGAGTGCGCGGGCGGCAGGAAAGAACGGAAAGCAGCGACCGCCGTAGCCACCTATCTCACTGCGGCGCCATCGATCAGGCGCCGCGTGTGACAAAGTCGCCGCGCGAGGCGTTGCGGCCTTTCCCGATGTACGGGAGCCGGCAAACTTCTGTGGGCATTTACCTACTTGACCCGCCCCGGATGGCGACTTGTAGCGCTCCGCCCGCCCGGATGGCAATTCTTTGACATTCCGCGCCCGGATGGCGGTTTTTGGCTGTAGCCGTAGCGCGGCCCGCGGGCCCGCCGAGCCCCGCGAAAGCATAGCACCCGCAGCCCGCGCAGAAGGGTGGTCGCGGTCGCCCGACCGCGAACACGCGAGGGCCGGGGGGTCCCCAAAGCCGCGCGTCGGAGCAACACCCCGCGGCCGGGCGTAGGCGATCTTGGTCACTGCACCCCGCGCCCCGCGGCGGACCGGGCGACGAGGCGCAACAAGTCCTACGAACCTAGATGCGGCAAAACCAAGGCGCCGCGCGCCTCCGCCGATAGCGAGGGGTGGGCTGGAAATCAAGCACCGACCGGCGCGCGAATGCGTTTGGAGCAGTGAGCTTTTTATGCTGCTCATCCGGATCGAGCTACGCGCCCGATCCCGGCCGGGCCCGGACGCTAGGCAGCCAGCGGCTTTGCGTCCGGCATGGTCCTGCGCATCTTGCGACTTGCATCGCGATAGTCTGTTGCGCGGCTTCTGGGCTAGGCGTCCTAGCTCTCCGGAGATCCCCCGCGCAGCCCGTGTTTCCGGGCGCGCATTAGCCCGCTGGCCGGACCCTGTTCCGGCTGTTTACTGGAGCCATCTAAGTGCGATCACCCCCCCAGAATCGATGGTGGGAGCCCGCGAAGCCCGGGCCCCGGAGTTCGTGCGGCCAGCGGCTGCGAGGGCCGGCGATGCGCGATCGCGAGGGCCTATGGGGGCCCCTTCTTGGCACATTTGAACGCGTTCTCTAACAGCGCATCTGTTGACTGATTTTCCCCAGTGGATCCTTTGGGTTTTGAGGGTTTGAAAGTTGTTAAAAATTTTCCACTATGCAATCACCTTGGAAATGTAGGGAGCGGTGTCGTTTCTGACTGCCTGTGAATGTTTATGCTTCTTTTTTTTTTACGATGGCCGCGGAGTGCAAAACTGTAACACTTCACCAAAATCCAAAAAAAACCGAAAAAAAAAATGAGACAGCAAATAGGAATCACGATACTTGCTGCGTTACTTAATAAATCCAACAAAATAGAAGCAATTCCTTGATTGCTGTTTGTGCTGGTTGTGTTTCTATTGTGAAACCTTAAATCTGTGGATTTTTTTCATTCTGGAAAGAATTTAAAAATTCTTTTCTTTTCATATAGTGTGAATCTTTCATGCTTACACATGAAAAGAAGAGAACAAATAAGCCTCACAATAGGAGTTGTAGGTAGATATTAATTGCATAACAAAAATAAAGGATGCTGTGCGGACTTTTCTAACCGCAGAAATTTCCAAAAAAATATTCAAAAAAATTTTATCTGCGTGCAATTCTGTAAGATTAAAAAATCAATGCAATAAAATGTACAAAGCTCACACAATTGCACTGGCGCGCACTTGGATACACTTAAGCGCATCCAGTTGATCACTTTTTGAGGTAATTGAAAAAGTGAAAAATTTTGAAAAATTCCTGATGTGGACATAGGACCTTTTTGATAGAATTTGGATTCCAGAGATGCACTATAATCAACCGCATGGCAGTCCTTTTGTACTTTGCCCATGTACGCCTATCATATGAGAATGCATTTCCTTGCATTTTGCAAAATTATTAAAAATTGGAAAAAGTTTTTGATTGGAAAAATCCATAAAATTTCAAGAATGGGCCGCCATGCCAAGCGTGTTTTGCAAAGGGCAAAGCTGATATGCAGTTGTGGCCAATTATTTTAATGCTGAGAGGACCGCTTTATTATTGTTTTTCAAAATGTGGGAACTTAACATATGCAGCCGGACGCAGGGAACTAGGCCAGTCCAGACCGCGCATCGCGGCAGGGTAGGAGGTATTTGCTCGGCAGGACAGTGCAAAGAACTTGCACAAATCGCCCGCGGGAAGAACTTTCCCGCAGGTCGGGATCCCCCGCCCAAGGCAGGGCTCCGAGAAAAGCCCCCGGCCGCGGGGCTGGCCGGGTGCAAGCCCGGCAAATCCTATGCCTTCGCAGGCCCAAAACGTCTGTAGGCCTTCGTGCACAGATGGCAGCTCTTTGGTCGTCGCGTGCCTGGATGGCAATACTTTTATGGTCCGCGCCTCCGGAAGGCGATTTCAGGGCGGCCAGTGCATTCTAATAGTCCGCGCTCGTGCGGCGCCTGCTGCAACCCAACTTCGGGGCCGTCGCAGTGCAGCGTGCGTATGCAACCACACGGACGGAGACGGGCAACTGGCGCCGCTGCTGTGGAAGCGCGCGCGCGTCTTTTTGCGAGGCATCCGCACCCGGGCGGCCGGCGGTCCGCCGTGCGCCCAGCGCAAGCCAGTTTCTTTAAGGGCAAGGGTGGTTGCCTCTTCCGGCGCGCGACGCGTCGGGGCCCCGCACTTCAAGTGAGCCGGCGCCTGTTTGGCCCGGTTTGTGTGCGCAAAGCAGGGGCAAAAAGTTTCCCGCGGACGGTGACCACTCACCGATAGCAAAAGCGACAATGCCGAGCGCAACAATGACGCGCCCGCAAGCCCCCGAGAGACCTCATGCTACTTCGGGGAGCCAATTTTCTTCAATTTTCCCCACGCCGAAAAAAGCTCCGGAAGCGCCACGAGCCCACTCTTGCCATGTGAAGCTAATATAGGGTTGGTGGACGATGCACTTGCCGTTGTTCCGTGCAGATTTTTGCGAGAGGCGTTGATGGAAGCTTGGAGAGACACAACCGTATACAGTGCGAGAAGTAGGCGGCTTTATTTTTTGGTCCATTCCCGATCTATCTCTATTTGTATCCACATCCTCAGCGTCGATCGGGATACGCTAGCTGATCGGTCCGTAAGCCATGTCGTTTGCAGTAGATGCTGGTCCGCAGCATTGTCTTTGAAGCGCGACGAAAATCGCGACAGTGATGGGTCAAATCGATTATGAGACGCAGAGAGCACACGCACGGCGGAAGATGCAGGCAGCTATCCATCGGAGACATGAATTGTGTTGCACAATGCGGCAGATCTGCATCTCGTTGGAAGAGGATGCTCCGCTGGAGAGGCATTGGGTGGCTGGGTACGCTGCCGAAGTCGTGCACGTTGCGCAGGAAGGGCGAAGGTCGCAAGGATCATCCGCCGCCGGAGCTTCACGACGATGCATCGGAAGAAGCCGGAATTCCGATAGGAAAGAAACGGCTTTCGCAGCAAAAGGACGCGCGGCAAAGTGCTGGTCCCATGAAGGCAGGAGACGACGAGCAACAACAAATGCCAAACGGAGAGCAATGTCCGTCCTTGCGGCAGCAAAGTTCAGTCGAGAGATGGGGCATGTATTCGGGCCGGAGGGCTGCTTCTTCAAGATCGCAGAATCCACATGCATGCACCATCGAAGACGCAGGCCTCGCGACGAAACGACCGGTCCGCCTTTTCAAAGACGTCAACCAAGGCGAGCGCTCAACTGTGGCAGAGAAAGCCGAACTAGGAAAACAGGAGACAAGTGGCAGACGAAGCGAGGTGCAACAACTACCGCGTCGAACTCAGTCTCG